TTTGGATGCGAGCCCAGGACTGACATCTGTACCGTATTCTCATTAAAACAGCATGCATGGGAAAAAAGAAAAACAGAACGAGGGCAACTCGTTTTTCTCCCCACAGTGATGGGGGAAATGGGTACAGCGGTTGTCAATTCTGGCATTCAGAAGAAGCACATTCCTGCCTGCCACCTGCTTTGGGGGGTTTCCTGGCTGAAAAGTTCGTCCTAAAGTTAAGGGGGCAGCCGAATCCTCACACCTCAAGAGAGGTGACATGATAGGGAGTTAAAAAAATTATGTCCAGTCTTGGAGGAAGCGGATTAAGTTTCTTCTTCCTCTCTGGTAACGCTAGAATGCGTGGGACCCAAAGAAGCTACATGTTGGGAGATTCAGGGCAGAGAAAGAAAGGAATTCTTCACACAGTTCAACTGCGGAACTCACTGCCACAAGACGCAGCTTTAAGAGAGAATTAGACCGATTGGTGGAGGAGAAAGACCTATCTTTCAGCGGATACTAGTCATGACCGGGTATGTTCTTCCTCCAGAAACAGACACAGCGATTCTTCTGAATACTAGTTGTTGGAAAAGAACAGGAGGGGAGAGGGCCTAGGTCCCCCAGGGCCTAGTTTGGCACTCTAACCACTACACCAGACCGGTCCCATTATCCATTTCCCACTTGGTCTGTGCTGGAGTTCCCCCCCTCTGCAATGACATAAAGGTCACAGCCTGAGTTAGGAAGCTTTTTACTGAGTCAGACCACTGCTCCATCTAGGCCAGTATTGCCTACACTGGCTGGCAGCAGCAGCAGCTCTCCAGGGTTTCGGACAGGGAGTCTTTCCCCTGGAGATGCCGGGGATCAAACCTGGGACCTTCTGCATGCCAAGCAGATGCTCTGAGTCCTTTAGTACTGTTTAATGTACAAAAATCTCAAGACCAAAGCAGACTTTGCCTGATTCCTTAAAGTGAACATTGCTTGCTCAGTCTGAGTAAAAGGAACTCAAATTCACATGCCCCTGGCACCTTGAAATAAGGTTTTCAGGTACTCCATATTATTCGTACTCATGGCTGTGAATCTGCCCCCTCCCTTCAGACAAAGCTCTGTTTGTTACTGTAAGAACAAGTGTTGAATAAGCGACTGGTAAGCCACTTTAATAATAGGGACGTGGGTGGCGCTGTGGGTCAAACCAGAGCCTAGGGCTTGCCGATCAGAATGTCGGCGGTTCGAATCCCCACGACGGGGTGATCTCCCGTTGCTCGGTCCCTGCTCCTGCCAACCTAGCAGTTCGAAAGCACGTCAAAGTGCAAGTAGATAAATAGGTACCGCTCCGGCGGGAAGGTAAACGGCGTTTCCGTGTGCTGCTCTGGCTCGCCAGAAGCGGCTCAGTCAGGCTGGCCACATGACCCGGAAGCTGTACCCGGAAGCTCCCTCGGCCAGTAAAGCAAGATGAGCGCCGCAACCCCCAATTCGCCACAACTGGACCTAATGGTCAGGGGTCCCTTTACCTTAAGCCACCTTAATTCTCACGTGGCCCTTCAGACGCCTTTGCCTGGCCCTCAGTGCTTTCCCTAGGCTGCGGTTAGCCCTGCTCCACACCAGCCTTACCAGTGGGGCTTTTGCCTGGCGGGAAGGAGTCCTTGTCCTGTGGGTGGGTGCCTCTGGCCAAACTTGAGCTGCAACTTATCTCTGCACTTTGAAGCCAAGAATTCCCAACACTCTTCTGGCTCTCACCCAATCAAAGGAGGGTCACTAGAGTTAAAAGGACTCTGCCAGAATGAAATCCCTTTGCCACTTATATTTGATTCCGGCTTAAGGTATAGAGGGATTTCAGTAAGGCAAACCAACTCTCCCAGTCAGGCCTAGCAAATATTGAGAAATGCTCCCCCGCCCTTGGGCAGGAGGTGACTTTAAGGCTTTGGGATTCATCTTCTGCCAGAATCGAATCCCACAAAGGTGTGATTTCAAAAACAGGTTGAATTGCCAGTTTCCCTTTAGCTCCCGTTTGCAGTCAACTCCTCCTTTCTGCCCTTCAGCAAGCGCTTAATAGTTTCCAGCCAAACAATCCCACAGACAGGATTGCCAACTCTGCTGGGTATTCAGATAGTGCTCTTAATACTCTACATTAAGAGTAGAGATCCTTTCTCAAGATCAAAGGTCAGATCTCCTACATGGGCAATCTTCCAAGGGCAAGATTATAGACCATTGTTTCCCGAAAGCAACAATCGTGCATGCACAGGGAGCTGCCCTTGATCACTGACCTACAGCTCGTCCTCTAAAAATACAAGCTTTTAGTCCTCATGGTTGGGAACAAAGGGGTGATTTGGTTAGAAAGCTGTCTTAACACAGAGTCAGTTCATTGTTCCATCTAGCACAGTGTCAGCTACACTGACCAGCAGCGGCTCTCCAGGGGTCAGGCAAGAAGCCCTGCCTGGAGATCAAATCTTGGACCTTCTGCATGCAAAGCAACAGTCCACCCGTGAGCTGTGGCGCTTCCACAACCTCACTGCTACACCAGAGAAAGTATGCCTCTGAAAAATGCCAGAATCTGCAGGTGTTGCTGCTGCTGCACTCAAGCTAAATGGACCACATTCTTGTGTTCTTATGCTACTGTCTCAAGAGGTGGCATTGGCACATAAAAGGCTCGTCTCTGCGCATGCGCCGCCAACCCTTGAGACGGCAGGCGTTGATTTTGCTTGCCCAGCTATAAGAGGGAAGAAGGGAGCAAAAGGACAACAGCTTGCTGGCGCCACCTTGCGGAGCACGAATTTCCATTAACACTCAGTGCACCGAGAAACAACAGGCATATTGCAAAGGCCCCACCTCGCTGGAGAGGTGTGCTGGCGCAACTCTGCATGCTTTTATGCATGCAGCTGACGGCGCCCTTTGCAGGACGCCAAGGTTCGTTCTTATCACAAGGGAGATGCAGCGTCAGGGGAGTATTTTTTGTACAAAGTCAGGCCCGGGCTACTTAATTCCACATATTCCACCACTATCTGCCTTAACTGTTACCTGGTCTCAGGCAGGGAAGTCACCTTGAATATAGAACTGGAAGGGACCCCGAGGGCTGTCTAGTCCAACCCCCAAACAAAGCTGGGATCTCAACTGAAGCATCCATGACGGATGGCTCGCTGTAATCTGACCAACTGCTCTTGATGCAACAGAAGAGTAGCACACCTTGCAGGATCTTCCCTTTGTTTTCTTCCGATCCTTTTAAAATTGGAGAAGTCAAGAAATGAACGTGGGACCCCTCTGCAATTAAAGCAATTGTTCTCTGAGCTACCACCCCCCTCCAAAAAATAAATTACCACCCTGCCTCAACTCAAAATCTGGGAGGTGGGGAAGCAACCTGCCCTGGGCAGGATTGCACTCCCCTGGTAGGAGCAAGATTGCAGCTTGGGGGTGGTTTCCAGGAGTCAAGAGTAGATGGCCTGGCCACTGAACTCCGAAGCTCTGCCAATTTGCAGGTTGTGTTATTGCAGTTCACTCTATGCAGGGCTGCTGCAGCAGCAGCAGCCAGTCTCCTTGCTGGGGTTCCCTTCAGATCTCAAGTAATTCAATTTAAAACAGCGACATTGTTTGCCAGTTCTTAAAGCATTAGAAGACCCAAATACCCAAAAGACTGCCTCCTTCCTTACGTGGACCCTTCTGGGTGTTAACATTGACCCGAGGGGGGTGCCCTCAGAGAAGGTGCTCTTTGTGGCGTGTCCTGCATGGTGTAAATGCGGGCTTCCGACAGCCGAGATGTACATTCTCAGGACCCTCACCTTAATTCCTTGTTTTAAAGTTCTTAACAGTGGTTTTTTTTAATAATAATAATAATAATGTATTATTTATACCCTGCCCATCTGACTGGGTCCCCCCAGCCACTGTGGGCGGCTTCCAACCAAATATCAGAAACAATACAGCATCAGACATTAAAAACTTCCCTAAACAGGGCTGCCTTCAGATGTCTTCTAAAAGTCAGATAGTTGTTTATTTCCTTGACATCTGGTGGGAGGGCGTTCCACAGGGCAGGCGCCACTACCGAGAAGGCCCTCTGCCTGGTTCCCTGTAACCTCACTTCTCACAGCGAGGAAACTGCCAGAAGGCCCTCTGTGCTGGATCTCTTTTAATGTTGCAACCTGCTCCGGGACCTTAGAGCGAAGGACCAGTAAATCATCATCATCATCATCTGCAACTGAGCACCTTCCGCTCCATAAGCAATAGTTCTGACCACTCACCTGTCCACAATGGGATTCAAATCTGCAGACATATTCCTGGAACTGCAGTTTACTGGAATCTCCAGTGCATTTGCGCCTTCCTCCCACAGGGAAGAGCTGTGGCCTAGTGGCAAAGTGAATTACTTCGCATGCAGAAGGTTCCAGGTTCACTAGGGTGGGGAGAGCTGCACTGCCTGAAATCCTAGAGCGCTGCTGCCAGCCAGTGTAAGCAGTATCAAGCTAGATGGTCTGATTCTGTGCAAAGCACCTTCCTATGGGTGGTATACAGCTAAGTTTTACTAAAGAGGAGACCCACTGGAATCAATGGGTCCAACTCTGTCCTGTTACTTACTGGATGTATACTCTGCACTTTCCTTCAAGAAGCCCAGGGCAGCAAACACATCTGAACTAATATGATTGCAATACCACCCCCATGTTAACTGAACGGAATAATGGTTTTAACAGTCATCGCTTTTAGAATGCTTTGATTGTTTTCACTTTGCTTTTAAATTGTTTCTCTGTTCACCTCCCTTGGAAGGGAGGATGTAAATTCAATAAATAATAACGGTAATAACTTCTAAGAAAACTACCTTCTAAAGAACAATAATTTGTTCTCAAACTACTAATTTCAGGGTTGCCAGGGACAGAACTTCAGCCATCAAATGGGCCTGGGGAAACAGAACATATTTTAAGTTTCTTAATTCCAGTGGGTCTACTCTTGAGTAAAACATGACCACCACCCTATGTTCTTGACAGCACTGCACTGGGTTCGTTATGCTGGTGACTGCAAAATCTTTAAAGTGTCAAGCTGTACCATAAAAACACTTCTGAGTATCAGTTTATTTTTTGTTTTGTTTTTAACCTTAATATACATTTATACAGGCCATAATAAAAATTATGCAACAGGATTTTGTTTTTGTTTTTCAGTTATTACGCTACGGGGAGTCAAGAATAAATGCATGCAGTTACAAAGAAGAGGTAGTAGAAACACAGTATTAAAGACCTAAAAATACAAATGTCGTATAAATTAAAAAGGAAAAAAAACCCTTTCAAATTAACTGCTGGAATTTCTCATACAGATAAATAAGGTAAACAGTACATTACGTTGTCAAAGCAAAGAAAATAAAAACAAGGGCAGGGGGGAAAGGAGACCCACCCATACACACACATATACACGGTCATCAGTTCATGGAAACAGATGGTGTCTGAATGTCAACGACCTCCCTGCTGAGAAGGCCTGGCTAGTACAAAAATAAGGTTCCAAATGATTTCGTTCTGAAGAATGGGGTGTGTTCAAGTGTCCAAGTGATGATAATTTTCTTATTTTTAAAAAAAACAACAACAAGCCAACTCTCAAAATGAAGAGGGGTCATTTCCAGAGAAACTAAGTTGCCTAGATAACGAATTCACAAAAGCCACCCGGAGGCATGTCTGAAAATGGGGGGGAAGCAGCCGTAGGAAGTGTCGAAGTGTCCTCTAAAGCCACTCAGAAACCACCCCGATTTTTTAATGCTCTTCTGCTGTAAGGGGAGGGAAAGTCCATGCCACCACAACACGCAGAGCCCTAACACTGCGCGTGTCCGAGAACCCTTTATGCAGTTTTAAAGAAACAGACTGAAACTGCAGCAGGCCTCTTCTGATATGAAAGGGGGGGCGGGACAGGATTAAGGGGATACCTACTGATAAATACAGGCAGTAACACACAAGTTCCACATGCTACAACAGAACTAAGCAACCAAACTTGTATAAATGGGAGGGGGAAGTGGGGAAGATCAGCAAGCCAGCGGGGGCTTCACAACGCCACCGAAATGCTCCGGAGTTGTGGCCAAGTCACTCAAGTATTAGACAAATGGGTATATAAAAAAAGGAAAAAGTCCTCCTGAAGACAGGTTATGTACAGCTTTGCCTGAAAGTCTCCTAAGACGCTACATTTGAAATTTCGGAAAGTGTTTTTTCTTTTCTTTTCTGGATGATTTCGGAACGGGCGGTGGTTTCCCCCTCCTCGAAAAGCATACAGTGAAATCGAATGGTTTCCTCTAACCTGCTCCAGCAAGTTTGTTGTGCCTTTTCTGCTTTTAAAAAAAAAAAAAAAAGCGAAGAGTATAGTTTTTCTTTTAGTAAATTAGTGCAATATAAAGTATTTTGGGCCAGGATATTCAGGAAGAAGACAAAACCATCAAGCTTTTATATCCACGATAACTGCTCAAACTGGTTTCAGGGATTCCAAATGGATCTCCCTCAAAAGTAAAATAAAAAAAAGAAGACCCCACCCTCACCCAGGTCCATCATTTCTCCTCATCTTTTTCCAAAAGGTGCTGTTTCTTCTTATGCCTGATGGGCTTGAAGAAGTGCTATTTACAAGACACGAGCTCAGGTCCAAATCCAGCAACAGCCTCAAAAGCTTCACAAGACACAGGTTTGCAGTTAACACTGTTCTCAGCTTCCTCCCAGAGTCTGGTTCCAAAAAGAAAACTCTTCCAGCCCTGCTGCTCCCTGAGCAGGAAGAGCCTGTGATTCTGGACCTTGCCCAAAGACGGAAGTTCCATTCTTTGCCCCATCCTTTCATAAGAAATCATAATAATACGCCAACTTGCCGTCCCCAACCGAGGCTTTGTGGCAAGGTTCTGCTGGGAATGGAAAGACGAGCCTTTTGAACCTGGCTGCTCAGTGAAAGATAGGGTGGGGTGCGCAAGATTTAAGTCATAAGGCAAGTCTCCTCCGAGATAGTTCAGGGTTTCTTCCCCTCTGCGAATCAACCACATTTCTCCTTTCTCTTTGGTAGAAAACCCACAGAAATGTAAAAACCTGCCCTCCTGTTGCGACAGGGGCAAAGGGGGCGATTTGGCTGTAGCGGAACAATCTGCCAAGTGGTCCCGGGCGACTCGCCTACTGCTCGTAAACAGCCACTGCGCTGCAGCAAAGGGCCGAGAGTCTGCGTTCAATACTCGCTTTATCTGAAAGCAAAGGAGAACGTGTTAAAAAGAGGTGGACACAGGTGGACCTGCAAGAAGCACTTGTATTGAAACCTTAAGAGGGGATTCTTTGGGTTGCTGAGGCTCAGAGCAACATGGCTTGCCCCAGATTCTAGGAAAGGAGTCACACTTTGCGAGGGGGACGCCCCACACCGCCAAAGTGACTTACATTTGTTAATGTTTTCTATATCAACCGGGTCTTGTATGATCTTTGCCAGGCCTTCCAGCAACAGAGCCGCTTTGTGGTATCGGTATGCAATGTCTTCTGTCTGCTGAAACATCTCGTCCAGGGCTGCTGCCTGCACCTGAGATGGGATGAAGAGACCGATCAAGCCCAGGGGCTAAGAAAAAGGGGGCACTCCAAGCAGTGACCTGCACGGAAGGCAACCTCCACCCAACGCAGAGACTGCCACCTGTCGAGGAGTAAAGGACGTGACTGAGGACCTGGGTTCTAATCCCTCTTCTGCCAAGGGCAACTTGGTGCCCCTTTCCCAATCTCTCAGCTTAGCCTATCTCACAGTAGCTTCTGAGATGATACAAGTGGGGAGGGGGCACACGCTTGACATCATTGGTAGAAAGTAAAAACATTAGAAATGTTAACCTCCAAGAAAAAAATCTGGGTGAGGGGAAAGAGCTTTTAATATTTCCCTCAATCTTTTTAAAAGGAAGAACTGGAACAGTGGGAAAACTTGTGTGGATTTTTATTTTCCAATGAGTGAACGCTCCTCCTCTTTGTTTGAAGCTCCTGCACATCTTTTGGAAACCCCGGAACCTTTCTATTTTGCCCAAGACCAGCAGGGAGTCTCTCCCTGAGCCTCCAACCATGTTACCCAGGGTACCATTACCAGAAAAGCTTCCCTGTCTCCCACAACGGGGACTGTGTGTGACAGCCCAGGGAATTAAAACTAATGACTGTTTAAGTCTGACGAAATATTAGCCAGACAACATGTAGAAATGGCACCTTGGGTTAACTTCTGAGACATACAAAGAAGACGTTAACAAATGGAAAAAAGAAAGCCCAGTTTAATTAATCCCGAGAGTGCCACCTAATTTGTTTGCGTGCCTCTTTCAATGGAAATGCAAGGGCCCCTCACTGCTTTTATGTTCCCCAGAAAGGCAAAGCCAAGGAGGGAGCCCACACGGACTTCCGGGGGAGGCGCCTCCAGCAATGGCAGAATTCCTCTGACAGGGAGGAATCTGCTCCGTTGACATCTGGCGAAGGCGGAGACCCGTTAAAATCACAGGCGGGAGAAGCCTGTGAACGTGGGATTCGGCGGGCACCTTTTGCGCCTCCCCCACTCGCGGGGAACCCCGGTTTTTGGGGCTCCGGAGCGACGTGGGGTGAGCGGCGCGGTGCATCGAATCGTCTGCTTCTTCCACGGAGCGAAGCCGCATAGCTGTTGCCGGAGAGCGCTGACCTTTTCCTGTGGACAATTTGACTTTAAAGTAATTACCCGTGAGTAGAGCTGAAACGGAAGAATTGGATCTCTAAAAGTTTAATTTGGTATCGTAACGGGGAGGTTCAAAACAGGAAGTCCGCCTTCCCTTTCTGTAAATAGACTGAGGCAACGAAGTTGCAAGCTGGAGTCCTGGAAGGTCTTTTGTAAAAGATCAAATTTCCAACGGTAAAGAACATTAAACCCCCTCTTGGAGGCAGGAGAAGAGAGGGGGAAGCTGCGTATTGAGTATGCCTGCGGGAGAGAGCGAAGAGGCTTAAAACACCGCAGCTCTGACCCTGGAAACGGGCTGCTAGTAAGACTGATTTTTTTTTTAAAAAATGTTCATTGACAGCGCTTAGAATGTTCATTGACAGCTAGCTAAATAAGAGAAATACATTGTTTCTACTGTTTCCGGTTGTTTTTAAAAAAGGAGGAAAGTAACTGAAAATTGAAACTAACTTCGGATTATTGAAACTGTGTTTAAAAGAGGACATATTGACCGATACAAATACAACCTGTTTTCCCCTAGTGGAAGCTTTTGAAATTGGTTACTTTGTAGGAGCTGGGCTAGGGGACTTTCCAGCTGCAAGATAAAAAAAGTGTGAGACTTTGGAATTGACCTTGAATCTCTTAAGTGTTATGGCAAACGGAAATGAAAACACAGACAGGATGTCGACAGAGGAGGCCTTAGTGGCTGCATTATTGAAAATAAACGATTCGCTGGAACAACTCCATAAGAAAACAGATGCGATAAATGTGAAATTGGATGTTGCAAATATTGAAACTGATTTAATTGTAGAAAGTTTAAATAATTTGGGACAAAAGGTGAATACCAATTCAGAAACTACCCAGAAACTGATACAGGAATCTACTCTGATACGGCAAACTGCAGATGAAGTCAGGGGAAAAACCCTTGCTGCTGAATCGAAAGTAATACAACTGGAGAGGAGAGTCCCATCCATACAAAGACAACTTGATGAACATAAGCTGACATTCGTTATGATTGAACTTAAAGAAGAACGGATGAATTTGAGGACCAGAGCCCTATCTGAATTGGAAAAGGAAAGCCTGACAGAGTTTCAGGAGGCGACAGGACTAACATTGGTTGAGAAAGAGAGGTATTTGGGGGTTAGTATGACCGCTAAAAATGTGAATCTGCTTAAGGACAACTGTGAAGGATGTTGGATTGAAGAGAAGGGGGATTTGGAAATATGGACAAATCAGAAGTTGTTACTGTTGGGCCGAGTTATTGTGGTGGGGATGAGGGCTGCTGTGTTGCTGGGGATGTTGCTTTTGTTTCAAACATTGCAAGATCTGGATGGGATGCAGGGTCTCAGGAGGTGGCAGAGGAATGCTCCTAGAGTTGTTTGGCAGGGCAGGAAGCCTCGAGTCAAGCTTAAGATATTGATGGATGCTAAAGAAGGAGGTGGACCTGCCCTGCCAGACCTTTAAACTTCGTTGTGAACCATCTGCCTTTTGCTGGTTGAGAGAAGGGTTGCTTCTTGAAAACATTGAAGTGTTGGACAATGGCAGACGAAGTTGATGGACTATAGGGAATTGGCGGAAATGACTGGCAAGATCCGAGACCAGGGTGAAGAGTCGGTGGAAGAAGATTGGAAAAAGTTTAAAGACTATTTATAGAAATATTGTAAAATTAAGGAATGTTAGAAAAATGTTGGAATGAAATTACATGGCTTTAGTAGAAATGTCATAAGGAATTAAGTATAAATAGATTAATAGAAAATTAAAGGAAAAGTATGGCAAGAATGTGTTAAGATAATTATAGAACAGAAAACAGAGTAAGATGGAAAGGAATTGCTGAAACAAATAATAGAAGTGGAATACAAAAAGGGAGGTGTGAGGAAGTCGTTGGAAATAAGCGAATGAGATATAAGATATTGAAAATGTTTGAGGTGTTTTTAAATTGTTTTTGCTTGATTTGTTAGTCCATGTAGCGTTTTTGTATTGTATTTGTATTGTTTTTTCTTTCTTTTCTTTTTTTCTTTTTCTTTTTGTTTGTAGTGTTGTGTTGGAAATTTTGAAAAAGTAATAAATATCATTTAAAAAAAACAAAAAAACAAGGAGGGAGCCCACACGTGGCTTTTGAACATGACTGTGGCAAGATTCTCAGTGAGTGCCAGAGGCTCACTTATTCAGAATCCTGTTTCCCATGATAGCTGGTGAGAGATTTGCTTGTGGATAAGGAGGCTGAGCCCTGGAGCTCTGAGGGGCAGACACAGGCAGGACTCCCACCCACCCACAAAAAAGCCCTTTTCTCCTGAAAGTCCTCCTATCTTTTACCTACAAGGGGATCAGATACAGGGGCCAAATGCAGCCCTCCAAGACACTCTTTATCTGGACCTGCCCTTTTGCCCCAGCCCTGCTTTGCATCCCCCTTCAGTGCTTTTACAAGGCTAGAAAGTGTCTGATCATGCCTCTCACTGGCCTGGGTGGAGGACAGAAGGGTGTGAGAGAGACAGCAAATGCAGAAACCAGCCTCCTGGACAAAGGTGACATGTGTTCATTGCTCCACCCCCTTTTGCCTCTGGCTCCGCCCACCACCGCTGTATAGCCTTCTCCCCACCGACCCCCTTTACCATTTCCACAGCACAGCTGTAGATGAGCTTCTCTGCCGTGACGCTGTTGATTTCGTCGACAAACCTCTGCTTGTCCGAAAAGAACCGGTTCAGCTTTCCGGTCAGCTTCTTGCACATGGCAATGCAGAACTTGTACCTCTCGTTCAGGTTTTTTACCACTGCAGGGAAGAAAGCAGCTGTGAAACAGGGAGGGGGGCACTGGCCTGCTCCTCTCACAGCCAGAAGGGCGTATGCTGCTGCCTTGGCCTTGCTGCCACCAATTCAAAGCCCCTGATGCCCTACAGACCTTGACAAGCTCCTGGGCCTGTCCACTGGGTCTGGGAAGCTTCCACTGCCACCTCTGGGTCCTAGCAGGTTGCCATCTACTGAGCCAGAACAATGGTCCATTGAGCTCAGAGCTGCCCACTCTGACTGGCACCAGCTCTCCAGAGTTTCAGGCAAGGATGCTTTCCTAGCCGTCCCTGGAGATGCCACTGGGGACGGAAGCGGGACTTTCTGCATGAAAGGCAGCAGATACTCGACCTGTGAAAAGTCCCAGGTTCTGTCCCTTGCAGTATCTCCAGGCAGGGCTGGGAATGTCCTCCCACCTGGGATCCTGGAGGGTCTGCTGCCGGTTGATTGCAGACCCCACTGAGCTGGACGGGCCAAGGGCCTGGGCTCCGTGCCCTGGGGGCAGCCCCACACACCTTGCTTCACTGCGGTGGAGAGGTTCAGCTTCGCCGACTTGATCTGCGCTTTGGCTAGGTGCAAGGAGGACGCCAGCAACTGGGCAGCTTTCATGTACAGGACCAGCTGCTCAACTTGCCTGGAGAAGAGAGAAATGGGTGCCTTTTGTTAGGAGAGGAGCTGCCACTTTCCCAATCCCTTTTGGGGGGGGGGTGTCCACAGCAAGCATTAAAAAGCAAGGGAGAGAATAGCAGCTCAGGCATTGGCCCATTGCCACATGCGGGGCGTGAAGAGAGAGCCTTGTGCAGCTCAGCCTCAGAAGAACTACCCCCCCCCCAAAAAAATACCCCACATTGCTCATTGGCAACACAGAAATGCCTTCTTGATGGTATAATGACTTGGGCACATTGGCACTGGGCAGCTCAAGAAAGACCAGCCTCCTGGGGTCTGGTGGGTGGGTACCTACCCCCAGTCTTTGCTCAGCTGGCTGATCTGATCCACTACCACACTCTCCTGGATCTGATAGACAGATACCGCCGAGGAGCAGAGCTCAGGGTTCCCGCTTCGGACAGCCGTCAGGTCCAGGACACACTCCGTGAAGGCCAGCATCAAGTTCAGGTGGCGCAGGGTGTCTGTGTGCTCCCTCTGCCAGGAGGGAAGAAGCAGAGAGAGCCCTGCTTAGCGTCAAGGAGTCAGCAGGCCACCACTGCCAAACAGCCCCTTCCCTAGAGTGCCACCCACAGCTATATGGAATTCTCCCCCTGGGAAGATCTGGCAAGGTCCCTCTCTCTTTCCAAAGTTTTAAGGTGGGTGCTGAAAACATTCCTGCCCCCAATTAGAAGGCATTTAATGGCAAGGGTTGTAAGCTTTAGTTCTTCTCTGACAAATAGTTACGTATTGGGGAAAAGTGTTACAGAACACACACACACCAGGCATGGGGAATCTACAGCCCTCCATCCCTGGCCACTGGTCATGCTGGCTGGGGCTGATGGGAGATGTAGTCCAACAAAGTCTAGAGGGCCACAGGCTCCCCCTGCCCTTAGGGGGTCATCGCTGTTACAATCTCCTTCAAAAGCATAAATGAATTTTATCTGTCAATATTCAAAAATGCAACTCTGTCAAGATGCAAGATGTGCCCACTACCTGCACTTTCAATGCCTTTTTGTTCCAACAGGCTTCTCCAGCTGGGTGCAAGGGGACTCTGCCAGGAGCGTCTACTTTGTATTCTCTCTCTCTCTCTCTCTCTCTCTCTCTCTCTCTCATGTGTGTGTGTGTGTGTTTTCAAATATTTCTTCCCCTCTCCATTTCTTTATTTTACATCACACTGAGACACTTGCATAGGTGATCAATAAAAGAACAACATAAAATATGCAGAGAAAAAAATGGGTTCTCCTGTGTATGTATGTGTGTGTGAATGAAAATATTGGGGAGTTGGAACTTGAATAGATGAAATACCTACTATCTTATAAAAACCTAAACTGCTTTAACAACGAATGTTTCATTTATGTAACAGGGATGGGACATCTGTGGTCTTCCAGCTGTAGCTGCAGCCCATCTCCAGTCATCCCTGACAGTTGACCTTGCAACATCTGGAGAAACCCTAGCCCCAATACACAGTAACATATACTCACTCTTAAGTTGCCGCTGTTCCTTACCTCCATCAAAGTCTCTTCCGGCAGTTCTGGGGCCTCAAAGGTGATAAACCCCTCTAAGCTTGGAGGTGAAGTGCCATAAGGCATGTACTTCAGGCATGGAGCCGCCTCTGCTCCGGGGGGAGAGGAGCCCATGTAAACACCAGGAGGGGAGCCCATGAGGACCCGGCCGCTGGTAGAACACAGAGACCCCCCAGAGCTGTTGGAGCCGACTGGAAAAGGTGGGGAGGGGAGAAAGAAACACACTTGTTTCAGCCCAAGTTCAAAGTTCTGAGTTCAAAGCCCCCTGCCCCTGGTGAAAATCAGCTGCAAAAAAAGTAGGTGGTGCTGAGGTCCCTGCCAAAGCTCAGCATTATTCAGGGAACAGCAAACTATGAAACAAAATTACAGACATGTGGTTATAACGATTTTCACTCTCCACCCAACCACAAGTGTACTTTTTCTCAGAAGCCCTGGAGCAAATCAATGTGTAAGTAAGGATGCTTCAGGGTCTTCCTGTGATTCAGTCAAGGGAGGAGTATTGAAAGGGCTGAAGCACTTCTGCAGACAGACAGGAGGCTCCCCTATCTTTTGAGAGGGTTTTTGCCCTGGAATACTTAAAAAAAAGGGGGTGTAGGGTCGCCAGAAAAAGCTCAACAATTTTGGCAAAAAAAACCAACCACTTTTTTCCTGGATTTTCACCTTTTGAAATATGGCAACCTTATTTTGGGGCAACAGTCCGAGATCCCCAACCAACTTCTCCTGAACTCCCACCTCCCTGCACAATCTGGCCCCAGCAACAGGCAACATCTATGCCACTCACCAGATGTTGTCCGAGCTCTGAGGACCATGTGGGTGCAGGTTGGAGGGGTGGCGCTGTTCGGAGGGGACCCCACGGTAAACATCACGGCTCTCGAGCTCACGCCGGCTCCCATGGAGGGAGGAACTGCTGCGATGCCACAGGCCCCAGGTGGAGCTGGGGGGAGGAAGAGATGGCACGTTAGTCCTCATGAGGACATGCCCCCCACACAATGTACAAGTAGAGCTAGAGCCAAACACGGCCACTGGGAAGGGGTATCTGCTGTCCCTCTTGCCACTTCCCTGGTTATCTCCCATTACAGATCCCTCCTCGAAACCCACTTTTTCCTGTGAGGTTTTTGGCTTAACCCAGGCAAGGCCAACGACCATCTGGTCGGGAGGCGGGGAGAGGAGCAACTTTAATCTGGATCTGGCCACCCTATTAAAATTTGATTTTCACTCTTGGGGGGGGGGGAGGAAAACATTTGCAAGCGGAGGTCAATGGATAATCCATGCCTTCATGTTATTTATGTTTTTTATTCCTCCTGGCTATTAGTCATGCAGTGGCCATAAAGTTCAGGGGCAATTTGAATATAAAGCTTTTGTGGGCTGGAGGCCACTTGGGTGGATTTGTGGCACTGTCTTCAGCTGGCAGGGGTGTGTGTAAAACACACGATGAAAACAGCCCTATTAAAATGGGAGTCATGGGGAGAGTGTTCACGGGAATGACCAAGTAAACAGCTGTGCCTTCAGAAGCCAGCAGAATGCCATCACAGGTGGGGGCCTCTTGCATTCCAGGAGGGAGTGAATGTATGCATACCTATATGTACACTCAATATATATACTCACAGGCTTTTTATACTCTCTCTCTCATGCATGCAGCTACTGAACAGGCATTCTTCCTCCATTTCTCCCTTGCCTTCCACCCTACCAAGAGCTCCAGCCACCAGCTGCCTTACCTGTATCCATTGGCCGCTCAGTGTTAAGGCTGTCTGTACTGCCCTGACAGAGCTGGCCTCCCAGAGCAGCTTTTGCTTGCTGATCTGACAGCTTGCCGGTGCTCACAGACCTAGGCAGAAAGAGAGCAATGCGCTTGGGAAATGGCAAAATCCAGCGGGCAAAGCCTGGGCTGGGCAAGGGTGTGTGTGACTTGCTTCATCCAGCCTGGGGGTGGGGAGGGGGCAAGCAGAGCACAGCAGAGGAGAGGAGGGGAAAGTGCTCTCAAAAGAGCTGTTTAAAGATCCACTTCAGCGGGGTGGAAAGACCTAGTGGAACTAGGGAGAAGAAAGAAAACCAACTGTACAACAGATCAAAATGAGGCTTGGGGTCGGTTTGTATTTTACACCCATCTTCATCTGGTAGGAGTTTGCAGGCAGGGAGAAACAAACATGGATTTGCAAGTGCAAAATGCAAAACAAGGGGGAACTTTTGAGTGCTGGAGGGGGAGAAGCCGCACCAGGAAATGAGGCTTCTATTTACACACATTGACACACCAGATCCACATGCTGTGGTCTAAACCACACACTGCAGAGATCGTGTTCCGCTGGGACCTTTTGCTGGGCAAGCCCAATGAAACAACCAGGTGCTTCCGTTCCATTTCCACAGTGGCTTCTGCGGGAGGAAGAGCGCTGCACTGAAAGCTTAACCCTAGTGCTCTGGGGTGGCGAAGTTCAGTGCTTTGCCAAGGCCTCCCTTATAGAATCAGCAGAAGCAGAACTGTTTTGTCAGCTGAGGAAATAGGACCCACTCTGCCTCATTTGTATATGCCACAAACAGGCAAGAGGAGAGCAAGAACAGGTGAAAGGGGCCTGCTGCGTTCCTTGGTAAAGGTAAGATGTGAAATGGGTGATTTTTTCTTCTGCTCCACAGCTCTGCCTCTACAGTGATCCTTGGCATGGGTTTTGGGGCATGAAGGGGCTTGAAGAGCCCCCTTGTTTCTGCAGGCAATGGATTTTTTAAAATTAAAAAACTTATTTACTTGGAAACCCACACTGTTGTATAAAAATAGCACAAGGGGGTATATGGGATAACCCCCCCCCGTCATTTCACTAGAAACAATTTTAAAATGTCAAACGCTTAAGTAAAATCTGGTTGGGCAAATAATCTCCAGTTTGAAAAGGCCTGCCTGGATAAGGCAGGTTTGTTTTTTTACCCATCCAAAACGGAGCAGGGACAGCTCCTGGCAAGCCTCTTCTACCAACAAGGATTTCAGGGCCTGCCACAGTGAACGCTCGACCTGTGGAAAAGGCCAGCCAAAAGTTTGGGGCAAGTGGGACCACCAAAAGTGACTGGGGTGCAGCATAAGGGGGTGGGGGACGGAGGTTAAGGCACTCTGGGGCCAAGTTGGTTAGGGCACAGCGTTTGGGGAGGGAGGGTGGAGGCTGCGGCTGCTACCTGCCAAACAGAGTCTTGCCGCGGTGATGCTGCTGCTGCTGTTCCGCTGCCTGCCTGTCGCTTCCCTGTGTCGAATGGAAGTGGGGGAACGTTCTCGCCTCGCCCACATCCTTTGCCTGCTGCAGTAGTGGGGCGTCCGATGGTCCCTGGCGGCTGACCAGGCCCACCAAGTTGGAGGAGGCTTGAGTTTTGGGGATCTTGAAAGGAGCGGTTGTCTAGAAGGGCAAATAAAATAGAAGTGAGTCTCACAGGGTTTCATTCCCATCTGGCTTTATCATTTTGAGGCAGCTGAGGCTTAAGAAGATCAGCAGCAGCCTCCCTCTCTTCCTGGAGTCACACCCCACCCCCACCTGCCATTCAAGTCTCTGGTTTCAAGCCAGGGATGGGGGAAATGGCGGCTCATCAGACGTTAACTCCAACTGCCAGTGGTAACGACAGCTAGTTGATAGCAGCGGGACTTCAGTTTCCTCAGCTCCCACCCCAAATCTGCTCTGGAGGGTCCTCCAGCACCCTGGAGCTGGTTTTGAGGTGCCAGGAGAGGAGGTTCCATTGTTCAAAGCCCCTTGCGCCAGTGAAGCTGCATTGCATACAGCCCTTGCGAGTCCAACAATGAGTTGGCTATGGCTTAAAAAACAGATGAGTCAACAACAGATGTCAATTTAAGCGCAGTTAAGCAAAGGTGCCAGGGGATCTCGTGCAAGCAGAGGCTGAGGGGGGGAGATAAACTAATTCCCTAGAGACACCACATGATCCTTAACCTGCTCCCAATTTCTCTAAGAGGGAGTCAGCATTTCTACGCTGGTCCAGAGCCTACCAATTTTGTCCCTGTGGAAGAGGTCCCAACACCCACCTTTGTGGGAGAGCCAATGATTGTAGGCAGGGGTGTTTTGAAGAGCCAGTCTGAGCTCCGGGGCGACGATCCTGCGTGCTTCGTGGGTGACGTCCCCAGGCTGACCGGCCGGGCTGGCTGTGGAGAGTGGCTGTAGCTGTAGCCCGTGTAGGATGGGCAGACAGGGTCCGAGTGCTGCTTCCGGAGCTTCTGCTTGTTCTGGTAAATGTCCGTCAGGGTCGCTGGGCTGTTCTGTAGACGGGCACCCGCCATCAGGAGGGACTGCGGAGACTGGGACTGCGGTGCCAGGGAGCCTGGGGGAAGAGGAAGAAGTGGGAAAAGGCCATCTGGGTGGGATTCAAAGCTCCCAGTAGAGTCTTCCCTCTGAAGAGATGAAGGCAAGAGGAAATACTTCTTCACCCAGCCCTGGATGCATAATCAAGCCAGAGGCCCATCTACATCAGATGCCCCAGTGGGAAGCCCACAAGCAAGGAAGAAACTTTCTCCCCACTTGTGATCCTCAACAACTGACATTCAGACAAAGGTAACCATTTTTTTTGGGGGGGGGGGAGCATAGATCAGTCAAAGAGCACACCTGCCTTGCACACAGAAAGCCTAAAGGGGTCAACCAGGTTTGCCACCCACATAGCTACAATTCCCAGCACCCTTAAAAAATATACTTCCCTGAAAGGATCCTGGGAACTGTGTTTTCTATATGTATGGTTTGAATGTGATTTTGCATGGCGTTCAACTGGGCATTACTCAGAACAGACCCACTGAAATTAATGAACAGGACTGAGTTAGGTCCATTAACTTCAACAGGTCTACTTTGAGTAAAACACTGTGCCAGTGTATTGTACCCCTGAAAATTGCTCGCCCTCAGAACACTCCCACAAGGCATGCTGTCACCACTATCCTAAAGAGGTAAAGTTGAGCCCACTGCCTCCAATTTAAAGCACATTTACATCACTTTAACTGCTATGGGTTCCCTCCTTACAACTGCCAGCACCTTTAACAAAAAAGTCTTTTGGGAGAAGCCATGTGCTTCCAACGTATGGAGCAGATGTCATTTTGGGTGGTATTCAACTACCCACTGAAATTATCGAGCATGACTAAGCTACACCCACTGATTTCAAGGGGTCGACTCTGAGCAGAACTTAGTTGAAGGCCACCCTTTGCTTTATGGCCTCTCACAATGATAGATACTGAGCTCTTTGTTGTACCCAGAGTCCAAAATTTCTTTAAAAAGTCATGGCTCCCAAGCAAAGATTCACCACTGTCCATCAACCCAAAGGCCTTATGCGCATGTGGAGAGCGGGGGAGATCCACTTGGGTTGAGTGGATGGAAAGCTTTCCCTTTGTCATCAGAAGTCACAAAGGACTGAAAGCCTGGGAAAGGGGGTGGGGAGGAGGAAGCTTACAATCCAGCGCTTTCATAATCCACTAGAGAGGGGGGGGGGGAGAGAGAGAGAGAGAGAGAGAGAGAGGGAGGGAGGGAGGGAGGAGAGCCTACAGTAGAACATCAAAGCTGGGGGGGAACTGAGGACGCAGGGAAGGTCAGCTGGGGTCACAGCGCTGGCTGCTTGTCCTCCATCTTGGGAGGGAGCTGTACTTGAACAGTGCTACCCCCCCCCCACAAAAGCCAAGCGCTTGGCAGGCAACCGCTCTGCGCGTGTGCGATTGTGCCTGCCTGTCCAGACAAAGAGAGCCACGGAAGCTGACCCAACAAAGACCTGTGTGTAGGACCATCCACAAAGCTAACCGAGGCTGCCTCCCTTCCTTCATTTAAAAAGGCATCCCCCCCGCCCCCACCCAAATCTGTGCCTCTAAATCGGGAGAGGATTAAAACCAACCCTGCTGTTTTCAATGAGTTAACCTTCAGTTTGTCGGCTCTGCAGCAGAACTTTCAACATACAAGCTCCAGGGCAGAGTTTTCCTGCTGCCCAAGACATCAGGCGAGCCCCAGGGGGTGCTGGGGCTTGCTTCTCGGAGGGCTGGGCTAGTCTTGCTTTAACCAAGACTGGGGGCTGATTCACACATGTGCATACAATGTTTTTTCTTCCTCTACTGTTCAGCTTCAGAAGGCAAGTGAGGAGGAACCCCCTACCTGGCTGCTCTGGCCCCTACTAATGAAATAAAATAAATAACCTATGTGAAAGAGCATGCAGATATGAGCACCCCCCTATGGCAGCATCAAATGGTACAGTCCAGGGAAGCATCACCAAGAGCTGCTTCAGTCCCCAAGAGGCCTCGGTGGAGAGAGACTCAATCTCTTCTCCCATCAGTAAAATGGGAATGTGAGAGACCAGCCAAATGGGGTTACTAGGAAGAAAAGCAAAAAACACCTTACAAGGGAAATCCTATTAAATTGCACTGTCAAGTTCATGCCCAAAGACTCCTTGATGTTTGTATAAGCAGTGCTCCCAAATCTATAGAGAATAGCTCATCTCTGCCAGTCTTTCAAGCAACTGCTTTGCGCCTAAGACCTTCTTGGGTAAGCTACCCAGAAACCTTTGCGACTTAGGGTTCTTGAAATGGGGCTAACAGTTGCCCAGGATGTGCATGTCTGGGCGGCAGGTTAGATTGGGGTTGCGTTCCGGCTCTTTGTGATGATCTTAGGCTGCTGTAAAGCATTTGATAGATTGCTCTCTGAAATATGAAGCAGCGTACAGTGGTACCTCGGGTTACAAACGCTTTGGGTTACAAACTCCGCTAACCCAGAAGTAGTACCTTGGGTTGAGAACTTTGCCCCAGGATGAGAACGGAAATTGCGTGGCGGTGGCACGGCAGCAGGAGGCCCCATTAGCGAAAGCGCATCTCAGGTTAAGAACAGTTTCGGGTTAAGAATGGACCTCCGAAACAAATTAAGTTCGTAACCCAAGGTACCACTATATATAAATGACATAAATAAGTGAAATGGGGATGAGATGCTGCTCACCTGAGGAGTTCCGGCTCCGGGAGTCGTGCCCTTGCAGCTGCCCACAACAGCAGTGCCCAAGTTGCTCAGGGATGGTGCCAACTATTGGAGAAAGGAAGGGCACGCACCATTATTATTTTCCAGAAAAAGAAAACAAGGGAGCATTTGATCAAACAAATACACCACAGGTGCCCTTGATCAGCAGCTGCTCCTTTAAAAACACCTCATTGTGATTTATAAACAGGATCTCTGAGGCACAGCTTTCTGAACAATAGTTTCAGTCTCAACTTTTCTGTTTCCCTTCCCTCTGACCCCAATGCTTATGGTCCTCACTGCCTCCCCCCCCCAAAAAAAATCACATGAGCTGCAACTTCCAGGACGATGCTTCATGTATCGAGTCTCGGGTCCATGAAAGCTGATGGCAAACTTAATTTTACTAGCTGGAGACTCTGTGATTGTTTTCACTATAATCTCATTGCTCTGTTTCACACTATCCAGCTCAGAGCTAAAGTGAAAGGGTGCAGGTGAGGAGGATGTGGTTGTCACTGCAGTCACAGCAGACTTCAATTGTCTGTATCAGCTTGCATCTACATCAGAACTATTTAACTGTGTATATGTATGGAATTATTTTTTAATGTTTGCATTGGGCTGTACCCACCGTTATTCCTACTCAGAGCAGACCCACTGAAATTCATTAATGCTGTTACAACCCTGTTTTTTAATATATGAAACAAATTGTTTTATAGATGGAACTGTCTTTTGTTTTCACATACTCTCCTTATTTTGTAATCGCAACTGGTCTTATTTCTCTTATAACCAGATAGCTATATCCTTGTAACCTGCCCATGGAGTTTACAGGGAAGGCCAGGTAAGACCTCCAACCAACAAATCAATTTGTGCTGTGCAATCCCAGAGCTAGCACAAAAACAAGCTGCATCCTGTACCCCAGTGTGGAGCTGGGTTTTCATCCCTGGCATGGCGCCTGTGGGGGCCTGAGGCATTTCAAGCTTGCCCTGATTATTAGAGAGATTAGACCCTTCCCCCCTCCAGCAGTGGTGAGCTACTTGCTGAGCACAAGATTTTGCTATCAAGTGCACACAAAAGCCCTCTTTGAGAGTCGTAAAGGCAGAATGCCTTTAAGCAACCACCTCTTTTTGTGCTAAACTGCACCTTTCAAGTGTCTCTGCTTATGCACTTACCGAGCGGTGAAGGGGAGTACGGACGGGAAGATCCTGTGGACAGCCTGCGCCCGACGCCCTGCGCGGAATCAGCTGGCACTGGGGAACAGGAGCCGGTCTTCAGGAAGCCCATGGGGCTGGTGTTCGACCGTCTCACCACAGCAGATCTACAAACGAAAGCCAAAAGGAGACTTATGTCCAGTTTCAGGGAGAGATCTGTTTGCAATATGTGCACCTCTTTACTCTGGGTCTTTTGACACTCTAGGACAGCCTTTGCCAACCTGGTGATGAGCGGGTAAGAAATCAAATCAGCAGCAGCAGCCGCCAACGCCAGCCTGTCACTAACAATCTTTAACAGAGACACATTCTCAACCTGACCCCAGAATGTTCAGCTTTTGTTTGAACAATAGCAACAGTGACTTCCCAACCCTTCTTCAAACATTAAACAACTTCAGACATATTTGACTATTTAGATACTGTTCCACATCAACCGTTAGGATGTTTTTTCCTGCAACATAACCTCCAGTTGCTCCCACCAAATATCCTGCTGGGTCTTGTAGAGTTCCAATGTGCCCATCAAGTTAGGTAAACACACCGTATGTTTAAAGCATATTTAGAGGACATGGAATCCACAGAGAACCGTAGTGTATCCCTCACAGACCGACAACCCCCAGCACCCTTAAACTACAGTTCCCAGGGTTGGGGGCGGGGTTGTGTGTCATTGTGTGTGCTTTAAATGTACAGTGGTACCTTGGGTTAAGTACTTAATTCGTTCCGGAGGTTCGTACTTAACCTGAATCTGTTCTTAACCTGAGGCACCACTTTAGCTAATGGGGCCTCTTGCTGCTGCTGCGCCACCAGAGCACAATTTCTGTTCTCATCCTGAAGCAAATGTCTTAACCTGAAGCACTATTTCTGTGTAACCTGAAGCATATGTAACCTGAAGCGTATGTAACCCGAGGTACCACTGTACAATGGCCTTATAGTCATATAACCCAATTCAAACAAAGAAACAACATATGTGTTTTTTTTAATTACCCGCAAGACATCTTCCTTTGGCGAGGGCGGGCAAAGCAAATACGGAAAAAAAAAAGTTCTCTTACCTGGGCGACCCATGGGGGTTTGACACGGGGCTGGCAGCCGAGGTCAGGTTCTGCTCGATGCGCTGGTAATTGCGTAGCTGAGTGGGAACTGGGATTGGTGCCGTCTCGCTGCGGGGGGAGACCGACGGCTGGCACTGCCTGAAGGCGGGAGGGAAGGAGAGGGGGAATGAGGGGTGGCAGAGGAGCCGCTTTTCAATCTGCACCATTGTCCAGAGTTAGCATGGGTCTTCGGGAGAGAGGCAAATGAACAAGGCCCTGGGTTTCCCGGCAGGGTCTACATGTGCGCCAAATAGTTGCGGTTTCTGGACAGCGGCAAACAAGCCTCTGCTAATGAGCCGGAGTGCAAACCAGCAGGGACTGGAGACTTGACTGGAAAAATCAATCATTTAACTCGGAGGAAAGCAGGTCAGCTGCACACTGGGCCCCTCCCCTCCTTCCCACAGGCAGGCATGCGGGCAGAGAGGCTGGAGGACGCTCTCTCCCCACCCACTTCCAATGTTTCAAAACAAAGTCATTCTAGGAAAATCCACTGTGGGGAGGGAACAGGAAGTTCAGGAGCAAGGATGGCTGGCCTGCGTTGCCTTGTGTTTGTTCAAGGCTCAAAAAGGCAGGCGATACGGGGAACGGTTTGGAGCAAGAAAACAGCTTATGTAACTAGTCAATAAACCAGCCAAAGATTATCACCTAAGCACGCTGTTGTGTGGGTGCATGTGTGGTTCATGTGCTTCTGCTGCAAACTTCTCAGCCAGAGTAGATGCTGGCCTCTTGAGAACAGCTCAGCTAAACACAGGTCAAGATATGCTTGGGAATGAGCCACACAGCGGCAGCCGCTGCCCACGCTCTGAAGTGGATGCCTGAAGTTCACTAGCTTAGATTTGTGCCAAAACGTTTTGGGGAAAGGTAGATGTGGGGGAAGACCTACAGGCGCAAACTGTGCAGCCCACACTGGGGCAAACGGCACATCAGAAGAGAGCCTGGTTACTGGATCAGGCCAAAAGGGGCCCATCGAGTCCAGCACTGTTCTCACAGTGGCCAAACAGAAGCCCCCAGTCAGCAGCCCACAAACAGTAACTCTCTCCACACTTATGATTCCTAGGAACTGGTATTCAGAGGCATAATGGATGAAGAACGTAGTGATTGTGGCTACTAGCCATTGGTAGTCTTCTCCTCCCCCTTTAAAGTCATCCGAGTTGATAGCCATCACGACTTCTTGTGGGAGCAAACACCACAGTTTAATTATGCACTGTTTGAAGAAATCCTTCATTTAGTCTGTCCTTGCAGCCTTAGTTCTTCAAACTATGGGAGACAGTTAACCCAAACTATCTGTTCAGACCTGTTCAGATAACTAAATCTGTTTTCTGTGAGGAAGAGTCCATAGTCTCAAAATGTTCGGTGAATAACCCATCATTTGCAGTCTCCTACATTTTTGCATTTTATCTCATAACTGTTTTCTTACATTAATTTTATTAGTCTTATAATTTTGGTAGTTTATGGGTTGTTAGAGGAGGGTTAGTATCACAGGTGAGGGACATGTCATCCTCCTTCTGGGGTCACCTGTGCATCTTTAGTCCCCACCCTGCACTCACCCTGTGGCTCCTGGAAGTTGTCAGCATGTGACAGCAGCCACACGCCAGGAACGACTGACTAGCCAGCTAAACCTTTTTGCAGTGGGGAAACCAGAAACTGTACACAGTATTCAAAGTGTGGCATCACCAGAGATTTGCAGGAAGTCTTTAGGATGTTGGCAGTTTCATTTCCAATCTTTCCCCTCACAATCCCTAATGTGGGCTTGATGCCAAGAGCGGAGTCCATGCTAAACGTGTCCCCAAACTCTCCTCCTCTGAAGGGACAGCATGCATTCAAGCAGATTTCAGCTAAGCCCCTCAGCTTCAACTTGAGAACTTTGCAGAAGACTTGGCTGCTTATTGTCTCTGCTCCCTCAAGAATCCCAGGGGTGTCTTGCCTCTTCAAACGACATTTTTAAATTTCCTTAGTCTTTTCCAAGCTACACAGGTGAGCTTTGCACCATCACAATGCTTGCTAGATGCTTATGAAAGGGCAATGGATGGATCCGGATGCAGCAAAATCCGCAGGGGCCCCATCTTAACTTTTTCATGGCTTTAAGATTTCATTGCTAGAAACATATTTGATTTTTAATGACACAGCGGTATACAAACATTTTTATAAATCAACCAATGGAGGCTAATTTATCCAATCCAGGGAGGAGCGACAAGCTTTGCTCCTTCCTCAGCACACAACGGCTTCCCAAGTGAACAAAAGCTTGCTTCTGTAGGAAGCTGGAAACTGGATGGCAGGCTGCGGAAAAGAGTTTTGCTCAGCTGTTTAAGCACCACCACCACAAAGCCCTGGAGAGCCCAGTTCAGCTTCATCCTTGTTGCCATGGCAATATAATTCCCCATCTCTCTGGAGCCTAGCTCCTCTCTCACACCTTGCCGAAATGGAAAGGGCTGAAATCATTGCAGCTCAGCAACTTAAAGAGAAGAAAGCTGCTAATGAGGTTTTCCCACAAGGAGGCTCTGCAGCATCTGGGACGATGGAAGCTGGGCTTGGCCACAGGGGCTCTAGCACACAGAAGGATGCACAGGAACAAGCTATGACTGACACACAAACACATGGGAGACAGATCGCTTCAGGACTCTCTTAGCACCCCCAATCAGAAAAGGTTGCGATACCGTCACCCCAAACATTAGAGCAGATGGCAAAGTCCAGCATGCGCAGCGTCACCTAGCCGTGAAGGCAACTCTCAACTGAACTTGCCTGCAGGACAAGGAGTTTCCCCACAACTGCAGCTCTCCCATCTGTAAAATGGGCATAATAGTACCTCGCTTCATAAACAGTCAAAATGCAATGTAATTTGCAAGCGGCAGAGTTTGAACTCTCCTGCCAACCCACCCCCACCCTGCTAAAAAAGGAGCTGCCGACAGAGCGAGAGATTTGCATTAGGGCCCATGATGTTGCTGACATGGCACCCCCAGATGCTACTGGACTTCACTGGCCATGTTTACACAGACTGATGAAAGTCATAATCCAACAAATTCTGGAGGGCACCATGTTGGCTATCCCTGGCATAAAGGCTCTAATGTCCCCCCCCCCCCAAGCTCTGATCCTCCAAAACTGAAGTTAACCAGAGTAAGAAAACTTTCAGGACCTTGGGGGGGGGTGGCCTGTTAGTCTTGCCCCCCTGCAGCCAACAGCAACTTGAAAGCATTTGGCCAGAGTTTTCCCCAAGCCAAATCTCCCCCATAATCCAGCAGTTTTCTCAGGAAGAGGGGAAGCATGTGACGTTTCAGTTGCGGAACCCTCACTCACAATTGCAAATCGACCTCAAATTTAAATGAGTATAAGAGGAGAAAGTGAGAGCCACCTTAACAGTTCTGCTGAGAAACCAGCTCATCTTTCCTCTGAAATGTTTCCATTCCAGCTGGCAGTCATAAAAACTCAGTAACTTAAGATCCAATCTCGCCTCCTTTTTGTGCCATGTCTTTTAGAGTACAAGCCTGAGAGCAGGGGACTGTCTCATTATTGATCATTTTTTAGTTGCTGAGGGAGTCCTTTTCGGCTGAAAAACAGGGTAAAAACGCTTCAGAAACAAATGAAATCTGCTCAGTTTCACCAATAATCAGAATTTTAAAAAAATCTTACCAATTAGAAAGCAGCCAAAGTTCTCTCAGGGCTTCCCCTGCAGCACAGATAAGCATCTTTCGCCTGAATCTAGATAAAAGTCTGGCCGGGGCTACTCTGCAGTGTGCAAATTCGGAAGCTGCACTGAGCACAACATCAGCACTTTTCCGGCAGAGACAGTGCTTTTATTTTTTTTAAAGGACTTTAAAACGGTTTGTTTGGGGGAGATTTTCAGGGATTTGCTGCTGCTGTACTGATCGCACGAATGTTATGCCTTGTACGCCTGTGAAAGTGGCAAAATCAAAGAGTGGCTTTGGGGTTGATGCCGAAGTGTAGCGGCCAATTGCGCAACGGACTCTACACGGTCTCCTGTGGCACAAGAGGGAAGAAGAAAGCAAACAAGAAGAGAGCCCCAAGCTCCAGCTTTGATTCCGTTCTTGCATTGGCATAGCTTTGCTTCCAACTGAAGGATTAATTTGCTGGGGTACAAAGGCAGCAACGTTTCTGAATACCAGTTGCTGGAAACCACAGGAGGGGGAAAGAGTGCTCTTGTGCTTGAATCCTGCTTGCGGGCTTCTCACAGAAGCAGCTGCTGGACCACTGTGAGAACAGGATGCTGGACTAGATGGGCCACTGGCCTGATCCAGCAGAGCTCTTCTTATGTTCTTACATTCCAAGTTTACAAGACTACAGCTCTCAGCCTTCTTCAGCAGGCCACTTTTGTAGCACATCTTGCGACACAACAAAGGCAACAGGTTTGTTCAGGGTAGGGATATGACTGGTTCTTGTTTAAACAACACTGGGGCTTGTGAATTGGTCTTCAGCTGCAGTGTGGGGATCCACTGCTGGGTCACTGACAAACCTCAGAGTGTGCCTGTGCAACCACAGCACTGTCCTCAACCAATTAAAGAGCCAATTATTAAGTGGGCCCCGTAAATGCATACGGTTTTGCTGGCTGGGGCTCATGGGAATTGTAGTCCAAAACATGCAGAGGGCATCAGGCTGGAGGAAGCCGATCTAGCGACTTTTCATTCCTCCTACACTCTGGGCAATGAATGTCAAAGCAACAGAGCTCAACGACCGTTACCACCTACCCTCCGCACATCAGGAATTCACTTGAGGCCCGACGGCCGACTGCTGCCAGAGGCATGTCGTCTGTATAGCAAAAAGAAGACACCAGGAAACAGGCATTAGGGCCCAGGGAGTGGCAGAGATACAGCAAGCGAGAAAGAGAAACTCAGCAATATTTTAATTTGAAGCTGTGCTAAGCGACACTGCGCAAGGAGACAATGCGGCTCTGTTGAGCACAACACAGCCTATTCACACGCACACCATATTCCTGAATAGACACTGATGGGAAGCTGGCTATTATTATTATTACTACTACTATTACAATTTATTATCTGCCCAGCACCATGATGTCCCACAGTGGGTTACAGTAATTTAAAATTTAACACTACGAACAGTCTGAAAAATTACAATCACAGGAACAAGGCGGTCCCTGAAAAGGCAAATCTCTGGCCTCAAGAGGCCAGGGGAAAGAGGTGTTTCTTCAGCATATGGCAGAAGTGAAGTGCAACCTGCTTCAGCATAAAAGCTGAATCACACGGGCAATGCGTCAATATGGCCTCCATAAAAGTTGCAGTTTCACAGCAAAGTAGGTTACAGCTGGCAGGGAATAGATGAAACGGTGGCTGGGATGCCCTCAAGGTTGTTACATACAGGAGACTCCCCGTTTACATGGGGGTTCTGTTCCAGGCCCCCACACACATATGTGAAATTGCGTAAAATGGGGAACACTCTACTCAACCAAGCCCCACTCTCTCTCTGGCTTGTGGGAGCCAGAGAGCTTCAGTTGACCAGGTGCTTCCCATTTCCAGGTACCAGGAACCCATTTGCGTGTTGTGTGCAAACAGAATGTGCATAAATGTGCAGTTGCTTATACACAATGGCAACACTCCCTGAGTAGGATGGGATGGGTTTTTCATTTCCAGCAGGGAAAGGGAAGTGTAAGGGACTGCTGTTGAAAAGCTCACCCCTGCCCTGAGCATAGGGCTGACCCCCGTGAGCCACCATTCCGGTGGGTACAGCGGTGAAGTTATAATATGAGATGGCAAGTAGATCCTGCCTTGGCACCCCTGGAAAGGGACCCTGCTAGCAAGGAAAGGAATTCAACGTGGATTTATTCCATGCTTTTAATCCTCTGGAGTTTTGATTTCATTAACCTATACAATCATGAGATTGAAAGGGATCAAGGTGGTGGGGGGAACACAATGTATAGCTTTTCAAACCTTTTTTCCAAAAAACTTTTTGCTCCTGCCCCAAATTTGCCCTGGGAATACCCCAGTCTCATGAAACCCTTGCTCATTTGCAAGACACTGGAAGGAAGGCCTGCAGGAGTTAAGGAGAGCTCTCTGAATGGGGATGGGGAGAAAATGAAACAGGAAACATACTCAGCAATGACACGAGTAAAAAATTAGCAGTGCATATTTCTCTTTAAATATTAAAAACGGCAGCGACAAATGGCCAAGGGCCAACAAATCCAGAGCCTTACATGACTGGTCGGAGATGTTGTGTGGGACCAGAACGAAGTCGTCCGTATCGCAAGAGGAGTTCTTGCTACTGGTGCTGGTGGAGTCTTTAGACACCTGAAGGTAATTCGGAGGCCCCAAGGGAGGAGAAGAGAGGTTGTCTTCCTGGATATGTTGCATGTCTGGGAGGGACTGAAGGGAGGAAAGAGGAGATGTCAGGATCCCTTGCAGGGCCTCCATTGGGGAAGAGGCTGGCACAAGGAGAAGGGCTGTGCATGAGCTGTTATCCTTCTGCTGCCCCACATAGGCCCAACTTGATTTATTTGTATAAAATGCAAAAACTTGCATTGATTGGAGAGAGGACAACAGGCCGTTGGAGTGTATGGGTACACATGCGAGGGCATGACTATCACCTGCTGTGAGCTACCTTCAGAATTGCTCAATCAAAGGGAAGCATAGAAACTTCTAAAACTGCTGATCCTTGAGGCAACTGAGCGAGGCACTGTGAGTAGTCCCTTCTGCCCCCATGTCTCAGATACGCAGCTTGCACCCACCAGGAATATGGTGGGGCCAGTTTTGTGGAACCCCCTTCCAGTTGATGTCAGATAGGCTGTTATCTCCAAACCTCTGGCGCTTTCTGAAGACTTATTATTCCAGCAGGCTTTTTACCTGAATTCTGTTTTTAATTCATTTTTAGTCTTATTGTATTGGGTCTCCCATACACGGCCTGGAGACCGATGCGATTAAGTGCTGTGCAAGTTGTTAAAATAAATGATTAACAGGTAATAAAACAAGGGTGGGGGAATCGAATGTGGCCCTCAGGAACTTCCAGGGTGGCGCCATCGGTAATGGCGGACTCCCTCTGATCCGGAGGGACCAGCTCCACGGGAAACGGGTCTTTCCCGCTACGGCGAAGCGGGGACCCTTTCAAAAATCACAGGCGGATGAAGCCTGTGACCATGGGACTCGGCGGGCACCTTTAGCGCCCCCCCAACCCGTAAAGGAACCCATTTACGGGCTCCGGAGCGAAGTGGCGCGGTGCTGAGAGTCAACTGCTTCTTCCGTGGAGCGAAGCCGCACAGCCGTTACCGGAGAGCGCTGCCTTTTTCCTGGGACAATTTGGCTTTTAAAACAATTACCTGTGAGTATTTTAATTTCGGACAATTGGACTTTGAATAATGACCTACGAGTAGAAAGGAACATTGGACTAAGAAACTCATTTCAATTTGGCACTGAAACAGGAAGGTCCAAACAGGAAGTCAGCCTTTCGTTTCTTGTAGATAGATTAAAGCAAAGAAATGGCAAACTAGAGTTCAGAAAATCGCTTGTAAAGGATTAACTTTCATCATTTAAAATTGTTGAACCCCCTTCGGAAGCAGGAGAAGAGGGGGGATTTTTTTCGGACTGTTTAAACCTACAGAAAGAGTGTAAAGCAAAGTAACTCTCCACCATCTTGATCCTGGGAGCGGGTGTCAGGACTGACGTTCTTTGGGAAGCTCATTGACCAGAGACAAACGTTTTTGACAGATAGTTAAAAGAAGAGAAACATAGTGATTCCATTGTTCTCCTTCGCATTTTAAAGGAACAAATATTGACAAAATATCTGAAAAATGAAACTTTGTTGTTAGATCTACTTTTAAAAGAAAAGAACAAATAGAAGTTCTTCCCCTAGAGGGAGTCTGTGAAACTGTTACTAAATCTGAATCGGGGGAGCTCTGCAGCTGCAGCAGATTACGATCATGGGAATAGACTTCTGACCTTGCAGAACAATGTATTCAGAAGCTCTGATGCGTGCCTTCTGCAAAACAAGTGCCCTACTGGAACAGCTACATGAGAAGACGGACTTGATGACTGCTGTGATCGGAAACTTCGGACAGGTAGTGGGTAACTATATAGAGCCCACCCAGGAATTAAATCAGGAGTGTGCTCTGACAGATCAGATGAGGGAAGAGGATGTTGTTGAACCTCGGGCGCCAGAGATGGAGGGAGCTGTGGCCCAGCAGGAACATGAGCTGTTGGATTTGACAAATGAACTTGGAAAAAGCCAGGCTTGGAGAGATAGAGTTTTGTTTGGTTTGGAAATGGGGAGTTGGATAGACCCCCCTATGCAGGGATGTTTTGACTTTCCAAGTCTTCTTTCTTTCTCCGTCCTTCCTTCCTGGCTTTTTAAAAGAAGAAGCTGAGACTGAAGGTGCACCCAGAATGGATTTCTGCTCCCCAGGGACAAAGACTGTGGCCTCCCAAATCAGAACAGAACTTACTGGTGGAGAAGCAAATCGGCAGGAGGGGGAACTGCCGCAGGAGCTGCCAGAGACGGAGCCCGTGTACGTCGGCACTGGCACAGGGCAAGCTGTGGAAAGGAGAACAATGTAAGGAAAGTGCAGGTTCTGAGGAGTTTCAGTGTTTCTTTTGGGGAGGGGGGGCATATGAAGAGAAACTACCCAGATCGCCTTTAGTAGCCCCCTCCCAGCATGAAAATTGCCATGCTGCAGACAAAAGCTTTCGGCAACATTTCAAGCCACTAATACATGGAAAGAGGATCCCCCTCCACTACATTGCAATCAAAAAGCCCAAGTATCTCAGACTCGGAGGGGGTAGAATGTCTAAAGGAGCAGGAACCTTGCAAAAGAACAGAGTATGATGCATGAGGTAGGTAAATGAAGGACCAAGTGTGCAGCCTGGGAGTCATTTTGGACTCGCAGCTGTCCATGGAGGCACAGGTCAATTCTTTGTCCAGGGCAGCTGTCTACCAGCTCCATTTGGTACCCAGGCTGAGACCCTATCTGCCCGTGGACTGTCTCGTCAGAGTGGTGCATGCTCTGGTTATCTCCCGCTTGGACTATTGCAATGCGCTCTATGCGGGGCTATCTTTGAAGGTGACCCGGAAACTACAATTAATCCAGAATGCGGCAGCTAGACTGGTGACTGGGAGCGGCCGCCGAGACCACATAACACTGGTCTTCAAGACCTACATTGGTTCCCAGCATGTTTCCAAACACAATTCAAAGTGTTGGTGCTGACCTTTAAAGCCGTAAATGGCCTCAGTCCAGTATACCTGAAGAAGTGTCTCCACACCCATCGTCCTGCCCGGACACTGAGGTCCAGCGCCAAGGGCCTTCTGGCGGTTCCCTCTCTGCGAGAAGCGAAGTTACAGGGAACCAGGCAGAGGGCCTTCTTGTTAGTGGTGCCCGTTCTGCGGAACATCCTCCCACCAGATGTCAAAGGAATAAACTACTACCAGACTTTTAGTAGACATCTGACGGCAACCCTCTTTAGGGATGCTTTTAATATCTGAAGGACTATTGTATTTTAATATTTTGTTGGAAGCCCCCCAGAGTGGCTGGGGAAACCCAGCCAGATGGGCGGGGTATAAATTATTTATTATTATTATTATTATTATTATTATTATTATTATTACTACAAAAAGTATTGGGGATAATAGCATCATTGATACACAAGAACCTGTGGTGGCTCTTAACATAAATATGTTAAAGGGTAGGAAACTACAAGAAGGAAGCAGCTGGAGGGAAGGACTCATGGTTTCAGTTGTCTCTATACTAATGCAGAGCATGGGAAACAAGCAAGACAAATTTGAGCTCTTAATACAGGATGGCAAATACGACCTAATAGGCATTACTGAAACCTGTTGGGATGAGGGGTATAAACTATTCAAAAGGAATACCCCCATCCCCACAAACACATTTAAAAGGGTAGTTGAGATTCCTGCATTGCAGGGGGTTGAACTAGATGACCCTCAGTGACCCTTCCAACTCTACAATTCTATGATTCTATAAGTATGGGGGATGGGGGTTGAGCAAAGATAAGGCAGAAGGAAATTCTGACTTACACTTTCTGACTGTTGAAACCTGGTCGAGGAAAGGGTGGTTGAAGAAGGCTTCTGCAAGAGAGGAAAAAAGTTGGCTGCATGACACATTAGCCTCTAATCCAAAAGGGGGCTGCAGAGCTGCAGGGTGAGGGATCACAACACTCTCTCTCTCTCTCTCTCCACACACACACACGCGCGCTTCTCCATCCAGGGCTCAAAAAGAGCTCATGAAAGATTAAAGCTTTCCCAGCGTATGTGTTGCTATTACACTTGGAAAAGAAATACAGTCCATCACTTTAAAGATGCAGCTGGCCAGAGGGATCGAAGGCAGGTACTTAAAAGCCCATTTCCTCACAGACACAGGCTTGGCTTTCAGTTTTTGAAGCGCTGCTTGTATTAATTGAAACACACTTTGCAGATCATGGAGAAGGGTTGGGTTTCAATATTTGGCAGTGGAAGCAAAAAAAGGGGGGGAAATGTAAAATTTTCATTTTTAAAAGAATAACACGTACTGTAATTGGTAGAGCCCAGTGTACCCTGATGGGGGTGCAACGTTGCCCCCTCCCCAGTCATTTATTTATTGCATTTATATATTTCCTTCCAAGGAACTCAAGGTGGAGTAACGTGGTTTCCCCTCCCTCCTCATTTAATCCCCACAACAACAATGGGAGGTAGGTTAGGCGGAGAGGCAGGCACTGACCCCTAAGGTCATCCAGTGAGCTTCATGGCTGAGTGGGGATTTGAACCCTGGTCCAACACTCTGTTGTAAACAAAAATTGCCCTTTTCCCTTATGGGGTATCCAAGAGCCCATACAGAGTCCTTACGTAGGTTCCCTATTGGTAGGAGAGAATAACAGAGGCCAACCAGAGAATATTGAGAAGCAAAGCAGCTAGTAAGCTTGATCTTTATTGATCTGTTGCAACAGGGTGCTCCCCTCACCCGCAGGAGAGGAAGAGGACCCAGAAAAATGGCGTGCAAGGCCTTATAAAGACTTTTGAAATTGCCACCCTGTAGATCAAGACCACCCCCAGAAACATCATACATACATCACAGAAGGGGTGTAACTTAAGACCACCCCTCAGATACATCACACCTATATCACAGAAAAGGCAGTCTAAAGCAGAAATTTGAATATTGTTTTTCTCCTGTTGTTTATCTCCTGTCTGGCAGGTTACTTGATTGGATTGCCTGGGGAGCCCGCCATTCTTTTGTAGTGATAAATACTTAGTTCCTGGGGCAGTTCACATGCTCACACCCTGTTCATATCTTAAATGTGTCCTTAAGACAGGATTTGTGAGGAAAGAGACAATGGGGAGGTTTCCCACTTTGACCTTGCAGAGAAAACATTTGGTCAGTTTAGGAATCAAAATGGTTCCAGGTTGGCCTTCCTGTGCTGATCTATGTATGTGCTTGGTTGGTACACTTATGAACATGACCATATATCTAAGACCATAAAATTCCTATCACAACTCTAACAGCTACACTACACAGATTGCTCATCTTGTGTACAACACCTTGTTGCAAAGCAAAAGTAACTGCACCCTCAGGCCAAAACCAGTGAGCTAACAACAACAGCTTTGTTTTTGTACTCAGCTAAACATCGCTCAGAGCAGCGGTAGGGATGATTAACAGAGCTTGGACCCAAGTGTCCCTGTTCAAGGCTCAGAGCAAACAGCAGTGAACCCAGGAGAACGCGTTATCAAACTCAGCCACCTCCCTGGCCCCAAGTCATTTTAAGCGGAGGAGGGGGGACAGGTCTAGCACTGCAGGTCCAACAGGCTTTGACACCCTGAGTCAGAACAGGGTGTTCTGCGGCTCAGGAGGGAGAGTCCAGACACCCTTGATAAGCGGCTTTGCTGTCCTGGAGTTAGCACATGCTGTCCTGCGAAAGGCTGCGGGGCAGCTGCTTGAGGGGGGCTCCAGCCGCCTCCCAAGTTACTGATTTCCTAAACTGGAGTTCCTTGTGGTGTGGGGACTAACAGACGAGCAATGGAAGTGGGTTGTGAGAGCCCTTGTGGTGTCCAAGAGACTCAGGCTGCAAGGTTGGAAAGGAAAACACGCACCATCTATCACCCAGTGGGTGGGAAATCTCACTAATCTCAATTTCATTTGGACACCTATGGTGGACCTGCCCATATTAATGAATACATTTAAAAGCGGGATTATTGGCTACAATGGCGTGCTTCTTTCAAGCCTCATTTCAACAGAAGGAGATGGCCCTGCAAGTGCCAGGGACGTCCTCTCCGCTGGCAACCCCCTGACCTAGCCTCCCTGGCAAGTCTGTTGTGAAGATAAAAAGGGTTACAGTAGCAGCAGCAGTGAGCTCCTTGAATGGGGTGGGGTCTCCTTCACTGGTATTTTTATTTATTTTTTTAAAAAAGGTTAATTGTTTGGCACGCTGCAGTTCAGCCTTCTCTGACCTGGTGCCATGTTTTTAAATGCTAAGTCCCAAAAGCAAGAGGAAAGCAAAGTTATATCCCCGACAGGTAGAAAAGCGAACACAAAACATTCCTCTTCCTCTCCCCACCCCCCACACCACAAACAGCTGCCAAGCATCAGCTGGTCAGCAACTGTTCAAAGCCTGAGCTGGCAGAAAGAGGATTTCGTCAGAAACCTTCCAGACAACAATCACGAAGGCCAAGTCGACGCAGAACACTATAAATAGTCCAGCAAGCTATTTTCAGTGTCGTTCCTCTATGGCTGTTCATTCTTTTCTTTTAACACACTGACTGCCGTTTACAGGTTGTATGAAAACTTGTTCATGCTTTTAAAGCTTGGCATTTAATTTTTGTGCTTTCGGCGTAATCCTCCTACCTCCAAGAAACCCAGGATTATGTAAGCAGACCATTGCTATTTACAACCTAACATCCCTAACCGGAAGTGCCACAGGAACAGCTGAGCAGAAAGCAAAGAGGGGGAGGAGAACTGCCCACTCTGCAGTAGCCTGCTTCCCGTCACCTGCCCCTTCTCATCACACTGCTGCATATGCAAAACAGATGAAATAAAAATGAAAAGCCAATCTAGAGTCGACCTGCATTTAAATAAATGGATTTAAGAACCCAACAATCCCAGAAATTAAGTATCCATCTTAATAGGTGATTTACTTGTTTATAATTGTATTCATATCCCACATTGTTTTCACCCAGGAACTCAAGCTGGAATACATGATTAATCCTTTCCACATTTTCTCCTTACAACGACCCAGCGAGGTAGGTTAAGCTGAGTGAGCTCCATGGCAAAGTGGAGACTAGAACTCCAATCTCCTAGGTCTTAGTCAAAGACTCTAACCAATAGAGCACACTGGCTCCCTCTACACTCTTAATCGCCACGCCCTTATCCTTGTGCAACCACCCTGTAGGGTCGGTTACACAGAAGGTGGGAGAATGATTGGGCTTGATCCCTGTGTCGGCTCAATGATGGCAGTGAAGCCAGCCAGGGATCCTGGGCTGGCTCAACCCCTCTCCTCCTGCAGAACACCTTGTTTTCAGGGCTTTCTGCTATCTGGTTTTTGGGGCGTCCATTGACCAAATTTGGTGGTCAGCTAGAGGCCAACTCAGCCGCCAGTCTCTGCTCAACTGTCAACACATGCCTCTGGGAACCTGCATGTAAGTGCAATGCACACATGACCCTAGAACAAGCTTGTGAAAGGAGAGGCATCTTTTACATGGGTCTAATACATCCCGCCCTGGGATTATGTTCAGGATCTGGGAATTCACAAAGCTGAATTGAATGCTGAAGCACCAGATCTATTGAAGTGGAGTGGCAAAGGGAAATTCAATGACACACTGAACAATGTGGTACTGTATATTGAGTTGAGGACACAAATCCCTGAATTCACAACCAGAGAGAGGGGGAGAGGGAGAGCTATGCTAGAAAGGGTGGAGGAAAAGAGGTGAGACCATAGAGCATACCAATTCTGGCACAGGATTCCAGAAGACAAAAGGGGGGTGAAACTTTCACCTATCCAGTGCTCAGAGGAGCTTTTACGGCTGCAAAAAGGAGGCTGGGTCAGGAACTCTATGCCTTAGAATTTGTGTGTGATTTCCAGAACCGTAGGACTCTGTCCTGCAGCTGCTCTGAGTTAGGCTAACTGCTGGGCAACACAATTCCTTACCTTGAAGCTTTCTGACCTGATGATCCTTGCGAAGAGGCTGGCATGTGAAGAGTCCAGCTGAGAGAAAGTGTGTCTCTGTGGCCAAGGTTTGCCCCTTTCTAAGGGTATTCTCTCATATAAGAGAAGCTGTAAGGGGAAGGGCTTTCTCCACTTTTCTAGAAGTGGGGGTGGGTAGGGCTTACTCTGCACCAATCAGTTTCCTTTCAGGAGTGGTTTCCCATCACACCCATCTGTTATAACTCCCCTTTCGGGTTTGGGGTCGAGATGACAATCCTGCCTCAGAGACACAGCATTTGCCTGCTGGTTCCTGGTTCCGTGAAAGGCATTGCTTCCTTCAGCACAGGTATGCCCCAACCCACACCATGATTGCACGATAGGTGGGTTCTGCTTTGGGCAAGAGGAAATCTCACCTGAGGGCTGAATGGGTGGCGTTTCGTGGAGTTTCTTCAGCCCATTCATTCTGTTAACTCTTTGTTTTATTGCAACACAGAGCCAAGTTGCCTGGCTTCAAACTCACAAGCCGGTGCAAAAATAAGGTTAAAGGGCCATGCAAGCCTCATTCCAATGGCCAAGATGCTAGTCCAGTACCCTGAACCTAAAAATGGTCTGCTCATACTATCCAAGTCACCCCTTTGCAATCCCACAATTAAGGAGGGTTTGGGTTGCCCTGACCATCTGATCTCACAAAGCAGCGCCAATGTTTTGCTCTTCCCCACTCCTTCTCCTGTCTTCTCTTTCATTTTCTTAATAGAGGTGACTCACCCCAATCTCCCAATCTTACTATCGCTTCTCATTTAACAAATGACTGTTACAGGTGCCACTTTGTACTTGTTCCATATTTGTAAGCATTCAATATTTTTTTGAGGCAACAGCTACATTTTGGAACCCTGTCTACTGCTATTGGGCAGTAGGCTCCTTCACTGTGCTCTTTTCGGTGCCTTCCAAAAATATTTTTCTTTAGACAAGCCTATATTTAGAAAGTTAGTAAGAGTTTTAATCTATTTTTAGTTTATTTTCGAATTAAATTTATTGAAAGGTTTATTGTTAATTCTTCATATTGATAATGGTATTGCTTTAAACAGCTTTGAGGTGTTGTTTTTTTACAATCATGCAGTGTATAAATTTTATGAAACAAAATAAATGAACTTAACTAAGACTTTGAACATCTGAAGTGTTCTGTGTAATTCAAAAGCTAGCATATCCAGTGCGTTGAACAAGTTCTATAAAAGGCACCGCTTAACTTTCCACGATAGACAAACACACCAAACCAAGACTGCAGCTCAAGCCTATTAAAACCACCAAACTGATAACCTTCAAGCACACTGATTCACACAAGAAAGCAAAATAATTACTTGGGCAGGGGAGGCAAGGAGTCATAAAATGTTTACTCACCAAAGTCCATTCTATCTTTCTGGTTTCTCTGAAGCAAACCCAACAGCAGGTCAGCCAAGGAAGCTGATGTTTCCCTGGGAACACTGAATACAGAAGAGAACTAAGTGGGAGATTTGTATTTTTACTATATATAAATCATACGAGTCCTACTGAACAAAACACATTGACGATCTGTCACCCTTCAACAGAGGTAAAGTTATTCAAATTCTTAAGATTCTAGCAGATATCAAAAACCCTCCACAAAAGTAGACATACATACCTAGGGATCAGATTCCTGTTCTTTTCATAAAACATTCTGAGGTCTTGAGGACTGTTAGCCTGTGAAAGGGAGAATAAGTGTGATTTGCCAAGTTGTATTTACCCCAAACCCCTAATGTCCTTAACATACACCTGTGTGAGAACAAAGGGCACCAAGAGAGCCTGGCTGCTGCTGGATCAGGCCAAAGGCCTACAAAGCCCAGGATTCTGTTCTCACAGTGGCCAAACTGATGCCCTCACAAGCACAGAACATCTACGGGAAAATGTGTTTATTTAAAAATGAAGAGCAGATACCTACTGGGAGAGCATGGGTGAGGAACCTCAATCTATGGGTTCAATGAGGTCCGCTAGGCTGGCTAATTTGGCTGGCCCAGCTGTTTTTTACTGGCCAGGCCCAGCTGACACTTGCCAGACATCATTTATTTATCCAATTTATATGCTACCCTTCATCTGAGGATCACATGGCTGTTTACAATATAGAAATAAAAAAATACATAACCTAGTAACAAACAAAAATAATACCCTGCCACACAGTTAAAAAGGCCACAGATGGTTTAATCAGCCAAAGGCTTGGGAAAAGAGACATGTTTTCACCTGGCGACTAAAGATATGTAACTAAGGAGTCAGGTGAGCCTTCCTGGAGAATGTTTCACAAGCAGGGAGCCCCACTCTCAACCTTAGGACATGATATGGAGGGGAGGATAGCATCCCTCAAACTGTTCCATTCTCTGCCCACTGTGGCAGGCAGAGTTTAAGCTGCCCATACCTGAAAAGGAGGCTTTCCAACCAGACACTGATAGATCACTGTTCCGATACTCCAGAGGTCGGCCTTCGCATCATAGTGCTGCGACATGATCACTTCAGGAGCCTGAAAGATGCAAAGAGTGTGATCATGGGTAGGAGGAGGAGTTAGGCTAGCACCAGACCATGCCATTACCAAGGAAGTAGGTTTAGTCATTGTTTGAAGACTATCTCTACCTCCAGGTCTGGTCCTGACCAGAAAGATGCTGGAATCAAGGGTGAGCCACATGACCTTAAGGTGCTGCTGTGCAATGCCAGGGCAATGACCCACAAGATCACTGCCGGCCATGACTTGATCGTGGATGGAGGAATTGACCTGTCATGTGTGACAGAGACTTGGTTGGACGAGGCAGATGGGCCTGTTCTTGCCGCTGCTTGTCCACCAGGTTTCTCTTACGCACAGCAGCCCAGGTCATTTGGGTGGGGAGAGGGGGTTGCAGTGATCTTTAGGAAGTCATTAGCCTGCACCATGCGTCCTATTGGGAAGACCCAGTTTTCTGAGTGCATGTTCTGGAAGTTGGGCAATAGGGGCAGTACAGGATCCCTTTTGGTGTACTGACCTCCCTGCTGCACCAAGGATTCCTTGCCCAAGCTGCTTCGGGTCGTGACGGATGTTCTCCTGGAGACACCTAGTTTGCTTGTCCTAGGGGATTTTAACATCCATGCTGTCCCTGAATAAGTTTGGCCCAACTCATAGTTGCGGACATGCCTTAGACCTGGTGTTCATCTCTATGGACGTGGGTGATCTGACACTAAGTAAAAGCGAAACCGAAGGAAGTGCCACGGTCAGATCACTTCCTGGTGCAACTGGACTTCTCTGTGACCCTTCCCCTCTGCAGGGCGGTGGGGCGGAGTTTCACAAAGGGCGAGGCACCAAGAGAGAAGTGTCTAAGGGCTGCCTTCACACCAGCTTCTTTTTGCAGGATCACAGTTGGCTTGGTTTGCATTAGAACCTGAGTGGGGCCTCTGATAAGAGTTATTCTTCTGGGCCGGCTAAACCAGGGTGGGGGAGCACATTCCTCTTTCAAGACCAAGTTTCCCCTGAGATAACAGACACTGTGCCAAACATCGAATCTGCGGACTGGGAGAGCGCCAGCATCCTGCCTGGAACAGATTTTTCACTATCATGGCTGATCTACTGCTGCCTTTGCAATCTCCTGGTAAGTGTTACTTCCTGCTCCAAACACACCAATTTTCAACTCCAATTTTTACTTGGAGGAGGTAAGCAAATTAATCTCCTTTGCCCAAAGTCTTTCTCCTGCCATGCTATGTAGTGTCAGAGGGATGCCAGTCCCAAAATATATTGGGGGGGGTGTCCCCCAAGATGAGTAGGGAGGTGTATTCCTTTCCTTCCTCCTGAAGGTCCCCAGATGTTGTGACTTCAGCTCTTCTCATCCTCAGCCAGCTTAGTCAACCACGAAGGTTGAAGGATGCAGCACTTAGGGGACAAGACAAGCCACAGTCTCAGTTCCTTGTCTGCAGTATGGGGATAACAACACTGACTTATAAGAGTGTTGGGAAAACTTACCGATAATGCTTTTACTGATAATACAGAATGCTTTGGAGGCTGGTCAGAAAGCTAGATTATTGATATTCTACTCTGATTTTAATGGTGCACTGTGATTTGCAATGATTTGATTTACTGACTTTTTCAAAATGTAAACCGCTTGCAGACAAGAAACAGTGGAAGAACAAATTAAATAAAGACAAAAATACACAAATCTGAGTAGTATTACTGAAAATTCTCAGTTTAAGGCCCCACCTTTACCAAACATTTAAAGAATCTTGGGAACAGTAGTTAGTTAAGAGCACTCGGAGGTGTTAGGAGACCCCTTTTCCTTTCCCAAAGCTGCAACTCCCAGAAAGGTTTAAAAGTCAATGCCCTTTCCCAGGGAACCATAGGAATTGTAGCTCTGGGAGTAGAACAGGGGTTTCCTAACAACTCTCATCACCCTTTTAAAAAAAACTACGGTTCCCAGATTTTTTGGGGGAGGGAGATGACTATTTAAAATGGCATGATACTGCTTTAAATATATAGTGTGGATTCGTCCAAAGTCTGATGACAGCAATGAAAACTTAATGAGCTGTTACTCACCATGTACATAGGGGAACCACAGAGGGTGGCAGCCATCATGTTGCTCTGGAGATAACGAGCAAACCCAAAGTCAGCTGTTTAAAGGAAAGCATACATTTCTTTAACTACCTTTTGGTGGGTTTTATTTATTTATTTATCTATTTATCTATCTATCTATCTATCTATCTATCTATCTATCATGGACCAACTTGCTGCCCTTTTATGTTACAAAATACCACATATATGAAGGCTTCCAAAGCAAGGGCCCCTTTTGCCGTCTCCCCCAGTCGCAACGCACGCGGCTTTGGGGTCAGCAGAAACAGTTCTCTGTCAGCAGCTGAATGCATAAATGATTGATTCAAGAGCAATGAACGAAAGCACACCCAGTCTGCTTTGTTCCAAGTCACCACTGTAAAAAGAAACACACCTGTGGAATGTGGGGATGGTCCATACATTAGAGCCAGGGGTCCTCAAACCTGAGTCTCCAGGTGTTTTTGGAATACAACTCCCATCATCCCTAGCTAGCAGGGATGCATTATCATAGAATCATAGAGTTGGAAGAGACCGCAAGGGCCATCGAGTCCAACCCCCTGCCAAGCAGGAAACACCATCAGAGCACTCCTGACATATGGTTGTCAAGCCTCTGCTTAAAGACCTCCAAAGAAGGAGACTCCACCACACTCCTTGGCAGCAAATTCCACTGTCGAACAGCTCTTACTGTCAGGAAGTTCTTCCTAATGTTTAGGTGGAATCTTCTTTCTTGTAGTTTGGATCCATTGCTCCGTGTCCGCTTCTCTGGAGCAGCAGAAAACAACCTTTCTCTCTCCTCTATGTGACATCCTTTTATATATTTGAACACGGCTATCATATCACCCCTTAACCTCCTCTTCTCCAGGCTAAACATGCCCAGCTCCCTTAGCCGTTCCTCATAAGGCATTAGACTGAGGGGTAAAGCCAGACTGGTCAAGAAACAAGCACTCGAGAGGGTGCTACAGCCAATCACAGCTCTCCAATGAGCATCTCAGTAACAAATGCATAGGTTGGTCTTTTATGTTGCTGGGGGATCACCCAGAACAATTAAGACTTGGGTGGTGGGACACAGAGGTCCAGTTGAGCACTCACCATGCTCATCTACCCTTCTGTGCAGATGTAGAAAAGAGAAAGGCACGCAAATGAGCAGTAATGTCTCACAGTCGTTTCCCACCCTGCTGAGGCAGCGCACCAGGGCCGACTTACCTATCTTGATGCGTATGCCGCTGATGTTGGATTTCCTGCGGTTGGCGTACGACAGCAGGATGTTTTGTGGCTTGAGGTCCCTGTGAATTATCCCTTTGCTGTGGAGGATACGCATGGCAGCAGCAATCTGCTGCAGGAATATGCGGATGGTGTCTTCGCTGAGGGTTCCTTTTGCTGAGGGAAGGAAAGTACTTTATATCCCTTTCAGAGTCCTGGAAACTTCCTAGCGTGAACAGAACTCTTTGGGAAGCACTAAGCATGCGCTGAAGCTGCCCCACTGAATCCAAAGACGGCTTTAAAAATGCTTTGCTCCAGCAGGTACAAAATTCACTGGGAGATGGATGAAGTCAGTGTTGGGCACTTAAGGGTCCTGTTACTTTCTTTCAATGGGATACTTTTAAGAGCGTGCTTAAACCTCTCCCAGTGGAATCAACAGGATTTAAAGGACACTCGTGCTTTGGCTCCTATGTAACACCTGTATACAAAAGGCAGTTCCCAACTTTCTATCGCACTTGAGTGTGACCAACAGAAAAATTTGCTAAGACAGGCCCAAGAGAGAACGAACACAGGGAAGAAAAATACATTGGTCTTTGAAGGATGAAAAACACCCTGTTTCCCCTGCAACAGCTGTGAGGCAGGGATCAATTCCCAAAATTAAGCATTTCTGAATCACCATGCAGTCTGTCAGCTTATTATGCTGGTCACATGTAAACGAAGCATCTCTCCTCCAACTTATAGTCAATGGAAGAGGAATCTCTTCCCCTGGCTTCCAGCACCTCTTCTCACAAAGCCTTATCGTCTTCCTCCAAAGATTTCAGGAAACGGTTGGCACAAGATCCCAGGAAATCTAAACAAAGGCCTGCTATCTTGCAGACTCAATTCTACAACAGAGCACAATGTCTTGCACCATGCTGACCCTCCCCCGTGCAATTCCTTTTTTAAAATGTATATGGAGAAAGCATGACTGACAGGAAACGGGTGCCAATTTTAGCTTGAACTAGTTTACTGGCGGCTTTGAAAACAAAAGGGTATTAAAATACACAGCCAGAAAACAAACTCCCTCCAGCCAGTCATAAACTTTGCAGGAAAAGGGACAGCCACGGGGCAGCGTCACAGCACTCCAAGGCTTCTGAGCCATGAATTAAGAACCACAAGCAATCCATTACCTTGTAAGTAATCTGCCAGGTCTCCGCCGTTGCAATACTGCCCAAGAGAGAAAGGAAATGGGTTAGTATCAGATTTGCGGGTGTCTGCACTTCTCAGCCTGCTTGTGCACAAGGCCCACAATAGACCTAACATACCATGGCACAATCAACTGTATCAGGATCTTCCCCCAGGCTTGGGTAATCCTTTCCCTTCCTGCACATAGATATCCCTGCCACAATTTAATTTTCTGAGCTAACCATGGAGCAGCTACATTTGGACTGGCAATTTTCACTAAACCGTGGCTAGGCCACACCACCAGTTTCCAGCCCTTGTAGCAGCAGCAGCAGTAGTAGTAGTAGTAGTAGTAATGACAATAACAACAACAACAATAATAATAATATAACCTGTATTTGGAATTGACCATAATTTGTGAAAAATGCTAATGTAGATACAACTCAGCATCTTGGCTCCATTCTGAAAAGTAAGGGGAGGGGGACATTTCCAAACCAGACAGCAGAGGGGGCATACGAGTCTCTTCATTGATGGTTAGGAGATCAGGAACTGCTCCATTTGTAGGAAGCCTGAGTGTTTCATTATCTTAAAAATCAGTGTGTGTATATTCAAATACATTTCCTATTATTCATATTTAACTAATTTTGGAGAGTTAACAGACATTTTGGTTAAGAATCACAGGTATTGTGAACGAAGCTGCTATGTAATTTATGGAACTCACTAAATCATAAGTCTATTTTAAGTGCATCTGAAATTAACAACCCAGGTTGTATTACTTATTTATTTCATAAAATGTATCATTTGATATTTTGTGCTTGTGTGTGTACACGTACACACCCACACACACCCAAGTGGTTAATAGCAGTTCTCCAAGTCATTCAGCAAGGCAATGTGAAGCTATATTAGTTGTTTCTCTGGGTAAAGGAAAGAATGCTCTCAAGCCACAGATGAACAAATACAAATGAGAGACAGAACTTTTTATTTATTTTTTAAGAGAAAGAGAGCCTGCTGCTACTCGATGCAAAGGAGAAAGCACTGGAAATATGTACGCTGTTTTCTGCCAAAAGTTTAGGGAAGCCATAGGGTTTAGAAGAAGAGACTAAAATGCTTGGCACAACACCCTGTTCTCAGCTGCAAACTTCCAGGTCTGGAAAAACCCTGTGGTGTCTTTATGCTTTGGGAATTTGGAAGCTTACAGCAGTCACTGGTGAACGTATTCTTTTTAGGAATATTGCAGGTCTGCTTGAAGTTCTGCCATTAACCACCCCATGCCCACAGCTCAACAGGATGTCATCAGTGACAAATGGCTCCTACTAACAGCCTCTCCAAACACTGAGCTTTGAAATTCTCATATACGTTGGCTTCAAAAAAGAAACCATAATACTGAGTATCTGGTGTTCTTTCCTGTACAGCAAAGCCTCTTACATCTTTGCTCAACCTCCATCACTTCCCCCCTCCCTAAACTCTCCATTTTCTTTCTTTCAACTTTGACACAGCTGACGTGGGCTGTAGGAAGAGGACATTCAAGAACACACCATCTTTAGTAACTGTATTTTAACAACTATAGCACCATGAGCACAGACGGAACCTCTTAACTCAGACGTGGTCTGCACATCATTGTAAACCATAGTTAAAAGATAACATACGGTTTAACGTGAACAGGCAGTGAGGTGGTGCATGCAGCTGAAACTGGAGGAGCTTCACTCCTCCCCCTTGAATGCTGCACCAGGAGGAAACAAACCACAGTCTGGCTTTCTGTTGCATTCAAAACAGTGCATGTAGTCTGTTTCTCCTACACAACCCAAGGGTTCTGCTCGTGGTTTGTCTGGAGATAAGCAAACCACGAGACAGGAGACACACATAACGACAAGCAGAATGATAGCTTGTCTTCTTTCCCCTCATTGGCGTGCCAGGAGAAGAGCAACTCACTGCAGCATGCAAGTCGAATAATGCTTGTTCTTGTGAAGACCACAGTTTATTTTAACCATATTTTCATGTGACACGCGAACTAGATTAATACGTGGGCAGCAGGAAACAACGGAGCATGCCCTTCTTCATTGCCAGTATTATATAGACATTCGAACTAGGTTTATCCAGCCCATCTTATATGTTTCCTGGGCGTTCAGAACAACACAACATCTCCCTATTACTACAGGAAGAGAGCCCAGAAGTCACATATTCAGTCGCCAGATTTTGCGCTGCCATGATAGATATTTGACGAAGAATGATCTATGCTACAATTCAATCCTAAACTGAAGGCCCATATTGTTAGATCCGCACTTCTGAAGCCCACCCCATATAGCTGTGTTAACTGATCTTTTAATTTTTCTTATAAATTTTTACTCACCCATTATCTATGCTTAATTAAGTATTCTATGTATATGTTTAAATCTACGTTTGGTTCTAGCTCCTATTTATTTAATAATTATTCGCTTGGATCCATACTGTTATGCTATTTGTGTATATGTTTTGCTTATGCTGGTCTATGACCGTAATAAAGTACTTGACTATGTGCAATATAAACATAGGTCATTCTAACTGCACACTTTGGGTGGCTGGGATGGGAAGTAGCACACATTCTCTTGTTTGATTTTACAGCTAAACAAGGCAGGCTGCAGTTTGTTTGTATGGCATTTCAATATAAAAAGAAAAATACTAAAATCCATCAAAGGAGAAATTAGAAAATTCAATACACACCTCCATTACCAGAAAGACAGAATTGGGCATCTCCTGAAAGAGAAGCAGAGAAATTTCTTATTTAATAATAGGAACAAAACTAAAGAGTCAGACCATTGGCCCCATTTACTTCAATATTGTCTATACCAGGAGTGTCCTGCCCCCCCAATGGGTAGATCACTGCCACTCCCCCCCCCCAGGAGTAGATTGCAGTTAGTTGGGAGTTGGACGTCCCTGATCTATACTAACTGGCAGTGGGCTCTCCAGGGTTTCAGGCTGCGAGTCTTATCCCAGCCCTACCTGAGGCTTTTGGGTTTTGGGTTTCCACATGCAAAGCAACAGCTCTGCCACTTAGCTGTGGCCCTTCCGCAAAGGAAGCAGATGATGATATTATTCAAAAACGAATTCTAACCTGATGTCTCAATAAGCACTAGCAAGGACATACACACACAAGTGCTCAACTCAAGACTTTGCCTCAAACCATAGTTAAGAAAGCTTAGGCTTAAACTTTGGCACAACATATGAACTGCCAAACCAGATTTTTGGACTACGACTCCCATCATTCATGACCACTGTCCATTTTGGTTGGGGTTGCTGGGAGTTGTAGTACAGAAGGTCCAGAGGCTAAGGGGAGGGCCTATTAAGATCTTCTTCCTTAACTGCTGGGGAAATCCTTCCTAGTTTTCATAGCTGTTGCTCTCACATTTTTATGGCTATGGTATGAGCCGTCTCTTTTAAAGGTGGTGTATGCAAGAGTATGAATGTGTGTGTGGAAACAGAGTCAGAGATGGAGAGATATCCAGAAAAAGAGAGATTCCTTCGTGAAGAAGCTGCCATATGTGGGCAGGAGACACAACATGGAGGCAGTAGGACCCTGCCCATGTGTTCCTGGTGCTTAATTCATATACTAAGTGGCACAAGGTGAGAGCTGCTAAAGTCCCACTAATCTGCAAACCCAAAGCAGCCTTATTTTTATTTTTTACAGACTAACAGCCTGGTACTTTACACATGAACAGAAAATATACCATAAAATTTGCCAACCACTTATGCATTACAGCTTTATCTTGTTGTTAATGAAGGAAACATTAGCCCCTCTCTCTAGGAATCAATCAGTTTCCTTTGTGTTTTTTCTAGGAATGCTTTTTCTCTCTCTTACCGCTAGCATAAAGGATAATTATTTGAAATACTTCCAGAGAGCCTGACTGTGATGAGCAAAGTGAAGCTGAGAGACTGGAGTGAGCCATACAAAAAAACACAATTCTGTTTTCAGATGTTAGGCCTGGAGCTTCAGAACCAGAAGAGACAGTCACCGTTCAGCTCTTTTTGAAGAAGGCTGCTTGCTTTCCCCAGCAAAGGAAGCCACAACAGATCCCACCTCTTAGAAAGCTCAAGGTTAGCAAAGGCACCTTCTGTTGAGGCTGCCAAGACCTGGAATAAACTCAGGCGTTCAAGTCGCACAGCCCAAACATTCAATTCAAGCTCCCCACATGCTCTGGGAAGCTGGCCGCCGAAGCAAGCTCTGGGCACAGAACACCCTTGTGGCCCAGGAGAAATCTGATACAGCAACAGAGCTGAGATACCTCCCTACTGGCTTGACCTCTCCTGACTCATCTGGAATCCAGACTGTGGGGAGTGGACTGCTCCAAGGACAAAAATCCAACTGTAAATTTGGCTCACAACCTCCTGGGGACCAGCAGCAACCTTTCCCTCTGTCCCAAACAAACAGCAAAAACCGCATTTGGCAGTTGGGACCCACATACGGCTGCAAACAAGAGCCTCTGTGGACACACAGCATGTACAGCAATGGATTCAAATCCAGGGCTCAGATCCTGTCACAGCCATGAACTGGTAGGGCAACCTTCGCAGCACTGGCACTGCTTCTGTCAAACTCAAACTGGCACTACTTCTGTCAAACTCAAACTTCTCGTTATTAAGTAGTAAGCAGCAGCTACAACCTCAGCAGCCCCAGGGAAGTTGCTAGGCTAGCTCTCAGCCTAGGTCAGGCGTTGCCAATCCGTAGGCACAGTGACACCTTTGAGGTCTCGCCCCTGGTGCCCCTGACATCTCTTGAGTCCCCTCACTCACTGCTCCCTTGCTCATGAACTAGTGAGGTTGGCTGCTTTTTTGTCCCTTGAAAATTATATAGACACTCTTTCCCAATTCATCTTTCACCTCTATGTGCTTTTAGAGACTCACTCATTCTATTGCATCTAACTTTTACCAAAATTCCTTGGAAAAGCAAAGTGTTGTGTACACACACATACACATTTTCTTTCTCTCTCTTTTTTTTTTGGGGGGGGGTGGAGTGGGGAAGAGGAAGGAGCTTATCTGGGGAAGCGGAGGGCCCAAAGAGGGCACTCACTCAAAAATCCAAATGCGCCCATGGACCTAAATAAAAAAGATTGGTGACCCCAGCCCACTCTGGCAGCACCACTACCGGATTCTTTCTTCAAGATGCCAAGGACTGAACTCAGGACCTTCTGAAGGGAAAGCGCAAGCTCTCCCAACAATTACCCCTGGGACCACCCCACAGTAGCTGGGATTGTCATTTTTCATTCAACCCTCTGCCTCCATCAGGGCAGGAATCTCGCTTATTTTGCTGCTATGGATCTTTTAGTGGGAAGGGGGGATAAGAATGGCCCATACACAGTATAAATAAGTACATATGCAATATACACACATTTGGAGGCGCAGTAGACAGACATATTATTAGCTGAAAATAAACCATTTATTCTCAAAAATAGAAATAAAAGCACAAAGGCCCTGATAACTGCATAATCTAAATGACAAGGCTTTATGATAAAGAGGAGAAACAGCTTACATAAGTGCTCTGGATAATTCTAGTTATAGCCGATCCTGTAAGTGAATGCAAAACCCTGGAGTCTATTTCTAATGCGCTCCCTGGCTCCTTTATTAAAGGCAGATGCCTTTCTGCAGATGCCTCAAAATGGGCAGCACACATCCAATGGTGCAGTGAAGGTGGCCACTGCTACAATGTCACCTGTCAGTCTAACATGGTGGGCATCCTATGCCCCACTAACAGCAACATCAGGTACGTAACACTGGGTGTGGGGAAGCAACATCCACTCATCAAGGGGCACCTGGAATTGACACTGTTGTCCACCAAGTGCATGGAACACACCAACCAATATGCAGCAATGACTGCAATGACATCACTTAATCCATTCCATACTCTCTACCCCAGGCTTGTCAACCAGAGAAGGTAGCCCATCTATGAGAAGGAAAACTCTTGATCCTAAACCTCCTCTGCCTTGTGGGTTATCTTTGGGAGATACACAAATCTGGGGTGGAGTCCCTAAGACGCCATGTATGCCTCCTTCTGGAAACTCTGGCAGCCAAGCAGGTGTCCAACGTATTGCTCTACTTTCCTTTGGACTACATCAGCAAGGCCAAGAGGTGGGTCTTGTTGTCTGGGCAGTCCAGGACTTTGATACACACTGCCTAGGCTTGTACCTTGGGGAGGTCACTTTGGCGCTGCTAAGGCAGAGATTTGACTTCACCTCCAGAGGCACACTCCATTGTCTCCTCAGACAGACATACACAACCCTCCTCGCACACAGTGAACATGCATGTACCAAGTCCACATCTTCCCCTCCACCCCAACCCAGCTAAAGCTACAGTCCAGCAGTTAGGAAGTCAGCAAGCCAGGCCTAACGCTATGAACACCAGCCCCATCTCCCACCCCGGGCAGCCCAGACACAGCCAATCAACTTAGGGAAATAAACTAGGAAGAAGAGGAATAACCCTTCAATCCAAACAATGTGGTAACGCCACAGCCCAGCAGTTAGGAGGGCCATGCAGACAGAGACAAAGTTGCCGTCGCCACCAGCAGTGGTACTGGTTCTTCCACACAGAGTGAGCTTAGAACGCTGCATGTAACATTTTCTGTATTGCAGTGTTTGGGGTGGGGCAGGCAACAGCAAGCACTTTTGGGAGTGAACCATTTGGCTAAGGAAGACTATAGTTGCGGACTCACTCGAGTGCTCACCTGTGGGATGTGGAAATGCAGCAGCTGTGGCAAAGAAGGGGGCTACTGTGTTCTTGTCTTTCTTGTGGGATTCACAAGGGCTTCCGATAAGCCGTTGCAAAAACAGGATGTTTGACTAGATGGGCCCTTGGCCTGACACAGCAGCTGGGCTCTTCTTGTATTCTTAAAAGCCTACTTTTCTGGCAGCCTGGCTGACCCAACAACATTCTTTGTTTACAAGCAACTTTTCACTGGCAAGATCTTCTATTTCAAGGAACTGTGCATTGAAGGGGGTGGACTAGATAACCATTGGGTTCCCTTTTCAACCCTACAATTCTATGCTTATGCCTAGAACATCAAAACCCGAAACCCATCAAATATTGCAATCTACGAACCTGGACATTACTATTATTATAGCAACAAGCGTCGTAAAAAAAGGAGACTTCAGACAGTGCTAAAGAAGCTTAGAGGGGCCCAACCAAAAGGGAGGGGGGATACTGCTGGAACAGCAAGAGGGTTGAGAAGAGGTAAAGCGATGTAACGGGGTTGCTATGGTCTCCCAAGGGCCTAGACCAGGCCTGACCACACTCTCCCCTTCCTTCCGATGGCTAGGAAGAATTCCCAGCTCAAATGGAAAACACAGACGTCACAGAAAGTGGTCCCAGCTGTGACCCCTGGCACAAGACTGCAAGGAGACAGGGCTGGGAAAAGATATCTCTGAGACTGTGCCATAATTCAGCCAAGCAGGGCAAGTGGCACTTGGGACCAAGAATAGCCACATTTATAGAATGGTCTTACTCAAACTACATCCCAGGATGCCTTGTATCTTACCCAGATGCCATTCTCTTTCCTGTCCCGCAGTTCATTTGGGTCAACTGCCAGTATCTGTTGGTTATTTTCCTGGCAAATTTTGGGATTGCAGCTCTGTGCCTCCTGAATACAGCCAGTCTGATTGCCACCAGCGGTTACCACAAGGGGCATCTCCCCCCTCAAATGCACACACTTTTGCTGTTACTCCAGGGTGCTGTAACTGTGTGAACGACGGGAAGCCACCGCTCCTCTCCATGGGAAGACAGCCAAGGGAAGTAACAGATCAGGGGAAAGGAGCCTGTCTGCTGGCTATCACAGCTGAACCAGTCAAAGCTTTCACTGAACAGCACCAATGGTAGAGGCCCGAAGGCACCAGAGAGGGAGCCAAATTTTCTCTGTCCTCGCATGGCCTCCAAGGAGCAACAGATAAATATTTCCCTGCTGCTGCACGCCCATCCTCGGGTAGTGCCGCACCCAGTTTACATTACTCTGTTTTCCTGGAAAGAAAAGAGGAGCCAACAAAGAACTGGCTGGAGAGCAGAGGAGTTGGGCAAGTCCTTCAACCAGCCTCTCTGAAGCAATGGAGCAGTGTTGTTTACTTCGCAAGACTTCCTGCGAAGAAAGCGAAACTTCTAGGAAAGCAGATATCCTTGGGGATTGGAAGGCTGGCTCATACAAATGAGGATAGAGACAGAAATCAGTGGATGATTGAATGAAAGGATTCCTCCTGGTCACTCTGTTTGCTTGCTTGCATGGAGCAGATGCATCCTGTCCAAACTGCCCTTGGCCCAAACATCTTGCCAGCAGTAAACTTGTGGGACTTTTATCAGGAGACCAATCCATTAAATCTGAGAGGCAGAGCCATTCACTCATTCCAGTAACTAATGTTTAGGACAAGGGGTTCACTTTTCTTTTTAACATCACCCTCTCATTGCCTCTTTTCTTCTGTCCGACTAAACTCATTCACAGCCGCCTTGGAAACAGTTTTCAGGAGAGTTGTTCAGGATTACGCAGAGCAGAATGTTGAATTGCACACAGCTTCACCAAAACACAACGGGCAAGGCTGCAGGTGTGCTTTGCCAGTACAGGAAGATGCTCCCTTCTGTGTCAAGACTGCATGGATTCTCCAGCCCTATCTGGACAAGCTGGATATTGAACCTGGGATCTTCTGAAAGCACAGCATGTGCTCCTCGGCTGAACAATGGCTCTTCCCTGCAACAGAGAAGTTGCAGTATTTTCTTCCTGTAAAAGCCACGTGCCCGGGTTCCCACCAGAACTGAACACAAGCAGGGCCCATAACTAGATCTCAAATGGTATGCTTCAGCCTTCAAATGTATAAACAAGGCCACATGCAAAGTGCCCTTCCCTCGCAGCCGTACAAACCAGGAGCAACAATGACACCTTTTAACTTTTTTGTTCTATTGAAAATCACCTGGTGAGGGCTTTGCTCCAAGAGGCAGGATGCAATTTAACAAGATTAACTCAAGTCCTTTGGGCAGAGGTCGTCAGCTGCATAAATCTGGTTTTGGACACCTCCTTCAGATTTACTGACGTGAATGTTCTATTGAACTGTGTGCCGGTCCTTTGGAACCTGACAAGGGGACAATATAAGTGACTTCTAGGGGCACTTATGGTGACTTAACGCCTAATGCTTCAATACTGGAAAGAGGCTACTGCCCCCAATGACACAGAAGACATGACTCAGCTGGCAGTATATGAGATAAAGGTGCTCCTCTAAACACAAGAAAGGCAGGAAGTTGTCTGTTATATAGACTCTATATATAGATCTATTTGCTTGGATGTCTGAGCACCGGGTTCATCTGGACCATCAGATGTCTCACACAATCCCCCTTATTTATATGTACAGAACACATTGTCTTGATTTATTATGGTTAAGTTTGTATTGTTTGCCTTTGTTTTTGTTCCTTTTTGAAAAGTTCAATAAGAAACTCTTAATAAAAACAGACGTAGGTAAGGCTCAGCCTTCTTCCTTGCCATGACCACCCAGACATCCAGGAAGCAAAGAGTAATAAGCTGGGCTTCACCACATTTCCCAGAGCTGCAGCTACTACCTCCATGCATGGCTTGCGATTCTGAGATTCCCAGCCTTAAATCATCTCTGCATCTAACATGCCCTGGTGCAGTAAAACTGAGGCGAAGTGCACACTTTGGTTTTGCATGTTCTCCATTGATCGTGAATGAAACGGAGGCCGTGGCCACACTCTTCCTTCAGCAAAAGAGAAGTGGCACAGAATGTAGTAATGGGAGTGGAATCCAGCTTTCTTCCTGCCTAGGTTACTAAAAATACCAAGTTTCTAAGCCTTATGACTCCACAGACATGCTTGAAAATAAATGCGAGTCATGCCTGCTGCAATCTCAACAATGAGAGAGTGTTTGTGTGTACGTGAACAAGATCTCTGGTGGCTGAAGGTTCAGTGCCCTACATAGCTCCATTACCCTACATCAGCCTTCATCCACCTGGTGTCCTCCAGATATTTAGGACTAGAACTCCCAACAGCCCCAGCTGCCAAGCACTGATGGGTGTTAAGAACTTAAGAAGAACCTGATGGATCAGACCAGTGGCCCATCTAGGCCAACATCCTCTTCTCCCCTCTTGCAGTTTCCAGCAACTGGTATTAAGAAGTATTGTTTTCTCCAACTGTGGAGGCACAGCACAGTTGCTATGGCTAGTAATCAACAGGGATGGATGATATATCAATATATTGTCCAAAACCCAGTTTGAAGTTCATATCATGATATTGGTTTCATAATATTTGACCCAGCAATATACTGTGAATCGTGTGTGTGTGTGTGTGTGTGATGCAAAAATCACGATGCAGGAAAAAACCATGAAGCCAGCCAATGCCTCTACATAGCTCCATCCTTATTTCAGACATTGTGATATGTTTGGCTGGTGATATATCACAATGTTGAAAACCAGATATTGCCCAGCTCTAGTCATCGGCAGCCTTATCCTCTATGGATTTGTTCAATCCTCTTAAAGTCATCCAAAGTGGTGGCCCTCCTGTGGAAGCAAGTTCCACATGTCTTAACTATGCTCTGCATGAAGAAGTACTTTCTTTTATCTGTCCTGAATAGACCAACACTGAACTTCACTGGATGCCCAATTGTTCTAGTGTTATGAGAGAGGGAGAAAAAACATTTCTCTAGCCACTTTCTCCATGCTATGCATAATTTGATAAAGGGTTATAGCCCCAAACATCTGAAGGGTGCCAGGTAGAAGGCGGCTTGCCCCACACCCTTTAAGTGGCAAACCTAGCTTATGTCTTGCAAAACAAAAAGTGTGCTGTTACAATGAGGAAAAATGATGCACAGTTGTTAAATTTAACTACAGTACAAGGATGATCTAAACAAAAGGACCATCCCAGAATACACAAGCTCAAGCTCAGCTGACAGTATTAGTTCCTTCCCACTTTCTGTTCCTCATGGGTGGCATTTCTATGAACTCCTGAGGGTGCAGCGCCTTCTTTGTTTACCATTATTTATACAGCACTGTTCACACACACACACAAAAACTCCACATCCAACAGGATGCTCCACCTTGACAAAAAAGGCAGAAACCACACCGTCCTCAAAAGGAGAAACATCTCAGGGACTTCTGGTCTGCTTCACCAGGGATAAAGGGCGATGCACATCGTCAGTTTTTCCTACCAAGCTGGCTGCCAGCCACAGACAGTTTCAAGACTCCTAACTGCCCGCCAAAAAAACGACTGCGGCTGTGGCTGCTCCAGCTGACGTGCCAAGATGATTGACATGCAGGACCAAGGCATAAATTCCTGCCAGTTATGGGAACGCTCACTCAAAACATGTGTTGCCATGGCACATCCCTGCGCGGAACACGGGCTTCACAGGGGGACAGCAGAGGCTGCGTATTCAACTGGGAATGAATGCGACCGCAGCTCAGCGGGTAGGACACTTGGCATTGCATGTAGAAGCTGCCAGTCAGCCTCCAGATAGAAAGAGCGCGAGGGAACAAGCAATGGGGAAAAATCCCTCTCTGCTAGAAACACACACATACACACAGAGCTGCTGCCAGTCAGAGTAGACAGTACTGGGGACGGATGAATAGTCTAACCTAGCATATGGCAATTCCCAATGTGAGGAGATAGAATTGTAGTGATGGATGGGATCCCATGGGTCATCTAGTCCAATCCCCTGCAAAGCATAGACAATGGGCCAGTCAAATAATGGATACTTCCATGGGATATCTGCCGAGCCTGCAGACATCTCCAAGTGGCAAAGGTTACCGCCTAAGACTACCTATGTACTTAAGGACAGCTGGAACTGTTCATCAAGTGGCAAAGATAAGGGACTGCAGGTTTCCGATCCATGTCTAAATCTTGGGGCCTTCCAATATTATATCCTGAGGGAAGCATTTATGGTATATAGAACGCTTCCCTAGAAGGGGATGTGAGGTCAACTTAGGGCACACATTGTTCATTGTGCTGGGTGAGAAGGTTAAGTTGGACTGGTTGGTTGGCTGGTTGGTTGTCCTAAAGTAAATGAGTACAAGTTTTAGGACATGCCTCATAATCCGCTGTAAACAAAGGCTGTTTTACTAGGTTAGGGAAACCTGGGTACACTAACGATTTAGCCAAGAAATCAGAAGAAGACTGATCGCAACTAGGCACCCAGTTTATGGAACTCCCTATCCCACTGGGTTCAGTAATGCATGATACTTGTTGGGTGATCATATGCCGAGAAGCGTTTATTGTTTCATGAAGAGCTTATCTGTGAGTCTGGTGAGGCTAAGAAAGTCTCCTATTATTTTGCCAAGTTGCCCCTTATATTAGCAACTCGGGAACAACATTCCTTACTTGTCTCCTTCACTCTCTGCCAAACAGATTCCCCTGTCCCCTTCCTGGACCAAAGATGTACACTGCTTGTAGGCAGAGATGTATTCACTACCATCCAAGCAACAAAATTTGCTCTGGAAGGTACGAAAATACAAGTCATGCTCCAAAAAACTTCGTACGGTGGGTATATAATCATAGAACTGTAGAGCTGGAAGGGACCCCAAGAGTCATCTAGACCAACCAATCCTGCCCACAGCTGCATAGCTTACAATGCGTGAAGAGGTGTGATTTAAATGGGGGGGAGTATTGCTTTTTTGTTTCTCTCCCCCCCCCTTTTATATGCTATATTTATATTGTGGTGACCTATGGCTATAACAATTATGCTTTATTCAACTGATCTATAGCCTTAATAATAATTCCACCACCTTTCCATCCCCCAGCCTGCCTTCGGTTTTTCTTCAGTTGCTTGCACTCCTGAGACAGGGACAGGCTCTCCTTGCAAAATGCAATTAACTGCAGCCCCCAGCTGCTCAAGATGCAGAGAATGACCGCATGAAAATCAACAGCAATTATCAGCCCTGCTTTTGTGCAATGCTCTCTGACTGTCAAGCGATGCACAGACATTAATGGCTCACCAATTCACCGGGGTGCATTTCCAGATGAATGAACCTTGTTTGCATTTCCCCCCACCCCACCAGTGCTTCCTTGAGCCAGGCTAAGTGATGCATCAAGCCCTCTGAGTTTGGCTGAAAGCGAAATACCGGGTTTCCAGGTGTCTGTGGGCTCAGACAGCTCAGCTAATACAAATCAAGGCCCGTGAAAAAAAAATTGCAGGGGAAGTATACAAGCTCACTTAATGAGAATGTGATCAACCTGGAGCAGGCTTTCCTTTTTGTTCCAAGCATTTCAAACTTCTGGGGGGTTTAGGGAGGGGACTAGATTTATTACTATCTATCAGTGACACCAGTCAGCAGCTTAATATGCTAGGGCACCAAACTGAGCAGCAGGTAAAATCTCTCAGCGCATCCTCCAACCCACTGTGCACAACAAACTTGTGTTTTTTACTGGTTATGGATGGCTGTGCTCTAGCCTCCAAGATCAGAGGCTGTATGCTTCTGAATACCACTTACAGGAGGGGGGAGTGCTATTCCACTCAGGTCCCACGTGCCTGTTTCCCAGTGGTGATATCTGGTTTGCCATTACAATAACAGGACACTAGACTAGATGCGGGCAGCAGACTCTTATGTTCTCGGGGTTCACCTCTACACTTGACCTTCCCATTTCTTCTGGTGTTCTCATCAGAAGAGCTTGGCAGCTGGATCATAGAATCATAGAGTTGGAAGAGACCACAAGGGCCATCGAGTCCAACCCCCTGCCAAGCAGGAAACACCATCAGGGCACTCCTGACATATGGTTGTCAAGCCTCTGCTTAAAGACCTCCAAAGAAGGAGACTCCACCACTCTCCTTGGCAGCAAATTCCACTGCCGAACAGCTCTCACTGTCAGGAAGTTCCTCCTAATGTTTAGGTGGAATCTTCTTTCTTGTAGTTTGGATCCATTGCTCCGTGTCCGCTTCTCTGGAGCAGCAGAAAACAACCTTTCTCCCTCCTCTATGTGACATCCTTTTATATATTTGAACATGGCTATCATATCACCCGTTAACCTCCTCTTCTCCAGGCTAAACATGCCCAGCTCCCTTAGCCGTTCCTCATAAGGCATCGTTTCCAGGCCTTTGACCATTTTGGTTGCCCTCCTCTGGACACGTTCCAGTTTGTCAGTGTCCTTTGGATCAGACCAAAAGTACACCCAAGCCCAGCATTCCGTTGCCAAAGTAGCCAACCAGGTGCCCCAATGGGAAGCCAGCAAGCAGGATCTGTCACCACAAGTGGAATCCAGAAGGTAAGAACTGGGGGAAATATGCTCATCAAGCAAGTGACGCTCTCTAAATTATTATTATTTTACTAAACAGGTATTATAGGGAAGGTTTATGTATTTATTTGTATTTAATTCATGAGTCACCTAATTAAGCAAATATTTTCGAGGCAACAAGGCTGTGCACTTGTTCTCTTCCCATCTTTCTAGAAAGAGGTAAAAGGAGAGCTGGGACTGGGGAAGAGACAGTCAATAGACTAAGGAGCATGCTGCAGGCTTGTTCTGGCCTGGAGGTCACCAGTTGCTTGACAGTTACAGTGTTCACACATAACACTAAGCTAGGCATGGTCTTATTGTTCTGCTTTGTTCTCCTTCCTGGCACAAGCCAAGAAGCCTCAGCTTCCCATTGCATCCAGCCAAAGACCGTTAATGGTTGCTCCCTAGCAACCCACAATCAGCAAGCCAACAACAAACAATGGCTTCAGGCTGGCTAGTGATTGTGGTTTGCTAAGGAGCAAAAAGCCACAGGCTGAAGTTCAGAAATAATGGGAACCAGGGATTCTGGTTTTATCCTGCATGCACCAGGGAGTTTTTCCAGTAAGGACTTGGTAAGTGATACAGACCATTCATAAAAAAAATGAAAAAGACCCTCAACTGAATGCTTTCCCACAAGCAGATCGGCTGAATGATTCATTCTACAAAGCACTTTATATTTGAAGTTGCCCAAAACATGAATGCTGGCTGTTTGAATAGAATGGCGTGGGTGGGATCTATCCTATGTCAAGTCAATTGAAAAACAGCATCAGCACTGGAGGGAAAGAGAGAATTTAGCGGGGAGGGGAGAGAATTAAGTGGGGGGGGGCTGGCCAACATTCAACTCCCCTCCTCCAGTTTTATCTGGTTATCAGTTTTTCCACCTGAAGCTTTTGCAAGAGGGACAGGCTTTCAAACACAAAGTTAACCAATCTGTCAGAAGAGCACACTTAGAACAGAAGCATGTTTTTGTGTTAGATTGCTTGAAGTTAATATGAATGAATGACATGTCCTCAAAAAGGAAGAGGGTTGCTCTGTGGCATCCTGAAAGCTACGTTATTCTGAACAACTGACTACACCAGTTCTGATGACAATACTTATTTTCTACATTGCACTCTTTGATTCTAGACCATGTAGGCAAAGTTAAGTCCAATGTTATTAGCTAGCCTGACCAGATGTACCTAGGTCAACTAGTATCAGCCACTCCTATTATATTTTAGAATAAATCAATCTGTTAACTGAGGGTTATATGGGGGCTCTTCCTGTATACAAAAACTTCCAAAACAAGGCAACCAGGCAGGGGGCTATTTGCCTCTTCTGTGCAGAACACATCACTGTTTCATTGTCTGTAATTCTGTGTGGGACAGCGGAAGTTGATCACTCTAGGAAGAACAGGCATTTTGTTGAAAAGGAATTATTTCCAAGCTATTGTTGGGGACTTAGTGAAAGAGGACCTGGCAATTACCTGTTTCCAGCATCTACAAGCAGCCACGTGGTATGGTTTACTCTACCAAACCTGTGGGGTGAAGTGACCTGAATCAATGCAGTGTGGGCAGAGCCCTATGGTAATAAGAGGGGAGGAGCACCAAGGAAATCTCCATCCTCCACACCCAGGTTCACAATGAGAAACATGGGTGGAGCTACAGCAGAGGTTCTCCTCTTAGCCCTGGCTTTCCCCCTGAAAGGCTGTGCAAAGGGGATGCAGGAAGCGCACGGTCTGGGGAGGGAACAATGACAAAGCTAACCAAAGCCCAGCTATGGAGTCATAATCATTCTTTGCAGGCTGTAAAAACTTCTTACTGCTGATGACAAGCGCCGTTTCATTTAAGTCTGGCACCACAAAGCCTTGTTTTTGTTGACTGCAATGCTCTTTTCGCACATCAATTTCACAGAGACCAATTCCCTCTGCCAAGCTGCAGTGTCCTGCCAAGTATTACGTTTCCTTACAAAACTGTGCATGAAATATATTCAAAAAGGTATGACATTCACATATCCTTTCCTCCAGCAAACTGGAGTTTTTCAAAATCAAGTCCAAGGCTGGAAGGAAAACACTACTTTCCCTCTCACCTCCCTTGTCCAGCCCTGCCATTAAGACTCATGGGTACCATGAGCAAGTTTTGCTAAGCTGGCAGCTGTTCAGCTCAGCCCAGGAAAAAAGATGGTGCCTCCCAAACAACCTTTATGTAAGAAAAAGCAAAGCTGTTACAAGCAGGAGATGGAAACAGATCTTTGCTATATTTCTCAAACTGAAGAGTGCAAAGAATTAGTCAGAAAGGGCAGAACTGGCCATGCAAGGAGGACAAGTGAGATCAGAAGGGACTACTTGTGCTAAACAGCAAAGCAAATGCTTGACTGGAATCTCAGCAGCTATGACACTCTTCTGTCGAACAGACTGCTGGAGCAGAGAATAGCAAGGAAAGAAATGACACCTGCTAAATTCCACCATGTGAGAAGCTGCTCCCAGAAATGCGAGGCTCCCTTCTGAAACAGCCTTCTTCAGCCATCCGCAAAAAGTTTGTCGTTCACCAGCCCCAGGGCTCTTACTGGCAACTGCTGTTAAAAGCACCTGGAAGGCTCCAGGCTCTTGTAGGCTGCTGTCCTAAGGCCTAATTGTCACAAACAAGAGATGAGGAGGAACACCCTGTGCCTGAGCCATATATTAGTTGAGACTAGATGCTCATTCATAAGCAAAGGCATTCCTTGCTGCTACTCATGCTAGCTGAAGACTAGATGCTGAGAAGAAAAGTTTCCTATCTAATTTTCTACATGCAGGGAGATGAATGCGTATGTGTACAGATTCACTGTGGTGCGTTTTGGGAGGAACCACAGAACAGCAGCAGAGCACCTGCTTGGCATACAGAAGATACCAGGTTTAATCCCCTGAATGTCCACTATGAAGGGCCTCCAAGCAGGAGGCTGCTAGGAAAGACCCTTCTCTATCCAACACCTTGGAGAGCTGCGGCCAGTCAGAGAAGACAATACCTGGCTAGTCTGATCCTAGGCTCCTAGGGCAGCAGAACCTATTTCCTGACAAAATGTAAATTGGAACAGGCAAAGAGACAAATGTCAAATGAAAAGGGACTTGCTGCCAGCTGCCATAATTCAATGCATAATTCAAGACAACAGTTCTTTTTTTTCCTGGATTTTTGCATCACACTGAAGCATTTCACTTACGTGCTACATATTACACTCTTGTTTTCTGCTTTGGCTTTAAGCTGATGCAGCTGCTAAAGCAACCTTAAACGAAATAGGATACATGCGTGTGAGAGAAGGCCAAAAGATGGGGAGGCTCGTGAAGCCAAGCTAGAAAAAAATCTGCAAGTTTGCTACTGCCACCTATTACATGTGGACTGGCTTTTCCATGGTTGTCTGGCCACCTTGTGAAAGGGTAAGTCTGTTTCCATTGGCAATGCTCCTCACCCCACCCCCAAGCAGAACTGTTATGAGTCGTTCAGTCGTCCGCCTTGTGTGACATTTCATTTTCAGGAAACAATTCCTGGCATGCTGGGAAGTATGACGTGTCTCCACAGCGCCAGGGGTTTCTTCCAGCCAACAGCTCATGACCAGGAAAGGTGTTGATACAGTCAACCTTGCCATGTTCCAGAACAACACACCTGTTCATCCGGAACATATGATGAGATTTCAAAAATAAATAATCAAAATCTAAACCATGAGATCTGAAAACATGATCAAGCTAAGTTAGGTTGCCACTTGGGTTTCTGACCCTTTAGGAACTTGCCAGGCATGGAATAGAACCTGTAAAGGCTGGGGTGTGGGGCAGGCTTGCAGATGCTGAGGCCAGCATTCTTTGCAGCAAGAGTAGGCACTTATTAAGCAGCTTGTGGGATAAAGCAAGCCGGGAGTTGAGCTTTATTAACCAATTAAAAAGAACCTTTTAAATCATTATTTATACCCAACCTTTAAGTATAGATTTTCAGGCAGCTTACAACCAATGTCAAAATATGCAGTAATAATAATGAAAAAAATCGCAACAGGAGAATATCAAAATAGAACTACTGACTGGATCCTCCCCACAGGGCAATTGGTGTAAGATCACATCTACCCATTTAAAGCACATGGCTTCTCTCAAAGAATCCTGGGAAGTGTTTGTTAAGGGTGCTGGAAATTATAGCTCTGTGAAGGGTAAACTACAGTTCCCAGGATTCTCTGGGGGGAAGCCCTGTGCTTTAAATGTATGAGGTAGATGTGACCCTAGCGGATCCTCTAGTGGTTTTATTGGAGGAGGGGACAGAAAATGGGATAGTCCAGTTTGAGGAGGCTCCAGTGTCTTTTTCTGATGCCATGCAGCTTCAGCCAATCCCTTTACATTTGGTTTCAGGAGCAGGTGCTAACCCCATCCACAACTGGCAATATAAGCAGCCCAGAGTTATCTTCTCCTGCCTATACTCATGGAAAAATAATAACTAAGGCAGCCTTCGTTCACCTGGTGCTATTCAGATGTTTTGGACTACAACTGCCATCAGCCCCAGCCAGCGTGCTCATGCTCCCATCAGCCGCCGCATGGCCATGCCAGCTGGGGCTGATGGGAAAAGCACACCAGCAAATGGAAAAGTCCTATGTGAAGTAAAGATGCTGAGGCAGAGCTGGGTGACCAGCCCAGCTAGAAGCTTCATTCCGCTTCCTTTTGTGAAGCTGAAAAGGCTTAGCAAACCAGGTACACCTCAGTTTTACACAAAGGCCACAGCTGGCAGATTGCAGGAAGGGGAGCCCTAGAACATGTTGCTGTTTCCAGGACAAGCTCCCTCCACCTGCCTCTTGAACAGGAACATCATTTCTGCATTTCTGTACCAACAAGAGATTGCCCGGGAAGCACACAAGGAACCAGAACCTCTAAGTACACACATGTCGTCTTAACAATAGTTGCATCTGACCATCACAAGCCTCAGGAGGCAGCACACATTTCCTCTTAAGGGAACGTGAGGCAGACACACATGCAGAGTCCAGGGTACTTTTCACTCTGACAAGCAGACACAGAGACTCTGGGCATTCAAGCCATACAGGAGAGGGAAGAAATGAGGGAAACCATTTAATAGCCATGTTCATTCACTCCAACTGTCCCTTAGGAAGGGCAGGGAACCCTAGTGACAGGCCTGAAATCCATGCCTCGAAGAGTGCACTGAAAAAAGGATCCAAACAAAAATAAATAATCTATCCTTCCAATCCATCAGAAGCCTTCTGGACAAAGCCTTCTGTTATAAACAAAGAGGAGAGCTGCTGGCACAATGAGCTCAACACCTAGTCCAGACACCAGCAAGAACAAAGCGAAGCTCTTCCTGCTCCCTAGTGACCCCCATCGGAAACAGCCCACTCCTGTTCCCAGAATGCTGCAGCCTGTGGGATCAGACGCACTTTAGAAGGTGCTCATCTCTAAGATAGTCTTCCCGCGCAGAACCAAATAATGCTGGCATTTTTCCTGTAACTGGCAGGACATTTTCTTCCACATCAGTCAGGTTTCTTGTCCAAATGAAGTCGATGCTGTAATGCAGGGGAATGGAACCTTTTTCATCCTGAGGGCCGCATTGGCACACAAGGGAACCTTCATGGGGCTGCAAGCAAGTTGTAGGTGGGGCCAGAGGCAGAAGTGGACAGGTGTGACTGTTACTTTCATACTGTAGCCTGCATTTCAGCCCCATAAAATCCAGAGGCTTCTAAACACACCCACCCACACTCAGAGGCATTTTCACAACTCAAGGACACATTTCAGGCAAAGGCAATCAAGGGGAGTCGAGGACAGGGCCACTGAGGAGTGGGGTCTGGACAATCTCGAAAATCAGAGAAAGGGGACTGAAACTCCTCACCTTCGCCACAATAAAGCTATCAGTCTTTAGAAGGTACCAAAAAGACCCCCTGTTGTGTTGTGTTTCCTTCAGGAAGCCAAACACAGCAACTCCTTGGGAAGTTGTACATGCACAATTATTATCATAAAAAAATACAGCCAGGTCCAACAGGCTGGAGAACAAACTCACCTGGACATCATAGAGAGCTACAATGTTCTCATGCTGAAGTTCCTAGAAAAAAGAAGAGAAGCACTTGAAGAGATTATCCCTATTCAGTTAGGGCAACATCACAAGTGATGTGAAGGCCAGTCAAATAGCATCAAATGTACATGTGGAAGAAATGTACAAGCAACCCCCCCCCCAAAAAAACTATAAAAATGTGACCTCTCCTGCCAAGCTGTGACGGGGGGGGGGGGGAGAAATGTAACCTGCCTCCCCGTTATCTTATGTTGTATATTTACATTTGTTGTGTATTGAATCTGTAACAGGGGAAAGACAAACAGACTGGCTGTGTGTGCTCCTCCTGGGAAGTCCCAGTTAATGGTTTACTGTCCCATGTGCACTTTTGCTCCTCCTGCCTAGTGAGCGGATAGCATCTCTCCATTCTGGAGCCAAGGTTGGCTTTCATAATCGCCACCTTTTTTTACCAGCCACTTTTTATCTACTGTTTTTTCAGCTGCTGCTGTCTCTCAGCGATTTCCTCCCCCTTTTTAAAAGTGCTGTTTAGCTGGTTCTAAGATTAGGCAGCTGCAGTTATGTTTCAAGGTGAAAGAGGTGGGGTCATTTTAAACGTTTTCTTTTTATTCTAATGACTGATGTGTGTCTACCTGTTGTGGTTAACACTAACCTCAGCAACTGGGCAGGGAAGGTTCTGCCTGTCACTGCTACCTCTGCAGTGGGGAAGGGCTGCAGTTCAGCTCTGGAGCACCTGCATTGCATGATGGGGCAGAGCACATGGGCTGGCTTGTAAACAATAGTCCCACCTATTCTGGAGTGCAATTGGGGGCCTAGTCCATAACTCAGCATCTCCACCTAAGACTGGGAAAGACTTCCTGTCTGAGATCCTGGAGAGCTGCTTCCTATCACAATCAAAAATCCTGAGCTACGTGGGCAAAGAGTCAGCAAAAGTCTAATTCCGATGTTCCTTCTAAAACCAGCTCTTAATTTAAAACCACAAGAACTGGACTCCTGCGTTTTCTTTTTTGGGAAAGCGCAATAATCACATAATTAACATGCAAAGAATCTCAGGTTCAATTGCCAACATCTCCAGGTAGGCTGGGAATATTCCCTGCCTGAAACCTTGGAGAGTCACTGCTAGCTGATGTAGACCAGTGCTTCCCAAACTTGAGTCTCCAGCTGTTTTTGGACTACAATTCCCATCATCCCTGACCACTGGTCCTGCTAAATAGGGATGGTGGCAGTTGTAGTCCAGGGATGCCCAGTATGTATCAAGGGGTCGAGGGAGAATGATTCCTAACCACGTGGGGACGTTTTAGAGGAAAACACGTCTCAAATTTACTGTAAAACATGAAATGCATTTGTTATTTAAAATATTTGTGGTAAGAGAACCCTGCTGCACTTCATGAAAAAGGTGCTGTCCTCCATAGCCCAGAACTGCTCTTGTTTATCAAAGAAGGGGTAATCAAGTTATGAGTTGCTTGACAACATGCTCAGAATAGCTGAAATGTTTGAATTCCTGGTAGTGTCTAAGAGGGGTGTCAAGAGAGCACAGGAGGTGACATATGTGAAATGATCTAATTAGCTAGCTCAGTCTTCCCTCAACACCAAACCCTCCAGATGTTTGGAACTACAAGTCCAATTGGGGCTGACGAGAAGTGTAGTCTAAAACATCTGGAAGGGCATCGTGCTGGGAGAAGGATGAGTTAGGTCACTCAAAAGATTTCCAAGAGGTCGCAGTATTGCTAAATGTGAACAGAAAAACCTGTGCGGGTGATAGAAACGTGTGTGTTAAAAAACAAGGAGAGTGCTAGGTACAAGAAAAAGAATCCTGAAGGTGATGTCTGGCACCAGCAAAGACAACAGTGCCAAATTTCACTGCACTGGAAACTGTGTGACTTTGGGGAGGGGGTATCAAGTTAAGAGGGGAAGCAACAGCACAAGACCCTTATGGTGGCATAACTTCTGCTGAGGGGCTACTGCTAACTGGTAGAGCACCTGCTCTGCAGGCAGGAGATCCCAGGTTTAATCCTGAAATCCCAAGTGAAAAGAGTTCAGGTGAAGGAGGTGATGGGCAAGGCCCTGGACAGCAGACAACAGAGCTAAATGGAAGAATGGTCTGACCCGCTATTAAGCAACCTTCCATGTTCCAAGTTTTGACTTGGGGATCAAATAAAGTACCCCAGTAAGTAAGAAGTTGGGCCTCTGTGCTGCTGAATAACCTCTCTCTCTCTTCAACATCTCTACTTCGCAATCCCCTTAAGACAGATCATGCATTGTTCCTTTTGAATCAGTTACCCTAAAATGGGCCAGGTCAGCCAAATGACAGAAGCAAGTGTGAAAATTCCACACCCCTCCAGAAGCTGCCATCCACAGCATTCCAAGTCCAGCGTGGGAGGAGCTTTAGAAAAATCAGTACAATTAAAACAATGTCCCTTGGTAGAGAAACTCTCGTCTTCTGCCCCAAGTAAACTTGAACTCTGCACCAAGAAACCCTGAATTCTTTTACATAATAATAATGAGTCTTATTTGGCATAATTATACTTCTGTTTGTGGTGGAATATAGCAGAATAATAAAGCATTAGAGCCTGCATCCTCAGCTAACATTTGGGCTTCTGAGATTTCAGCATCAAGTACCATTCACCCAGACAAACTTCTGAGTGTATCCTTGCAAACTATGAAAGATTAGAAACTAGCAGACATTAATAAAACAAACAATTCTCAGGAAGCTGATTTCATTGCCTGTGTACTAAAAATGCAACACCTATCTCTACAAATTTTCATTCTTTTTAATAAGTCATAAACACAGATGCTGAAATCTGTCCTTTTACTGTGCTTACATAGAAAGAAAAAACAAAGAGATGAGGCCTGGCAATATTCAAGCCCTCCGCACCAGTCATCTAATGGATTTGTCAATTTCTAGAGATGGAGAATCCCAATGCATTATTTGAAAACCCTCCAAATCCCAGCCTTTGCAGGAAGACATAAAATGCTGGAACTGGTATGACTATCTAGGTATGAGGATTAAGTTTCCCACCAGTCCTCTGAGGACACCTTGCAGGAAGGATGAAGTTTGGAAGAATATCACAAACCATACCTTTAAAATTTTTATTTCTTTCCCAAGGAGGAGCTGAGATTTCGACAAGTTCTTCTTGTTGATGCTTTTGATGGCCACTTCCCAGTCAGTTTTCTGAAAAGAATAACAAAAAAGTGTTTTAAATCCAAACAAGTATCCTGATTTTCTGTGTTAAGAAGCCCAATGGCCCTAACGTGTGCTTTTTTAAAAAAAGTTCTCTAGACCAGTCATCCTCAACTTGATGCCCTCCAGAAGTTTTGGATTACAAACTCCCATCAGCCCTAGCCTGTCAATGGCTATGTTGGGATTTCCAGTCTTTAGGAGTGGTCAACATAAGCAGTTTAAAGAGAATGATGGGGTAATAGGAGGCTGGCACCTCGGCCCTTGCTAATGAGCCCTTATTTACTGCAAGTAACAGGTCAGCAACTGAAGGCTCCAGGGCCAAATCCAGTCCCCTTTGGAACACCAACTGGAACCCCCAGTTGCAATCTCAGAGACATGGCAAAGGTGGCTGGAAACTGCTTGGGATGAGGACACCGCCTGGGGTCTTGGTCCCATCCACTCCCCCCGAGATTTGGGGCATCAATACAGTGGTACCTCAGGTTATGTACTTAATTTGTTCCGGAGGTCCGTCTTAACCTGAAACTGTGCTTAACCTGAAGCACCACTTTAGCTAATGGGGCCTCCTGCTGCTGCCGCACCGCCAGAGCACAATTTCTGTTCTCATCCTGAAGCAAAGTTCTTAACCCGAGGTACTATTTCTGGGTTAGTGGAGTCTGTAACCTGAAGTGTATGTAACCCGAGGTACCACTGTATTTTCCAGTCATAGGAACATAAAATCCTGCTGGACCAGGCCAGTGGCCCATCTAGTCCAGCATCTTGTTCTCACAGTGACTAAACAGATGCATATGGGAAGTCCACACGCAAGAATTCACAACAGCACTCACCCCTCCTTTGTTTCCCAGCAACTGCTATTCACAAGCATTCTTCCTCCAAGAGTGGAAGTAGTGGGCAATGAGAACTGCCCCTTTAGTTCCTACTCCTGATTAAAACAGGGCCTGTGGCTGCCTATTATTACACTACTTCAATGATTCACATTCCCTTTTGTCAGCTTCCACCTCCAATGGTTGCATTTGCATTTAACTGCTGTGCCATATCTTGGTTGCTGCTGTTTTCCAACAAACCACAAGCCCTCTCACAGACAAGCAAACAAGCAGTGGTTTGTTTCTCCAAAGTTTGGGTTTGTTTTTTTCAGCTGCTCTTGCATTGTGCCTCTGTAAGCTTGACAAGCATCTGGAGTGGCCTAAGAAACCCTGGTTAAGAAAGACTGTTGAATGTGGACATAATGCCAAGCCATAGTTGAAACACGCCAGGGTTTGTGAACCAACAAGGCATAGCTTCACATGAAAGCAAAACATGGTTAGTCTGCTAGGGTGGTTTCACCAGTCTGAACAAACCACCTCTAGGCTAGACACAGCTTAGTGTCATGTGCAAAAGCAGCCACTACACAAGCAAATTGAATATTCTGAATCACAAATGACTACAAATTGCAAGGCTCTTCATATACTTTATTACAGAGGAGTAGAAATCTGTTTCCAATAGACTAAAGACATTGAAAAGATTGAGGGTAATCCCAAATGTAAAATGATCATCTCACAACACAAGTGCCTGACTCAATTTCCAAATCTCCCCACCCCCTTATAAACTTTGCATTTGAGTTATGCAACAGCTTTTTGTTGTGTTTCAGTCAGTCAATGCTGTCATCTTTTGAGTCACAAACTGTTCTGGGAGGTGCCAAATAGGAAAAACAGACCACTTAAGAAGGCAAGAAAGATCACACAGAGTTGCATGCTCTGTGGGGAGGTGTTAAGTTTGAGTAAAGTTAATTTGAAAGTACCTTCAACTGCCTAGAAGGCATTTTTGCCCTGCAAAATTGTTGCTTTGTTTTTTATCTACATAGTACTTTGCAAAACATAAGTGAGCTCCTGACCTAAGGAGCTTACCACCATCTCCTTTTCAATGGGAGAAAGGTGACAAAAGGTGGGAAAGGATGGGCAACAAGGAACCATCTTGCTCTCGTTTGTTAGTGCTATTTCTTGAATTATGCAACCACCTATTAATAAATATTCCTACTTAAGACAACAATACTGAACATACACTGTATCTGAATTAAAATCAACAAAAACAAAAGTTATAGAAGAAACAATTTTTTCCAGAAGAGACACCAAAAAAAGTCCAGATTTAGAACCCAACTGAAAAGCTTGCATGAATTAAAATGCCTCCACATGCTCTGAAAAATCACAGAGAAGGCAGCAGGTGAACCCCTCTGGGCAAAGACTACAGTATTCCATAACTGAGATGCCCCTGCTGAAAATGCCCCCCTTATTGGTAGGACAAGGTAGGTAATAAATGTGCTCTTTTTACATAACAGAAGCAAGGGAAACATCAACTTGCCAAAGGTCCAAAGATAGATAAGCTTGTAGCAAAGGGGGGGAAATTATAAGCTTTAGGTCAAGTTACTGGGCTTATGTAAAAGGGGTTATTGAGGTCCTGAGGTCACAACTAGACATGACACACTGGCAGCAGAAATGGGGCAGGTTTATCTGAGAATAAAGTAAAGGGGGGGAGGGCTGATGGCCAGCAAAGCTTCCCATTATAAAGGGCAGCGAGGCTGGGACTGGTGACATTTAAGGAATCTTTACCAATCTGAAGAGAGACAGTTTCCCATTAGCTCTGCAGTTACTGGATGGGGGAGGGAATAAGACTGGTCTCTGCTGCCCCTGCACTTTGAGAGATTTACAAGTAAGGGGGGGGCAGAGAAAGGAAAGAGGCATTCCACCCTGAGTTTTTAAACAGTTTACCTTGCTGAAACCTTTCTATCAATTGCAACTAAACAAGCGAGAAAAGGGGCAGGAGGAGCCCATAATAACAGGTTGACACCACCACCACCACCTCTGCTCTTCTTTGAAATTAAAAACAGGCGTGAACTTTAGAATAAAAAGGTGGAGGAGCCACGTCCACATTCCACGCCCCCCACCCCCGAAAAAGCGCTGCTTTAGAAAACACCTGACCTCGGCTGACTCTCCAGAACAGGCTAGCTGATGTCAACAACAAGGATGGCGATAGGAGAAACAAAACAGATCAAAAGGCAGAGAAATGGGGAGATGCTGAAGCAGAGCTTCTTGCAGACTGACCCGTTGACTTATTCCAAATATCACCTCCTCCTCGACCAGTCATGCACACAAACACACACACACACACACACACACACACAGAGGAAGGGAAGGAGATGGTTGTATAACCAGCCAAGAAATGGGCTAAGAGGGAAAGGGAAGGGAGGGGGAGAGGAGTCCACCACCCTACCCTGCTGGATTTACCTTGCGGTGGCGACCTTTAAAGACCACAGCGAACGCTCCATGTCCTATGAGGTCCTTCTTGCTATATTCAAAGTCTCCCACCACCTCCATCCTCCTTCAAGGGGGCATGAAGCCCAACGGGCAGGGAGGATAAAGGGAGACCAGCTGGGGAGAAGGGACCGCCACAGCAGAGGCTTTTTAAAAAATATTAAGCTCACATCAGCAACCCAGGCTGTGAAGGGGAGGAAGATGAGGCACCAAGCAGGTTGACTAGGGTGGGTCTGTCCGTCTCCCTTCCTCCTGCCCGCCCCCAAGGACGGGAGGCAGCTGTGGGCATGTTGCTTGGGCAGGCACAGGCCGGGGGTCCCCAGGCGAAGGGGGTCGGGGGATACTGGCTGGCTGCTCCGGCGTCCCAAAGGCGATGAGCGTTTTCTGGCATGGGGGAAAGGAAGAAGGAAAGGAGGATGGGGAGATTAATCCTCCTCTGAAGGGGAGAAGAGGCAAGAGGGACCACGGAAGGGAAGAGCGAGCATTTAGGTTCCTTTGGGCCCGATATAAATTATTATTATTACTAATGTAATAATAAAGGCCAGAGACGTGCAAGCACAAGTCGCTGGGTAAAGGTGGCACAGGTGAGTTTTAAGGCTTCAGAAATAAAAGGGGGTGTTAGCACCTTTAATGGTTTGTTTAAATATGAGAAGTAGAGGGCTTATCTAAGCTTTTACGGGGTGGGGAGGAAAGCAATAAAGCCTAAAAAGGTGGTGGGAGAAACAAAATCAAAGACCCTTGAAAAGAAAGGGGACCACAATTTAATAACATGCCCAAATGGGGTTCTACATAATAAAGGAATTTTAAAAGGGCAGTGACAATCTAAATGAGGATGGGAAATATTAATTGTATCGTGGGATAAATTATATAGAATACACAGAGAGACCCCTCAAAAATGGGGAGGTGAGCAATTAAGATACCTATTTCTTTCTTTAATTAAAAAAGGGAAAGGGGAAGAGGCATATCCCTGAGTGGTGATAGGGAGAAAGGTGGATTCTGCTGTATTTTTTATATTTAAAAAAAACAAACCTTTTAAGGGGGGACGGTGGAAAGGATACCAACCCTTTTTAATGGGGGGCGGCGTATAGAGATAAATACAGAAGGCCTGGGAATGGGGAATTGGGGCAGGGGGCTCAGGCCCCCCCTCAGGGGTCCCTCATCACGGCCTTCTTACATTGTGCCCCCACACCTCATTACCGGCCTGAAGGGCTTCCTAAACCTCCTTCCCACCCCCACAAAAATAAAAGTCAAGGCAATTGACCCTAAAACGGGTCGAAATAAAGGGGTCGGGCTCTTTCTAGTCCTGGGCCACAGATATTTCCGGGTGGGGGGTGAAAGGGATAAAGGGAGGGGAAGAGAGAAATCCTGTCTTCTCCTCAGGCCGCTGCCCGCCGCCCCACTCGCGTCTTCCGCCGCCGGTAGTCCTCCCTGCCCCGCCGGCGTCCGGCTACGACTGCCAAAGCCTCCGCGCGGTGCAGCCCTTCTTATAGGACGTATCGCGCAGGCGCAAGGCTTCCTGTCTCCCTCCGCCGGGATTGAGAAGAGGGCGGAGGGGAAATCAGAGGAAGAGGAAAAAGAGTCCCCGCGCGCGAGGGAAGGAACAGGCGGGCGGGGGGGGGGCGGGTATTGACGGCGACGTCTGTGAGGGAAAGTTGCGAGAGGGCGGGAAATAATGGCCTTGGGCGCCATTTTGTTTTTGGTCAAGATAAGCCTATATATATATATATATATGTATATGTATATGTATATGTATATGTATATGTATATGTATATATGGCACAAACACAAACTAAATAAAATTAATTCACATAGGCATGCTTTCAAGCTAGGAGGCCACACTGAGGCTTGGTTGCCAACTTTTCACACCAGCCCACGTTCCTCTGCCCAACAACAGGTTAAACTGCAAATAGAGTGTTTTGTTGCTGCTGATTAAGCGGTATATAAATCTTGTCAGATAAAAGGTACGGTGGGTGTCATGTTCTAGCTTTTCTCTGTGCCCGTCTGTGTAAATTACAGATGAGGCCTGTTTTGTTTCTTACTACTAACTAGGCAATTCACCTCATTGTAGGACGGCCACGTTTTTCACCACCCAAACAGCAGCTTTGCGGTTGAGGTGGGGGGAGACATTCACTGCCCTGAGCTTTTGGAGGAGGTGGAATATATGTGTGCAATTAAATATATATATATATATATATACATTATATATAATAAACAATGCTACTCCAAACCTCCAGGAAGTTTTTAAACAGAGGTTGGTTGACCATCTGTCGAGATTTCTTCAACTGTAGATTCTTTCATTGCAGGGGGTTAGACTAGATGAACCTTGGGGTTCCCTTCTAACTCGGCTTCTTTTTCTTTAACAGATTCTACGAAATGTGCAAACACCCACACCTCCCCAATAAGGCATGACACCGACAGCATCCCCCTACGGCTGGACGCAACATCCCAACCACTTTGGTACCAGCACACCCCCCACTTGGGAGCACATTTGAGGCATGCGGCCGGATGAGGCCCGCGGGCTGACATGCAAAAGAAAATTTGCTTCGGTGCGCAAATCTGCTAGTGAGAAGGGGAGCATTCAAGAGTTGGGTAGATTTCCCGTTCTTCTTCCAAAGGAGGATGTATTCAAAGCAAGGTTTCGGTGGGGAGGGAAGTAGAAGATTCAAACGCACAAACCACAAATCCATTTTTCACAGGCCTGCCCTGAAAAGCGCATGACCTTCTAACGGTGTCACATGCTCAAGTCCTCGTAAGCAGGCCTTGGGAGTTGCTGAGCGTCAATCAAGTGCTTCCGTCCATCAAGGCAACGCAAATGGGTCACATGAAGCCCTTCACCTTCCCCCCCCCTCGCTCTAAGCACTTGTATAAATTATTTCACACACACACACACACACACACACACACACACGTCTCCTGCTTCTTTTCAGAATTTGTTCCATTCACTCCTCCACAAGAACATCTTTTAAATTCACAGACAGTGCCGGACTTACGTGTAAGCTAAACAAGCTATAGCTTAGGGCTCCCCCTCTCTTGGGGCCCCCAAAAAAATTTAAAGGAAAGAAACCCTGGGTGCACATTTCCAAAATATAAGATTAAAAACAACAATAAATAAAATAAAACCTACATACAGCAACAATGTTTTTGTGTTGTGTAGGCTCCTATGGTGTAAGTAAAGGGCCCCGCCTGCTAGACTGTTCCCTAAAATATCACTTTGATAAAATACATATTTTGTCATGTGCAAATGGCTTTAGATACCTATTAGGCCCATAAATTACCATATATATATATATACAGCATATATTCAACACAAAAAACAGTGACAATTTGTTGTTGACAAAGGACAGCTGGACATATAAAGGGCTCCATTATCTTCAGTAGCTGAGGACCTCATCAAACCTACATCTGGCCCTGTTCACAGAGTTGTGACTTTATTTTCCTAGTGACTGGTCCAGGTGCAAATGGTAAACTGAAAAGATGTATTATTCTTATGACTTATATTCTGCTTAAAGTTTTCTAAATGCAAAACAAATTCTCTCTCTCCTTGTATCCGGCACCATACAATGGTGTGACTGTCTAATAAAAGGAAAAGGGGATGAGGAGAGGAGAGGAAAAACCAGGGAACTATGCATGTGTTCTTAAGAAAACGACATAATATATTGTGTTCTTCAGAAAGCGACATAATATATTGTTTCATTTACCGTAATAACTATGATCACCTTTGCCAACTGACCGGGGGGGAAATGCCTAACCTGCTCCTGTGCTTTAAACTGGATTGCAAGGAAAGTTAGCAACTGCTCTGTTGCACGCACCTTGGAAAACTAGAGGAAGGTTTGCTGACACGTATTTTTTTCCCTTTTCCCTTTTACAATGTTCAAGCGGGTTATATAAACATCACGAGACACACCTGGTGGAATCAATTCACTGGGGTCATTACCCCAGGACCTATTTGAAACTTACCTGCCCATCAGGTGACAAATTAATTCCACTCCACACGTACGCATGCGATTCATCATCCATCACACTCGCACCAGCTCCCTAAAAGCTGAAGGAGAGTTCAGAGGACACCTGACCCAACCTTGTTGTGTATTCTGGAGCGGACGTTTTAAATAATTTTCTATATATAGCTGACAGACGAAGAATCAGAAGCTATATTCCACCCCCCCTTCCTTTCCCCTTTTCTGTTTTTTCCTTTTCCTATTTTTGGTTTGTGTTTCTATTTAGTTTTGATATTTGATTAAAAAAAAAGATACAGGATACCTGAGATTAAGCTTTGCCTATTTTATTCCAGACTTCGGTAAAACTGATGGAATTATAAAATGCAAAATGAGAATCCCCGGGGAGAGCATTGCACAAACGGGGAGCCAGTGCAGAAAAGGCCTGCTCTCTCTGAACCTCTCGTGAAGGAGGCACACGAAGAAAGGCCTCGGAGGATGATCCGGGTTGGTTTATATTATAATAGGATCACTTTATTGCATGTTATAATTCTGGGTGTTTCTTTGCGTCATTGACTTTGAAGCCATGCTAGCCGGGGCTGATGGGAACCATCCTGCAAAACTTCTTGCGGCGGCAAAGGGCAGCTTAGGCAATCCTGATCCAGAGAGGATCAAATGCCGGCTTTTTATGTCAGAAGGGAACCACCCATGTAATGCTCCTCTGCCACACTTTTCCTGCGCAATTTGGGGATTAAGTGCCTGGACCTTGCTGCTGGCTTCCTCACAAAACACAGCTGGCCTCCACGGTTGTTCCAGGACGAGGGCAGAGACATGAGTGAACCTAAAATACAGGGTTAGGCGCTGCGATTAAAGAGAGTATGAGGGACTAGTAGCTGGGGAGGGCAGGGTATAAATAAAATTTATTATTATTAATTACCATATTTTTAGCTCCATAAGACGCACCTTTTTCCTCCTAAAAAGTAAGGGGAAATGTCTGTGCGTCTTATGGAGCGAATGTGTGGTCCCTGGAGCCGAATTGCCCATGGGCAAAAAGCAGGTCGTGCTTTTTTTTTTTAGAAAGAGGGAAGCCGCTGATCAGCTGATCGGCAAGCGATTGGGAGGAGACATAAGGGACTCTAGCAATAAAGGAGGCTGCCGGGGAGGGGGGAGGTAAAAACACATGGAGCCTCAGGATTTTTGCATTGAGTCACCCCAAATTCTCCATCAGATCACATAGCATGCCCATGGCTACAGCCTGCACCAATAAAAACACGCATCCACTGTTTTGTGGGGCCATAATGGCGCAGAAACATGGTTACAAAGCACGGATCCACATGGATCCTCAGGATTTTTGCACTGGGTCGCCCCAAATACACCATCAGATCACATATCATGGCTGCGGCCACAGCATGAACCACAAAAATCATACATCCACTGTTTCATTCAGAATCTTTTTTTTCTTGTTTTCCTCCTCTAAAAACTAGGTCCGTCTTATGGTCACGTGCATCTTATGGAGCAAAAAAATACGGTATATTATTATTATTATTATTATTAACAGAGAACTCAGCGCTTTTAAGAAAACAACATTCACTTGAGGCCTTTCAGTGCTTTTTAAAAAAAATTCAACCAGTCGGGTCTTTAGATTCAGATTTCCAGTTTGTCGTTCACTAAATGCCGTGGCCCAAATTGGCCATGAGGCCATTTCTAGAAAATTCCGGCCCCCAACCAATCATGTGACGTCGCCTGTTGACAAGAGGCTTCTCTAGGTCTAGACTGAAAACCGTGTATTTTACAAATCAATTCCCCCCTCAAAATATTTGAAAATAGGTAATTTATTGGCCACATGCCCCTTTCTGCCTCTGCCCACCATCCCAATGTGGCCCCCAGAAGGTGGTGCGGATTTGAATGTGGCCCTCCGGCTTAAAGTGCTGCTTAAGAGCCTCCGAATAATTGTATTAAACCAAACCGGCACACCCCCCCCAAATAATCTTGAGGCGGCATCAGCTTTGGGAAAGTAGGGAAAACCATGAGGGGGAGGTTTAACTTGCTGAACAGCCAGTGCTGTTCTGAGCGATGGAAGATCTCCTCAGGGGTCCATTGCAGCCTGCAGCTCTGTGCTGGAAGGCGACACATTTTTCTAAAAAAAAAGAGCATTTAACAAGACAAGTTGGCAGGTAATTTAAGAACCATCGAGAAAGCAATGCCCCGGGGATTCCTGAGGATGCCGCTGTGTAGCTTGCCAAAACCACACCTGGCATTTATGTAGATAAATCAACTGAAGCTGATGTTGATTAATTGATGGTGGCCTTCTCTCAACAGGGAACTTCTTGCTCATTTTTGGAGGTGAAGGCCTTTTTCGGCGAGAGGGGATGAAAAAAGAATCAAACCTCCGTCCCCCATAAAGGGATGAGCAGAGCAAGATATCACAGAGAGACAGGGAATTACCGTATTTTTCACTCTATAAGACGCACTAGACCACAAGACGCACCTAGTTTTTGGAGGTGGAAAACAAGAAAAAAATATTCTGAATCTCAGAAGCCAGAACAGCAAGAGGGATCGCTGCGCAGTGAAAGCAGCAATCCCTCTTGCTGTTCTGGCTTCTGGGATAGCTGCACAGCCTGCATTCGCTCTCCATAAGACGCACATACATTTCCCCTTACTTTTTAGGAGGGAAAAAGTGAGTCTTATAGAGCAAAAAAATATGGTATTTCAGCAAGGAAATAAACTGGAAGCCCAAACAGAAAAATATACTTCCGGAGGGCAAGTAAACAAGGAGAGCAGGGACAGATAATAATTTTCCATTCTTTTTCGTATTACGATGCTCTCTGCAAAGTCTGGCTGCCTGGCCATTTGCTGAAGTGTTTGTGCTCTTCTTGTATTCTTAATTTACCAGAAAGATAACAAAATGTGAATGTGATCAAACTCCCCTCACGATATTCGGAGGTTTGAGGCGAGGCAACCAGAACTACAAATAGTATTCCAAATGCAGTTGCACCATAGATTTGCAAAATGGCATTAAGATGCCGGCAGTTTTGTTCCCTAGAAATGATCTCTTGCGCCCCTAGATCACAAGCCGGAGAGAAAACAAAGCTGCTCTTCCGCCGCTTGCCGGTTTCCAAAGAGGTATCTCGATTGGCCGCTCTGGGAACAAGGATGTCGGTCGGACCAGATGGCCTTTTATTCTAATCCAGCAGAATAATGCTTATCTCCTAAATTATCAGATTATGGATTTAAACGGCGATGGCTGTTTTGCATGGATGGCTTAACAAAAAAAATATGGGGTGGGGGAATCAATAAGGCAATTTTAAAATTGATTTATTCATTATGTTTACAAAACACATTTTCCTCCTGTGATTAAGGCAACATGGCTTACCGCTCTCCCTATCTTATATTCACAACAACCCTGTGAGGTAGGTTAGGCCGAGAGAGACGGGGACTGGCCCAAGGTGACCCAGTGAGCTTCACGGCCGAGTGGTGGATTTGAACCCTGGTCTTGGCACTCTAACCGTTACACATTGGCTGTCAAAAGCTCTTTATTTAAAATATTTATAGGCTGCCTTCCTCCCTGGGAACAGGCCTCTGAGGCAGCTGAATGAAGACAAATGATATTAGAACAGAAAGGGGGAGGAAGGCCGTGGCACGCTTGCCCTGATCTCAAAGGGACTAGTCTCTTTGGTAAACAAATAAATCCAAGGTGCCTTATGGAATGTTAACTTCCTCCCATTGACCATTGTGACTCACACACTGATAAACGTTTGAGCGGTCCAACTTTGAGATCCACATAAAATAATGGACCTGGGTACCGTGAGTCCAATTCTAATGCGTCTGCCCCAAGTTAAACTTAATACAAACCATTATTTTTGTTTAGCTGCTAATGATGCTTTACTCACGGAATACTTTTTGCATTCGATTCTTTTTTGTAATGGGTTTCTTTTTCGCACATGTAAGAGAATATGTTGTTTTTCAGCAAATTATGCTACTTTAAACAGGGAACTTTGTTGTGCTTCCCGATTTTCGTTTCTGATGTTTTACACTGGTGCTTTGAAAATACAGACTGTTTGGTGTTTTAAGGTAAGCTGCAAACTGCTTAAAAGAGAGATTTATCAATTTATTTATCATTTCTTTGAACCTCAGGGGTTCTATCAGTGCTCAAACTTTCTGTCTTGCTCCTCAATGGAAGCGTCTTTTCAGCACTCAGCAGCCAGGTTTGCGATTAGGAGAAGAAATAAGATTATCACCCCTTTCTCAGGCCATGGTGGGGTGGCGGTGGTGGGCCGATGCTGGCCTAACGACACATTGTGAATCCATGGCTAAAATGGGGAGATTCGAACTCAGGACCTTCTGGATTGCTTCCGCTTCGACTTCTAGACTGCGCTTGCTCTCATCAGGGAATACTGGCAGGGTGTGTGTGTGTGTGTGTGTAGGTTTTAGACAACTGTGAGCAGCAACAACTTAGCAAGAGGCATCAAGTAGCCCAGAAGCCGGCTGACAAGAGAGGAGAGGACTCCTTTATCTGGATCCAAAAAGAGAGAACAGTCTTGATTCAAGTAGCCCTCCTGAAAATGGAAGGCTGGCAGGCCGCAGCCTGCGCCAGGGGGGGAAACTGCCAAGCGGATGGGCTCCATATGTGACAGTCCTTTCCTCACAGCTATCGTCTCCATCTGTTTAAAGAAGAAGAAAAACATCGAAAATATCTGTATTTTTCCTTTCCTCAAAGGCAGGTGCTGAAGGGGAGCCTCTGGCTGTTGCTGAACTACAATTTCCACCAGCCCCCGGGAAGTACGGCCAGTGGGTCAAGGATGATGGGAGTTGTAGTGCGGCAAGACCTGTGGGTTCCCCACAGGGTGATGATGCCCACTTTCTCCTCCCAACAACCTTGCGAGGTAGGTCAGGCCGGACAACAACTTGCCCAAGCACACCCAGTGAGATTTGTGGCTGATCAGGCCTGACTTTCATTCGCTAGATCACACAGCCAACAGAACTGAAAATGTGGAACTGTAGGCCCCTTGGGGGCAGAGACCTGCCCTTTATATTGTTCTCCCCTTAATTTTAGTTACAGTGGTACCTCGGGTTAAGTACTTAATTCATTCCGGAGGTCCGTTCTTAACCTGAAACTGTTCTTAACCTGAAGCGCCACTTTAGCTAATGGGGCCTCCTGCTGCTGCCTCACCGCTGGAGCCCGATTTCTGTTCTTATCCTGAAGCAAAGTTCTTAACCTGAAGCACTATTTCTGGGTTAGCGGAGTCTGTAACCTGAAGCGTATGTAACCTGAGGTACCACTGTACACTTTAAATCAGGGATAACCAATGTGTATGTCAAAGACTCTCAACACCCATTGGGCAACCACTGGCTGGGGATGATGGGAGTTGTAGTCTAAAAGGACCTGGAGGGTGCCACATTGGCCCCCCTTATTCTAAATAGCCAGGTACACTAATGACTCCCTCACTTTTCTCTCTCTCACACAGGCAGTGACACCAGAAGTGCAATGAAAAGGCGAGAGAGGCTTCCAGATCATGTTCCTTTTCTGAAGATAATGGAGCGACCCACCTTCCAGGCAAAAACCCCTGCCTTGAACTTACATCCTCAGACATTTGTCCTTCCCACCGCTCGCTACCCGTTGTCCGTCAGGACTCCAGTCCACCGCAAACACCTGGGAAGGGAACAAGAGGAGGGTCAGTCCACAGCCGCTCTGAGGGGCTTGGAGATGCTTTTCTCGAATGCGCCTCGGTGGGCTTTGCCAAAGAAACAGCAAAGCGAGAAGAAAAGAGCGAGCAAGATTTCACCACCATGGCTCGCGCAAGCTGCCAGCCATCTTAGGGACTAGCAACTTCATTTTCCATTTTTGTGTGCGAAAAAGGTAGTGCACGCTCAGGTTCTCAGCGGGCTGAGTTTAGGAAACGACAACAGGTTGTAATAATAATAATAATAATAATAATAATTTATTTATATCCCGCCCTCCCCAGCTGAAGCTGGGCTCAGAGCGGCTAACAACAGTAAAACAATACAGCATTCTAAAATCAATTCATTATGAAATCAGTTATGTGGTGCGTGCATAATGATGCACCATGCGCCCTCGATGATGGGGCTCATTGGACCTGCCTTCCACCAGGACCAGGGCAGCCAGACTTTGGGTGGCACAAACAGTCAGGATATAGAAATATTTAACAGATAAGTGAGCAAGGATCGAACGGGTCCTCTTTGGGTGTGGGTGTGTGTGGGTGGGTGTGTTTTTAAAGATTTTTTTTTGCAACTTGTAAACCAAGTTTACAAAGGGACACGGGTGGTCTAAACCACTAAGCCTAGGGCTTGCCGATTGGAAGGTCAGCGGTTTGAATTCCCGCGACGGGGTGAGCTCCCGTTGCTCAGTCCCTGCTCCTGCCCACTATCAGTTTGAAAGCACGTCAAAGTGCAAGTAGATAAATAGGTACCGCTGCGGCAGGAAGGTAAGCAGCGTTTCCGTGTGCTGCTCTGGTTTCGCCAGAAGCGGCTTAGTCATGCTGGCCACATGACCCGGAAAAACTGTCTGCTAACAAATGCCGGCTCCTTTGGCCAGTAAAGCGAGACGAGCGCTGCAACCCTCGAGTCGTTCGAGACTGGAGTTAACTGTCAGGGGTCCTTTACCTTTACCTTTAAACAAAGTGAACGCTTCTTCTTGCCCCTTTAAAAAGGTAAAGGGACCCCTGACCATTAGGTCCAGTTGTGGCCAACTCTGGGGTTGTGGTGCTCATCTCACTTTATTGGCCAAGGGAGCTGGGGTACAGCTTCCGGGTCATGTGGCCAGCATGACTAAGCCGCTTCTGGTGAAACCAGAGCAGCGCACAGAAACGCCGTTTACCTTCCCGCCGGAGCGGTACCTATTTATCTAATTGCACTGGTGTGCTTTCGAACTGCTAGGTTGGCAAGAGCAGGGACTGAGCAACGGGAGCTCACCCCGTCACGTGGATTCGAACCGCCGACCTTCTGATCGGCAAGTCCTAGGCTCTGTGGTTTAACCCATACCGCCACCCGCGTCCCTTTAGAAGAGCTTAAAATCAGGAACCACCTGATGTCATATAGCCTGTCCAGGTGCCGGTCAAGGGACGATGGATCTGGCTGAAATAATAATCAATAATCAGCCTGCAAAGGGGGTATGGCTCCGGTTCCCCACCGCTGATCCACAAACCACCAATGGGCCAATTTTGGGGTCAGGGTCCTCAATCTGCCGCCCTGTCCTCTCCTACCAAGCAGCCCCGATGAAAAACCTCACCGCTGTCTAGGGCCTTACCTCGTCCGCATGGCCAGGAAGGTCGACAGCCAGTTTCTGTGTCTTGACGTCCCAGACCTTGAGTGTGCTGTCGCTGCTCCCGCTGACCAGTAGGCGGCTGTCGGCCGACCACGCGATCTGGTACACTGCCGATACGTGCCCCCGCAGGGAGGTGAGATACCTAGTGTGGGGAATGTGTGTGTGTTAAGACTCTACCAAGAAAAAAGCACAGTCTCTGATTCTGTAATGAATTATTGTGCTATACATATCCTTATGAGTTTGAGTTTGTAATCTCTATTTGAGTTTGTAATCCCTGTCAGAATACATACTTTTGAATGGATTAGTTTTTGTTACAACTGACTATTGATTTGCAAGTAGGGACCACTCCCACTACTGAAACTTATATCGGCCAGAGTTGTTGGTGTGCTTTTTTCTTGGTATATTTAATAACAAGAACTCCAACTGTGTTAAGACTGTGACGCAAATGTGGTTTATCCCCCTTCCCTGCAGAACCAGCCTATGGAGAGCCTCTGATTTTCAGCATCCCTGCTGGAAAGCCCGAAAGAGGACTTAGAACTTGTTTTACGAAGACGAACTGGAAAACTGAAAGCAATCATAATTCCCGAGGCGCAGCTGAGGCCTAAGACCAAACGTGTGTGTGTTTTTAATTAAATATAGGCTTTTTTAATCATTTGCCTGTAACAGGGAGTACTTTGATACATCCATCATTATTTTCGTAGCTCTTCCTTGGAAAATTGTGAAGCGGCTTGAGATAAAGGGAAACGGTATAATTATCACAAACTTACTTGCCCGTTTTGCCATCCCACAGCTTGACGGACTTGTCGAAGGACGCACTGGCAATGATCCGCGTGTCGGGAGAGAAAAGAACTTGGTTGATCAACGCCTGGTGGCCGGTCATTCTCCCCAAAGGCTTTTTGTCCTCTGCAGGTGCCCAGAGGAACAGCGTGAAGTCATCCGACCCGGAGACGAGCCTTTCAAGCCCCGTGCCCTGTGGGCAGAGAAGGAAGCGCCCTCTGTCACTGAGAAGAATGGGATTCTGGGATAGCACCTCATTCTGGGGCCGACCACCCCCTAAGATGCACCAGATTCCTTGCTAATCGACTATACTCAAGGGGAGCCAATGAAATGAATAGGCCCAAGTTAGTCACGTTTGATTCTTTCCAACACAACTCAACAAGGCTCAAACTTGGGAACTCATTGGCGCAAGATGCAACCAGCTGCCCAAGACAGAGGCCTCATTGCTCTATATTTAAAGCACAACTTTAAACCGCCATAGCTTCACCCATAGAAACTGGGAAACTAAAGTATATAATTTTTTGTTGGAATGGCAAAAGATGAAGAAATTAAGGAGGTCATGACTAAGTGGGCAATGGACCTAGGATATAATATCGAGTATGAGAAATGGACAAGGCTATGGAATTTAGGAATAAAATTTACCGCATCCATGACCTTAAAAGAGAATTTGTTAAAAATGATGTATAGGTGGTACTTAACACCCACCAAACTAGCAAAGATGTACAAAATGAAAAATAAGAACTGTTGGAAATGCACTGTAAAAGAGGGAAATTTCTACCACATGTGGTGGTTGTGTGACAAGGGATAGTGTGTATAATGAGTTTAAAAAGATATTTAGGTACATCTTTTATAAAAAACCAGAGGCATTTTTGTTAGGAATGGTTGGAGAGGACATTAAAAAGGAAGATCAGAAATTCTTCCTGTATGCCACAACAGCAGGAAGACTACTCCTCGCACAGAGATGGAAAGAACAGGATATTCCGACGATTGAAGAATGGCAACAGAAAGTATTGGTGTATGCGGAAATAGCAAGGCTAGCTGGAAGAATCCAACAGTAGGACGATGAGAAATTCCAAAAAGAATGGTCCAAATTTATGGTATATCGGTACTTAGAGGAAACTGTACATAGATAAAGACACTCACAGGATTAAAATAAAACTCCTAACATTTATTGTAAACATTTGGTTAGACCACAAGATGTAATGCTGTAATATAATAAGGAATGTATGCCTAAAGTATAATACAAAAATGTATTAAGGAATTACAGACATTTATGGAATGTATATATAGTAATCACGCTTAAGTAAGAGCAATGTAGAGAAGCCAGAAGAGGGGTGGAGGGGAGTTAATTTGGATAAGATATAGATTGAAAGGAGAATAATATTGTTAAGCTGTATTGTGTTTAAGATATTTGGAAAAAATTAATAAAAATTATTGGGGGGAGGGGAAGAAAAAGAAACTGGGGAACTACAGTTTGTTGAGGGTGCTGTTGGGAGAGCCGTATTCTCCTCTGCAAAGCTACTGTTCCCGGAGTGGTTGAACAACCAACCCCTTTGCTGAGAGCTCTGGGAGCTGCGGCCGAGCGGCTATTTCGTGGCCAGGGCAGGCAGGAGGGCAGACTTACCCTGACTTGGCTGTACCTCTGCTGTGCTTTCTGCTTTATCTCTGCCACTGTAGGAGGAAGGAAACGCAGGTTAGGAACTACCTGCAGCCAGAGGAGCCTGCTTGGTCAGAACGCTGAGCCCCCAAGGATGCTCAAAATTCTGCATTTCATGCTGATTTCATGGTGCAAAAGTGATAGCAACAGCTTCCTTTCTCCCAGGGAGAGAGAAAGAGTAAGAATTCCCCCTGGAGGTTGTAGACTTTCTTTCCTTGGGGGGTTTATAAGCAGAGGTTGTCTGGTCATCTGTCATGGATGCTTTAGCTGAGATCCCTGCATTGCGGGGGGTTGGACTAGATGACCCACGGGTTCCCTTCCGACTGTAGGACTCTGTGATTCCCTGCCTTGAACACAAGCAAAAGGAGAGGCAGTAGCCTGACGCCACTTACGGGATCCGCTGACGTCCTGGGGGTTGATGGAGGCCTCAACCGGCTCAAAAGCCCCAGTGCGGAGAACATAGTCTGTGCTGAGCGCCATAGTGTTCACCCAGTGCGCGTGACCCTGAAGTGTGCGGCAGAGGACTCCCTGAAAAGCGGAACAGAAAAAAAAGGCAAATCAGTCCCTGACTCGCAACTCTTTTTTAAATACATTTTTATTGTTTTTTTTACATATCATTTTCAACAATCATTTAACATAACTTCTTATCTTATACAATATTTCAGACTTTCGTCAACCACCTCTGATGATTTTCCGTTCTTTATCGCTTAGTCTGCATTTCTTAATTTCTCAGACTTTCCCAGACTTACATCCAGGGGCCTCCAGACCTTGATGGTCCGATCCTGAGACGAGGAGTACAGCAAGTTGTCCCCGCCCCACTTGACGCAGGTCACCGACTGCGTGTGGCCCGTCAGGATCTTGTCGCACCGGCCTGCGACTGTGTCCCAGACGCGGACGCTGCCGTCTTTGGAGGAGCTGGCCAGGTAGCGGCATTCCGGGTTCCTGCAGAGGCCAAAACCAGGAAACCTTAAGCTAAGGCGTTGGAACTCCCTGCCTATTGATATCAGGCAGGCGTCCTCACGATATACTCGTTTCCGTGCCTGCTAAAGATATCATTGTTTAGACCAGGCATAGGCAAACTCGGCCCTCCAGATGTTTCGAGACTACAATTCCCATCATCCCTGACCACTGGTCCTGTTAGCTAGGGATGATGGGAGTTGTAAGCTGAAAAACTTCTGGAGGGCCGAGTTTGCCAATGCCTGGTTTAGATGGCGCTGTGGGTTAAACCACAAAGCCTAGGACTTGCTGAGCAGAAGGTCGGCGGTTCGAATCCCCACGACGGGGTGAGCTCCCGTTGCTCGATCCCTGCTCCTACCAACCTAGCAGTTCGAAAGCACATCAAAGTGCAAGTAGATAAATAGGTACCACTCCTGCGGGAAGGTAAACGGTGTTTCCGTGCGCTGCTCTGGTTCGCCAGAAGCGGCTTAGTCCTGCTGGCCACATCACCCGGAAGCTGTACGCCGGCTCCCTTGGCCAATAAAGCGAGATGAGCACCGCAACCCCAGAGTCGGTCACGACTGGACCTAATGGTCAGGGTCCCTTTACCTTTACCTTACCCAGATGTTTATAAAGTTGACACAAGTTTTAAACTGTTTTACGGGTTAGAACCTTGCATTTTTTGTTTAAAAGAGGAAAAACAGAGATTTGAGAGGCGGTACAGCAATCCAGACTTTCCTCCTGTATTTGTGCTGATTCAAGGCACACTCAGCTCTAGGGAGAGAGGTCAGGTTGTGAGATGGCGACTAGCTTAAGGGCACTTCACGGCTGAATGGGAGATTCGAACTCAGGTCTTCCCAGCCATTGCCTGACATCCTAACCATTACACCATGCTGATGGATGAATGGGTTGAAATCCAAAGCAATCCAAAGTAACCCAAAGGATTAGAAGGTGTGTTTTTTTTGGGGGGGTGTCCAGAATGGGGGAGACTTACAGATGTAGAGGCTCCCAGCAGAGAGAAGTAATCCATTTGGAGTGCCCCACGAGGACCCGTCCGATCTGGTTCCCCGTCTTGGGATCCCAGAGAAATATCTGCACGAAAGGATAAAATCAGAAATACGGCTGCGGCCCAGGCAGACAGAGAGATTGCTACACGAAGGTCACCTGAGCAGCAATTCTGCTCACTTGTGATTCCCAGCGGCTGGCATTCAGAGGTATACTGTCTCTGACAGGTGAGGGAGAACATCACCGTCACGGCTAGCCGTCAGTGATCGCCAAAGTGGCAAGAGTCACGTCCAAGGAATCAAGGTTTGCAGAACTACAACGCCATCCCCCAAAAGCTTTATAGAGGTGGAAAGAGTTAAGGGGGAGGAAAACCTAAAATAGCTCAGTGAGGACTGAATGAGCTCACTGGCCACGAACACAGCTTGTCCATTGGCAGGAAAAAGCAGAGGAACAAAATATGGGGGAAATGGAACGGAGTATCCACAAAACGGGTATGGCTGGCATCCTGAACAGGAGCGCTTGACACTGCAACAGTTAGTTGGAAACCCTGCTTAACTACAAGGCTGGTCCTTGTCTGTGATGGGGAAGAGAACACTGGAAGGGGCGATGTGGAATGGAGTATCCCAAAAAAGGGTATGGCTGGCATCCTGAACAGGAGCGCCTGACACAGCAACACTTTGTTGTTGTGCTGGTCCTGATCTGAGAGGCTGGTCCTTGGCTGTGGATGGGGAGAGAATACCAGAAAGGGCAACGAGGAATGGAGCATCCCCAAAATGGGCATCCTGAACAGAAGTACTCAACAGCACAATATTTCCCTGCACTTATTGGTGAGGACAACTCTTGTCTGTTGAAAGGGACAGAAGACTAGGAGGCAGAAAACGGAATGGAGGAACCCGTGAAAGGGAATGGCCGGCACTCTGAACAAAAGCATGCCGTACTGCAACTTTTTTTTTGCTGTGGGTCCCTGTTTGTCCTCGGCTCAGAGAAAGAAAGACCCAGCCCAGGATGAATTCAGAGGGAGTACCAAGACCCAAAGGTGAGGGACACCCTGTACCTGGCAGTTTTTGCACCCAGACGCCAATTTCCTGCCATCAGGAGACCAGGCTATGCTGAGCACCCAGTGACGGTGACCTGGTGAAAAAATTGGCAAAATGACCAGAAGAATCAGAAATCAGGAAAACCAAAATTTTAATAAAGAATTGGGAATTTTTTTTAACTTATCTTAAAAACCATTGCAAACAGTTAGAATTGTGTGTGGGATTGTAATAATACTTGTAGTTTAATGGTGAATTTTGGATAGAATGGAGATGTAAAAAGATTATTATAAAAGATGCAGGAGGAAATGATGAACAACAGGACCCACAAAGGGGAGGAAGAAAGTCCAGGAGATTCTATAGAACAGGCATCCCCAACCATCGGCCCTCCAGATGTTTTGGACTACAATTCCCATCATCCCTGACCACTGGTCCTGTTAGCTAGGAATCATGGGAGTTGTAGGCCAAAACATCTGGAGGGCTGCAGGTTGGGGATGCCTGTTCTATAGAATCTTGTCTTTATGTTGCATATGTGATTGTAAAACTATAATTTGGATAAAACCAAATAAATAAATTTAAAAAAAGAAAGAGCCAGTAAGAGTACTATTTTTTTTTAAAAAGTATTTTGTTAAGATTCAAGAGAGAATTATAATCAACGGCAAGCAGAAAGAGACTAGAAACCACATGGACACGTTCTGTGCCTAAACAGGCAGAAAATGCGGATTTTCAGATGGGGAGAATTCCCTGCCCAACATGGACATTTCAGGGATCAAACCTGAGACCGTCTGTCTCCAAAGCAAATGCTCTACCACTGAGCCATGGCTTTTGTCCCCTTAAAACCAACGCCAGATGGACACAGTCCATCCGCACGCCCCTGGGGCAGCCACCAACTCAAAACAGATTCTTGGAAGACATTTTTCCACACCCTTATTGAGACTCACCCTTGGCCGTGAAGTGCGGGGTCTCCGTGTTGAGGTCCCAGAAGCGCACAGTTGTGTCCCCGGAGCCACTGGCGAGGTACCTTGAAAAGGACGGGGGGGACGACAGCTGGGTGCATGCAGATTCTCACTTTGGGACCCTCCAGGGCAGATTCTGGGATTGTGCAGCAGGCACAATCCCATCCTCTAAGTCAGGATTTCCCCACACTTGGGTCTCCAGCTGTTTTTGGACCCAAATCCCCATCACCCCTGACCACTGGTCCTGCTAGCTAGGGATGATGGGAGCTGTAGTCCCCAAAACACCGGCGGCCCAAGTTTGGGGAACATTACTCATCGGGAAACAAAGTGACAGTCAAACTTGAAAGCCTCGTTATCGCCTCGCTCAAGGGCAAGGAGGTTCCGTGCATCGCTGGGACGCAACCTAGCAAAGGCAGGTCAAAGAGGCTCCAGCCAGCCATTTAGTCATCCCTGGAACCAGGGTGGATTTGATTTAAATCAAAACGTTTTAAATCACTAGTCAGTAAGACTTGATTTAAATCATTCTTTTTACAGAAAGACTCCTTGCTGGTATTCTTGCTCATTCTTAATATTTACAACCAGAGGAAGGTTTCATTTTTAGAATAATAAATTTTCAAGAGTAGTTTTTACAGTTATATCAGAAATTACTGATTTGGTTATACTATTAGAAAAACATAGACAGATAAGTATGAAATTAGTGTGAGGTTTAATAAGTTAACTGTTTATATTTGGACAACTTTTCTGCTGTCCTTTATTGGAAGGAGAAAAACAATCATTTCCTTAAGAACAATTTAAATACTTTATTAAACTAAAGCAATAACATAGCATATGTATCCATGTTTGTTAACTGTGGTTAAACGCGTGGTTTTTTTAAAACAACTTAGACTGAGTTTTAGCACACAGGAAAAACTTAAAACAAATCCTTATTTCCTGATGAATAGCCTTTGGACTGTAATGTAACTTAAACAGAAAACTATCTTTGGAAAGATTTTTCCTCCAAAAGCATTTTATTTTAAAAATCTGATTTAAATAAAAAAAATCTGATTTAAATAAAAAAATCTGATTTAAATAAAAAAAATCTGATTTAAATAAAAAAACCCCAATTTTTTTAAAATAAAACAATTGATTTTTATCCACACGCTCTGCCTGTTCCTTTTCTGTCCTTCTTTTCCTCCAAAAGCATTTTATTTTAAAAATCTGATTTAAATTTTAAAAATCTGATTTAAATTTAAAAAATCTGATTTAAATAAAAAAACCCCAATTTTTAAAAAATAAAACAATTGATTTTTATCCACACGCTCTGCCTGTTCCTTTTCTGTCCCTCTCCTCCACTCAAACCCCGGCTGGACCCTTGACTTACTTCCCAGTGGGACTGAAGGCGACCGAGATGACGGCCTCGCTGTGCCCCTCCAAAGAACTGGTGCAGCGGGTGACGGCGCGGACTTTGAACACAGCCTGCGGCTGGTAGACGATCTCCACTACCTTCTCCGTCTCCAGGGCCTGGCCTGCCAACGTCTGCTGCAGGGAGGCCACGATCTCGGAGTCTCGCACATAGAAAGCCAGCGGCAGCGGCTCCTCCTATGATGGGAGAGAGTCGGGGTTTCAGCTTCAGACACTGTGTTAGGTGCACCGCTTTGGCAACAGCGAATCACCATTTAAAAAAAAGGGAATTTAACGTTCCTTGCTCAACAGGACTTTTCACATGGGTTCTCGCGTTGGTGTGATGGCCTGGGACTTGGGCTCGGACTCGGAGCCAGAGGAATCTGAGTCCGCACCGGATCCTTTGCCTCAGGCGGCATCGGAATCGAGTCTGGGGCCTGATTCTGAAGAGCCCCAGTTTGCACAGGTTCCCCTGCAACAAGCACCAGCTGGGCCGAGTCAGGGGCTTGAGCCTGCCCTGGCTCCAGATGCGGGGATGACCTCGTTGCCTTCAGCTGGGCCATCACTTACAGATGCTCCACTACCGGTTGGGTCAGGAGAGGCTGAGGCGGCCTCTGGGTCTAGTAACCCACCGACGTCTCCCGAGCTGCAGAGACTAAGGTCTGGGATAAGGAGAGACCTGAGTACTTGGCTCCCAGTACGTTTCCGAGAACGATTCAAAGTGTTGGTGCTGACCTTTAAAGCCCTAAACGGCCTCGGTCCTGTATACCTGAAGGAGCGTCTCCACCCCCATCATTCAGCCCAGACACTGACATCCAGCGCCGAGGGCCTTCTGGCGGTTCCCTCATTGTGAGAAGTGAGGCTACAGGGAACCAGACAGAGGGCCTTCTCGGTAGTGGCGCCCGCCCTGTGCAACGCCCTCCCATCAGATGTCAAAGAGATAATCAACTACCTGACATTCAGAAGACATCTTAAGGCAGCCCTGTTCAGGGAAGTTTTTAATATTTAACGCTGTACTGTTTTTAATACTTTTTAATACTTGATTGGGAGCCGCCCAGAGTGGCTGGGGAAACTCAGCCAGATGGGCGGGGTATAAATAATAAATTATTATTATTATTATTATTACTCGCAGGAGGAGTGCTCGCCTTTGGGCGAGACAGGGAGGTGAGTCACCGGGGGATCAGGACCAGCCGTTACCCCGACAGAGAAAAAGGCTGCTGGACTCTGCCCCAGGGTCACTGCTGTTTGCCAGAACCTGCCTGTGATCCTGTGCCTGACCTTGCCTGGTTTCCTGCCTCATGTCCTGCTGGTCTGACTCCTCGTGGAACCCTTGGATTCGGGAGTGGACCTGGACCGTGTTGCTCGGGTTACCCCCTGGCCCAGCACAGCTGGCTACCTGCTCGAAGGCAAAAGATTCTCGGGAACTGGAAATGTAGCTCACAAGCCAAAGGGAACACTGGGCGCTGCATGCAAATCAGACTCTCTAGAACTGAGCCACAGCCCTCCCCATAAAATTAAAGCAAGGTTCTAGTCCTCATGGTTCTGAATGAAGGGCCGATTTGATTAGGACAGTAGGAAGATGCTTTGCACCACATCAGAAACACCGGTCCATCAATCACAGTACTGCTTACTCTGACTGGCAGCAGCTCTCCAGGGTTCCACAGGTGAGCATTCTCAGCCCTACCTGGAGATTAAACCCAGGACATTCTGCATTCAAAAAGCGGCAGCGTTTGGAAGGAAGAGACAACCCCGACCAGAGAAGAATGGCAAATCAAGTCGAAGGACTATGCCACAATGGCAAAATTAATTGGACAGCTCAGGAATCAAGAAGACAAGAAATTTTAAAAAGGGGAAATGTTTATAATATATATACAAAATCATTATAAACAGGCCAAAACATTCGCAGGATTTTAAACACACTTGTAATATAACAGAATGAATAGATAATTTAGGAAGATGAAAAATTGGAGAAGTACTGATATGCAGTTGAAAATAGAATTAAAAGGACCCATGGAAAGGATGGGGAAGTCAGGCGATTCAGAGTAATCTTGATATTTGGATTTTGCACTGTTTTATGTTTATATTTTTGAAAAACAAATAAAAAAGATGACAAAAAGCGGCGGAGTCTGTGGTTCCGAGCTCTCGACATTTTTAATTACTTTTAAATTTAACGTTGTGCTAATTGGTTTGAACTCATCAATATTTGACAGAGTGGAGACTAGAGGACAGAAGTCTGAATTTTTATCTGTTCTGGAGATCTGTTTTAATGAATTCAGCCTTGCCTGCAAAGGGAGTATTTCAGATGGGGTGAGTAGCCATTTCATAAACCCAGAAGAGCTGCATTTGTCTGTGGAATAAGGAGACTGGGTGGCATTCAAAAAGCAAGAGACTCTGGCTTCTGGCGGGAGAAGCCAGTCCCCCTTAGCCTTAACTCTGCCCCAGGAGGCAACCCCAACACCAGTACCTTCTCCAGGAGGGCGTTGCAGACGAGCTGAAGCTTCTCTGGCGTGATGTTGATGGGCACATCAAAGGGAGAGCCCAAGGCTTCACCAGCCTCATCTTTGAACTGGATAAGGAGTCGCTCCACGTCCGCCGTCATTTTATTTTTTGGGTTTGCACCTCGACCTGTGAAGAAAACCATAGACAATCATATGGATGAACACGACCCTTCCCCTCTGCAAGGAGGTGGGACCGATTCAGATGGTCCGCCCCCGCCACTTAATGAATCCAAATGGTTTCCAGAGAGTGGTAGGGGGGTTTTATCCCATGTTGATGGCCTTTCTGCTGATTCCCTGGTGGCCCACTGGAGTGTGGAATTAACCAGGGCTATTGGCTTTGAGGGACGCGGGTGGCGCTGTGGGTTAAACCACAGAGCCTAGGGCTTGCTGATCAGAAGGTTGGCTGTTTGAATCCCTGTGACAGGTGAGCTCCCGTTGCTCGGTCCCTGCTCCTGACAACCTAGCAGTTCGAAAGCACAAAGTGCAAGTAGATAAATAGGTACCGCTCTGGCGGGAAGGTAAATGGCGTTTCTGTGCACTGCTCTGGTTTGCCAGAAGCGGCTTAGTCATGCTGGCCACATGACCTGGAAGCTGTCTGCGGACAAATACCAGCTCCCTCAGCCAATGAAGCGAGATGAGCGCCGCAACCCCAGAATCATCAGCGACTGGACCTAACGGTACCTTTACCTTTACCTTCTTATTGGCTCCGAAGTGCCCTCTCCAATTGCATGGAACATCCTCCCTTCAGATGTCAAGGAAATAAACAACGATCTGCCTTTTATAAGGCATCTGAAGGCAGCCCTATATCGGGAAGTTTTTAATGTTTGATGTTTTAGTATGTTCTGATATATGCTGTGAGCCACCAGGGTGGCTGGGGAAACCCAGCCAGATGGGTGGGGTATAAATAAAATATGTAATAATAATAATGGATCTAGGTCTCCCTTTTTCCCCTAGATCAGTTTCTGGTGCCTTCTTAAACCAGGAGCAAAACCACCTTCTCTCTCACGCATCTACTCCTAACCTTCCCACGTTTCTCCCTTTAAACCCCTGGTTCAAAATTCTGCTTTTCACCCCACTCCAAGCCCCCTCTCTCTTCCTCCCTTCCACCCACCCCATGGGTCAAAATCCTTTGCAGCCCCTGGAGACAGAAAAGCGGGTCTTTACCTGCCGACGCACTTTGAGGAATCTGGAGTCCCCGAGAAGACTTTTCCCTTCTGGCTAGCGAGCAAGCCAGCAGCACCCACGTGGAGGGGAAATTGACAACGTCATCTCCCTGCGCCTAGAAGTCGCACTCGGGGGAGGGACTCCACCGCCACCTGTTGGGGAAATGGGGAACTGCACAGAGCCGTGGCTTGAATATATAGTACTGTATATGATGTTGTTTGATCTTGGGAGAAGAGCAATGACAAACCTAGACAGCATCTTAAAAAGCAGAGACATCACCTTGCCGAGAAAGGTCCGTATAGTTAAAGCTATGGTTTTCCCAGCAGTGATGTATGGAAGTGAAAGCTGGACCATAAAGAAGGCCGATCGCTGAAGAATGGATGCTTTTGAATTCTGGTGCTGGAGGAGACTCTTGAGAGTCCCATGGACTGCAAGAAGATCAGACCTCTCCATTCTGAAGGAAATCAGCCCTGAGTGCTCACTGGAAGGACAGATCCTGAAGCTGAGGCTCCAAGACTTTGGCCACCTCATGAGAAGAGAAGACTCCCTGGAAAAGACCCTGATGTTGGGAAAGATGGAGGGCACAAGGAGAAGGGGACGACAGAGGACGAGATGGTGGGACAGTGTTCTCGAAGCTACCAGCATGAGTTTGACCAAACTGCGGGAGGCAGTGGAAGACAGGAGGGCCTGGCGTGCTCTGGTCCATGGGGTCACGAAGAGTCGGACACGACTAAACGACTAAACAACAACAACAACAACATGTTGTTTGATCTTGATTGGGGTCAAGACAGAACTTTGGTTCATAAAGGCCAATATTCTCTACTCTGACTGGCAGCAGCGGCCTTTCAAGGTCTCTGGCAGAAAGCAGCGGGCAGGGGCTTTCTCCCATCATCTGCTTGCCTCTTGGTTGGTGTTATGTATTCAGACCTTCAGCTGGAACCTAGGATCTTCTGCACGCCAAGCAGGTGCCCTGTCTCCCCACTGCTACCAGAGCTTTTCCATTCACCTGGCACACCTTAGCCCCTGAACCCTCATACAGAAGAATAATACAGGCTGCTGGATCTTCTTCTTCTTTTTCTTTATCGATCCCTCGTAGCCGAGTAAGATTGTCTTCCATATGCAGGGTTTAACAATGAGTCCATAAGCGACTGTGGAGGCCAGTTCTGGATCCACACATTCTTCCACAGTGGGGACATGGGTTTCTAGGCGGGAGTTGATCACAGTGTGGATTTGCCAAGCGTGCCTTCCTCTTAGCACATTTCTCCCTTGCGTCCTGAGTTTGAGCGTCTTCAAAGCCCATGAGACCTTTGGTAAAGGCTGTTCTCCAACTGGAGCGCTCGCAGGCCAGTGTTTCCCAATTGTTGGTGTTTATACTAAATTTTTAAAGATTTCCCTTGAGACAGTCTTTAAACCTCTTTTGTTGACTACCAGCACCACGCTTTCCATTTTTAAGTTCGGAATAGAGTAGTTGCTTTGGAAGACGATCATCAGGCATCCACACATGACCAGTCCAACAAAGTTGATGTTGAGGAATCATTGCTTCAACACTGGTGAACTTTGCTTCTTCCAGTACACTGGTATTAGTTCGCCTGTCTTCCCAAGTGATGTGTAATATTTTTTGGAGACATTGTTGATGGAATCTTTCGAGGAGTTGGAGATGGCGTTTATAAGTGGTCCATGTTTCACAAGCACCCATCTAGCCCAGCCTCCTGTTTGCACAGTGGCCAACCTGATGCCCCCAGTGGGAAGCCCCCAAGCAGGTTCTGAGCATAAGAGCAACTCTCCCCACGCCTTGTGATTCCTCAGAGGCAGACTGTGATAGCGGTGGGAGAAGCTAGCCTTATGCTGCCGGAAACAACAGCAAAACTTGAAAGCCTCGTTATCACCTTGATCCAGAGGAAGGAAGGTTCATAAATCACCCTGGTGCTGTGGTAGATTACATCATGGCCCTTCTCTGAAAGGAAGGCCTCTATCCTCGTGTTCCACCTCCAAAACAGCACTGTTTTTATTTTTCAGTTCCAGTGAATTCTTTCTTCTGAAGTGTCTCCCCCGCAACCGAATCTAGGTGCAGCACTGGGGTTGTACTTGTGTGACCCTGTTTTTCTGCAACCAGCTGGAAAGTGGGGTTAAAAACAGTGGTTCCACACTATCATTTATTTCATGATGACTTACATCCTAAATACTCCTTTTTCCCCTGCCTCCCCCCCCCCCAAGCATTGATTTGCCAGTTCCTGTTTCCTGAAATAGGAGAGTGGTATTTAATTTCTGGCTTCCAGAGCAATGATTGTTTTAAAAATATGTGAAAAGTAGCAAATAATAATAAAAAAATAAAAATGGGAGTGTGAGCTGGAAATCAGTAAACATGCACATCGGGACACGAGCAGATTAAGAGGCAATGGCTCTACCCAGCCAGTATCAGAAAGGCTGGAGCTGCAATTGTGTACTAAATATCACCATAAAATCAGGAGGGTGGCAATGAAATCTCACCACAGATTTAAAAAGAAAAAGATGGCGTAATAACAGAAAATGGGAAACGTAACAGGTTATCAGTGCTGTTAGATCGATATATCCCATAGCTGTCGTGTACCTTATTTGAAGGGACAGTCCCTTATTCCAGCGCCATATCCCACTGCTGTCCCTTATTGATGGATGTCCCTTAAATGATGTCCCTTAAATTTCAAAGGAAGCAGCTCCTCTCCCTCCCTCCCTGCTGGCCAGGGAGGAGGGAGGCTCCAACTGTGTTGCTTGGCTGTGTTGCTCACCCAATAAGAAGTCTAAGAACGACTGGGGGGTGGAGCTTGCATGCCTTGTGTGTGGCTAGTTAATGCAAGCTGAGGGGTTTTTTGACCGCTGGATGCCATTTTGTTGCACGTGCTGCTGCAAACTTTGCAGTGCAAAGCCAGGCCGGGAGCCATCTTAAGTTGAGGCTGCATAGGCCTTGTGGTGCATGTGATTCAGACTCTATTCAGTTGAACCTCTGGTTACAAAGTTGGTTGGACAGTGTTCTCGAAGCTACCAGCATGAGTTTGACCAGACTGCAGGAGGACAGGAAGACTGGAGTGCCTGGAACAGGTGAGGCTGCAGGTCCCTTATTTTCAAGGCTGCTGGTCCCTTATTTTCAAATCTGTAAGTTGACAGCTATGATATATCCTATCAATCACACACACACACACACACACACACACAATAACCTTGAGTGCACAGGATGGAAATCCCAAACAAAATAGGCTACTGTGAAAGCAACTTCCTTACATGGTATCATTTTGCTGCTTATAGGGTAGAGAATAGCATGGTGTAGTGGTTAGTGTTTCAGAGATCCAGTGTCGTATAGTGGTTAGAGCATCACACCACGAAACTGTCACTGCCTTTCTCAGCCTAACAGGGTTGTTGTGGCGATTAATCAAGGGTGGGGAGAACCCATGTTTGGAGAGAACCTGGAGCCTGGAGGAAAACATGGTCTATAAATGCAAACAAATAAAGCAAGCTAGCTTCAGGACTGCTGCATCTGTAACGTGTTTAGTGACACCTGCTTGTCTTTCATTGCTGCCCCCCACAATCTGCCTCATTTATGCGCCTTATGGGGTGGCTTCCCCCCATTTCTGAGCACTTTTGAGGAACTCCACAAAGTACACCCCTCCAGCATGAGAAATATGGTCTATTTCATTCCTGCCCTTCAAGGATTTTCACTGCTGGTGAACCTGCACAGCCTCCTCCTCCCACTGGTCGGAATGAACTAGCTCGGTTTAACAGAAGTTCATGGAATGAGTTCAAAATACCTCTGAAACACTTAAAAGTGGTTTCCACAATTGCTGAGCAAACTGAACCCAACTTAAGCTCATTATGGGGTAGAATGTTGAACGGTTTGTAGTTCGTTCTTTCTTAAATTAAAAAAAGCACCCTCTTTAGACTTTGAAGCTTAAACATAACAACTGTTGGGGGAAAGAAATTAAAACCACACATTTGTGTGTGTGTGTTGTTTCTTAGTCTTCTTAAAGTATATTTTATACTTCAGCACATCAGCTTGTAACATTCTGAGTTATCTTTTTGCCTATGATAATTTGGCCGCACTTGAACTGTGAACTGAAGTAAGTTTGTTTTGCAAAGGGACAAAGGTGAAACTGGATTTAATTGCTGGACTTGAACTCATTTCATTTTTCAAATGGACTTTCCAAGCACCCTGCTGCCTCACCCCCCCCAACTTAGTAAGCAGTACTGTGTCTCTGCCCCACTGGAAGAGCTGATCCTGACCCATGGCACCTATGCAAATGAAACCAGTTGCTTGTTGTTGTTGTAGACGGCTAGACGTCAGGGACTTTGAAAGCCAATCTACTGCAAATGACCCAGCGATTGTTCCATAATCCCAATGTACTTTCTGTCCATCCTTGGATTTGAGGAAGGCAAATGTGGGAAACCTTTGCCCCCTCCCCAATGTTGCTGAAGTACAACTCCCATCAGTCCTGTGCATGTTTGCTGTGGCTGATGGAAGTTAATAGTTCAGCAACATCTAGAGAGCCAAAGGTTCGCCCCCACCTGGTTTGAAAGGGTCGATTCAGCTTTTCTAGCTGGGAACAGACAAGCCACCTAAGGAAACGCACACACGGAAGATGGACACAAATTCATAATATTTATATATATATATATATATTTATATATTTTCAATCAAAACACAATTTAAATATGCTTCTTAAGTACATGAATACTTGGGCATGAGACAGTAAGGTGGTGGTACACAGTACCAAAAAACATATACACAGCTTTTTGCTTCTGGCAGACTGACAGGAGTGCCTTGCTAGATCAGATATTGCAACAGGAGGACGACGCCTGCTTCATCCATCAAGACTTTCAAAACGCTGGAGACAAATCGAGGGGGGGGGTCTCCTACAGGGGATTTGGGTTGTGTGTGTGTGTTTTTTTTAAATTGTTTCTTTTGCACAGAGTCTTCAGAAAACAAAAGCAAAATGGAATTGAAAAGCAAACAAACTCTCCAAACAGAAAACATTTCAACCGGAGTGAAGACCTAAAGGAAAATACGCACAAACACACAGACACACGGAGTGGACCCATTCCTGAGTACTCTGAATACTCTGGGGAAACTAGTCGCCTTCTGCAGGAATAATGGAAGCGTCCTTCCAGGTTGCATGAAGATCGCTTCCTATCCCCCTAAAGGATTGCAAGAAAATATAAGGACAAAGGCCTGCTGACTCAGAACTGGCAATTAAAAAAAAAAAAATGACTAGGAAACAGAAAACATTTTTAGTTCAACAGGAGCATTTGCAAAGCTTTAAAACAAAAAAGAGGGCACCCAGGACACAGAGATCATTCTTTTCTGCTTGCATTTCAGTCCTTGGCAGAACACGCCCATTACAGGACAAGATGGGCAGGTGTGGAGCTCTGCCTTCTCAGGAGCAAGGAATGGGCTTGGCTGACTTAAGGGCCAAAGTGACAATGGAGAATTGGAAGTCGCTTGCAATCAACGCCCGCTCTCTGTCACTATTTTTTCCAGGACCGAGACAAATGTGAGAGAAGAGGTTCAGCTGCTACCGTATTCAGAACGCTTCAAGTAAAAAGAAAGAAAGAAAACTCAAAATGGCTCCAGGATTCTTAAAATACCGTTCACCGCCAATAGCTCAGCCCTCTCTGACGGGTTAAGGTGCCCCGTGCCTTTCTGATTGCAGATTTTTCTCTAAAAAAAAAGAAAGCACAGCTAGGGACCTTCAGAGGAGGAAGAGAAGTGGAAATCTATCCTCCAGTCCTTTCGATGTGAACTGTGCTCCAGTTCCAAGCCATTTGGAGGAGGAATCCTTCGCAGAGGGAGCTGGCAAACCTTTTGCCAGAAACGTGTCTCTTTGACGGGGAATTTAGGGCGTATGTGCAGGAGAGAAGCAAACCGATTTGCGCTCAATGCAAGGAAGTCTTAGGCCCTCCTTCCCCGCAAAATCTCCTGAAAAAGTTTGTTCTGAAAGGAGGACACACATCAGTCTACAGTGCTTGGTTTCCTGCTGACTCTGTTTCAAAGGAGAAATCAGCCGACAGAGTTTTCATTTCCCCTGGGGTGGAGAGAGAAGGAACAGAATCCACTTGTATCTTCAGAGGCAGAAAAACCCAATGTCCCCTTGTTTGGAAATGCTGAAGATCATAGCTGCGGGTGTGAGGAGAGAAAGAGAGAGAAAATGTTGGTTTGATAGTACAGTGGTGGGTGGAAAAGACATTGGGGCAAGCAGACAGAAGTCTCATGATTTGCCTCAAACAATGGTTGCTTGGAGCAGGGGTGAGGGCCCCAGATGTTGTTGGGTTGGGACTTTAGCTCCCAGCAGTAATAATAATAATAATAATAATAATAATAAATTTATACCCCACACATCTGGCTGGGTTTCCCCAGCCACATTGGGAGGCTACCAACAGAATATTAAAAACACGATAAAACAAGACATTAAAAACTTCCCTAAACAGGGCTGCCTTCAGATATCTTTTAAAAGTCAGATAGTTGTTTATTTCCTTGACATCTGGTGGGAGGGTGTTCCACAGGGAGGGTGCCACCACTGAGAAGGCCCTCTGCCTGGTTCCCTGTAACTTGGCTTCTCGCAGTGAGGGAACTGCCAGAAGGCCCTCGGAGCTGGACCTCAGTGTCTGGGCTGAACGATGGGGGTGGAGACGCTCCTTCAGATATACTGGACCAAGGCCGTTTAGGGCTTTCAAGGTCAGCACCAACACTTTGAATTGTGCTCGGAAACGTACTGGGAGCCAATGTAGGTCTTTCAGAACCGGTGTTATGCCCAATGCTCAAGGATTATGGGAGTTGGAGTCCAGCAACATTCCAGAGGGTCCACAGACTTCCCCCATCCCTGGCCTAGCAGGAGGCAACTCTTGTGTCCTTAAGGGGATTTGCAGGGAATTAAAATAGCGGCTAGATCTGGGATGGGGAACCTGCAGCCTTTCCCAGGCATGCTGGCTGGCGCTGGGAGTTCAAATCTGCAGGATGCTGCCTTCACGAAGGCGCAGCCATAAAGAGCATGCAACCAGGGGAACACCCCCTTGTTACCTTTGTAATTTTTTCTACAGCTGGGTCAGGTTGTGCCTGGTGCATGACATCATTGACAATCATCTTTGCGATCCTCCAGGCCATCTCCTCTTGAGCCTGAAAAGCGGAAAAGCAGGCAACGCTTGGGCTTAGGAAATACGCAACCCCAAAATGGTGGGGTGGAGAAGAAACCTAACACACCCACGCTGCAGTTATTGGCTGCCAACTACTACTACCTAGGACAGCTGCAATCTTTTTTCCTCCCACCAAACAGCCAAGAGAATCCCAAGTATTCCAAATTTTGCAAGAGGAGATTGTAACTTTCACAGAAGCAACCCAATTATTGATACTTTATGTTGGTGTTCTGAATTCCTGCCCCCAGCACAGAGCACCCGCTTCCCTCCGATATATTCCTTGAAGCCAGCTAAAAACAGAGAGACGCACAGATAGACAAGACATCCACACACTTGAGATTTCTTCTGCGGCGTCTTAGCAAGAGGCTAGGAGATCTGAGGGGGCCTTACCTCATCTGTGTTTCCTTGCACCCATTTCTTCATTGCTTGTGAAAACATGGACCCTAGATCGGGGGAATGAGAGACAGAAAGGTGATGCAGCAGCAGCAGCAGCAGGAAACAGGTGTTATTCTAATAATAAAATGACACTCTGGCAATTTTCTCTACCTAGGAATAGCCACAAATAACAAGGGTGTAAGAGCAACTCTGCTGAATCAGACCATCAGCCCGGCCTATTTGTGTATTCAGTTTAGGACTCTCTTCCCATGAAACACCCTGAAACGATTAGCAGCATGAACAGTTAAAACACATATGTCTGTCTAAGTTCAGCATTCAAATGTATTATGAAGGCAAACAGGCATCATAACTGAAGTTTGATTTTATAGTTTTAACTGATTTTTATTTTTTTGTATTGCACTTTTGTAAACAGCTTATACAGACCACTGAGGTAAAGGTAAAGGGACCCCTGACCATTAGGTCCAGTCGTGACCGACTCTGGGGTTGCGGCGCTCATCTCGCTTTATTGGCCGAGGAAGCCAGCGTTTGTCTGCAGACAGCTTCCAGGTCATGTGGCCAGCATGACTAAGCCGCTTCTGGCAAACCAGAGCAGCGCACAGAAACGCCATTTACCTTCCCGCCGGAGCGGTACCTATTTATCTACTTGCACTTTTGTGCTTTCGAACTGCTAGGTTGTCAGGAGCAGGGACCGAGCAACGGGAGCTCACCCCGTTGCAGGGATTCAAACCACCGCCCTTCTGATCGGCAAGTCCTAGGCTCTGGGGTTTAACCCACAGCGCCACCCGTGTCCCTCACAGACCACTGAAGTTAGTGGTATATAAATTGTTCCAATAATATATACTGATGAAAGGCAGGTTATACTTTATTTGCTTTTTTAAAAATCTTCATCGGCAGGGCTGCTCCAAAGAGCTGCTTCGAAAAGTGTTGAGGTTGTTTTGGCACCATCTCTTCAAAAGATTTCAGGAGAAGACAGTTTACCTTTCGACTTCTTGACGTCGGGCTCCGGCTCGGACTCCCGGATGAACTGGCCCAGGTCGCTCACTCGCCCAAACGTCATTTTTCTGCAGCAGGAGTTGGCGGATGGAAAAAGAGAGAGAAAGACCGGAGTCATGAGCTGTGGGGAGGAAGAGCCAGTCACAGCACAAGAGACCACCCTCCCGCCGCATTGCCCATGATTTCGCCTCAGGATTTGAAACACCTGAACAGGAGTGGGATCAGTGAAATCTCAGGGGCACTTCCCACAATTTTATTAACTCAGCAGTGATTTACAATTCTGGCTATGGAAAAGCTTTTTCTTTCTTTCTTTGGTTTTGCAAAATGAGTAACATCGCTATTTATATTTTACAAACTAGAATAAACTATAAAAGAAAATAAAACGGCCTCCCCCAACTTTCTAATGCAGAAAGCCATTGTTGAAATATTCACGTCATACAAGTTAGTATATTCATGCCTAGATGCTTGAGATGTCATGTGTCTTAAGAAGTCCATGTGAAAAGCTTCCTTTTTAAGATGCCGACTCTGTTCTGGAGAATCCCTTCTCACTCTCTCTCACTCCCATATAACTGGTGTTTCTGCTGCCCACCCACTTTTCATCCACTCAATAGTGCCATCTTTGATGTCTGCAGCACTGCGAGGTCCGCACCTCACATCTCCAACCCACTCCACAGGGATTTCTGCACCCTATTTCTTTGTACCACCCTAGACCCCTTCATTCACCCCCCCTTTTCTGGTTGTGCGTCTTCTTCAGATTTCTTGTCCTTGCACTCACTCATTAGTGTGGAGTTCTATAGGAAAAGTACACACGGCTTTTGCTCTCCCAGCAACACACACACACACACACACACACACACATAGAGGAAAGCCTCAAAAACTGGTGGTAACATCCAACACTTTTGTATCCAGGAGTGGAAGAGGAGGAGGAGGAGGAAGAAGAAGAAGAAGAAGAAGAAGAAGAGGAGGAGGAGGAGGAGGAGGAGGAGTTTGGATTTGATATCCTGCTTTACCACTACCCGAAGGAGTCTCAAAGCGGCTGACATTCTCCTTTCCCTTCCTCCCCCACAACAAACACTCTGTGAGGTGAGTGGGGCTGAGAGACTTCAGAGAAGTGTGACTAGCCCAAGGTCACCCAGCAGCTGCATGTGGAGGAGCGGAGACGCAAACCTGGTTCACCAGATTACGAGTCTACCACTCTTAACCGCTACATCACACTGGCTCTCAAGAAAAATGAAGTCTTCAAGAAAAGTTGAAGTCTTCAAGAAAAATGCATTGCCCAACCCCCCCCCTTCCTTCTCATGAGTGATGGGCTCAGGCAGGTCTCAAATACTGTCACAAAGAAGGGAACAGGTTCGGGGTATTGTCTTGCCTCGGTAATGGATTGGAGGACAGCCAATAAACTGAAGCTCAGTCCAGATAATACTGAGGGGACTGCTAGTGGGTTGGATCAGAGGTTCCCTCCTTTTTTCCTGATGGGGTTACACTCCCTCTGGAGGCGCGGGTATGCAGCTTGGTATTCCTGGATCAACTGGTGGAGCTTGAGGGTCAGGTGAGCTCAGTGGCAAGGAATGCCTTCCACCAGCGAGTGGCCCAGCTGGGCAGGGATAGCCTAAGCCTGCTATCTATGCTCTGGTAACCTCTAGGTTAGATTACAGCTACAAAGTCAGCTCTAGGGAAAGAATCTGGAGTTTTTTGGAACCGCTTGGGGGAAGCTGCTTTCATCATTGAAGGCCAAAGTCCGAAAATGGCTGGGAATCGCAGCATACTCCCGTTTCCCCACCCTCTGCTTCCTCGCAGCAAAAGCTCCGAAGGGATCTTACCCAGCGTACGTCCGTTGATACAGAGACTCCGGGTCCAGGCTGGCAGCATCGACAATTATTGCTTCGTCAAAGTTTTTCAGGATTTTTATATTCGCCTTTTTGAGGCCGGGCTGCAACAGAATTCCCAGGCATGATTAACTGACCCAGGGAGGAAGAGGAGAAGATGGTGGGGGTGGGGTGGAAGCAAGACAGAGCTGATGCTTTAAGAACAGGGACAGGGAGGAGGAAAATCCAGATGGGCCATGGACCCTACAGTCCATGATGGCTGCCCATTCCCAGAAGAAAACCCAAAGATGCAAAGGGATGTACACATGGCAGCAACATCCTTTTTTGTGAAGGCAGCCGCTAAGGTGTGGAACTCCATCCCTGCACCTTGTTGCCAAATGATGCCCACGAAGGGCTTCCAAGAATTACAAAAGTGCTTCGCAAATTAACAAGCACAGTGGTACCTTGGTTCTCAAACACCTTGGTACTCAATTTGGAACCCAAACACTGCAAACCTGGAAGTAAGTGTTCCGGTTTGCGAACTTTTTCGGAAGCCAAACGTGCTCCACTTTGAGTGTTACGCTGAGGTCTGTCTGTTTTTGCTATTTATTTTGCGTTTTTGTTTTAGCGGTTCTTTTTTGTTTTGTTTTTGTGACTGTGTGGAACCCAGTTCAGCTACTGATTGATTGTGTGACTGCAGTACATTGCTTATTGCTTTCATTTTATGGATCAATGGTCTCGTTAGATAATAAAATTCATGTTAAATTGCTATTTTAGGGGTTGTTTTTAACAGTCTGGAACGGATTGATCCATTTTGCATTAGCGCACCTTGGTTCTGGAACGCTTTGGTTTTGGAACGGACTTCCAGAAAGGATAAAGTTTGAGAACCAAGGTACCACTGTAACGGCAGCTGTACTTTCTGCCACCCTCACCATCCCCTCGCTCAAGCAGTCCATTCTCTCTCTCGGCCTTTGCTAAGGATGGGGGTCAGGGAAGCAGGCTTCCAAGCGAGAGCTGATCAGATCCCAAGGAGGCGGGAGTTGGTTGTTTGTTTGGAGAGAGAGAGAGAGAAGCAGGCCACACACCTGGGAGGAAGAAGCTGTGCCGTCCAGGGAGCCCATGTGGGAGTCGTGGTCAGGAGGGCCGCCATGGCCGTGAACAGTCGGGGCGATGCAGCCACTGGCAAACTCGTCTCCGCAGACCGAATGGATGAGGTCGTTCAAGTATTTGTAGTAAAGGTTGCTGGAGAGGAAGCTGGGAAGGAAAACCTGGAGGAGAGGGAAGACACCCCAGGGCACATTTAGAACTGAGAGGATGCAGCTCAGGGGGCTCTTCTGCAGGCAGAAGGTGTCAGGATCAACCCCCAGTATCTCCAGGGAAGAAAAGGATCAGGGAACAGCAGATGGGAAAGGCGCCTGTCTGCCTGAGAACCAGAAGATCTGCTGCCAGGCAGAGCAAAAGAACCTGGGCTTCCGATGCTCCTATTTAAAACCAGACCTTTGTTCAGAACAACGAGGGCTGTAATCTTGCTGTATTTTTAGAGGAAAGGCCTTAGCTCGGCAATAGAGCACCCACTTTGCTGCAGTTTCAGGCCTGGCTCGCCAGATGAACATGACTGTTTTAATATCAACACCCAGTTTCCGAGATTTTCCTCCAAAAGATTAAAAAAGAGGGGGAGCGAGGATGAGAGCCACTTCCTCACCTTCTCCATGGTGGTCCAGGCTTGCCGCAAGGGAGTGGTGAAACAGTTGGGGAGCGGTCCTCCTTCCCTGCAAATGTTGGATTCTATTTCCAGTCTCACAGGGTCATCAAAACCTAGAGGATGAGTGGCTTGGAGGGAGAAGTACCTGCAGCCACAGAGGAGGACGAGGCAGAAAAGAACAAGAGAGGGGGGAAACAACAATGCTGAGTAGGGCTGGATATCACCAGCATGATATATCAATAATCACAATATTTGAAATAAGGAAGGAACTGCACAGTTTCATCCTTACTTCAGACATTGTGGTAGGTTGCAATGTTTAACTGCTGATATTGTGAGGTTTTGCTGCTGATAACATCACAGTGTTTAGCTGGTGTCGCCTAGCCCTTACACGCAATGTGATTTGTGATATATTGCCAGCTCAAATATTATGAAACAATTATCACAATGTGAACTTCAAACCGGTTTTGGACGATATATTGATATATCATCGCCCAGCCCAAATGCTAAGGAGGTTACGTTTCAAAAAAGTCCGACTCCACACCTCTGGCCCATTGTAAAGTCCCTCTTTCACACCCAAGCAGAAGCAAAAGGTCCAATTTGCTAGCTGCTCAATTGGAGCTCAGCAACTGCCCCTCTCTTTCTCTCCCAGAGAACAGAAAAGGCCAGCTCTTGTTTCTGTTCCCTGAAGTGGAAGCCAAGGGAGTTAACTAAGCGCTCTCTCCCCAATCTCGCCAAACCCATCCTGATGGAATGCTGTCAAGTTTCCCCTTCCTGCCCCAGCAGTCACCATGAAGACTAGAAACTTGGAAATATTTTAAGCTTTGAGATTCTCTGGGTCCTGCCTCGCTGGGCCCAAAATATTACAGTTAAGGTGAAGGACTGAGGGTCTGATGCTTGCTGGGTTAGAAATTGTCTTGGTCAAGAGAAGAAAGCCAAGAAGGATGGCGAATTTCCAGGCATGGGACTCACTTGTCATATAAGATCATGGCGTCGTTCTGGGCCTCCTGCCCGTCGTACTGGCCCTCTTTGGCGGCCAGCTGAGACTGGAAGTTATCTGCCGCCAGCCAGAACTGCAAGATGTTAACGGCATCTTCTTTCTCCATGAACTGGGAAACAAAAGTAAAGCAGTGAGCAGGGATATTCTTCCAGTTTCTTCTAGGAGGTAGCTTGCTGGCATCGTTTTAAAGATGTAGAAACAAGACTTAAGGCAGGGAGAGGGAACTTTTGTCAACCCAAGGGCCAATTTCAGTTCTGGGCAGCCTTTCGAGGGCCCCTTGCTGGGGGTGGGTGGGGCCAGAAACACAAGGGAGTGGAGCAACAGACGTAGATTTTACCTTTGTGCAATTAGCTAGTTTCTACAGCCACCCACAGGGACGCGGGTGGCGCTGTGGGTTAAACCACTGAGCCTAGGGCTTGCCGATCAGAAGGTTGGCAGTTCGAATCCCCGCGACAGGGTGAGCTCCCGTTGCTCGGTCCCTGCTCCTGCCAACCTAGCAGTTCGAAAGCACGCCAAAGTGCAAGTAGGTACCACTGCGGTGGGAAGGTAAAAGGCGTTTGCGTGTGCTGCTCTGGTTCGCCAGAAGTGGCTTAGTCATGCTGGCCACATGACCCGGAAGCTGTACGCCGGCTCCCTTGGTCAATAAAGCGAGATGAGCGCCGCAACCCCAGAGTCGTTTGTGACTGGACCTAACGGTCAGGGGTCCCTTTACCTTTACAGCCACCCACACCCTCTCTGTCCTATACATAGGGAAGCAAGAGGCACGTTAGAGTTCAAGGGCATTGAATTTCCAGCCAGGCCAAACTACTTCAGGAGGGTGAAAGGAAGGGCCATTGAAGGGGTGTGGACTGGGAAAAGTTCCAAGGGCCAGAGAGAAAGGCCTTTTGGCCCCCCTGGTCCTGAGGTTGCTCATCCCTGACTGAGGACTCGTTCAGGCTCCTGAAACAGGATTTGCACAACAGAACATCCTTCCGCTTGGCAGAACCAGCACAGTCCTTGAAGGGTAGGAGAGATGTTGTTTTAAAGAAACAACCAAGGGGGACGTTCCACTGTGCCACCTTCGGAGCCAAAACCGAAACAATGGAAACCCTGGGACTTGAACCCCAAGCCGACAACCGAAGAAACCTGCTCGGCAGATCCAGGAAGGGTGGGAGAGCCACACAAAAGGGTGCTCAGTAGCAGCCTGGGCTGCAGAGAGAAGAGGCCTCTACTATAAATATACTTGACATCTCTCCAGGGCTTTTTGCAACATCACTTCTCGACTTCTTGCTTAAAAATAACCACGGCTTTTCAGCAGGTATTTAGCATCTAGGGGTGTTTTTGCACTTTTCTTATGCCGAGTTGACAAGGACTCTATACTGGAGCAGAATGCATAAAAGAAAAAAACAGAAGACTCGCACTATCTGATGCAACCTTTGCTGCACCTCCTGTTCCCACCGCCTCTGGTGGCTGATGGGAGCTGGAGGTCCTATAGCACCCAGAGGGCCCCAGGGTGGGGATTCGGTGTGGAGGGTGATGGTGGAAAGGAAGGATTCAATGTTCCCAGCTCCACCGTGGCTTTTACAGGTGGCAAAGGCCCGATGAGTGCCCAAACAAGGCCTGAGGGCAGATGCCACCTCAGCCCACTCCCACATGGCAGTTGGGGAGGCAAATCCAGCCAAATTGCTCTAGGCCACAGGGGTCAAGAGCGGCTCTTCTTATACTTGGCAGAAACGGGGGGCAGAGCTCTGGCTGAGAAGAAAAGGGAGAAGCCACCTCACCTCGGAGAAATAGAAGAGGGCGGATTCGCAGAAGAGGATGTCGGCCAGGTAGACAGTCCCACTGGTCAGCACCTCAATCTGGTATTTGCAGAAGTGGTGGCTTCGCAAGAATTCGCTAAAGTGCCTGTCCGAGGGGGAGGGGGACACGGGGGGGGTCTCATTAGAAGTGGGGAGAAGGAAGAGGAAGAGACTCCAGCTCAGCAGTGTGCAAGGCACCAGGGAGCACAGGAAGCTGGCTGGGCAGGATCAAGGCTGAAGGGCTGGCACTGGAGCCCTGAGGGTCTGGGATACAGCCCCTCACTGAATTCCAAATCCCACAGTTGGATCCAAAGGGGGGGCTGACAAGGGAGCTGAGTCAGTGCAGTGAGGAAGCCTTAAAAGCAGGCCAGATGCCCCATCTCGAACCCCCAGGGAAGATTTGCTCTCTGGTCTGACCAACAGAGGGCTGCTGGGGGCTCCTTCAACCCCAGGACTGTCCCCCCCTCACCAGCTCTGCCCAGGGGCTTCTTTGGCTTCCCCCACCTGGAAAGAGCAGTCAGGTGCTCAGAATATAAAGCACCCTACACTTATTATTATTATTTAAAAAATAGGGTCAACTCACTCTTGTTCCATGGCATTAAACACTATCGACTGTGCCAAGACGAAGCAGTTTGGGTCCACCTGTCCATCTTCCCCACAAATCTTTGCTGTAAGGTCAGCAGATCACATATCAAAGTTAGTGGCACTGTATGCATTCTGCAGTACGGACAGACAGTGCAGAAATTTATTAGTTGTGCATATCTATGGCAGAAATACAGAAGTGGTTGGAATACTTTATCTATTATTATTATTATTATTATTATTCATTTATATCATCCCACTGTTTCCCTAGAACCAAGGAATCGAGGCAGCTCACAAAAATTAAAAACTAGCATGGATACAATACAGATAGCTAAAACCACAGGAAGGATAATAGACTATACAGTAATTAACTACTGAACTATTAAGAATTAAACTGTAACAGAATGAGAATGACGTAAAAACCAGTCTGTTAAAATATAGATAGTAAAAACGGAGAAGCCCCATTGAAAGCCCTTTCCTTAAAAACACTCACTTCTCCAAAGCCTATGGGAATAAAACAGTCTTTACTTGCCAGCAGGACAACAAAGAAGGAGCGAGTCTGGCTTCTCTAGGGAGGGAGTTCCAAAGCCTGGGAGCAGCCACTGAAAAGGCCCTTTCCCGCGTCCTCACCAAGCAGGCCTGTGAGGGTGGAGGGACTGAGAAAAGGGACTCCCCCAAAGCCCTCAGAGCCTGGGTGGGTTCGTATGGGAGAATCTGGTCCTTCAGATAGCCTGGGCCCAAATCATAGTAAGGGTTGGACTATGGATTGCAGCTTCTCTCAAAGAAATCCCCGGGGTTTGTCTCTTGGGAGCAATGAGACCACAGTTTCTGAGGAAGACACACATGCCTGTTCCTTACCCACTATATCGTTTCTCATCAGCTCTGTGATTGGTATGGGTTTAGCAGCATCGGGAGAGATATATTTGGTAAAAATTGTAACTGCATCCTGTTCTATACCTAAAAAGAAAGGGGAAAAAACAAGAGTGAAGGCAGTGGCATGATAAACACAAGGCGTGACTGGGTAGCAGTTGGACAAGCAAGCTCCTTTCCCCCCTTAGAAATGGTTACTCAACATAGGAAGCTGCCTTGCACTGAGTCAGATCGCTGAGTTCATCTTCCTCAGTATGGTTTACACTGATTGGCAGCAGCAGCAGCAGCAGCAGCAGCTCCTCTCCAGGGTTTCAGGCATGGGCTCTTCCCCAGCCCTTACCTGGAGAAGCTGGGGATCGAACCAGGAACTTTCTGCATGCAAGTTTTGTACTCTTCCCCTAAAAGCAAAGTAAGGATCTAGTCCTCATGGTTCTGAATAAAATCATTGGCCTCTCCAGCTCATTACTGTCTGCACTGACTGGCAACAGGTCTCCAGGGTTTAAGAGAAGGAAGTTAAGAGGTGCACACCTGGGTTTTATGCACCTGGCTGGAATTTTGGATTGACAGTTTGGAAACAGCAAACACCCCCATGTTGCATGGCAAGCTGGTTTTCCAAATTAAGGAGCCTTTCAGAAGTGGTTTTGGATAGCACCCCTTTCTAAAAACTACAGTCAGCAAACTTCCTGGATTATCAGTTTTCTCTTTCTATTGTTTCTGTTGGTAGCTCCTTGGGGCATGAGCCTATTGGTCTTACTTCTTATTCTTTAAATGCAGGAACCTATGGCTCTCTAGGTATTACTTATTTACATCAGGTTGATCAGTGGTTTATTACAGATCAGGACCTTCTTGGTTGTGGCGCCTGCCCTGTGGAATACCATCCCACCAGATGTCAAAGGAAAAAACAACTACCAGACTTTTAGGAGCCCTGTTTAGGAAAGATTTTAATATCTGAAGGACTATTGTATTTTAATATTTCGTTGGAAGCCACCCAGAGTGGCTGGGGAAACCCAACCAGATGGGCGGGGTATAAATAATAAATTATTATTATTATTATTATTATTATTATTATTGATTCAAAGCATTTATGCCCCCCACTCTTTAGTAAGAAAGGCTCCCAGAGCAGCTCCCAGGCCAATGAAAAACAATGCAGTCCCCGGCGTACAATCTTAAAAAGACCTGGCACAAAAGGAAAAGGGGGTGGGGAAGGAAGAGGAAAAAAATCAAAGCAAGAACTCCTCAGCTTAGCAGCTTTCCTTCCATACAGCGTCACTTATCATTTCCCAGCAGGACAGTGGCTAGATATTTCTGCACCCTGAGCAAGGTGTGTACAGATTCAGAAGATATACTGGCATTCACGGCCAGGAAGCACTTACTTTTCATGAGTTTTCCTGACAAGTCCTTTAGTGCAAAGGAGGGACTGTTTCTATTGGATACGGAGACTTTGGAAGGGTCTTGGGGTTCCTCCGGAGCAGGACAGTCCTCTGCTCCGGACCCCCCAAGCCCCAGACGGGCCTTGCCAGCAGCAGCAGCAGCACCTTGGCAAAGCAGCAAACGGTTCTGAAGGCTCAGCGCCTGGCCGTTCAGTTCGGCGGCCGGCAGCCTGCCAGGCGAGGGCTGGGCCGGACCGCAGTCCTCCAGGCGCCTGCTGAGCAACTCAGAGGAAGACGATGGCGACGCTGCGTTCTCCAGCTGCTTGGAGGAAGGGGAGACCGGCTCGGCCAAGGAGCTGTGCTTGACGGTGTTCAGGCTGTGTGCTCTGATGCGGGACCACGTGGTGGAGAGGAAGCTCTCCGCCTCCAGCCAGAAGCGGACCAGGTGCTCCATGCGGCGCAGCTCCATGAACTGGATGAAATAGGGGAGGCCGACGGCGTCCCGGAGGACTTGCTCAAGCGTCTTGGAAAGGCTGGATTTGGTCTCTTGAGCCTGATAATCCAGACAGGATCGACCTAAAGGAGAAGCAGGCAGGGTGGGGGGTGGGGAATAGAAAAGAAAGATGCTTCTAGGTCAGAGGCTGGGTGTGGGGGGAAGACTTAAGGTCCATGAATAATCATAGTTTAGAGGTCCTGGGCCCGAAGGAAGTCAGATGATTCTTCACCAGGGCCAGGGCCTTCTCAGTGATGGCTCCGACCTGGTGGAATGCTCCGTCTCATGAGACCAGGGCCCTTCAGGATTTAACTTCCTTCCGCAGGGCCTGTAAGACACAGCTATTCCGCCTGGCTTTCACTTTGAACTTAGCCTGATCTTTTATTCCCCTTCCTTCCCTCCCCCTCCCCTTTTTATGAAGATTACCCGCTCTGGGATCCCACAGCTAATTCTTCCCTGGTCTCCTCGCTGGCCCAAATAGGACTTAGCCAGCTAGCCCTGGTGATCCTCTAATGTTTATTGGATGGATTTCCCCCCTAAATTGATTTTTGAATTTATTGTTATTCACGATTTATACTGTATTTTATGCTGTGTTTTGTTGCATCAATTAAGTGTTTTAAATTTGTTGTTAGCTGCCCTGAGCCTGGTTTTCTGAACCGGGAAGGGCGGAGTATAAACAAAAATTTATTATTATTTATTGTAATTTATTATCTACCCTTCGTCCTAATGTCCCAGGGTGGGTGACAACATTAAAAGACACTATTAAAACAGTTTAAAACAACCTACAATCATAAAAAGAAGGTGGGTGCTAAGAATAAACACCTCAGGTGTCATAGAAGGAGGCCCTCTGGCAGCCCCCCCAAAGCTTCAGAGGGTGACAGAATGACCAAGAGGACCCCCTCTGTTGATCTTGGCACCTGGCAGGGGCTGTAGGGAAGGTGCTGGTCTTTCAGGTGTTTGAGAGCCCAAGTCATTTGTATAACAGATATCGGACCATCACTGTGCAGGTCTGCTTTACATCAAGCCTCACCACAACCTGCAGATGATTTGAACCACAATTTCCCTCAGCCCCAGCCAGCACGGCCACACGTTGTGGCCAGAACATCTGGAGGGCACCATGTTGGCAAAGGCTGCTTTGCAGAGTTAAAGGGCAGCTCCTTGCAGTTTGCAATAGAGCCATCTGTCCCTGCTGCTTCTTGCTTACAAATAAAACCACTTCAGTCTGCCATGTGGTTTGTTTTTTTAGTTGACACACCGCCTGATGTAAAATGAGGACTTAGGGCCATCACTACTAAATAACCAAAATGTGTACAATGAATTGGCTTAAGTGTCTTTTAATCAATTGACCAAATTGGCATCTGAGTAAAAACAGTAAGCAAAAAATACGTCCCCCTCTTTCTCTCTCTGTGCATGTGAGAGATAGGGAAAGGTCCCTTCTGAAATAGAGGCTGCCATTTGCAGATTTTGGAGGTATTTGTGGTAACACAGTATAATTTGTTTTTAAAGAATCTGTCCAATTAATTAATCAGGGCACCTTTTTTAAAAAAACATCAACTGACTAATCTATTGATGCCGAGGTCACACCATTAAGGCATTTAAATTTAAATCTTCCTTAACTAAGTAATACTACAAAAACCTCCCTATAGGTTTCTTTTGCGACACAGCAGGGGAAGGCGAGATAAATCTACAAGTGAATGGACCTTATACTCATCTTAAGGAGGAAAAGGCCACTGTTAAGATTTCCTTGCTCATCCCTGATGACTTTGAAAAAGAACCTAGACCAGCGCATCCTTAGCCCTTGGCAATTGCAGCCAAATCAACCACCTACAGCTGGAACGGCTGGAACTATACAACTCTGCCATCCCTGAGCATTGGGGCTGCGGCTGATGAGAGATGGCAGCCTGAGAACATGTGAAAAGCCACAAGTTCCCCATTCACGCCAAGGAAAGGTGCCCCTGCTCTCCAGATCAATCAATCAATCCTTTATTAGCCATAGCAAACCACACATTATAAATCAAACACCATATACAGATTGTGGAAAATAGGAATTCAACATAACAATTTGCATAAATAAAACAGTATAACACTACCACGTCACTGACCATTCAAGAACCACTAAATCTCTCTATAATGGCCCAGTCTTTCCACATGGACAGCACTCGGAAATTTAGCCACTATGAAAGTGATTTGATCATTCCTGTCCGAGAGCAGGTCCTGAACCGCTGGCAGCATAGAACCGAGCCTGTTAGATTGTAAGGCCTCTAACAATTGTCTTCTGGCATAAATGCCAAAATCACAAGAAAAGAAAATATGCTCCAACATATCAGGTTCCTGCCTACCACATTTGCAGACACACTCTGTTTCTGGGAGAGCTAAATATCTTCCTCTTACTATCATCGAGGGAAACATATTAAATCTGGCTAGCATAAACAGTCTGCACAGTTCATGATTCTTCAGATTTGTTAGGTAACCCTTTTGAAAATCTCTACACAAAGGGAGATTTAAATAGAGAGGGTGCTCTCCAGATGTCCACCAAGGAAGAAGCCGCGGCTTACCAAGGTCTCCAAAGTGCGCAGCCTCCATGTGGCTGGGCTGCTTTTTAAGAGCCGCCGTGCGGCTGCTCGAGGACTCCATGTTGGCAGAGATGGCGTTGATGGCCACATGGCTTGGTCCGGCGGCCTCCAGCAAGGCATGGTTCCGGGTGCTTCTCTGCGGGGAATGTACTGGCACTGCAGCTGGAAGAGGAAGGAAAAGGGGAGGAAAAGGAAGGCACTGGGTTGCTGGGGTTTTTTGGCCATGTACCGCACCAGAAAGGACACCTTGTTCAGCACTGTGCCAAAAGCCCACCCCAAACTACATCCACATGGTTTAAATCAGAGACGGGGAACTTGTAGCCTTCCAGATATTGAGTCCAGCTCCCATCATCCCATAACTTTGGTCGTGCTGGACAGGACTGATGAGAGCTGGATCCAAAAATTTCTGGGCAGCCTGGTTTGAGCAAATGCTAGTTAACACACAGTATGGAAACCAGTTTCTTCAATGCACAGATGAAGTGCTTCTTGAGTCAGACTGCAATGCACATAATTGTTTAATGCAGGAATGGCGGACTTTGATGCAAAGTACGATAAAATGCTTTCGATAATGAGCATCTAAGCAAGCCAACCACCTCGGGGGTCAGGTGGGGAGCAAACTGTTGCAGCTTGGAGAGTCAGGTGCCAAAGAACCCACTATAAACATGCCCTGATGAAAGTCACAAGGACTTCAGGAGCAGGGGAAATGAGGCCCAGGGACCAAATGCAGCCCTTGAGACTCGCCCTCCTTTGCACCCTTCTTGGGTGCTTTTGCCTGACTGGGACAGAGTGTCCTTCCACTCTGAAAATGCTTCTCTGCTTGCTTGCTTGCTTGCTTGCTTGGATGGATGGAGGAGAGAGAAAAGGGTGTTTTGAGTGTGTGCAGAAACTAGACTACTGTACAAAGCTCATAATTTATTTTGTTGCTCTGCCCACTTTTGCCTCTGGCACCACCTGACTAGCATGCGGCCCCTGGAATGCGAGAGCAGAAGCAAATGCGGCCCTCGGGCTGCAAAATGCTCCCAACCCCTGTTGTAGTTAAGCTTAAGGCAGAGAGTGAAATCAGTAAGGCAACTGGAATGTTTTCACAGGCAGAAGGGGAGAAGGTTGTGCCAATTTGACAAAGATAAGCAACAGAAGCAGAGAAAATACTGTTCGGCTCAGCTCTCCCCTCCTGTCCCCTACAGCAAAAGCAACAAACACACACACCAACACACAGATTGCTTGTGGAAAGCAGTAAAAAGGCTGTGCTGATGACACAGAATCACTGAAAAATAGAAAGAGACCCCGGATAACGGGGCTTAGGGTACCCAATTAAGGCTAATCCTCCTAATCTTTGAGGATTACCAACATTTTGAAGGAACTCAGTGCTGACTAAACACAAAATGACGGGAATTTTCGGTACCGGAGAGCGGGAAGAGCTTTAAGTTCCAATGTGATTTGAGAAGCCGGGCAAAGGAGCCTTCTTGCTGAACACTGTTTGGCACTGCAGTGGGGTCCCGATTCTGCAAACGCTGTGCCAAGGGGGAGGGGAATAGGAATTTCTGAGGCGTTTGTTCAGGGTAGTCTACTGGGGACCTGAATCCAGTCCTGAAGCAATTTACAAAAGCCACTTCAGCTTTTGCAGTAAGAAGATTGCCCATTGCTACACACTTGTAAATTCCGAGGAATAAGAATGCTCCATATTTTTTATTAAAGGATTGAAAGAGATGAAAAGGGACGCAGAATATAGATGTCGATATTTATGTCTTGTGTTCTCTGCAGGTAGGAAAGGTGTCAGTCCTGGAGGGCGCTTGCAAACGCTTGCGGGTGCTGGCACCAGGCCTGGATCCAGAGCCAGGGAAGTCTTAGTGCAAAATTCACTGTAGAGTCTGCCTATTCAAGTTTGTTTGCATGGCAGCACACTCTTCCAGCACTCAGGCAACTCAGCCTGCTGCCTGCCAGATCTTTTGGACCACTGCTCTCATCAGCATCAGACTACCATGTTGGCTGGGGCTGATGGGAACACGAGTTCAAGCTGCACAGAGGGGAAGGCTAGCTTGGGGGATTGGGTGACCTCAAAGGAGAGAGGCAGGCCACCCCTGCTATACAACCCTCTTGCTAAGACCAGGTGGGTGCCTTCACTATTTCCAATGCCTGCTAAATAAGTTTGTTTAGGCAAGCCTACCCAGACATGGAACTGATTGTGCCTACTTGGTCTTAAATTCTGTAGATTCTCTCTAGTTTGAGCATCTTATTATGTCTGCTTGCTTTTAAAGTCTGTTGGTTTTATTAGTATTTTCTTACAAATATTTTATACTACTTCCTGTAACTACTGAAAGAGATTTTTCCACATTAAGTAGTATATAAATTTGGTTACATAAAGAAAGATAAAGGCTATTTCCATATAAAACTCCCTGTTTGTTTGTTTTTGTTTTTGCTGCAATAAACTAACCTGGATACCCCTCTAGACACTGGGATCTAGTTGAGCGGGCCTAGTTGACATCACCCTTCCTCCTCTTCAGAAATTCGAGAAACGGGCACTTACCTTTAATTGCTTTCACTTCGGTTACCTTCTCGTGCTCTTTGCCCTTCACTGCAAGACAAAAGAACATGCAGTGAGGCCCAGTCGCTTTTGCAGAAAAGTCAAGTCTGCCCTTCGGGGAAGGATGCTGAGTCTTCCAAGGTGTCCCAGAATGTGTCAAGGCGCTGGCTCATTTAGTCAAACGTTGTCTGAGTGCACAAGGTCCTAGGTTGGGCACCTTCAGATGTTGCTGGATTTCCAACTCCCATCATCCTTGTCTATGACCATGCTGGCTGGGCCTGATGGGAACGGGGAGTTCAGCAGCATCCAAAGAGTACCTTTGTGCATATTAACCTGGGAGGTGGGCGGTCCTCCTGGCAGAAGGCTGGAATCAATGCCCTTTTGGTCCCTTCCTAGATACAATACAGTCAAACCTTGGTTGTCAAACGTAATCTGTTCCGGAAGACCGTTCGACTTCCGAAACATTCAACAACTGAGGATCAAAGGGCGATCAGCAAAGCCAATGGAGAAAAAAGAAAAAAGAAAAACTCCCTGGAAGCCATTCATCTTCTGAAAATCATTTGAAAACTGGAGCAGTTACTTGCAGGTTTTTGGAGTTCAAGAACTGAAACGTTCCAAAACGGAGGCGTTTGGGAGCTGAAGTTTGACTATACTAAATAAAAGCAGATAGTAAAGAGCCCAACTCTGATCTTTTGCGATACCCCCCCACCCATGTTTTGGACTACAACTCCCATCAGCGGTCTTGCCTACCCTTATTTCGAAATGTGCCCTGTTTTACTACAGCTTTCCTCTTTCAAAAAGCCTTTAAGTGAAGATTTGTATCACATTTCATATCTTTATTGGATTTGAAACTGATTTTACAGGTGTAAAAGTTGCTGTTTTTTAATTGTTTTATATGTAATTGCTTATTCGTTTATATTTTTCAATTATCTTACAATGAGAAAATCATCATCTTTCCCCCCACCATTAAATAACTGAGGGAGCAGCGAAGGTGGAAAAAAACATAAAACAGTTACTGTCCTGAGATTATACCAGTGTATAAGCAGAATTCAAACGTCTGAAATGCTTCAAGCACATTTTCTCCACTATCCTTACAACAGCCCTGCAAGGCAGGCAAATGCCAGCCACAAATTGCGGGGAGAGAGTGGGATCTAGAAGAATAAGGACTTGTGTGTTGCCACCTGAGAACTTCAGATCTCCCTTTCGTCACGACACAGATGTGCCAAATTGCAGCTCCTTCTCCTTGCCACTCAGCAACTCCAGTTCTTGCATACATGAACAGCATCTGTCTACTCTCTCCTTCAACACACACCACTTTGTTCTTTGAACATTTCAATGCATGTGCTTCTCAGATGAATGGAGCACTGCGAGCGATACTGAAGCGATGTTTTGCAGAGCGGCTGGTGATAATTGCCTCCACGGAAAATAGGCACGAGCCAAACAATGTGAAAGCAGGAAAGATAGATAATTGCCTCAAAAGGAAGTTACAATAATTAGCCAAACGAAAATATTTGCTGCTGCCTTATTTGGCGGCAGAAAGGAGGTATCCTTCAGAAGTTTAATAACTTAATCTTTAATACATCCACTCTGAACCTTGGTCCGAAAGAGGAGGCTTTAAGATAGGAAAAGTAAGCTCATCTACACACAATCTGAGAAGCGCAAGGTTTTCTCAGGCAATGATTTAACAAGACTGGCTCTCTAGTTAAAGTTCACCACAGGAAATTCGCTAATTTTAACAAGACCCCCTGAAGCACTCGCTGTGTTCATTTTATAAACTGGTACAGACACTTTCTTGCCATTTGGACTCAAAAGGAGGAAGGCTGTTGTGCTTGACGCAGGGCTAACGGGTACTCCCTCCCCTCCCCATAACACAGGAAGCTGACTTATCCTGAATCAGACCATTGGTCCATCTAGCTCATTATCATCTACACTGATTAGCAGCAGCTGCCCATGATTTCAGGCAGGGAATCTCTCCCAGCTGTACCTGGAGATGCTGGGAACTGAACCTGGGACCTTCCGCGTGCAAAGCAGATGCTCTGACACAGAGCCCCAATTCACGCATGCTTCAGCAATGTTGTTGCCATGCGTTTCCCACAGAAGCAGGAGAAAGGAAGCTACACAGGAAAAAACACCAAAAGATGGCATGTACCGTATTTTTCGCTCTGTAAGAAGCACTTTCCCCTCCTAAAAAGTAAGGGGGAATGTGTGTACGTCTTATGGAGTGAGTGCAGGCTTCGCGTTGCTTTTGCTGAAGCCAGCAGAGCAAGAGGGATCGATCCCTCTTGAGCACAGCGGGAGGAGGAGGAGAAACGGAGCCCCTTCTGTTTCTTCTGCTGCTTCGCTGGAGAGGCGCTGAGCAGAGAGGGAGAGAACATTTTTTACTTGTTCTTCTTCTCTAGAACTAGGTGCATCTTATGGTCAGGTGCGTCTTATAGAGCGAAAAATATGGTGTGTGTATTACATAAGTCGGCAAAAGTCACCGGCCTTTGCTGGTTCTTACTAGCTGCCTGACTGCAGGCACAAATTGTTACGCATTTGTAGCTCTAGAGACACAACTCTGCCTAGTTACCTGGAGGGGTCTGATAATCACCACAGGCTACCAGACAAACCGTGTTAGAAACTGAGCTATGGAAGCTAGGAGCTAAATGGCACCTTAAACTGAGGTTATGGGCACAACAACGGAATGTGTAGACATACTTTTTTTATAACAAGAATACAAAGCTGAAAATGAATGAACTGCAGCTAAAATATTATGTTCATTTTTCACATAGTCTAGTCCTTCCCCTGCCCACCCTCCTAATATTCTTAAGAGGGTCTCTTCTCCAGTCTTCAGAGAGCAGCTGGAAGTGGGGAGGCAGAAAAAGGTCCTCCTTTCCTTCCACTCTGCAGTTTTAATCTGAAATCTTAGGCGCAGTACTGTACCCAGAGCTCAGAAACTGTTCGAGCTAATGAAATTCCCTGTCACAAAATGTGCCTAGAACAATGGGAGTTTCAAACACTGCAGACAAGGGACGGTTGGTGAGCCTCATGTTGCGAGGGGAAGGGAAATAACTTGATACGGGCCTGCAGTTTTCACTGGCAGACCCATTTTGAGTGTGGTATTTCAGCAGCATGGTAATCTCTTACCAGGCTGAATTCTTTAAGTGAAGGAGTAAGCATACTTGTGAATCCCGCAGACTCCTTTGTAGGCTAGCCTCCCCATACCTGGTGCCCTCCAGATGTTTTGAACTATAACTCCCCTCAGCTTGGCTGGGGCTGAAGTGAGTTGTTGCCCTAAACATTCGGTTTGATCAGCTGGCCTCAGAAACGCACATTGTGGTTATTTGGAAATATCTTCCAGACTTAATGCGCTGGAAATATCACATGTTTGGCCCTTGGCAATCAGTGGCATCACAGGAAATACGTAAAAGGCCTCTCTGGCCTCGGTGCATTTACACCTCCACACTATCTTGTGAATTCCACTTGTTAAAATAACTGGAATGCTTGTTCATCTAGCAGGCAGCTTACTCACTCTCTTGATTCTCAGTGGCCCAGTTTGGGAAGCTGCAACCTCCTGCCGAAGAGGACAAGCAAGGCTGACAGGCGCATCCTTGCTGTATGAAACGCAGCGCTTTCACAGGGCTTTGCATAATTCATTGGTAAGTGCAGACTTGTACAGCCGGCTTAAAGGAGGAGGCAGATCTAGGGAATAGATTTTGCAAGTATGCATGAAATTCAAAACATTTACCGCCACTCAGGCCAAGTTTGAACTAGGTGCCATTCAGTGCAAGGACTGCATTTCCATCAACTTCCTTTAATTGCTGTGGTTGTTTCAGATTGCCTTCAAAGGGTGGTCTGAAACAAACACCAGGAGAACCAGTGTGGTGTAGTGTTTAAGACCTGGGTTCAAATCCTTACTAAGCCATGAAGCTCACTGGGTGACCTTGGGCAGGTCATTTTCTCTCTCAGCCTGACCAACCTCACAGGGCTGTTGTGAGGATAAGAGGAGGGAGGAGGCTGCTTTATACTGAGTTGGATCACTGGCCTACTTAGCTCAGCATTGTCTGCACTGAATGGCAGTGGCTCTCCAGGGTCCCAGGCAGAACAGTCTTTCCCAGCTTAAACTGGAGATACTGGAAATGGTATTCAGAATATTCTTCATGCAAAGCAAATGCATTAATTATCACTTATCAGACTTGTTAGTCACTTGTTACCCAACCATCTCTGACTTACAACACATTTAGGAACATAAACACACCATCCCATTAAAAGAATTCATACAAAACACCTACAGTTCATATTATATTTACACATATAATGCACAGACAAATAAAGAACAGCGCACAACATCATCTCTGTCCATCAAAAGCCTTGGAAAATAGGCAAGCATTTATTTGCCTGGTGCCAAAAATCTCTCAATGGAAATACGAGGCAGACCTCACAGGGGAGAGCGTTCCACAGATGGGAATAAGTCCTGCTTTTTGTCACCACCCTCTGAACCTCCTCAGCAAGAGCACCTGGAGAAAGGCCTCAGAAGATGATCAGAGGGTTCTGGTAGGTTCGTGACCGTGACCTAAACATTGCAGCCCTTTTTCTAAATGGACTTGCCAAGGCCCTGAACTTTCATCCAGAATATGCGCTCAGCTCCCCTACTTCCTTGATTTCCGTGGGCTGTTTCTTCCAATAACTGTTTGAAATAACTCAGTCAAGTGTGCATTTATTCCATCTGCATCCTGCTCCAATGGTAGCTTACATTATTGATTTGTTATTATTTATTCATCCGTTCATTAAATTTGTTAGTCACTTTATCTTGCCCAAGGCAAGATTGGTTATAACCAAACAGCCAAGCCAAACCAACAATAAACCTCACATGGTTTCCCTCCCGCTTTCCTGTCTTCAAAACAACCCTGCAAAGGTTGTTAAGACAGTGACTACCCAACATCACCTAGTAAGTGCCATGGATGCGTAAGGATTCAAACTCGGGTCCTCCCACATCCCGATTACTATTCCACGCTGGCTTTCTCCCTTGCTTCCGCTCTGGAGATGCTTCCACGTAACTTCCTTATACTTGCTAACTTGGTGCCGGGAACACAAACTTCACTTACGTCACCAACTTAGCTTGCCTGCGTTTCTGGTTACACCTGAATATTTCTGTTATCAGCACCAGCCTCACGCACAAGGGAATTACTAAGCAGGAACACAGAGGTCAGTTGCATTTCAACACAATAAAGATGGTACGGCAAGGAAACCTGGGAGGCATCCAACTAAGTTAAGACCATTAATTTGAAAGGGTTCACTCTATGACCCCACTATCTTTTAGAATCATCAAATAAGGCGCTGGCAGGGAACTGTTGCGAACCACCACTAGGTAGCCACAGACTCTCATTCTACAAAATCTCCATGTAGCATGAATGTCTGCTGTAGGCAGAAAATGTCTGCAAGCCTGGTCACCTGTGGTGGGTAGGAATTACTTCCAGGTGACCAGGCTGGCAATGTGTGTTCTCTTCTCCCTCTCCTTTTATGCCGTTCATATCCAATAGGCATGTGGGAGCAGGAAGGATCTAAACCTCTCTGCAGGCCACCAAGTTTCATGGAGTTATTAGTAAAGCTGGGTTGGCACGTTGGTCCCAGAGGAGATAGGAAGCTTAACTTTCCTGGGTGCGTCCCTAAAGCCACTAGGGTTGTGGAGCTAATAAGAGTTCCCACTGATTCAGAAAGTAATCTGAAGGCTCGCTTCCTCGCAGATGTCCAAAATGCAGTCAGCAGAATTTCTACTAGATTTAGCACAGCAGTATTACATCATACTGAAAATCAAAGGCTGCTTATAGATATACTTAGATAGACAAAGAATAGGTGGTCTTTTCTTTTACTGCCCACACATATCAGTGAAGAACCATTCAAGTTTCCAGGGTTTTTCAGCAATTTTCTGCTATAGATTGGGTAGTAGTGAAACTCAAAAATTGCATCACTCCCCAACTTAAAATCTCATTTTTGCACATAGGAAAACAAATGGACTGGGCTTCTTAATGCTCACTGAGCGTCACTTCCATAATCATCAGGCAGTTCGCATGCTTCCTTAGTTATTCCAGAATACAGGTGTTCAAAACTTCACACAGTCACTTCTGGCTGCTGGTTTACATTTTTCAAAACCCAATTATCTGGAGAGTCTCAACCGATGCCAGTTTTGGAATCATTTCAGCACCAGGAAAATGCCTTTTAAAGATCTCTTAACTCTTATTTTAAAAAAACTTGTTTTAAATCTACAATTGTATTACTGTTGATCTTTCTATTTTAATTTTTATTGCTATTGTAAGCTGCTCAGAGAACATTGTTACTGGGCAGAATATAGATGCATCTATAAATTAAAAGAAAAGCAAACTTCTTTTTTTTAAGCTCCTCAATCTAAGGCATCTCCCTACAATGCCTCGCAGTTTTGACTTTTGTTAACCCTGTTCTTTGTCTTCCAAAGTTTCCAGAAAAGCCCCAAATGGTACCTGGTAGTTACTGTCCAGCGTTTTTCCTCTGCTGATGCATTCCTAAAGGTAAAACAACTGTGTGCTCGGAACAATTTTGGGTAACATGAACCTTACACGGAACTTCTCTCTATATCTTAACTTTAAAACTTCCTGCTTCTCTGCCCAGGAAAGGAAGTGGCATAACATGGTCACTATCAACCTGCCAGAGCAGTACTGATTTTTTGCCCCACCCTGTATTGTCCTCTGAGTTTCTCAGCCTGTAGAGGAGGAAGGCTGGGTGACCTGAAAGATTACCTTTTTTAAAAAAAAAGAAAAAAGGAAGTATCACAACTTATTCACCTTCTTTACAGTAGGGGTTTTCAACCAGTGTACTTTGGCACCCTGGGGTGCCTTGAATGATTGCCAGGGGTGCCGCAAGCAACATTGCCTCTGATCATCTTTCTTTCCCTCCCTTCTCTGATGCCCTCTCGTGTCTCTGCCTCCCAAAGGCTTGCATAGCTTTTTGTTGCAGCAGCCCTGGCTACAAGCTCCCCGGGTGAATGGTGCCTCTGGGGCTGGCCAGGGGGTGCTGGTTGCCAGAAGCTGAGGAAGCCTCAGAGCAAGCAAGCAAGCAAGCAAGCAGGTGAGGGAGCCCAGCCAGCTAGACCACCAGCCCTTGCTATTAGGAATGGACAGACAAGTGGGAGGCTGGGCAGGCAGGTGGACAGACAGGCACCGTGCTGGCCTTTCTTGCGCTTACTGTGTGCAAGGCCTACCTGGGAGCTGAGTGCCCAGTGCTGAAGGGAACCCGCCTGTCCACCATGCAGGCCTGGCAGCACCCACTGGTGAGTAAGGTGCTGGTTTCATGTTCACCTTGGGCCAGTCTCCATGGGGCCACTAAGGCTGGGGGCATCTTCTTCCCAGCGAGGGGGGGGGGCTGCTCAGAAACCAGGGGTTGGGGCAGCAGCTGCCTGGAGTACTCCCAAGGAGAGGAAAGAGGAGGCTGAGGGAACACTCCACAAGGGAGGGTGTTCGGAAAGTGGTGAGAAGGGGTGTCACATGTTTGTATGCTTCCCTACATAAACAGAATGCCCATGCCTGATTCGAGCCAGTATAAGGAGAAGGGCTCTAGTTGAGCACCCCCCAAAATAGCGGTTTTCTACCTGGAGGGAACTTTTGATATGGAGACGCGTTCAAGCGCACCCCCCTTCCATACCCCTGCATTCTGAGACACGACAATCCCAAGGCCAGCCGGCCTGTGTAATAGTTTTCAGAGCGTATCTTGGCTCCAAAATGCAGGTGGATCCGCATTGAAACTCCCGGCCAGCATCAAGAAGTGTGTCTAAGAATGGAGAAGGGTAGTGGGGGATGCCACGCTTGCCAGCTGCCCACGAGGCAAACTTGTTTTGTCGCTGGGATGCCTTGTGTGTGGTTTTCTGCAGCGCCAGGTATTCAGGCTTTTGAGAGGCCTGCTGGTGGGAAACTGTGGCTGCCACCACGTGGGTCCCACGATTGTGTGCATCTCAAGTCTGTTGCCCCCCTTGTTATTGAGGATCCCAGCAATGCTTTCAAGTTCAGCAAGATAACCCTGTTTAAAGGAAGGAAACATTGCTATGCAGATATTGTAGATATTGTAGAGTCAGGGTAGGCACCTAAGCAAGGAGTGCCCTGACACCAAACTGCTCCCTTTGTGGAGGGGGAAGGAAACATCTTTGAGCATCTTTGAGTGCCCAGCGGTCAAGGGCAAAGTCCTGTTGGTGGGCTAGATATGGCGTGCAAGCCTTATACTGTCTATTTTGGCATTCCTAACTATCCGGGACCAAAAGTAGAACAGATGTCCCACTGCTAGCCTGAGCCCCGGGACTGCTTCACTCCTCAATACCTGATACAAAAGGTCTCAGTGGTGTTTCAGGAAAATACTTGAAGTTAGCAAAGTTCCAGAGACTGGTGCAGGAAGATGAGCAACCATGAATTCCTTCCCCTCATTTCCCAGCACCATATTTAATCACAGTTTGAGCTAGTTAAAGAACCCTGCTTAATGTCCAGGCCACTGCCACCCTTCAATACAGTAAAACGACAAAAATGGTGAATCCACACCCAAGGGAGGAGGAGGTTTGACAGGAGGAAATGCCTAGTCTGTTCCCTTGTTAGCTATGGTGAAAGGACAGGCTGTGTTACAGCCTATAGCTACTGGCCCCAGGGGTGGGAATTCCAGAACTGGGGAGCAGCTCCCAAGGCGGGGCTGGGTCACAAAATAGCTGTTTTCAGTACAGGGTTTGTGTCGGTTAAGGAAAAGGCAACTTTAAATGAATCCATTGTACAGAAAGTTAGTGGGCGTATCAAGAGGCTGACTTTTACAAAAAGCCTTACACTTCAAAAGCAGTTGGACTGCTGCTTTATAACAGGGAAACAATCCCCAACAAAAGTCTAACTCTAAAACACACACACACATAGAGGAACTGTCCATTATGTGATCTGCAATTTAATCAACACGATTCAGAAAATGGCAATAGGCACATTTTTATTATTTCCTTCTCCTATTCTTTTTTTGGGTGGAATATGAGAGCTAGTCCCACATTCCTAGAATCAGATATGTTTTTTATACTGCCTCTCCCTTTCTACAAACTATGAAAGATGCTTAATGAGCATCAACTTCATTTTTTAAAAATGAAAATGTATTCATCACATTTCCATTGTACCATTGCTCCATGATGTCCAGGGCCATTCACAAACAGACACCACCACTATGGCTGGGGAGGCAAAGCAATATTTTAAAGACTGAAATGCACTACAGGATGCTGAAGAATGAAAAGCATTTAGTAAAAACCTGACTCAGGAAGATGGACTCATAAATGTTTCCTGTTAGAGAGTCTGTGACCCCATACAAGCTGACCAGAGCAGGTTAAAGGCCTTCAAAGCCACCACGATGTATACACTGCAACAGTTCATAAATTCTCTTCGCAAAAGAAGGATCAAACAGTAGAGAGCAAGCACCCTGAAAGCCCTCACCATCAATATGTCAGCAACATCCCCTGCCTCAAACCATAGAAGCTCTGTCCCCTAAATTTCCCTTAGAAAGGACTCTGGCCTTTTTGCTTCAAGGGTGCTTGGCTCTATTTTAACAAGACAGGCAAACAGAATATGTACATCTCAAGTTACACTATATACTTTACGTAATATGGAAACGTTCCCCCAAACGTTGCAAATTTCTTGTTTTTGTTTAACGGCTCACTATTGAACTTGAAAATATTTTTTAGCGGTGTGCATATCACTTTGAAAAATCTCTTGCCTTGGAAGTGCAAACTTATGCAATTGCAAATATTGTATCGCTAAGTGAGGAGAAGGCTGTGCTAGTCGTAGGGCGCTCACAGCCAAGCCTTTGAAGACCAGGCAATCACCCGTTCAAGTCATGCAAACCCAAATTATTAGACCAAGGAGTGCCTCAAAACAAGAGAGAAGCTACATTCCCCAGCACAAATGCAGCTATGTCAAATCTGCTGCCTTGGGTTTTGAGCTTACAGGCTATGAAATCTGTAGGAATGGGTTCTACCTAAGGGAGAAGCAATCATAAAGCTGCTCCTTGTTTTATGGCTGTTTGCTATCGTGATTCATTGAATATAATTCTTGCAGGCTTGGCTGCTGTTCATTATTCTAGTAGTAGAAGGCTAGTAGTCAGCAGATAGTCCAAGCCCACCAGCCCCTCGGTGGTCCAGGGGCACTGCAGCAAAAGCAGACAGCAGGCGCTGCCAAGAGGAAAACCAAGGTGCTCAAGGACATTCACGTGAGCCTTCCTTGCACATGGCGCTGGGCGTGTTTGCAAATGACTTAGTGATAAAGGCAGAAGTTGAAGGGTCCTGCTCATTCAGAGGGAATTTCAAACTCTTTCAGATGCCTTTTCCCAGAAGCTCAGTTCACTCTCTTTTGACTGTCATGGCTGCTATTCCCTCTGTTTTTACACACTAACGAGTATGACAACCCATCACCCTGAAACACCCACCTCGTCTCTACCTAGTCTCCCACTTGCCCAGTTTTTGTATTCCCCATAAGACGGGTCCAGCAGAGATCCCCTACCCAACCACTATGAGCATTCACTCCCAATACTCCCGGACGACTGTCCCATTAGCATCCTGGAACCCATTCCCAATCGCTACATTAATTCTGTCCCCCAAAATAGCCACCCTCCAACGAACTCACCACCATGCCCATTCCTAAACCTTTTCATCCCTTTCCTTTTATTCTCCACGCTCCCAATTCCCTTAAGACCCCCACCACCTACCCACCGACAGCCCCCTTTCAGCTTCCCACTTCTGCCACCACCATCAGGCCTCAAACTTTCGCTGCTTCTGGTCCAGCCTATATTCAGAGACACCCCCCAAAAGCTCCCGAGCTTCTTCTGCAAACCCCTCCCCACCCTCGCTATCACCCCTAACCATTGGGCATGCTGGCTGCTGGGATGCTGGGCCAGCATCATCAGGGGGGGCACCGTGTTGGCTACCTCTCCTCCCCCCAAACACAGAGAGAAAGCAGGAACACCCACCTACCCCTTCACCCTCAAGAGCCCCCCCTTCGAAGTCCCCCTCCCCCACCTCCTCAGACAACAAGGCAGCCCCCCCCCTTTTGCTTAGCTCCCCCCATTCAGAAACCCGGACTCCCCTTCTCCCTCAGGAACAGGCACCCCCACCGCCCTTGAAACAAGCTTTCTTTTAATTAAGCCCCCGCCTACACTAAGCCTCCCCCTTCCCCAAAGGACGCCCCGCCCCTTTGACCTCCCGGCAACCCCTCCCCCACATTTCACCTCACACCACATCCAACCCGGGCCCCCCCCCGCCACAAATGGGCTTCTATATTATTATTTTTTACCTTTCCTCTTGAAGAAGGACATGGTGGCGGCGGCGGCGGCGCGGGGGCCGGGAGAGGGAGGCCCGGGCGGTCCCGTCTCCCTCTCAGGGCTCCTGAGGCAGCGCCTTCCTCCTGCTCCTCCCGCAACCGCCGCCGCCTCCCGCTCCCCACACGGCGGAAAAGGAGGCAGCCGCCATGTTGTCAACAACCGCCGCTGCCGCCGCCGCGCAGGTTCTTTCTTCCGGCGGTCGAACGGTGAGGAAAGGCCTCGCGGGGCATCTCGGGAAATGTTCAGTGGCTGTTATTATTATTATTTATTTAAAAAAAAAAGTCAACGGTAACCTGCCGGCCTCTTGCCCTCAAGCGGCATGGCCGCATGGGCGTCGGGGAAGGGAAAGCGGCGAATCGAAGCGGCGGAAAGCGGGTTTTGATTGGAGGGTGTGCTCGAGGGCGCCATCTTGGACGAGGGCACGCCCCGCTGGGGGAGATCGGTAGCGCGGGGGCCATGTTGGAAGCGGGCAGGCCGTGCCGAAGAGAGAGGCCATCTTGGGAGAGGGCAAGCTGTCTCTTTCGTCCCTCGCCACTCCGCCGTCCGGCCGTTGGAGCCCGAAGGCAGCCATCTTGTGTAAGGGAACGGTCGTCGGCTAGGATGGGCCGTTCCTGGCTGGAAGTGATTCTGGTTCAGGCATATTGGTTAAGGGCAGCACCAGACCAACCACAATACCTCCTCTGCTAACGGAAAGGTATTGATATGAGAGAATCAATCAATACTGGGCATGATTATCTCTTTATGATGTATAATTATAGTATGTCATGTATATTATTTATTTATTCCTAATTTTTTACCTTGCTATTCTCCATTTAGGTCTCAGAGTGGCTTTCAATAATAAAATATAAAAAATTTAAACTAATTTATTTTTTTATAAAATTTATGCTCAGGAGGCCTTAATTCGCTGAAGCAACGCTGGTGCTATCCTCTAGTTGAGGACATGCGTGTTAATATGTCGGGCATTTTTAAAAATGATTTTAAAAAATTAATTTCCCAATATTTACCCTATTTTACCACAGTTTTGCCAATTATACATATTCCAATTAATATCAAAATAATTCAAATTTATTCCAAATTTATACAGTTTAATCAAAGTGGTTTCCTGTGTTCCTTGATCAATGTTTTTTGTCCAGTTCTTATATTGTTGGGGTTCATATTTTTTATTGACATCAAATTACATTTCAGTTTTTAGCAATTACTATTTGTGTTAATACCTTCTCTAACTTTCCATAGGATTTCAAAGGAGGTGCTCTAATTATTTTCCTTTTCTCTGCATGTGTCAGTCTAAATATGTCCAATTATAAAGTCCTGGCCTTTATCTGCTGTCCAGTTCCTGAAATTCCTCCAACTGCTGTTGTCTCTCAGTGTAGCTGGGTTGGGGCTATAACCATAAATAATTCTCATAATATCTCATTAGCTCCTTCCCATCATGTTCACCTTGCTTGGTGTTTCTGGACAACAACATACTCCACAGTCCATTCTTTCTCACTACTCAGTCAACAAATGTGTCCAACATTAAGACCGTTTGAGATGCCAAAATAATATATGACAAATTCTTTTGACAATATATATAGATTGGTATCATCAAAAAATTTGGACATCAAACAGGTTTCTTTAGTAATATTTATCATTTCTGACTACAACATAAACAACAAATTTGTACCAATGTACTTTTTCTCACCACAAACGATATGTACTAAGTTTATTGTAACCCTTCCAACAATTAGGTTGATATAGAGGAGTAGCTGGTTACAATATTACCAATTGAATGAAACATTTAAACATGATAAAAAGTGCGGCTTTGATGAACAAAGTTCCCAATTTGAAAGGGAACTAATAGAAAACAGAGGAAAAGTGATTTTAAGGATTTATATTGTTAGAATGGGACACCAAGGATGAAAAGATTAAATCTGCTATGATCTCGGGATGTGGGGCACAATATAGACTTAGAATCATGGGGAAAACTGTGGAAATTTGGGTTGAATTTCACAACGTGTTATACTTTGAGGGAAAACTTCATTAAAATGATATATAAAACTGTACCTAACACCAAGTAAATTGGCAAAGATGTTTAAATCAGCTTCAAATATCTGTTGGAAATGTAAAGAAGTAGAAGGTTCATTTTACCACATGTGGTGGACATGTAAAGTGGCTAAGGACTTTTGGGAGATGATTTATAATGAGACAAAAAAGATATTTAAGGTAACTCTCCTCAAAAGACCAGAAGCCTTTTTATTAGGGATGGCTGGAACAGATGTCCCCCCAAAATAGGTAAATCTGTTGCTTTATGCAACATTGGCAGCATGAATATTATATGCACAAAAAAGTTACCCATTAAAGAAGAATGGCAACTGAAATTGTAGAATATGTAGAATTGGAAAGTCTGATTTGCAAAATTAGAGATCAAAAAGAGACTGACTTTAAGGAGGACCGGAAAATGTTTGTAGATTATTTAAAAACTCAATGTAAACATGTTTAAATGCAAGTAGGATTTGAGTAAGAACAACAGTGGAAAGTATGGTGGAGTTTTTTTGTGAAGAGGTTAAGGCATAGAATAATAATAATAATATGCAGCAAGAATTGGAATTTTGGGGAAACCATGGAGGGGTGGAGGAGAAGTCCTAGGACTAGGTTGACTGATTAAATTTGAAATGTTGTTGAATTATCATTTAGTTTTCAAATTTCTATAAATAAAAGGAGTGCGATGCCATCTGTGTAGTAATTTCAAGGAGTTTGCCCCAAGAAAACTGGAAACAGAAGAATTTGTGTGCCAGTTTCTAGTTCCAAAACCTTTCTAAAGGCTTCCCTAAATCTGTAAGTGACATGAAGGCAAACCAATCCATTGTGTTTAATTCATTTTCAAATGGTGCTAAGGGTCTCAGAGCTTGTGCTTTTACCATTTATAATTAAACTATGAATTCGGTAAAAATAAGTTGCTATTTGTTAACACCCCACTTTGATGAAAGAGGTTTTCTCTAGACAGGATGAAAGCTTGGTGGATGTTTCAATCTATTAAATGTAGAGGATATCCTCTTTGAAGGAAGTTCACTGATGATCCTTCTTTGGTATGTATATTTATTGTTGCAAATGCATTTGATCCTGAGAGCCAAGCTGTAGACAACATGTATCCATTTTGGATGGCAGGATTTCCTGTACAGCTAGGTGTGGGCATCAGTGGGCTTGCTGTAGAGAAGATCTGTGGCTTTTTGTGCTTCCAGTGCTGAGGAGGACATTGAGGAAAGGAATGAGTGACCTATCAGTGGTGCTGGTAAATGTAAGCTTGATAGCTGGATGAACAGAATGGACGTAATTGATCTTTTTGCCATTTGCCCAGACCATCAATGTATCACCGTCATTTAAGTGTTTTGTGAGTGGACATTGTTAGTAAACTTGATAGTTGGATGAATGAAGTGGGTGTAAATTGATAAAGTGGATGTAATAGATAGGTTATCTTTGCCATTTGTCCAGACCACAAAGATATCATCAATGCATCGCCATCATATAAGTGGTTTTGTGAATGGGCTACCTGAGGATATTGTTCCAAGTTTTCACATGATTAAGATGGAGGCATAGCTCTGTGGTTCTCACACTCATTGAATCCCCACAACAACCCTGTGATGTAGGTTAGGCTGAGAGGCAGTCACTGGCCCAAGATCACCCAGTGAGCTTCAGAGATGAGTGAGGATTTGCACCTTGGTTTCCCAGGTCCTAGTCAAACACTCTAACCACTACACTATAGTTCGATCAACTGATTATATGGATAATCAGTTGATCGAACAAGTTACAGTCTTTAAATACCTCGGCTTTATTTTTCAGTCAACAGGGTCATGGGGAGCACATCAGAAATATGTAAAGGAAAAAGCGCCAAAATTCTGAAACACTTTTTCCATATAAAAGGTGACAATCACATGCCATCAGCACTTGAAGTGTTTAAAGCTAAATCCCTAGCACAGTTATTATATGGGGGTCAGATTTGGACAGGCACTCACCTTGGATCAATCTAAGTTCCTAAGGCAATTTCCCCCCATGTTCCAAATGCTTCATCGTGCTTGGAGGCTTTTCTCCCCTTTGTTGAATTACAGACTTGGTGTACGATATTTAATTATTGGCTTCGCCTAAATTTAAACCCCACCAGTCTACTACCCTTAGTATCGCAAGATTGTCACGAGAGTGCTTGGACTAAAATTGTCAACCAAAAGCTTTACTTTTCTGGTTTATCACCACAACAGTTATTAACATTGGGCTTCAGTAAAGCAAATAATTTAATTAGTGCCTTTATGATATTGAGCAACAGAATCATTTGGCCATGATAAGGAAATTTTGTCCATGGTATGATTATTTTCCACCTAGTCATTTTGACACATTGGCACCCTATTTAACAATTCCAAAATACAGATGCACTTTCACTTATGCAAGATTAAATACACTGCCTTCAGATGTACTTGAGGGTCGATTTCAAAAAATCCCACTGGAAAAACGGTTATGTCCATGTGGAGATAGCAGTATTGAGTCAGTAGCTCCTGTGCTACTAGCTTGCACTCTCTATTAAGATTTGAGGAGTGAGGTTATTACACCTCTACTACTATCCATACCCGGTCGGTCAACCATTGCTATTGTGTCCGTCCTTGTAGCAGATCAAGATAATCAGGTGACAGCAAAAACTGGAGAGAAAAAATTAGCAGGGGAAATTAGAATAATATATTTTATTTCATTATTGATGTAAACCCCTGGAATGTATTTTGTATCGTTAAGGTTTTACCTCTATCGTCAGTTCATTTTATTTTATGTTATTGCTATGGCTAGTGGCTGATGCAAATAAAGATTCTGCTGCTGATGATGATTTTGTGCACTCTTGGCTCAGTGCCATGTCCAGGGGAACCACCCACCCTGCCCTAAATCCAGCACTGACCTTGGTCAGGGCTGTAGCTCAGTGGTAGAGCACCTGGCTTTGCATGCAGAAGGTCCCAGGTTCAATCCCCAGGATCTCTGAGTAGGACTGGGAATATTCCCCCATCTGAAATCCTGGATTGCTGCTGACAGTCAATGTAGTCAGTACTGAGCAAGATGGACCAAAGATCTGACTTGGCATAAGGCAGCTTCCCGTGTTCCTCTTTAAATCAGCCTTTCATTTAGAACCACGAGGACCTTGTTTTGTTTTAAGGGAATAGGTAAAGGTAAAGGGACCCCTGACCATTAGGTCCAGTCGTGACCAACTCTGGGGTTGCGGCGCTCATCTCGCTTTATTGGCTGAGGGAGCTGGCATACAGCTTCCGGGTCATGTGGCCAGCATGACTAAGCCACTTCTGGCGAACCAGAGCAGCGCATGGAAACGCCGTTTACCTTCCCGCCAGAGCGGTCCCTATTTATCTACTTGCACTTTGACGTGCTTTTGAACTGCTAGGTTGGCAGGAGCAGGGACCGAGTAACGGGAGCTCACCCTGTTGCGGGGATTCGAACCGCCGACCTTCTGATCAGCAAGCCCAAGAGGCTCTGTGGTTTAACCCACAGCGCCACCCGTATCCCGATTTTAAGGAAATAGCTGTGGCTTAATGGTAAGAGCATCTGCTTTGCATGCATAAGGTCTCAAGTTCAGTTCCCAATGGAATCTCCTTGTAGGGATGGGCCCCTTGTCTGAAACCCTGGAGAGCTAAGTAGCTTCAATCTTTTCAGACCCATGACCTATGTTCTTCTACCTGAGCCGTCTTACATATTCCAACATCCCATGCTATTTTATTGGAAAACACCAGGGGGCGCTTGTCCACCTTTTTGCAAACTTAATTGCCTTTAAAACTTCTCTCTTGCAACCCAAAAAGAGAGTTCAGCCGCACAGCTCAGTGGTATCTTTACCAAAGAAAGGAATCCTTATAAATAATGCCGGGTCTGAGTGCAACATTATTTTCCTCAGCCTCTACCCACCGTTTCCAGATCTGTTCCTGATGAACTTTTAACAGCAGTCAAAACCAGTAGCTGAGTCATGGCGGAGATGACTGGCAGAATCCGTGACCAGGGAAAAGAGTCGGTGGAAGAAGATTGGAAGAAATTTAAAGACTATCTACAGAAATACTATAAAATTAATGAATGTTAAATTGAGGTCTGATTGAAAATAACTGGTATTGGCAAAAGCCTTGTGATTAAGAGCATGGAATATTTGATCGATAAAGTTGTAATATTTATATATAAATAGATTAACTTTTTGAGTTAAGATAAAGAAAGGAGGGTAAGGATTTGCTGAAAGGAGTTCTTAAATGGAAATACAAGCGGGGAGATGTGGGAAGTCAAAGAATTAGGTAATGATAAGAAGGTTAAATGAAAGTATAATACTTTTTAAATTTTTCTGTTTCTTTTTCTTTTTTTCTCTTTTCTTTTTTTTGTTATGGATATTGTTATCTCTGTTTGCTTTTTGTTATTGTTATCGTTGTTTTCTGTTTGTCGAATTTTTGTATTTTTGCATCTTTTGGAATTTCTTTTGTAAAACCAATAAATATTATATTTAAAAAAAAAAAAAAACCAGTAGCTGAGTCAGCCATCCATCTAGCTCACTATTATCCCCACTGACAGTGACTCTCTGGAATGCCCCCTCAACCTAGACTGGTTCATTTGGGCCAAACAGGGCACTGCCCCACCAACCTCGGTTCGTCCTCAGCCAGCCCTCCCCTCATCTGCCTGCCTGCCTTTTTATAGCCAGCCCAGAGCCAGGGCTTTGCCTTTCAGCTTCCTCCTCCTCAGTCTCAGTAGAACTCAGCTGGGAGGAGGATGGGGACAAACCTAGAATTAGTTGGCTCTGCCTGCCATTGGCTCTGGCTCCCCCTACTGTCCGTCTCCCTGCCTTTTGCCTTATCAGTCCCAGTGGCCACCAGCCACTGTAATGAAGTAAACCTTGGGTGAAAAATGAAGCGTGTCTTGGCTTTTCAATAGGGGAGGGAAAGAAAGGGGACAGCATTTGGGGCTTTTTAGTTTAGAAAAACGGGGCATGGCAGAGGTGCATAAGAATCTATCGGTGGAGGGGAGAAAGTATATGTTGGGAGATTCCAAACAAAAGGAAGGACACCACGCATGGTTAAAACTGAAACTCCCTCCAAGAGATTGTGATGCAAACGGCCACCAACTTGGATGGCTTTAAAAGTTGTTGGGACAATGGAGTGCTCCTCCAGGGGTGAAGTTGTACCGCAGCACGGAAGTGACTTTCCACGGTGTGCAACGCCTGGGCAGTGTGTATGGAGATCCTGGGCTGCCCAGACCCCCTTCTCAGCCTCGCTGGACTCATGTGGGACTCAGGAGATGGCTCTCAGTGGCTATTGGCCATGATGTCTAGGTTCTCCCTCCACAGTCGGAGGCCGTAATGTTTCTGAACATTGGACTCTCAAGTGGGGAGCGAGGGCGCTGCGCTCAGATCCTGCTCGCGCGCTCCCCATTGGGGATCCCGGTTGCTCACTGCACTAGATGGGTCCCCTTTGGCCTGACCTCTCCCGATCCTGATTCACGTCGTCATCACCGCCGCTTCGGATTCGGGGTGCCGCTTCGAGCAAAGGGGAAGCCTCCGCCGGGTGGGGCGCGAGCCAGCCACCCCCCGCGCTCCTCCCCACCGCTTGCCGGCAACGCTTCCACGTGACGGCGAGGCTGGATCCAGGGAGCCGCCCACCGGGAGCCGAGCGAAAGAAAACACTCGGCTGCGGGCGGCGAGAGAGGCAGTGAGCGCACCTGCTCGCTGCGCACGGAGGCGCACCGCTCGCCAAACCTCTCCAAGGGCGCGCCTGACCTCTCCAAAGCGCGCAGGGAAGAAGACGGAGAGGTCGCCTCTCGCTCGCCACGTGCGCCGCTGCCCCTCGTCCCATGGCCCTTCCCGGCCCGAGGTGAGCCAGCCAGAGAGGGCCCTCCATGCCGGCGCGCCAGAAGCAGGAGGCGAAGAAGAAGAAGAAGAAAGGCGCCGGCGCCGGCCGCGTGGATGCGGCGGCGCTGCTGCTGCGGGAGCGCACGGCAGCCGGAGCAGCCACGGGCTCCCTGGGCCAGCCGCCTCCCGCCGCCGCCCTGCCGAGGATGTTCAGCTGCGTGGGCTGCTTCTGGGTCCTCTTGTCCTCCTGCCTGGTGGCCGTCTGCAGCTTCAGCTTCCTCTCGCCGGCTTGGATCGTGAAGGAGCGCGGCGGCGGCGGCGGGCGGCGTTTGGTGGTGGCCACGGCCGCCGCCCTGGAAGGCAGCGAAGGCGGCGCCGGCGGCGGAGAGGTCAGCTTCGGGCTGCTGTGGCACTGCTCCGAGTCCCTGCGCCACATGTACGACTGCTACACCTTCGGCGGCCTGGGGAGGTTCAGCGAGATCCCCTCCGGCTCCTGGCAGGTGAGCGAGGGGGGAGCCGAAGAGGCGGGTTGAGCCTATCTAGCTTTGTGTTGTTCACACTGGCAGGCAGCGACGGCGGCGGGGGGGGGGGGGGAGGCGGTTCGGATAACGGGACCTACCCAGCCCACCAGGAGATGCCGGGGAATGCACCTGGGACCTCTTGCGGGCAAAGCAGGCGCTCTATACCACTGGGCTACAGCTCCTCTTTTATAAATCAAGAAAGGTTCTAGTCCTCATGCTTCTGAATTACAGGCTGGTTGAATGGGAACATAAGAAGCTGCCTGGCAACAGCTCTCTCTCTCTCTCTAATAAGGGGGTATTCCCAGCCCTACCTGGAGATGACATCAGCAATTGAACCTGGGACCATTCTGCGTGCAAAGTGGATGCTCTGCCAATGAGCCTCTGCTTGGAGCTGCCTTATATCAATTGTGCCAGGCAGTTAGTCTTTCTAGCTCAGTATTGCTGGTGGCAGCTCTCCAAGGTTTTGGCAACGGGAGGCATTCCCAGACCACTAGGGAATGGTGGGCATTGAATCTAGGAGTATGAGGAGCTGCCTTATGCACGCTGGATGGCCCTCTGTCAAGGATGCTTTAGCTGAGATGCCTTCATTCCAAGGGGTTGGACTGGATGACCCTTGGGGTCCCTTCCAACTCTACAATTCTGTGATTCTATACTGAGTCAGACCTTTGGTCTTTCTAGCTCAGTGTTATCTACCCTGACTGGCAGTAGTGGCTGCCCAGGGTTTCCCATGTGGAGATATTCCCAGCCACACCTAGAAATGCTAGGGACTAAACCTTCTGCATGCAAAGCAGGTGTTCTGCCACAGAGGTGTGTAATCCTTCCACTGAAAATAAGCATAAAATTCTAGTTCTGAATAAAGAGCTGGAGCAGGAAGCTGCCTTTTGCTGAGTCTGACCATTGGTCCATCTAGGTCAGTACTGCTTACACTGACGGGCAGCGGCCCTCCATGGCTTCAGGCGGATAGTTTTCCCCCAGCCCTGCCTGGAGGTGCCATTGGGGATTGAACCTGGGACCTTCTGCATGCAAAGCAGATGCTCTGAAATTGCGCGGTGGCCTTTCTCCTAGCCCCTGTGGAATTGCGTCGTAAAATTGCACCTAAATCTGCAGCGGCGACTTCCAAGGAAGGTTGTTTCGTGTCAAGGTTGCCAGCTGGATTGCCTTGCCTCTGAGGTTTTTAATTTTAATTTGTGTCCTGGGTGTGTGTGCACGCGCGTGCCTTGTTTCGATGATGCCAAAAACGAAAGCCTAGCAGAAAACAAGCCGGAGATGTTTGCTGGGCTGTGCGGGTGTCAGCAGGCAGACAGCATGTGCTTTGCAGTTAGAAATCTGTTGGGAGCTTCAGGGGAGGAAAAAAGAAAGCGCTTCTTGACATAGTGCATAGTTCGTACTGGGGCATTTGTTCCCACAAGAGGGAGCAATGGCCACCAAGGTGAATGAAATTTAAGAGTGGGCTCACAGAGGCTGTCATGGTGGTAGTGCTCTCCCTTCCACTGTTGAAGGCAGGATGGTGGGGATCACAAGAGGAGAGAGTGTTGCTGTTGGCAATCAGGTTCTGCGTGTGGGCTTCTCTTTGGGGCATCCGGTTGGCCGCTGTGAGATGCGGGGTCCTGGACTAGTTGCACCCAGTGTTAGAAATTAGCCAGGAGCCAGGCGCGTTTTGCTACTGGCGTGGGTCCAGTTGCAACCACGAGGGGATTTCTGGATGGCAGTTGGGTAACCACAGTTTAAAAACCTCTGCCTCTGTTCATAGTTATTACCATTTCCACTGTGTCTTTCCCCCCCCTCCTTCTTGCATTCTGGGGCAAGTGAATTGTAAGAGCAAGCTACAGTCAAGCAATGTAGTTGAGATCAGAGAATCTTGGAAGGAACTCCAAGGTGCATCTAGTCCAACCCCCTGGTGAATAGACTATGGTGACTGTAACCTAGGTTCAAGGTGCCATTTGGCGAATAGCTTATATATCTGAGTTTCTAACACTGGATGCACCCCCATGGGCCTGTTCCAGCAGCTAGGCTTCCGGTGTTCTTAGAAGCTTCTAGGTTTGATCTTCAGCGTCTCCTATTATAAAAATCTTGGGTAACAGGGTTGGGAAAAGACCTGTCTTTGCCTGAAACCTGCTTCCAGGGAGTCGGGCCACTGGATGGGGCTGATGGGGGAGATGTAGTCCAAAACATAGAGAGAGGGGGGCACCAGTTTGGGACTGGCCAGCACAGACAATACTCAGGAGAACAGCAGACTTGCAAGTGTTGTAGCTTGTGCAGGAGGCTTGGAGCTGGTGTTTAGAACGATTTAACGATTTAGAACGATTCGGGCCACTGGATGGGGCTGATGGGGTGGCTCTTTAGAGAAAAAAAGTCAGTTGCAATTAACAAAGAAGAATAAGGATGGGGAAGAATCCCCCCCCCCCCAGAATAAGGCCAATGAGGAGTTGCTATGCTTGGTAGGTGATGGCACTGAATGTTGAATATGAGTTTGAAACATAAACTGGTTTTTTATGTAAGAGTTCAGTGGAGTATCCTGCTGAAGGGCATGGCTGACTGGCTGGCAGGTACCCCGAACTGGAATGCTCCTGTTGACAGGGATGAAGATTACATTGCAGTAGTTTGTTGTGGGCCATGCATTTATGCAATGGAATGGAGTACACGGTTGTTTGGCTGGCTGGCTGGCTGGCTGGCGGGTCCCCTGAACAGGAACAGGGGCATAGATAACATTGCTATATTTTGTTGCTGGTTCCACTTGCCACTGTATACATTTAAATGATTTATAAAGGTTTAAAACAACATTTTAACTTTTATTAATCATGCATTGGGGATTGGTCCTCCCCTCCCCCCCGGCAAATCTTTCGTTCTTGCTCAGTGATGGCGCGGAATCAGTGTGAATTCTTGTGTAGCACATTAATAGGCTAAGAAATGTGTTATTATGGGGTCTGTCAGCCACAGCAGCCTGACACTCTTTTTTAAAAAAAATAATTTTTATTAACCGACCAATCAAATCAAATCACATCACATCACATAAATTCCGAATTACAAAGCCGAATTTTAAATTTTTGTTGAGGGGACCCATATTTCAAGTTTCGAAGGGGGATTCCGATCATCTTCTTGCTACTGCGTTCATATCAGCAGCCTGACACTCTTTTACCCCTGTGGAAACGGCCATGGTTCTTGTGGAGTGGAAATGTCAATCGGCAGCTAATTATCACTGCTGTGGAACCGGGCTCTTCCACTTGGCTTTTTTGCAATATTTACAACTCACATTTCATTGACTCGTCTAAGAGTTGGTTGGAATACTTGTTGAGTTTGATATCTATATCTATCTATCTATCATCTATCTATCTATATCTATCTATCTATCTATCTATCTATCTATCTGTCTATCTATCGAGTTGGCTTCATTCTGGAGAGTTTGCATTTCTGGCTTGAACGTCTGCCAATTTCATTCCTGAGTTTTGTGCTAAAGGGCGGTTGCCACCTTTCCTGGCCTGACCCTGCACCTCTTGGCGAGTTGCTTTGGTACCTCTCTTCCAACAGCACAAATAGCTTTGGAGGGCTTTTTTCTTTTTACTGTGCTCCTAGCATGGGGGAATCAAGTTGAAAACAACAGCCGCCCTCCTTGGCCCTTGCTGCAAACTTGAGCCTTGTTGCCCCCCTCCCCCGCAAATAGGAGCAGAACCGGGGGCCTTCTGCATGCAAGGAGATGCCCTGTTCTCCCTCTAAAAATAAAGAAACATTCCAGTCCTCATGGTTCTGATTTAAATAGGAATAGAGGAAGCTGCCTTATATTGAGTCAGGTCACTGGCCCATCTAGCTCAATATTGTCTGCACTCACTGGCAACTGATCTCCAGCGTTTCAGGCAGTGGGACATATCCAGCCCTACCTGGAATTGCCACTGGGGATTGATCCTGGGACCATCTGCATGCAAGGCCAGATGCCCTGCCACTGAGCTACACTCCCCTCTATTTAAATCAGGAGTGGGGGAACCCTTTTCAGCTCGAGGGCCGCATTGTGTTGTGAGCAACCTCTTGGGGGCCGCATGGCAGGGCCAAAGGCAGAAATGGGCAGAGCAACAAATTTGCTTCATAGAAAACGTCAGGGGTTTGATACATGAGCACCCCACCGACACAATTTTACACCTTCTTCCGCGTAAGCGCAGAAGCACAGTCGCAGGCAGGTCAAAGCACACAAGGGGAGCTTATCCAGGTGATCTGGGTTGTGGACCTGGAAGGGGCATGTGAAAAAGCCCCCAGGGCCAGATAGGGAAGCCTGGAGGGGCCACATTTGGCACCCTGAGCCAGAGGTTTCCCTACTCATCATCATCATCATTTTGTTTGTATGCCGCCTTTCCATAGTTGAAACCATGCTCAAGGCGGCTTACAACATGACGAGGTTTACACAGCTACAAACGTAACAGAAGTCATGAACAATAAATAAAACACATCAAAAAGTATACAACCAAATGGAAACAATTTCCACATAAATAATAAGATCCCAAACCAAAGATACAACAATAACATCAATAGCAGCAACAACTTCTCCCAACCCCCTGTAAACAAGTTAAGGGTTTGAAAAAGAATCACACAGTGCTAAACAGGCTTGAACGTTAGAGGCATTTGGAGCCTCAAACCTGCACAGAGTTTAGGTAAAGGGACCCCTGACCATTAGGTCCAGTTGCGGACGACTCTAGGGTTGCGGCGCTCATTTTGCTTTACTGGCCGAGGGAGCCGGCGTACAGCTTCCGGGTCATGTGGCCAGCATGACTAAGCCGCTTCTGGTGAACCAGAGCAGCGCACAGAAACGCCGTTTACCTTCCCGCCAGAGCGGTACCTATTTATCTAATTGCACTGGTGTGCTTTCGAACTGCTAGGTTGGCAAGAGCAGGGACCGAGCAACGGCAGCTCACCCCGTTGCGGGGATTCGAACCGCCGACCTTCTGATCGGCAAGTCCTAGGCTCTGTGGTTTAACCTACAGTGCCACCCATGTCCCTGCACAGAAGTTTAGTTAGGTGCTAATAGTAGTTAGGTTACTATTCCTAGCTTGGTGGCGAAGAAACAGGAACATTTTTGGCCTACTAAATTACTGTGTTCGAACAGATTTAGAAGGGACGCTGGGCATGTATAAATACACAGTGTGTATTTATGATGTGGCTTGCAGGGTGTTCTGAATAAGCTTTGTGGTTGTCCGTCTGCACAGTGAGGCTATAGATGTTTAGACTACAACTCCCTTCATCCATGGCCATTGGCCATGCTGGCAGGGAGCCTAAGCAGAGCCCCACTGGATCAGACCAAAGGATGCTCCAGCGTCCTCTTCTCACAATGTTCAAGCAGATGCCCCAATGGGAGCCTGCGAGCAGGACCTGAGAGCAAGAGCCATGCTCTCCCCATGTGTGATTCCCAGCAAATGGTCCCCAGACGCATACTGCCTCATTGATAACCTTCTCCTCCATGCATTGTGTATCGCCCTTGCCAAGCCACCCAGGTTGAACTATGTGCCATATTATCTTTAGGGCAGACTTTTTTCATACAGCGCATAGTTAATTTATGGAACTCTCTCCCACAGGAGACAGCAATGGCCCCCAATTTAGATGGCTTTGAAAAAGGATTGGGCAAGGCTGTTGATGGCTTCCAGCTACGATGGCTACCATCAGAGATAGCAATGTTTCTCCATCCCTGGGATACAGCGGTTGTCACCCTTGGGCCAATCACAGCCCTGCCTTGCCGTGGCTATTCATTCTTCTAGCATGTCACAGGAGTTCTGCTGGCATTTTATCGGCGCTGTTGGCATTCTGTTGAATTTCCACCAGATCCTAATTTCCCTGCCCCTGCCCTTGGAAAAAGCTGGTCTCAGATGCAATAGAGGGTGGTGACCTTTACAAATCTCGAAGATTTCCGAGGTTGGCTTCAGACGTTGTTGGAAAACCTGCCTCCCCACCCCATTGCTGGGGGTGGGGGGTGCTGAAGTAGCACCCCACAAATCCTCATACCCAAGCGGTGGCTGGGAGAAGGAACCGGAGGTGTGTGTGTGTGTGTGTGTGTACACAGCCTGTGCCTTTTGTCTGAGGGAAGCCGCTCTCACCAAAGGATCATTAATGCAAGCTGTGTGTTTTGTCGGAAGGGGAATTATGCTAATCGCCTTACAAATGATGCTTTGAGTCGTGCCTGGAGGTTAATTAAGGGGCCTTTCCCCTCTGAAAGAGGGGCACTGTGTCTGTTTAAAAATGCAAACACTGTTTTAGATCGAAGGATTGGTCTCCCTGGACTTCTTGTTTTGCAGCTTGAGAGCGATGTGTCTAGCTTCATTATATATATTTATATTTTACCCCCACTTCCAATATCCCAGGCCCGGAATGGGGAAGTCTGTGGTCCTCCATAGGTTGTCTCCATCTCCCATCAGCCCTTGCAGGAGTGAGGGGACACTGAGGGTCACAGCTTGCACCTCCTTGTCCCTCTTGGTCCTCACATGCTGCTTTTCTAGGTGCAAGGATCCCTCCCCCCTGCCCTGTATTCTCCTTAATGGGGCTAAACTTCCTCATCTGTACCCTAAATGATGCATCTGCAGGGTGGGGAGCCTATATTGCCTAATGCTCTGGATTATGTACTTCAGATCTTGGGTCCTTAGGTTTCTTGAAGCCTCAGGGCCTATTACTAACCCCAGCCCTAGCAATCGGTTATCACAGTGAGACCAGCAGAAGCAATCATCGCTCCTATTAACATCATTCAGCTGTGTGCGCTGTTCCTTTTGCAACCAAACCACTTGCCGTCCATGCACAAGAGTACAGCAGGCTTGTGGGAACTTCTTGCAGAAGTAGGAAAAAAAAGCTTTTTTTGCATGGGGAAAACCTAAAACTGAAAAGCATCCAGTGAGCATGCTTAAGAATTTTGTTTAACTTTTTTGGAGTGTGTGTGTGTTAGGAAATTGAATGGAGTGGTCTTGGCAGAGGGCCTGGCTGGCACCCTGGCAAGGAACGCAGCCCACTGCAACATTTTGTTGCAGGTCATGCCTGTTGGTTCAGTCTCAGGTTAGCTTAGGCAACAGATCTCTTTCCTGGCTATCTGTTTATTCAAGGGAAGGAACCTTTTCCAGCCCAGAGGGTGGCCCTGAGAGAGAAACTGGGGGAGGGGGGCTTTGGGAAGTGCCTCTCCTTGCTGGGAAACGCTCTCCCTATTTGGCACAGGGGAGTAATTCAATTCAGTTTGAATCTTAGCAATATGCAAAGCACACCCACCCTTCGAAATCTCCTCCAAATTCTGCAAATGGGTGGGTATTCCAAATCCTACATGGAGATGCATGGGATTGAACCCTCAACCTTCTGTGTGTCAAACAGATTCTCTGTTGCTGAGCTGCAGTCCACCCACCCCCAAAATTAATGTGCTACGGATTAATTAATATGAATGAATCACACGTTGTGAATTGGGGAGACTTGGATGAAGCTAACCATGTGTCTCTTTGGGTTTTCCCCCGGGAGCGTGCAGCGTCTGCTAAGATACTGATCCGTCAGGAAGGACGGGGGTGCAAGAACCTGGGGGGCTCCTCTAATGAGGATTCCATTCTTGATGTTGATCGGGTGGCAGGGAAGGACCCCTTCGCTCCTCTGGAGCAGTAATGAAGGCAGGTTGGGAACAAGAGAAAGTGGGGGGGGGGTCTGATCTGGCAAACTACGGCACCCGAGGTGGCCGCCTAATTAAAATTTCATTAAGCTTCTTTGCCTGCCTTGGTGGGGGTCTCTGGCTGCACAACTGATGTGCTAATGCCTTCGCTTGCCTCTTTCCTTTCTCTTCCCCACCCTGTCTATCATCTCCTCCCCCTCCCAGATTAAAAAAAAGCAGCATTGTGTGGACTGCACACAGCAATCATCCCCTCTCCCTTCTCCCCAGAAACATCAGCAATGGGCTGGGTTTATTACAGGAACTTGCTTTAAACCAAGGCAGAGTTATTTGCACATCTACCCACTGTTGGCAACTCTGACTGGCAGAGCAGGGTTCCCCACCTCATCCCCCGTTGCCTGCTACACTGGGGGGTACCTGTAACCACTCTAACCACTATGCAATACTGCCTGTTGGTCCTATGACTTTACCCTTGTCCAGCCACTTCCATCACCTCCGATTGCAGGATTGCTTTGGTTTTCATTCGTTATGGAAAATAAAGGCAATTGTCGTCTGCAGGCTTTGCGCACGAACCAACGCTGTCAACTCTGGTCAACTCTCACGGCTGCAGCTTGGAGATGATCGCATATGTGAATGGAAGGGTGCTTGGGGGTTGTGGGGCTGGCTGCAAAAAGGTGCAGCCTGGAATCTATTCATAGATCAAGGGAGATGAAAGCATCGCATTAAGAAAGGCTTCCTTGCTGTTTTTGAATCCTCACCCCCTGGAGCGTGAGAGGCGTTTCTAGGGAAACGAGTATTGCTGAGCATCTGCAGAGTCCAGTACGATTGCACTTCACCACTGTGTTCAATAAATGGGGGAAAAAACCATAGTATCGCTGAGCATGTGCAGAGTTCAGTGCAACTGCATTTTACCCGGACCTCTGATAACTCTGCTCAAAGAGTGAGGGCTTTTAAGAGAAGGGTAGGCAGGCACTTTCCAGGGACAGATTGCTGTCCCTTTGGAAAGGGGGTTGGTTTGGATGACCTCCCAGGTGCCCCCACAACTTACTTTTGATCCTAACTTTGTGTTTCCTCAAGACTTTGAACTCTGGCACTTCTCCTGAATGTTTTCTTGTACTGCACTTGCAAACCAAATGTCAACTGTTGTGTTTCAGAGCTGGGGATGTGCAAGCCTTCTAGATGGTGCTTGGCTGCAACTCCCATTATTTTCCCTGACCGTGGAGCTATGCTGGCTGAGGCTGGTGGGAGTTGGGAGTCCAGTCCAACAACATCTGGAGTACCACAGATATTCCCCATCTCCAGTCGACTTGGCGGGTGAGCAGAGGTGATAGAATCATAGAATTGTAGAGTTGGAAGGGACCGCAAGGGTCATCTAGTCCAACCCCCCCCCCAAGGATCCTGGGAATTGTAGTTTACCCCTAGAGCTGCAATTTCCATCTAAGGGACCCCTGACCATTAGGTCCAGTTGTGGCTGACTCTGGGGTTGCGGCGCTCATCTCGTACAGCTTCCGGGTCATGTGGCCAGCATGACTAAGCCGCTTCTGGCGAACCAGAGCATTTCACAGAAATGCCATTTACCTTCCCTCCGGAGTGGTACCTATTTATCTACTTGCACTTTGATGTGTTTTTGAACTGCTAGGTTGGCAGGAGCAGGGACTGAGCAACGGGAGCTCACCCCGTCACGGGGATTCGAACTGCCGACCTTCTGATCAGAAAGTCCTAGGCTCTGTGGTTTAACCCACAGCGCCACCCGCGTCCCTAATTTCCATCTAGTCCAACCCTAACCCTAATCATTGTCCTTAGCAAACTACAGCTCTCAGGATTTTTCGGGGGAAGTAAATGTACAATGGAGATGTGGCCACATGTGGTGTGAAGAGCAATGAATCAAAGAGAACTTGAGCAAAATAAGTATCTTCTCCCCACGCCCCAATTGGCTCTGTCCCCTGACTCCAATCCTGCTTACTTCCCTGGTGAGCCGGCATTGAGCCATATGGGCTTTTCAGAGCATTCTGTGACATCAGAGCACTTCCACCTATGATTGGGGAGGGCTGGAGCTTGTAGATAACAGCCAGGTGGTTAATTTTTTTAGCCTGACCTCTTTTGAATTTTGAGAGTTCACCAATAAGATATGCAGAATCCAAGTATTTGAAATTCTCTTCTTCCCTCTTGTTACAAACAGCTTTACTTAACTTTCTAATAAAAGGATAGAATAAAGAGGTTTGATACTTGTTTTAAAAGCACTATTTGTAGAGAATGAATATGTCATAAACATCATTGTCTGTAATAAACATTAACTTGTGAGGTTGCCAAATGCACAAATTGGCCCCAGTGCTTCTGTTTAGTCAGGTTGTCAACTTCCTAAACATGTGCATTTTAATTGTGACACCCTTCCCCTCCCTCCAGACACAAGAGGGTCCCCCTACCCCATAGTTTGAGGACTCGGCTTCTACTACTCCTTAACTAGGGAGGTGCTTTCCATGGTTTCATTCTCCTCTCTTGGTCACTATTGATCTCTTTCGATCCCACAAGCAGAATCTATTTTTTTGAATTATTTCCCTGCCAACAAAAGGCCATAAAATATCCCTGTCTCCTGCTTCTCTTCCCACCCCCAATCCTACTCCTGAGGGTGATTAATTGTTTATCCCCCAAACAAATTAAGAGCCTCTTGGCGGGCCCATCAATATGCCTTTATGTGGCCTAATAAATCCTGATTAATGACAGACCCGTATAAATCTCTGTATTACCTTTTCGGTGGGTGGTACGAGGTGTGAGCTTCAGCCATCCTCTCGGTTTAAAAAACACACACGAAACTTTAAGACCTGTATGCGGAACAATACTTAAATCGGTTAGTTAATTCACAGTTGAATTAAAATGTGCTCAACAGATTATTCTGAAGGCCAAGGATAAGAACTTGTGTCTGTTCCCCACCTGACTGGCAAAGACTGACTTTCCTGTTAAGACAGCCAGAGTGTCTTTGGTTAGAGATACGACAGAACAAAATTAAGAGCATTAAACTGAGTTGCTTTGTTTGCAGTTTGACAGTGTAACCGACTCACTCAGAAGCTGCTGGGCTCTTTTCTTGGATGTTTTTCAACAGAGGTTGGATGGCTACCTATCAGGGATGCTTAAACTGTGATTCCTGCATTGCAGGGGGTTGGACTAGATTATGTTTGGGGGTCCCTTCCAACTCTATGAATCTACGAGTCAGCAGTCTCTCTTATTGGATTGCCACTTGGTGGCTGGATGACAGAGCAGCCTTCTCCAATTCATAGTCCTGGCAAAGGGAAAAACCCACTGGTGGCTTGGTACATGTATGAGCTCACAGGCTGCTTATAGAACAAGGCTGAAGAACCTCTGATCAGGAGCCAAATGCAGCCCCCCCAGGTCTCTCCCTCTGGCCCCCTGGAACTCTCCCCAGGCCACACCTCCTCCCCTCAGGCCACGCCCCTCACCAGCCCGGCTTCACACCCTCCTTGAATGGTTTTGCCTGGCTGGAAATGTGTCCTTGGACTCGGACAACGTCCCTTGCTCGCCTGGATGGAGGGTAGAGAAAAAAGTGTGTGAGTGACTATATACAGAAACTAACTTGATAGATACCTCTGTCCTGTATGCCTGAAGGAGCGTCTTCACCCCCATCGTTCTGCCTGGACACTGAGGTCCAGCGCCGAGGGCCTTCTGGCGGTTCCCTCACTGTGAGAAGTCAAGTTACAGGGAACCAGGCAAAAGGCTTTCTTGGTGGTGGCGCCCACCCTGTGGAACGCCCTTCCACCAGATGTCAAAGAGAAGAACAACTACCAGACTTTTAGAAGACATCTGAAGGCAGCCCAGTTTAGGGAAGCTATTAATGTTTAACAGACCACTGTATTTTAATATTTTGTTGGAAGCCACCCAGAGTGGCTGGGGAAACCCAGCCAAATGGGTGGGTTATAAATAAATTATTATTTAAAATTTATTCTTCTTTTATTATTATAATATTTAATTATATCCTGACTTTACCCCTGACTGGGAGTCAAGGTGGCTTACATGAATTAAAACAACCCATATAAAATACGGAAAGCTAAAAAGATATGAAAAATATTAGTTAAGAAGTAATCAATCTAAATCAAACAATATTTAAAACAAATCTGTTAAAATACAGACAGTAAAAACAGCACAGAATTATTATAAGCCCTTTCCTTGAAAATAACAGTCAGTTCCACAAAGGGAGTCACTCTAGCTTCTCTAGGCAGGGAGTTCCAAAGTTGTCTTGGGGCAGCCACCAAGAAGGCCCTCTCCTGCATCCCCACCAAGCATGCCTGTGAGGGTGGCAGGACTGAGAGAAAGGCCTCCTCTGAAGATCTCTGAGCCCAGGCAGATGTGAATGGGAGTGTCCTCTGTTCCATCTAGTGGCTGACATTGCATGGTAAAAGGCTCCCTTCCCCCCAAATAAATAAACGTATCAACAGATGCTGCAATTGTTAAGCACGGGCGGGACAGATTGTGTTTTTGTGTCTTTCCCCAGTCAGCCTTTCCTTTTGCCGCTGAACTATTTTTGGCACGTTCCCTTCCAACTCTTTCCTGTTTCTCTCTCTCTCTTTTTCTCTCGCCCCAGATTTCCTTCCTGCTCTGTAGTAAAGGACAAGGGAGGCTCTGACTTCCCGAAAGGTCAAAGACCGGTGTGTGTGGCTGTTTTTTTATTGTTCTAGCAGCTGATCACAGTAATTTAGTTTTCCTGTTTTAGAGAAGTGGTGCCGTTTTTAAAAAAGCACTCTGCATTCCTGCGGGACCTGCCTTTGTGCAGGACACAGACGAACTGGCCGCCTTCACCGTGTGAGTCTGCTTGGCAGGCAGACAAGTCAGTAGAGGCTCCTTATTTTTCCAGGGTTGTTGTGGTGGTTGTGTTTTTTTCCACAGTTCCACAGTTAGCAGATACTTTGCACTTCAAGATGAATCATAGGCACATAAAAAATTGCCGTAAAGGTAAAGGTACCCCTGACCGTTAAGTCCAGTCGCGGACAACTCTGGGGTTGCACGCTCATCTCGCTCTATAGGCCAAGGGAGCCAGCATTTGTCCACAGAGAGCTTCCAGGTCATGTGGCAAGCATGACTAAGCCGCTCCTGGCGAACCAGAGCAGCGCACGGAAACGCCATTTACCTTCCCCCGGAGCGGTACCTATTTATCTACTTGCACTTTTGTGCTTTCGAACTGCTAGGTTGGCAGGAGCAGGGACCGAGCAACGGCAGCTCACTCCATTGCAGGGATTTGAACCGCCGACCTTCTGACTGGCAAGCCCTAGGCTCTGTGGTTTAACCCACAGCGCCACCCGCATCCCTTACACTGAGTCTAATCATTAGTTTGCCTGGCTTGGTATTGTCCGTTCTGTTGGTGTCCAGTTTCCAGAGTTTCAGATAGCAGGATGTTCCCAGCCCTACTTGGAGACTGAGCATAGGCCATTCTGCTTGCAAGGCAGGTTCTCTACCTCTGAGCTGCCGTTCTTTCCCTAAATATAAAGTGAGATTCTATTCCTAATGCCCCTGGATGAAGCGACTGAATTAAACAGGAAGTTGCCTTAAACTGAGCCAGACCTTTGGTCCACCTATCTCACCTGGACATGACGGGGGTTGAACCTGGACCCATCTGCATGCAGAACAGGTGCTCCCCTGCTCAGCTGAGGCCATTCCCTGCTCTTTTGTAAACACACAGCCTGCCATCCCCGGGAGCTGAGAGGCAATCTGTTTCCTTGCATGAATGCAGCTTCTGGCACAGACTTTCCTCTCTACCCCCCCCAACCTTAAATGGAAGCTCCATTCCCCCGCAGGGAAACTCTGAAGCAAGCCGAGTGATGGTGATGGCGAAGGGGGTGGGGAGAGGCATGGGAGGCAGGGAGTGGAGTACTCTCTTGCTCGGTTCCAGTAAATAATACATCAAGATGGCAGATCAGAAATGAAATTATCATTGGAAATGCAGAAGCACTGGCTAGTAATCACATGCAGACCACTACGTTGTGTTTTTGAGTGTGTGTGTGTGTGTGTGTGTGCAGGGGGGCTACTTTTGCCCTCTTGATTAATTATGTAGGTGAGAGAAGGTGAGGTATCTTCTTATATTATTATTGTGCTGCTCCCTGCAATGCATGGATTATTGGGGGAGAGTTATGAAACCCCTCCTTGATATGGGGCAGAGGGATTTGCTTTGATCAGCTTGGAGGACAAAGAGAAAGCTGGTTCCAAATGGGAATGTGCACATCTGGAGGGCCACCCCCTCCCACCGGCCTGGCTCCCATTGGTCATGCTGGGAGTTGCAATCCCGCAGCCCAAAACCCTTAAGCGGTTTCAGCACCATGGTGAGTTCCAAGTGAGCCGCTTGCCCCACCAGGCAAGGAGGCCAGTGGTTTCAGCACCATGGAGAGTTCCGCTTCCCCCAAATAAGACCATCAAAGTGCTCTGCTGGATCTTTCAGTGTACAGATCTACAGTGGTACCTCGGGTTAAGAATTTAATTCGTTCCGGAGGTCCGTTCTTAACCTGAAACTGTTCTTAACCTGAAGCACCACTTTAGCTAATGGGGCCTCCTGCTGCCGCCCGGCCGCCGGAGCACGATTCCTGTTCTCATCCTGAAGCAAAGTTCCTAACACGAGGTACTATTTCTGGGTTAGGGGAGTCTGTAACCTGAAGCGTATGTAACCTGAAGCGTCTGTAACCCAAGGTACCACTGTATATGCAAAAGAGGTGTCTTTATTCACCTTCCTCCCTTAAGAACAGAAGAAGCTATGGAGGAGCTGCCCCCCACCCAAAAAATGTTGGCGGATTTCATAATAATAATCATAATAATAAAAGTTATTTATACCCCGCCCTCCCCAGCCAAGACCGGGCTCAGGGTGGCTAACACCAAATATAAAAACAATTGATTAGAATACAGCTTAAAAAACATAAATAAAATACAACATTAAAATGCAGCCTCATTTCAGTGGAACTCAATCAAAAACTTTTTTTGGGATAAAAACGTCAAGTCTTCACCAAGGCTAACTATCCAGACTGGTCCTACATGGGCCAGAAAAAAAGCCAGGGAAGTCCCCAAATAGGAGTTCCAACACAGAAGAAGAAAGGAAAAAAGTAAGAGGGGGAGTGGATCAAGTTGATTCCAAGCCAAAGGCCAGGCGGAACAACTCTGTCTTACAGGCCCTGCGGAAAGAAATCAGATCCCGCAGGGCCCTGGTCTCATGAGACAGAGCGTTCCACCAGGCTGGAGCCAGTGTTGAAAAGGCCCTGGCTCTGGTTGAAGCTAATCTGATTTTCTTAGGGCCCGGGACCTCTAGGGTGTTGCTATTTATGGACCTTAAGGTCCTCCGTGGGGCATATCGGGAGCTCTCATGGTCCCTGCCCATTGCTCATACTGGCTGGGGGGCCAATGGTTGCCCCACCACAGCTGTGGCTGAAGCCTGGTCCATCCAGAGAAGGTACCCATGAGGCAGAGAGTTCCAAGTGAATGGCTTGCCCCAGCTAAGACTAACAGAAGAGCCTGGCTACTGGATCATGCCAGAGGGGCCTCATCTCATAGAATCATAGAATCATAGAGTTGGAAGAGACCACAAGGGCCATCGAGTCCAACCCCCTGCCAAGCAGGAAACACCATCAGAGCACTCCTGACATATGGTTGTCAAGCCTCTGCTTAAAGACCTCCAAAGAAGGAGACTCCACCACACTCCTTGGCAGCAAATTCCACTGTCGAACAGCCCTAGTCCAGCATCCTGTTCTCACACCAGGTACCCCAATGGGAAACCCACAGACGGGGTGCAAGAGCATTCCCCTCTCCCCCTCGTGCTAGAAGCATGCGGCTTCTGGCCCTGGAGCCAGTAGGCAGCATCTAATGCGTTCCCCGGCTGCGTGGCGCCAGGTCATGCGTCCATTAATGGGAGCTTATCTAGCCCCCGGATGATGCGGGTGAAGAAAGGAGCAAAATGAATTTCTTTTACGAGCCCATGTAGTATGGCGGGTGAGTGGGGGAGAGAAGGTGTTGGTTGAGGAAATGAATTCCAGCTATGAATACCGAATGGAATCTCTAAATTACTGCGTGCACGTGAAATGTTCTTTTCCTGCTGTTTGGGGGCGGGAAGGAGAGGGCTCATCAGGGTTCTTCTCGGGTGTAATTCTTGGGCAAAGTATCCGTGGACAGCATACTAAAGAGCCGAGAGATGAGAACCTCTCTATGTAGTAGAGTGTAGTAGTGGTGTAGTGGTTAAGAGTGGTGGACTCGTAATCTGGGGAACCGGGTTCGCGTCTCCGCTCCTCCACATGCAGCTGCTGGGTGACCTTGGGCCAGTCACACTTCTCTGAAGTCTCTCAGCCCCACTCACCTCACAGAGTGTTTGTTGTGGGGGAGGAAGGGAAAGAGAATGTTAGCCGCTTTGAGACTCCTTCGGGTAGTGATAAAGCGGGATATTAAATCCAAACTCTTCTTCTTCTTCTATGTGTGGCGAGTACACATTATTGGAAGCGAACTCATTGGAACTTCTAAAAAGACGCATACTAGATTCCATTGGCAATTACCGAGTGTTTAAAATTATTGCAATTTCCACTCCTTGGTCCTTAAGTCCTGCTCCATCTTCTGCACAATAGCCTTCCTGATTTGAAACGTATTCATTTGTCTGTGTTAAAAATGTATATCCTGCTTTTCACCATCTAGCCCTCGAAAGCGGCTTTGCGACGATAAAGATACATGCAATGTACACAGAGGTGCTTCTGTTCTCCCTGGCTGGCTGGGCGCCTTCTGCGAAGGGTGCATTTTAATTAAGGGACGTTCAGGAGCGGCCGGCAGGGCTGGTAACTGGATCCGTTTAATCTATCAGCGGAGGCAGCGAGACGGGTCGGCAGCCTCTAATGGCACTTGTGTGTTCAATCTCTAATCCCGCCAAGCATGTAATACATTTCCTATTAATGCTCAACTGCCGGCATCCTGATCGCCCTGGGGACCGAGCGGCGGGTGAACCGTGGGCGATAGATTTAACGGCACGAAAGGGACCGCGAGAGGTGTGCGTGTGTTACAGGGAGTTGGGGAGCAAACTCGGGTCCTGATCCATCCTGTGTTCTGCTTCCTGTGAGACAAATGATGTTCTTTAATTATTGTGTGTAAGAACAAAAGGCGTTGGCCCTTCAGGCTTCTCTGCCTGGCCCACAGAACTCTCTCCAGGCCACATACCCCCATCTGCAGGTGATTCCCCTCTATGGCCCTTGCTTTGCACCATTCATGGGTACTTCTGCTGGGCTGGAAATGCATATTTCTATGGCTCCTCCCGTGGGATGCGGGTGGCGCTGTGGGTTGAACCACAGAGCCTAGGACTTGCCGATCGGAAGGTTGGCGGTTCAAATCCCCGTGATGGGGTGAGCTCCCGTTGCTCGGTCCCTGCTCCTAGCAGTTTGAAAGAACGTCAAAGTGCAAGTAGATAAATAGGTACCGCTCTGGCGGGAAGGTAAACGGCGTTTCCGTGCGCTGCTCTGGTTCACCAGAAGCGGCTTAGTCATGCTGATCACGTGACCCAGAAGCTGTACGCTAGCTCCCTCGGCCAATAAAGCGAGATGAGAGCCGCAACCCCAGAGTCGGTCACAACTGGACCTAACAGTCAGGGGTCCCTTTACCTTTATGGCTCCTCCCATGTCTGGCATGTGGCCCCTGAAAGGTGGCCCAGAAGGGACAGCGGCCCTTGGGCCGGTGAAGGTCCCCTACCCCTGGATTAAAAGGCAGTGTGACTTACCTGCCTTTGCTGTACCTGTGCATTTGATGAAAAAGTGTTCAGAAATAAGGCCGATGTTTTTTTGTTTGCAGAAAGACCGGCTCAGCGGCAGAGTAGCTGCTCTGTGTGCAGGACAATTCGGGTCCAGCCCCTAAAGAGGGTTTAATCTCCTGGCTCACATGTCCTGCCTCACCCCCAGCCCAACATTTTCTTCCCCAGGTATTGCGTTAAGGGCTCAAGCAAGCCAATTCCCTCTCCCCGCCAGACACACCCAGTTGGGAACTCACTGAGTAGGGGACGTTGTCAGGCCATTTGGGGGGTTGGGGTGGATTTAACTTTTTTTGTTCTTAAATTGTTTTTATTAATTTTCCAATAAAAAGCACCCAATTAACATGTCAAGTCATAATCCAATAAAAATAAAAAAACTAAAATAAAAAAAGATCAAATTATCTTCCAAATTGTAATTATTAATTTTTGGACTTCCCATAGTCTGGACCTTGAAGCACATCTCCAAATCTCAATCCTGCCTCTCGTCGTTATTTCCATATTTCCACATCTCAATTTTAACACTCTAAACTTCTTTGTCTCTGGCTCTGCGATTCTCAGTCATGTCAGAAATCATATATCGTTTCGTCTGTCGATGTATGAGTTTAACTTTTTTTTAACAAGCAGATATAGAGGTAGAATTCCTGCCCACTGTGAATGTGCAAAAATGCCTTCTTTGTTTTGAGGTCACCAAAATGATTGGCACCCGACCATCCAAGTTTGGTATTAGAAGTGCTTGTGGTTGTGATAAGGATCTGTTTGCTTGGTAGTCTTAATGGTGTGTGTGTGTGTACAAATGGAAAACGTTATCTTCCATTTGTCGAGAAGGGTTAAAAATATTGCCAAGCTGGAGTTACCACGAGCAGGAGACAAGGGAAAATACAGTTACAAATATGAAGAAGAGCTGCGAAAGGGACATGGAAGAGACTTGAGGGCCTCGGATATAAGGTTGCCAGGTTAATGGGCCAGAACGATGGGATAATAAGGACTGACAAAACCCGGAACCAGGAGGAAGGGACGTTGGATGAAGATTGGATCTGTTTGTATTTCTTTTTTCTACCATTAGAACTGTTTTATAAAATTTATGAATGTCAGAAAAATGTTGGAATGAAATTACTCGGCTTTAGTAAAGATGTTTAAAGAATTATGAAAGAATATTATGGTTATGAGAAGTTGGTAAGGATAAGATTTAAGTTTTAAGCTTTAAGGTTTATTTTCTTATAGAAAGATAAGATTAAAACTGTTTAGGGTAATGTAATGACAGAATATTATGAAATATGGAAAGGATTTGCTGGGATAATTAATAACTAGGATACAAAGAAGAGGAGGAGGAGGAGGTCAAAGAAAGAAGGTAATGACAGTTGAGGATTCGAGAATAATGAATTTGTTTTTAAATGTTCTTAAATTGTATTTTTTTTCCTCTCTGTCTTTCTTTCTTATTTTTGAATTTGTATTTTTATTTTGTATTTTCTTCTGCTTTTATTTTATGTTGTAACACTTTGAAAATTTCAATAAATATTTTATAAAAAAAAAAAGGAAGACGTTATCTTCTTCCTTGCCCACTCACCCCTTTGACCCTCTGACCCCCAGTTGATACTGAGCTCCAACTCCTGGCAGCCAGCGTGACCAGTGGTCAGAGATGGCGGGAGTTGGGCGTCCAGCACAGTCTGGTGCTCTACAGAGCCCCCGTTCCCATTGGAAGTGCATGTGGCTCCATCTTGTTTAAACCCCCCAGACCCGTCCACTTTCCCCCCACCGTACTTATGACGATACACCTCTTAATTTCTTGGCTTGAAGCAGATAACCAGAGGGTCAACGCATGCTAACTGAACAGTGGCGCATCAGAGAGCCTGTGCGGTGTAGAGGTTAGAGTGCTGGACTGGGACCCCGGAGATCAGGGTTCAAATCCCGCACTCAGCCAGAAACTTGCTGGGTGACTTTGGGCTCAGGCTCTCAGCCTAACCTTCCTCACAGGGTGGTTGTGAGGATAAAAAGCGGGAAGAGGAGAACTTGGAGGAAAGGGAAGTATAACTGTAACAATGAAAGTGGGTTTTTTTATTCATATTTTCAGACGAGTGCTGTGCTCTGTTCGGGGGGCTGTGCTCTCCTAGCCTTCAGCTCCCTCCTGGCTGTCATTGTGATCTTCCTTCCCAGCGGGCCGTGCGAGAGGAGGGTCTGCACCCTGGCTGGCTACATTCAGACAGCAGCGGGTAAGTCTATAAACCATCCTCTTTTGAAACTTGTATCTGTGAGTTTAACGGGATCAACTGTTTACAGCAGAGAAGGGGGACCATATATATATATATATATATATATATATATATATATATATATATATACACACACACACACACACACATACATACATATACACATTTTTATTGGTTTTTTAAAGATATCATTTCCAACAATCATATAACATAACTTCTTATCTTATACAATGTTTTAGACTTACGTCAACACCTCTGATGATTTTTTGTTCTTTATCACTTATTCTGCATTTCTTAATTTCTCTATTACTCTTAATTATCATTAACTAATAACTCTCCTCATAGTCTTTCTTGCAGTATTTCAAATAGTCCTCCTTACAAAACTTCTTGCAGTCCTACTGGCGTAATCTGTTCATTACAATTACTTTTCAAACAGTTCGTATATTTACTCCGGTCTTCTAAGAATTTCTGGTCCCTCAGGTTTTGAACCCTTCCTGTTAATTTATCTAATTCTGCATAGTCCATCAGTTTCATCCCCCATTCTTCTTTCATTGGTAATTCTTCTGAGAAGGGGGACCTTTAGAATCCCGAGGGCCGTATTCCCTTCTGAGCAGCCTTCTGGGGGCCACATGCCACTGTTGGGCGGAGCCAGAAATGTGAATCTTGCCTTGCTGCAGTAGGCTAGTTTCTACACCCACATTCACACACCCCTCTCTCCATCCTCCATCCAGGTAAGCAAAGAGGCATGATAAGAGGTAAAAGGCAGGCAAAAACACTCAAGGAGAGGTGTGGCCTAGGAAGAATCCAGAGGGCCGGATAGAGCTGCTTGGAGGGCCAGAGGTTCTCCATCCCTGATTTAGCCATTTAATTTTCTAAAGAAGAATTTCAACTGTGTGCGTGTAGATAGGTACATATCTATAGAACAATATATATCGTATATATTATGTATATGTTATTATTCTATTTTTAAAAAATGTTTCCTATTTCCTTGTTGCTTTTATCAATTTATATTCCCTGAATTTTTCCTTGAGTTTAGTCCTTCTTTGCTACTGGTGTTTTTCTAGACTTTTTAAAAACATGTTTTGCTCCAGTGAACTAGAAACTTAGATCCGCTTCCGCTGAGAATATGTGAACCTTCTCCATGGAACACATAGTGGACTAGAAACTTAAATTTGCCTCGCCTTGTTTTACGGAGAACGTGAGCGCTCTTCACAGAACCCTGTGGAAGGGAGTACATTTGCTCCTGTGATTCTTTACCTGGTTCTTCTTCCCATCTGCCCCCCGTGCCAGTAGATAGATAGCTAGATAAACCACAATGACAATATTTATTTATTTTTGCAGCTTTTGCTGTTCAAGCGGAGACAGCGCCTGGGTTTCTTGATGAAGAAGACCAATGCTAGCAGGTGGAGGGGAGGAGGGATGGGCGAGCGGTGTGAGGAACCCAAGAGTATCCTTGTGACCTGAATCCCAATTGATTTCAGATTATTACCGTTGACTGGAAAAGGCACCGCGTTTCAAAGCACCATTAATCCACAGCGAACTGAAATTAAGAGGCATGGTGCTTCCTGGGCCATGGTTTGTGTGCTGAGGCCAGGAAGAAAAGGCAGGGACAAACGTCTTAAATGACCTCATTAGCTTGATTATACATGGAACAGTAAATTCTCCTTTGTCAATCCAGCTTCCAGTTCTGTAGTCTGTTTACCTCCAGTGCGGAATCTCTCAATTCCACCTCCCAGGGATCCTTTGTTTTATTTAGTTGCTGGAGTCTCTTTCCTCCCTTTTAAACATGGGGGTACGATGGCAATGGGGTCTGTCAGGGGTGACACAACTTAGCTCCGGATTAAGGATGAGCAAATGTGTCACAGTTACCTCCACCGCTTCCCATTTTTTTTCCAGTCTCCAATTCAGTTTTTCGCATTTCCACATCGGAAAGCCAGTGTGGCTGTAGTGGTAAGAGTGTTGGACTAGGATGTGGGAGACAGGAAGACTCTCATGAAAATTATTTAGCATTTTAGGGTGAATTTCTCACAATTCACGTTTTTCTATGCAGTTTTGACTAATATACATACAGTGGTACCTCAGGTTACAGACGTTTCAGCTTACATACGCTTCAGGTTACAGACTCCGCTAACCCAGAAATAGTACCTCAGGTTAAGAACTTTGCTTCAGGATGAGCACAGAAATCATGCTCCGGCGGCCTGGTAGCAGCAGGAGGCCCCATTAGCTAAAGTGGTGCTTCAGGTTAAGAACAGTTTCAGGTTAAGAATGGACCTCCGGAACGAATTAAGTACTTAACCCGAGGTACCACTGTATTTTTTTTGCAAGCAGTTTCCCCTAATATGCATGTGTGTGTGAGAGACAGTTTCACTAAAGTATACATTTTGATGCACAATTCCTCCCAACACATGCCTTTGGCTTGGTTGGGGTTTCAAAATTTGACAAATGGATTGTTGGGTGTCGTTTCTTGCGTTGTAATGGGAAACTGCCTAATCTGCCGTTTTCTGAACCAATCTGCAAACAAAATTAAATTTCTCTCCCATCCTTAAGCACACTTCAGGTTGGTACCTTTGCACCAATGCCAGGAAAATGAAACTTGAGCATTTTCAGAGGTTGAATCTTGAGAATAAGCATTAAAAACAACAACAACAACCAAGCCAGTTCCTCTCCAGAGGGTTTTTAAAATTCTTGCAACAGTTCCCCAATCTTTTTGTTTAATTTTTTTTAAAGAAAAAGGATTTCTTTTCCTCCTGTTGTTGTTTGTTGTTTAGTCGTTTAGTCGTGTCCGACTCTTCGTGACCAGAGCACGCCAGGCCCTCCTGTCTTCCACTGCCTTCCGCAGTTTGGTCAAACTCATGCTGGTAGCTTCGAGAACACTGTCCCACCATCTCGTTGCCTGTCGTCCCCTTCTCCTTGTGCCCTCCATCTTTCCCAACATCAGGGTCTTTTCCAGGGAGTCTTCTCTTCTCATGAGGTGGCCAAAGTCTTGGAGCCTCAGCTTCAGGATCTGTCCTTCCAGTGAGCACTCAGGGCTGATTTCCTTCAGAATGGAGAGGTTTGATCTTCTTGCAGTCCATGGGACTCTCAAGAATCTCCTCCAGCACCAGAATTCAAAAGCATCAATTCTTCGGCGATTAATTTTTTTTTTTTAAAGAAAAAGAAGAAAAAGGATTACTTTTTCCTCCTACCTATCCCCATTTGAGCAAAGATGATTGGGAGTAAAAATGTACAAAAATGTGCTTTGGAGTGTTGAGGGCAGCCCAAGGGCTGAAAGTAGCAAAGACCACCACTTGGCCAGTTTTCTAGCAGTCTGCAGAAGGATAAGAAATCACATTGAGCAGCTTTCAGCAGCTGGAGGGAGTGGGCGGCAGGAACCATTTCTCTGCTGTTTAAAAGAAAGAGCCCAAAAGTAAGCTGAATTTTAAATAAGGTGGTCTCCCAGTAACATCACATGGGGTGTTTTGTTTTGTTTTTTTTGAGTGGGGAAGGGACGTAGCTCTGTGACGGAGCCCTGCTTTGCAATTCCCAGCATATCCAGGTGGGGCTGAGAATATCACCTGCAGAGCAGCTGCCAGTCAGTGCAGACAGCACCGAGCTAGATAGACCCAGTGGTCTGATTCAATGGAGGGCACCAGCCTGAAATCCTGGAGTGCTGCTGCCTGTCGGCGTGGGCAGTATTAAGCAACAGGAGAGAAAGATCTGACAAAGGCAACTTCATCTGTTCCTGAACCTTTGATTCAGAACCGTGAGGCCTGGAATTGTGGTTTATTTTTAGGCGAGGAGTTTTAGCTCAGTAGGAGAACACTTGCTTTTTTGCAGATTCCATTGCTGGCATCTCTGGGTAGGACTGGGAATGTTCCCCACCTGAAATTCTGGAGAGCCATTGCCATTCAGTGCAAACTATTCTGTGCTGGATTGACCCAATGGTCTTTTAATAAGCCAGCTCCCTATATTCTCTTGGTGCATTTATACTGTCCAAAACTTTCTGGTAAGTCCACATCTTGCTTCCCTCTGCTCCTCCTATTATTTCCCCACTCACCACTGTGTTGAATTTTTGATTGGAGGCGTCTCAGGGCAGAGACCTGCCCTGTCGTATTGCTTCAAAGCATCAGACAGACTGATGATGCTACTCAAAACAGCTGAAGAATTGCAGTTCCCTCCTAACACGCCTCCAGGAATAAGATGAACACGCTGGATCAGGCCAATGGCCCGTCTAACGTAGCAGGACACAAGCACAACGGCACTCTCTCTCCTGCAACATCAGAAGAAGAAGAAGAAGAAGAAGAAGAAGAAGAAGAAGAAGAAGAAGAAGAAGAAGAAGAAGAAGAAGAACAACAACAACAACAACAACAACAACAACAACAACATTATTTATACCCCGCCTTCCCAGGTCAGAGCCAGGCTCAGAGCAGCTAACACCAATGAAATCACAGTAAAAACATAATAGGGGGGAAAATAAAAAACAATTTAAAATACAGGTTAAAATGCAATTTAAAATGCAGCCTCATTTTAAAAGTAGCCGATATATCAAGATCATAAGGGCAGGGAAACATAAGGGTCAGACATAAGGGTCAGACTGAGTCCAAACCAAAGGCCAGGCAGAACAGCTCTGTCTTCCAGGCCCTGCGGAAAGATGTCAAGTAACACAGGGCCCTAGTCTCTTGTGACAGAGCGTTCCACCAAGTCGGGGCCAGTACCAAAAAGGCCCTGGCCCTAGTTGAGACCAATCTAACCACCTTGCGACTTGGGACCTCCAAAGTGTTGTCATTTGTGGACCTTAAGGTCCTCCGTGGGGCATACCAGGAGAGGCAGTCCCTCAGGTACGAGGGTCCTAGGCCGCATAGGGCTTTAAAGGTCAAAACCAGCGCCTTAAACCTGACCCTGTACTCCAACTTGTATTCAGAAGCATCGCAGCCTCTGACTGCGGTAGCAGAGCACAGCCATCCTTGGCTAGTCGCCACCCATAGCCCTCTCCTCCTCAAAACAATTGCCTAATGCTCCTTTGAAGCCGTCCAAGTTGGTAGCCATCACCGCTTCCTGTGGGAGCGAGTTCCATAGTTTAACTCTGTGCTGCCGGTCTGCCTCCGGGCGCTCCTTGCATCTTCCTCGGCCACCCACGGAGACGCCACATGGCATTCGCATATGGATTCCGCCCCCCTGTGCTAACTGGCTGTTGTCGCCAACGGCTTAATCCAATTCCTGGTCCAATAATCCTTCCCACTCTCCCCATCCCAAAATCTCAAGGGCTCCAGATGCATTTGTAGTTTTCATTTTCTTAAAAGAAAAGCAGCATTCTGCAGGGAGGGGGTGCTGAGGGAAGGGGGTGATTCTAGCATCTGTCACTGCCTTTCTAGCACCTCCGCAAAAGCTTTGGGGCTCATCTGAGAGAGATTTACGGGGCTGCTATGGATCATCGGCAAGTTGATAAGGCTGTCGTGTGGAAGGACTGTCACAAACTGTTGCTTATGAACAACAGCAACAACAACAGTAGTAGTAGTAGTTTCTAACACTTTCTAAATGGTATCTCCAAGGACAGAAGTGTTGTGGTTTATGCTTAAAAAGACACCCCAGAGTTAAAGGCTGTTTGAAAATTAACCTAACTTAGATGGAGTCAGAGCATTGATCCATTTACCTCCATGTTGCCAACGCTGACTGGCAGCAGGGTTTCAGCCAGGGAGACTTTTCCCAGCCCTACCTGGAGATTCCACCAAAGATTGATCTTGGGACCCTCTGCATGCAAGGCAGATATCCTATGCACACCCCCCCCACCTGATGCAGTAAAGAAGTAGGTTTTGTCTTGCAGTGGACAGGGCAAAACTGGATTCACTGTTTCCTTTCCCCTCCCTTGAGAAGCTAAGGAGGACTGGTAACCCCACTCCCAGTGTCGGTGGATCACAGCTCTCATCGTCCCTGCCCATTGGTCATGCTGGGACCGTGGGTCCCTGCAACCTCTGTAAGGCTGTGAGTCCCCCACCACTGTTGTGGCCGAAGCCTAATCCACCCAGAAGAGGCAGCCAGGTAGCAAGCTTTTATCAGCACCATGGAGAGTTCCATGTGAGCCGCTTGACCCAGCTATGACAACCAGAAGAGCCCAGCTGCTGATCAGGCCAAAGGGAACCAGCGTCCTGGACTCCCAGTGGCCAACCACATGTCCCAGTGGGAAGCCCACAAGCGAGGAGTGAAAGCAACAGCCCTTTTCCCCTCAAGGTGGCCAGCAACAGGCGTTCAGAGGCATGCTGCCTCCGACATGGGTGGCAGAACATAAGAGTTGTTGTCGCTGGCAGCCACCCATAGTCTTACCCTCCGTGAACTGGTCTATATAAGACTGGTCTCTTGAAAGCCTGCGATTATCATTATTTGATCTGTTTGTGGGCAGGACTCTGTCTCCCTCCCTCCCCGTCCCCTCGCCTCCCTGGAAGGAGCAGGCACCCTGCCAACAGTTGCTCTGAAGCTCTGCCAGGTAAGCATTTACGCCCTCCAGGGGAGGACAGTTGGCAGGTTGCGCGTCAATCCCTGCATCTTTACAGACCCATTGGAGAGCAAGTTCAGATTCCCTCCCCTCTCTCTCTCTTTTTAAAAAAGCCCTTGCCTGTAAAAAGGGCCTTCCTGAAAGCTGGCAGCTCTTTGGATTCAGGAACCTTTCCCGCGTAGCTTTTATTTTTAAGGCAAAGCCATGCCATGTCTCTCTGAGCCTCTGGTCCAAAGTGGCAGGAAAGGGTTCCTCAAACCCTGAAGCAACCTTCCATCTCGATTCAAAATGTGGTCCTGTTGCATCCAAACATAAGACGAAAACTCAGCTTAGGAGCCGTCCTGCAAAAGTTGCATGTGAAGAGGTGTCCCAATTGTGCGGTGAACAACAAACCTCTTTCCAAAATGCTTGTTTTGCCGTCCTCCGACACAACACCCGTCTCTCAACTGCAGAGAAGCAGTCTCTGCCCAGGGGCCGTCATGTTGCAAGCCTCCGCAGGGATGTTGTGCATTTGCTTAATCCTCCCTGCTCATGTCTAGAAGAATATCTGGCTGGGGAGGTGTTTAATGTAAGCAGATTGCAGCCAGCTCTCTTAAGTAGCTGCCACCCAGTCAACAGGATTACCGAGGTGAAGACTGTTCAATAGGAGGACATGTGGCTTTCACCACCGTCTCCCTAGTTCTGACTTACGGTAATTGGATTTTTTTTTGGGGGGGGGAGGAGAGACAGGATTGACAAGGGCACCTCTTCTGCAAGGAACTCTTTCAGGGAAAGTATTCCCAGCTGTTTTGCAAGCCAGTTGGAATATCCAATTGGGACTCCCCGCAAAGGTTAATTAAAAAAAGATTACACAACGCTAACCTTTTTTTTTTAAGTAACCTAATTAAATTCCCTAAGTCTGGGTGGCTTTTATTGTTCCCCCTGCGAAGTTCTTCAGGAACTGGTGGATACCCTGGCCAGCAGTTTGCAGGCTTAACCTGATTAAGGTGGAGCATCCAGGCAGACAGGCTGATTGCTGACGCCAGGGGTCTGTGCCCCGTGGAACTGGGTGGGAAAGCAGACTGGCCCAGCTAATCTATTTAACCTCCTCCACCCCCAATATGGATTGGCTTAAGAGGGCCTTTCTGTGGCTGTGCAGCTGCTATACATACGCACCAAGTCGGACTATCCCTCCCTTCTACCTCTGTGTGCTACCTGCTCTGACTGGCAGCAGCTCTTCAGGGTTTCGGACAGGAGTCTCTTTTCTCAGCTCTGCCTGGGGCTGCTGGGGACTGAACCCAGGACCTTCTGCATGCAGACTCTCTCCCTTCCGTTCTCTTCTCTGAAATCCTGGAGAGTGGCTGCCAGTCAGTGTAGAGAATAGTAAGCTAGATGGGGCAAAGAGCACCCTGCCCTGTGCACCAGTCTCTTAGTCTGGCATTGATCTGTGCAAATGATGGGTGTTAGGGAGTGTGTAAATTAGAGATTTTGCCATAAAAGAAACCACCTTGCAAACCCTTGAACATCCGGTGGGGCCTACAGCAAAGCGTTGTTCCTGATAAGGGTCCCAGTTTGTTTGCTTTGCCCTGCTCCAGTATACTCCATTCCGTTGCTCCTCTCGCCTGGTTTTCCATCCCTCCCAACCTGTCGGCATTAAGTGACCTCTGGGCATGCTCTGTACTCAGTTGGGCTATTTTGGGGCTCTCTCCCCTACACTTCAGGTTTTGTGGGCGGGTTGGTACTTCTGCAAACCTCGGGACTCAGCAGATCCTGTTGATACCCTCCTCTTGCACACGGAGGGCGCTGCTTTGGCGACATAAGCCTTGGGGCACACACACACCAATACATCAGAAATAGTGCACCTGAGAGAGGGAGAGGGAGCTATGGCTGCATCCCCTGCCCCGTATGATGGATGGGGCTGAGCCAGTAATTGACTACACTGTTGTTAAAGAGGCTGACAGCCCCATCCAAATGGGACTAGGAGGGTGGGTGGTGTCCTGCCTGGTGTCAATTCTGAGTTATAGGAGGGAGAATCCTCTTAGGCTCAAGTGCGCAGCAGCTATAAACAATTCCCTATCAGAGATCAGAATTAAAGCTGCCAATTATTGCAATGCCTTTACACAAATTCCAGTTCACACCTCGAATACTGTGTACATTTATGGTCGCCTCAACTCGGAAAGGATATTGTAGAGCTGGGAAAAGCTTCAGCTTCAGCCCAAACGATCCAAGGCCTGGAATGACTCCCCTGTGATGGAAAGTTGCAGTGTTTGCAGCTTTCTTTTCTAGAGAAAAGGGGAATAAGCGGAAATCTGATAGAGGTAGTGTACAGAAGGATGCCTGGTGTGGGCAAAGTGAGCAGAGAAAAGCTTTTCTCCTGTACGATACTAGAACTCGCGAACATCCAATGAAGCTGAACATTGGAAGATTCAGAACAGGCAAAAGAAAGGACTTCTCCATGCAGCACGTTGCTAAACTGTGGAACTCACTGCCACAGGATGCAGAGATGGCCAACAATTTGGCTGGCTTTTGCTGTTGTTTAGTCATTTAGTCATGTCCGACTCTTCGTGACCCCCTGGACCAGAGCACGCCAGGCACTCCTGTCTTCCACTGCCTCCCGCAGTTTGGTCAAACTCATGCTGGTAGCTTAGAGAACACTGTCCCGCCATCTCGTCCTCTGTCGTCCCCTTCTCCTTGTGCCCTCCATCTTTCCCAACATCAGGGTCTTTTCCAGGGAGTCTTCTCTTCTCATGAGGTGGCCAAAGTCTTGGAGCCTCAGCTTCAGGATCTGTCCTTCCAGTGAGCACTGAGGGCTGATTTCCTTCAGAATGGATCAGTTTGATCTTCTTGCAGGCCATGGGACTCTCAAGAGTCTCCTCCAGCACCATAATTCAAAAGCATTGGCTGGCTTTAGAAGAGGTTTAGACCAGGTGTCGGCAACCTAAGGTCCATGGGCGCTTGTGGTCATTTAACTGGCCCATGGACCCCCGCTGCCCACTCAGTTGGCTCCGTGCGCCAGGAGTGGGGAGAGTTGCTCTTGCTCTCAGGACCTGCTTGTGGGCTCCCGACTGAGGCAACTGGTTGGCCCCTGCGAGAACGGGATGCTGGACTAGAGGGGCATATTAGGCCTGATCCAGCAGAAAAAATTCTCACGGGTGTCTAGCATTTTGTGGACCAGTTGAAATCTGCTCTTGTGATTTGTATCTGCCCCCTACCTCCCATCAAACACTTTGCCAAATTTGAATCAAGGTGTGGTGAAAATGATTGCCGTTGCTCCATTAAGGAAATCTAGTTGGTGGTTGAGGATGTGTTGATTCATCCCTTTTAGGGTTTGGACTGGCCTGGGCAGAAGCGGGACCCTCCTCCTCTCAGTGGAGTGGAATAATAATAATAACAATAATAATAATAATTTTTTTCTTTTTATGCCTCTCATCTGACTGCGTTGCCCTAGCCACTCAGGGCGGCTTCCAGCAAAATATAAAAACACATTAAAACATCAAACATTAAAAGCTTCCCTATACAGGGAAGCCTTCACATGTCTTCTAAATATTTAGATGGCAGTTCGTTTATTAATTTATATCAGAGTGGGGAACATTTTTAGCCTGGGATGTCTCTCATACCCCCATGGGCCAAATTTGCCAGGTGAGCGGAATCAAACCGGGAGGCTAATTAGACCCACGAACCGGAGGCTGCCAACCCTGGTTTTTTCCAAAAATAGGCTACCTAGTACCAACAAAGGCTTGTAAGTCAATCCAACTCATTGTAAGCTCATCGGGGCAGGGCTCTATTTTTGCACTTAACCCTGTCCCATAAAACTAAGTGCATGTTGATAAACATAAGCCGCGGCTCGACGCATTTGCATCCGCAACGGTGCCCCTGTGGCACTGCAACAGAGAGCCTGCGTGCCAGGGGAGCCTGGCTGGCAGTGGCAGATGTTGATCAGGGCTGCGTGGCGACAGGAAACACTGGGAGAGGTTTGGAGCAGGCGGAGGGAGCGAAGAGAGGAATTTAATGGGTGGGTGGAGAGTGGCCCATCTGTCACCCATGACAGCGCAAGGACTGAACCCGTGATTCACTTTTTGCCTTGATAAATATATTAATCAGAGAGGTAATTGAACCAGAATGGCTTTTGACGGGTGGCTTTCGGGAGCCAACAGCGAGCCGGTGCGAAGTGTGGTTCAGGGGATGGGGAGTGAAGGAATTGCTGTGGGGCAGCAGCCGCCGCCTCCCGTCTCCCCATCCTACCCCATAGCCTTCAGGGAGTGGGAGCATACCTCATCTCCCCCCCCCCAATATTTTTTTTGAATAACGTGTTGGATGCTGTTCAGTTGTGCTTCGGCCCTTGATGTTTCTGCTGCGTACGATTTGAACAAACATGCGGCTGAGTAAGGATTTAGGAAAATGAGAAGCTGCCTTTATACAGAGTCAGGCCCTTGGGGAATCTAGCTGGTGGTTATCCGCACTGACTGGCAGCAGCTCTCCGGGGTTTCAGATGGGGAGACATTCTCAGCCCTACCAGCAGATGTTGTGGATTTAAGCTGGGGTGTTCTGTGTGCAACGCAGATGCTGTCCCACTGGGTTCTGATCCCTTCCTTCAAAATAAAGCAAGAGTCTAGTCCTCAAAGTTCTGAATGAACAGGTGACTTTCATATCTGCCTTATTTACTGCCTTATATGCGGAGTTCAATTGGCTCACCTAGTTCAGTATTACCTACACTGACTGGCAGCAGCTATCCAGGGTTTCGGGAAAGCTATGCGTCTGTGAACTTGGAAGGTGGTGGGCTCTCCTTCAGTGGAGTTTTCTAACAGAGCTTGGACGGCCACCTGTCAGGGATTCTTTAGCTGTGATTCCTCCATTGTGGGGGGTTGGGCTAGATGACCATTGGGGGACCCTTTCCAACTCTGCAGTTATATGAGTCTATGAATCTTCCCCAGCTGTACCTGAAGACACTGCTAGGGATTGAACCTGGGACCTTCTGCCTGCCAAGCAGGTGCTCTTCAACAACAAAAACCAAGACTCCAGCCCTCATGGTTCTGAATCAAGGGTGGGTTAAAGGAGGAGGCTGCTTTTTCCTGAGCCAGACCAATGCTCCATCAAGCTCGGTCTGGTCTACAGCTCTTGGGCAATGCCCCAATTCAGAATAAGGTGAAGGTAAAGGGACCCTTGACCATTAGGTCCAGTCGTGACCGACTCTGGGGTTGCAGCGCTCATCTTGTACAGCTTCCGGGTCATGCGGCCAGCATGACTAAGCCACTTCTGGCGAACCAGAGCAGCGCACGGAAACGCCGTTTACCTTCCCGCTGGAGCAGTACCTATTTATCCACTAGCACTTTGACGTGCTTTCGAACTGCTGGGTTGGCAGGAGCAGGGACCGAGCAATAGGAGCTCACCCCATCACAGGGATTCGAACTGCCAACCTTCTGATCGGCAAGTCCTAGGCTCTGTGGTTTAACCCACAGCGCCACCCGCGTTCCCAATAAGGCAGCTCCTAATTTCAGGGAGCAGATATCCCTTCCTGGCCAAGCAAATTCCTGCTGTTGGAACTCCTTGTTTTTCATAGATGATGGTGGTTTCACAGCAATCCCCTCCCTGGAGTGAGCAAAGCTGTGCCAACCCTTCTAAGGGGCTACTGTGGTGGAGGCCTCGACAGCATTTCCTCCCCGTTGTCAGTAAAAATAGTCCTCTCCCAGTTTCCTGTTTATGCATCAACTCCTGTGGCAGGTCTGTTTTTATGCGGCTGCTGGGAAGTGACGCTGTTCCTTCTGGTCGTTACAGAGGGACATCTCAAAACTCACGTTTAGCTGCCTCCTCTTGTCTCCTCCAAATAGCCATTCCTTACTCTCTCTCATCCCAGTGGTGGGCAGCCTGGGATTCAGTAGAATGAACTTCACACAAGCTCTGAGACCCAGACCTCTCTCCCTGCATTAATTCACGCGGGTTGTATTTAAGGCCCTGCCTGCAGTATATATTTAAAGGACTATGATGCCATTTTTAACAGTGGTTTAACAGTCAGTCCTTCTGAGGGGTTTGTGAGGGGTGTGTGTCTCCTGACAACTCAGAAGTGTGCATGCACACGAAAGCTCACACCAAGAACAAACTTAGTTGGTCTCTAAGGTGCTACTGGACATTTTAATTTTTTTATATATATTCTTAAAAAAACTGGAATTCTCAGGAGTCTTAGAGGGAAGGCACAGCTACTCAAAGCTGTGATATGGCTTTAAATATATAGAGCAAAAGGGGCCTATGTTTTACTTTGAACAGACCCTATTTAGACATAAGTCACCCAGGAATCTCAGCTAAAGCATCCGTGACAACGGGCCACCCAACCTCTGCTTAAAGGCCTACAAGGAAGGAGAGGCCACAACCTCCCGAGGGAGTCTCTTCCACTGCCAAACAACTCTTACTGTCAGAACGTTCTTCCTGATGTTTAGTCAGAATCTCCTTTCTTGTCACTTGAAGCCTTGGGTTCGAGTCCTACCCTCCAGAGCAGGAAGAAACAAATATGTCAAGAAATTGTTCCCATCACGCCTGGTCAAGGCCATTAGGCTGACAGGAGTTGGTGTCTAGCAACACCCACAGGCCCATAGGTTCCCCATTGCAGATTTTGGGGAGCTGGGGGTTGCTGCGAAGAGGTTGAACAGAGGAGAGGAGTAGGGAAGGGGGGGGTGTCTTCCCAAACCGCCTTCTGCCCGAGGGAACGTTTCCTGGCCAAACACACCTCCAGACGTCTCTGCAGTATCCCTACAGCTCTCACAAATGCTGTGGCTTTGCCTTCCTCAAAGTGGGTGGCAGAGAAATATCTACTGCTCCCTTCTTTTTCTTGGGCATGGTGTGTGTGTGTGTGCCTGGTTCTTATGCCAGACTGCCTCCGTTCTGGGCTGCCTTCCAGAAATGCAAAGGGCTGCTAAAATTAGTTTTTGAAGGAAGATGGTATGCTTGCATGTGAAACAGAGTGGTGGTGGTGGTGGGGTTTTGCCACATCTTAAAATCTAGATGCAGCTGCCTTTCTCTCTCCCCCCACACCCTGCCATTTAAAATTTTTATTAAATATTTTGCACATCAAAATAAGATGGGCGCTGCTTTTATTTCTTTTTGGCTCTTGGAAAGATTTGAATAAGCAACGTGGGACAGGTTTCCTGTTCCTGGAGTTGGCTGCCTTGCAACATCTGGGCAGCTGCAGGCTCCCTGCCCTGGCTTTACAAGAACAGGCAAGGTCCAACAAGCCAGCCAGCTGTTTCCAAAATGGTTCAGGCGGATGGCTCTGGCAACCTCAGAAGCAGGCCTTTGGCTGCTAGGCCCTATAACTAAAAAGGTAAAGGGACCCCTGAGCATTAGGTCCAGTCGTGACCGACTCTGGGGTTGCGGCGCTCATCTTGCTTCATTGGCCGAGGCTGCTGGCGTACAGCTTCCGGGTCATGTGGCCAGCATGTCTGAGCCGCTTCTGGCGAACCAGAGCAGCGCACGGAAACGCCGTTTACCTTCCCGCTGTAGCGGTACCTATTTATCTACTTGCACCTTGAGGTGCTTTCGAACTGCTAGGTTGGCAGGAGCAGGGACCGAGCAACGGGAGCTCACCCCGTCGCGGGGATTCAAACCACTGACCTTCTGATTGGCAAGTCCTAAGCTCTGTGGCTTAACCCACAGTGCCACCCGCGTCTGAGGCCCTATAACCTGCATATGAATAGACACTCCGCCCTCATTTGTGGCATTCTAGTTATAGGCCCTATAACTAGAATGCCACAAATGAGGACGGAGAGTCTATTCACATGCAAGTGGGCCACTGTGAGACCAGGACGCTTGGCTAAATGGGCCTCCCATGACCTGATCCAGCAGCCAGGCTCTCCTGTGTTCTTATGAACCATTAGAATGCAACAGATCCAATAAGTGCGTCAGTCGATGGAAGATGGTATCCAGTTCTTATCAGAGATATTGGACCGTCTTCTGTCTGTACCTCCGTATTTTGTTTTGCAGCTGGAGGCTTCATTAATTCCGCCATTGATGCATATATTCTCATAGGATATCTGCCCATAATGTTCGGAGGTAATTTATTGCCTCCAATATCTGCCAGAAATACCTCTACCAGAGCAATCCCATATTTGCCTTACCCTTGGGGGTGGCGGGAAGCTATTGTGCCATAATGGCTGCTGTATCCCATGCTTCCTCAGGTGTTGGGGGTGCGGGGACAACAACATAGGTAAAGGTAAAGGGACCCCTGACCATTAGGTCCAGTCGTGGCCGACTCTGGGGTTGCGGCGCTCATCTCGCTTTACTGGCCGAGGGAGCCGCCGTACAGCTTCCGGGTCATGTGGCCAGCATGATTAAGCCGCTTCTGGCGAACCAGAGCAGCGCACGGAAACGCCGTTTACCTTCCCGCAGGAGCAGTACCTATTTATCTACTTGCACTTTGAGGTGCTTTTGAACGGCTAGGTTGGCAGGAGCAGGGACTGAGCAACGGGAGCTCATCCCATCACGGGGATTCGAACCACCGACCTTCTAATCGGCAAGTCCTAGGCTCTGTGGTTTAACCCACAGTGCCACCCGCGTCCCTTATGGGATACCCGCTGTATCCCATGCTTGCTCAGGTGTTGGGGGTGCGAGGACAACAACATAGAGAACCGCAAATGTAGCAACACACAAACAGTCCTTTGAAACACCACCAGTGCCCACCAATTGGGGACTGTGCCATTGACGTCGCTCGCAAGCCGCCCACTCACGGAAGGAACCAATGAACTTGCAATGACAACAGACAGACACACCCACCCCAACATGGACTCTCACACCTAGGGGCAAAGGAGGAGTCTGTTTTACCCAGATTTATACGCAGATTTAGGCAGTTTGGACCTATTTGAGTTTTAAATTGCTTTTTGTGTCAGGCGCTCATTTACGTCAAAGCCACTCGTGTTGTTAGTGAGTCCGATTATAATTGGGTTGTAGCCAGCTAAGTTTTACTCAGAGAGGACCTTCTAAAATTAATGGGCCCAGGTTAGTTATGTTCATTATTTTCAATGGGTCTGCTCTGAGTAGGGCTAGCATTGACGATAACCCATATAACATACATAATAGGTATAAAAGAGTCAAATGCTCTTTTTCTGCAACATGGTTAATTTGTTCCGTCGCCCTCAAAATTTGACACCACCTGCTCCTAAATACCCCCCAAGTGGACACTTCCACAGCTTCTGAACACGAAGAGGTTCTTTTTTGCTTTGCCCTAAATACCCCGCCAATGGCCAGGCGCATGGCTTTCGAGTTCTTTGCAAAGGATTCTGGGTAGGCTGGCCGAATTATCAAAGGCCTCTTTTGTCCAATATGGCTTTCGAAAGCTGGACCCATCATTCTCCGGGCTTTTTTTCTTGGCGGACGAGGAAGGGTTAAGCCTGGATCTCCCCCCCCCCCCCGTGACCTTGGTGGAGCAGTCGGATTGCTTTGGGAAGCCAGTAAAACCGATAAACCCTGTTGCCTTCTGATAGGGATATAAAAAATATAATTACTTCAGCGGTGACTTATGATTCAATGAAAGCAGAGCCTTCCCCCCCCCCCTCTCTCGCTGCCCCCACCGCTCTGGTTTTCTTTTATTGAATTATGCAGTGGTATTCCTCAAAGACCGTTAGCAGATGGCCGACTCCGTCCAGGCGTTTAATAGGTTGAATTACTGCCCTTCGGAGAGAGTCTCCCTTTCAACCAAGGAGGATTAGAATGCCATTTCCACCACACACACACACGGCCCACCCCCAGCGAGTGCCGTTCCTCTGAGTTGCCCTGCCGCATGTTTACAACAGCGAAGAGAGGGCGCTGCCGTCGCCGTGTTTTACGGAGAGAAAGGTTCACGGAGCGAATCCTACCGAAGCGTCGGACTGGATCGCTCTCTTTACAGCGGTGCTTTCACGAGGGCCCTGCGATCATGTGTGACTGTTTTGCAAGGAACGGGATGGAGGGGAGAGTTGAGGGGGGAAATAACCGCACACCAGTGAGATATTCAGAATGGGGAACACTCTGTTGTGTGCTCCGGATAATAGCAAACTCAAGTGGCAAGTGACAATGGGAATGGAGCCGAAATAGGACTCTTGAGGAACAAGAGGGAAGAATTGGCAGGTTCAGAGTAGCCCCGAGGGCTGGAGAAGTGTAACACTTTAAAAAAAAAAATTAATGAAAGGGGCGAGAAAAAACTGAAAATTCAGCATGCACAACAGCCACGGCCAACCCCCAACATAACTCACTCCCTGACTAGTTGTGCAAGATGCTTAGAAGCTGCTGCCAAACCTTTTTATATGAAGAACCATAGAATTGTGGAGTTGGAAGGGACCCCAAAGGTCATCCAGCCCAACCCCATGCAATGCAGGGATCTTGGCTAAAGCATCCATGACAGAGGGCCGTCCAACCTCTGCTTAAAAACCTCCAATGAACCTCCCGAGGGAGACGGTTCCACTGCCGAACGCCTGTTCCCATCAGAAAACTCTTCTTTTTTAGTTGGAATCTCCTTTCTTGTAATTTGAAGCCATAGGTCCTACCCTCCGGAGCAGCAGGAAAAAAGGATATCAGCTGATTTTCTGTTTTGAGTTTAATGTATGAAAATTTTAAGGTGTGTGTGTGTGTTTTAAAGTTACCTGACTATCATCAGAATATTTTGACTGTTCTGGATAACTGGTATATGTGTTATCTACCTCTCTTTCAAATCAGAACCAGTGAAGGCCGTCAATGTCCTGTGCGAGTGTCTGGAGGCGGTTGGAGGATGGATGGCGGCTAACAGATTGAGGTTGAATCCTGACAAGACAGAAGTACTGTTTTGGGGAGACAGGAGGCTGGCAGGTGTGCAGGTCTCCCTGGTCCTGAATGGGGCAACTGTGCCCCTGAAGGACCAGGTGCGCAGCCTAGGAGTCATTTTGGACTCGCAGCTGTCCATGGAGGCACAGGTCAATTCTGTGTTCAGGGCAGCTGTTTACCAGCTCCCCCTGGTACGCAGGCTGAGACCCTCCCTGCCCATGGACTGTCTCGCCAGAGTGGTGCATGCTCTAGTTATCTCCCGCTTGGACTACTGCATTGCACTCTACGTGGGGCTACCTTTGAAGGTGACCCGGAAACTACAATTAATCCAGAATGCGGCAGCTAGACTGGGAGTAGCTGCCAAGACCACATAACACCGGTCCTGAAAGACCTACATTGACTCCCAGTATGTTTCCGAGCACAATTCAAAGTGTTGGTGCTGACCTTTAAAGCCCTAAACGGCCTCGGTCCAGTATACCTGAAGGAGCGTATCCACCCTCATCATTCTACCCGGACACTGAGGTCCAGCTCTGAGGGCCTTCTGGCGGTTCCCTCATTGCGAGAAGCAAAGCTACAGGGAACCAGGCAGAGGGCCTTCTCGGTAGTGGCACCCGCCCTGTGGAATGCCCTCCCACCAGATGTTAAAGAGAACAACAACTACCAGACTTTTAGAAGACATCTGAAGGCAGCCCTGTTTAGGGAAGCTTTTAATGATTGATGCGTTACTGTATTTTAATAATTTGTTGGAAGCCGCCCAGAGTGGCTGGGGAAGCCCAGCCAGATGGGTGGGGTATAAATAAATTATTATTATTGATTAGAGTTTGGATATGGTCCTTACGTACGTTTAGGGAAGGGTGTAGCTCAGCTGGTAGAGCCCCTGCATTGCATCCAGAAGGTCCCAGGTTCAATCCCTTCTCTACAACCCTTCAAGGTAGCTAGGACTGAGAGCGGCTGGGCTGAGCTTCACTGCTGAGTGGGCATTTGAACCCTGGCTCAGATCCAGCGCTCTGTCCTCTGCCAGACAGCGGCTCTTTAGCACTGCGTGTGGCAGGGTCCCACAGGAGGAGCACAGGATTTGAACTCGTGACCCTGGAGCCCACGTGCGCTCTTCCTCGCAGTGACGACGCAACTTCGCGTCGGAGCTGCGCTTTCCTGTTTTTGTCGGCTTGTGCTGGAAGACCCGCTTTGTGGGATTTCTTTTTTAATCACAGCGCTGACAGGCGGAGAGAGCGAGAGACTATTCCCTGGAGTGAAGGGCTGGGATCGAGGAAGTCGGCTGCAACCACGCGGCTCAGAAAAGCGACTTTCCTCTCTGTAATGAATATATCTTTACGGGGGAGGCTTGACAATTTCACTCCGCCTGGTCAGCATCTGCGTAAAAAAGAAAGAACGAAAGTGGTAGGGTGGCAAGTTTATGGCTGTGTATATGTACATGCAAGAGAGACTGGGAATTTTTTTAATTCTGTGCCATGACTAGCCTTATGTTAGCGGCTCACTCTGGCCTCTCCTACCTCTGATGCAAAACATTTTCACCGAAAAGTATACTCAAAAGTCTCTGTGCCATCGGGGAAATTTCATGCAGAAGGATGCATCTTTTTAAAGGCACGATTGCATCCCCCCAAATGGATCTGTTAAGGAAGGGCGCCTGCGAGTTTTTGCGCGATCTTTTCACCGGGAGATCTGCCGAGCGGTTTGGAAATAGGGAGAACGGAATTTAAAAGAGGGAAAGTGGCAGAGGGAAAGTGGAATTGATGGGTCTGTCCATTCCTGCTTCAGATAAAGAGTTTCTCCAAGCGATGGAGAATGACTACATTAATTACCGTCCTGCCGGCATCCGCCCACAAGGCACCATTCATTAAGATCTTACTGAGGCAGGAATGCCTCTGTGAAACCGCCCCCCCCCATTCCCCATGGGATTGTAATGGGGGGGGGGGCTGAGGAAGGGGAAAGCGCAATGGACCTAATAATCCCATCCCAGAAGACTAATCCGGTTAAATGAATCTGATATTGGAGATGTTTTCGGAATCCCAATTCCATGGAGGGTCGTCTATTTCGCCTAAGTACAGTGTATGGCCTTGTGAAAGTACCTTTTATGGCTAGGCAGATATCCCTCTCTCTCTCTCTCTCTCTCTCTCTCTCTCTCTCTCTCTCTCTCTCTCTCTCTTTCAGTGGATGTGGGTCTCTCTGCCCACCTACTTTAAAAAACACACACGCCAGGCATAGCTCCTTAGCTTGCGGCCCCAACCCCACCTACTGGGAGCAAGCCCCATTGAATTCAGTAGGACTCACTTTCAAGTAAAGGGGAAGGCAGCCAGGGTGGGAGGGAGGTGGAATAGCACGTGCTAGAAAGGGCAAGCCTGGCTGGCACCCAGAACTGGAGCACTCCTCATTGCAATATTTTGTGGCAGGTACAATTTGCCATTTTTAAATGTATACAAACCTCTCCCTTCTTCCAGAGATCTACAGTCTCCCCCCTTTTTAATCCTCACAAAAGCCCTGCTATTTGGGTTAGGCTGACGCTTAGCTAGTAACCCAAGAAGGTCACCCACTGAGCTTTGCAGTTAAATGTGGATTCGAACCCAGCTCTCGTTGCTTTTGGTCCAAAGGTGGGGCGTCTCTGTCTCCCCAGACCAGCTTTGCTAGGTAGGCGGGGCCACCCAGCCTCAGTTGATTGACAGATGGGGCACCACTTGGGGATATGGCTTAGAGGGCTCTATTGCACTGCCCTTTCTATCTCCAGCCCTCCGACTAGCCAGGGCCCACCTAAATTATTCAAACTGCAGATTTTGCACGGCGCTCAGAACGATTACTGGCTGTGGACTTGATTTCCAAGTACAGAGTTTCGATATTCCCTCTGTGTATATTAAAAAAATATTTTTTGGAATAAACAGAAGTGGCCCCAGGCATCTCCCAGGTGATTGTGGAGCACTGTGGGGAGGATAGACCCCTCACCCTTTGATCCTAATCTTAGATTTCACCTACTAGGGAGGAAAGAAGCTGGGAAATCCTTGTTTTGCAATAACAGGAGGACACAAACGCCTCTTTTGCTCTATTTCTCTCCCTCTCTGCAGATGATAACGTTCTCTGAGATGGCTGTTATTTAGGCCATTATTCTAATGGGGCATGTTGGCCATCTTGAATTCATCATCTTAATAGGAGACCATTTGCAGTATCCCATTAGCTTAATAAAGGCTCCCAGCTGCTTGGAGAGCTGGGGGGTTGATGTTAGCACAGGGCATTGGGGAGAAATGGCAGCGGAGGGAGAGCGAGAGAGAGCAAAGGCACATTAATTCAACAGATTATATTGGATGGCGATGCTGACGAGGCTTCTTTTCTCCAGACCTCATCACACTCTTTGTTTCTGCAAAGCATTCGCCAAGGCAGTCCCTGGCGGATTAGGCCCTGTGTTGGTGGATTTCAGGCTCCGAATCCGGATTAACTCCTAGGGCTGCGCTCCCTTCTGGGTGACCCTCTGGAGGTCAACATGGGCAACAAATGTAAATGCCTCTTTTGCCCAGTAGGGTTCCGAGGCTCCTAAGTTTCTGAGGTGTGTTCAAGGGCAGCCCCATATAGAGCTCATTGCAGTAGTCCAGCCTGGACGTTACCAGAGCATGGAGTGCCATGGGCTAAGGTGGGTTAGCAGGGGAGGCCTGCGTGGTGCCCTGCAGATATTGTTGCGCCCTCAGCTCCCATCAGCCCCAGCCAGCATGTCTGACAAACCAGGGATGGTGGGTGGTTTCTAGAGAACGGCTGTCTCTGATCGGCCCAACAACCTGGTCTGGCATGGTCCACATTAATATATATTCTGCCAGTATCTATTCCGGTTGCAATGCTTGGAACAAACTACAGGCACCTGCAGAATTGTGGGTCTGCTATTGTTCTAACAGGGATGTGGTAGTGCTGTGGTCTAAACCACAGAGCCTAGGACTTGCCGATCAGAAAGTCAGCGGTTCGAATCCCCGTGACGGGGTGAGCTCCCGTTGCTTGGTCCCTGCTCCTGCCCACCTAGCAGTTCGAAAGCACTTCATGTGCAAGTAAATAGGTACCGCTCCAGCGGGAAGGTAAACGGCGTTTCCGTGCGCTGCTCTGGTTCGCCAGAAGCGGCTTAGTCATGCTGGCCACATGACCTGGAAGCTGTGGACAAATGCCGGCTCCCTCGGCCTATAGAGCGAAATGAGCGCGCAACCCCAGAGTTGTCCGCAACTGGACCTTGCGGTCAGGGGTACCTTTACCTTTATTGTTCTAACACCAAAGGACGCGCTGAGTTAAGTTACGAACTTTTAAAATTCCCATCAAGCTGGAACCAGGTGAACCTCACCCCCACCACTAGAAAATATGGGAACAGAGCGAGAGAAGGTTTTGTCACTTGGGAGACTGTGATAATTGGGATGGAAATTTTGACCCAGTTCTCTGCCTCCGAGGGGAATCTCTGCATGTGAAAAGCGCCACCTTTCCCCCCTCTTTCTTTCCCTGTTGGGTGTGTGGCCCACTGGGAACCTCTTCTTGGGCAGGGGCAATTGAAAGAAATTCCCTGCAAGTTGCTGTAGTGTGCGGTCCTCTCATTTTTTGGCTGAGCACGTGCACAAGAGACATCTGCCTCCACGCAAGCAGATTTGTGCAGATGCTCTGGGGCCGTTTTGACTCTCCTTCGGGAGTAAGGAAAAAAGGGTCCTTGGATCTTGGCGCTTGCAGGCGGGGAGAGCCTTTTGTCAAATTTGTCTCTGCAAGATCTGAGCCGCCTGTCAGTCTTTTGAATGGGGAGTTTTGCTTCGCCTCTGTGATCTCTGTTTCTTCGTCTCCTGTGGGGAGGTGTTTAAACACCTCCCTGCCTTTAATTATCTGTCCCCTTTGGTGATTGAGTGAAAGGCTTGAAGTGATCAAAGAGACAGATGGCAGTTGACCGAATTTAGAGACCCCCGATGCCATTCTGCTTCACTGCCAGTGCAACTTGATGCCCTTTCGTCATTTGGGATGCAGGCCAGTGGCAGAACATCTGCTTTGCATGCAGAAAGTCCCAGGTCCGATCTGGGTGAAAGGGCTGGGAAAAAGACTCCCTGCCTGAAATCCTGGATAGCCACTGTCGCTGTTCAGGGAGGTTTTTTTAATGTCTGAGGGGCTTTTTGGTGTGTTTTAACATTTTTTTGGAAGCATCCCAGAGTGGCTGGGGCAACCCATTCAGATGGGCACCATATAAGCAATAATAATAATTAATAATAATAATATAGGTACAGGGACCCCTGACCCATAGCTGTCAACCTTCCCTTTTTTTGCGGGAAATTCCCTTATTCCAGCACCGTTTCCCACTGCTTCCCACTGCTGTCCCAGATTGTTAGATATCCTGTAGACTGTCCCCAGGATAGGGGAGGCTGCTGATCCCTTATTTTTGAGGCTGCTGCTACCTTATTTTCAAATCTGAAAGTTGACAGCTATGCCCTGACCGTTAAGTCCAGTCGTGGACAACTCTGGGGTTGCACGCTCATCTCACTCTATAGGCCAAGGGAGCCGGTGTTTGTCCTCAGACAGCTTCTGGGTCATGTGGCCAGCATGACTAAGCCGCTTCTGGCGAACCAGAGCAGCGCACGGAAACGCCGTTTACCTTCCCGCCAGAGCGGGACTGCTTTCGAACTGCTAGGTTGGTAGGAGCAGAGACCTTGCCACATCGCGGGGATTTGAACTGCCGACCTTCTGATTGGCAAGTCCTAGGCTCTGTGGTTTAGTTAATTAATGCAGCTATTCTTCTATCTCAAGCCGAGGTGTAATTTGGGTAATTTTTAAGATTGTCCAGCACCATGCCTTGTCACTCTCTGTTTCTCTCACTCCTGTATATGTGGGTCCAGTTTGGCCCGAATGTGCACAAAAAACAAGATGGTAAGGGGGAACACACCCCTTCGTGTTGCTAGTGGTTTTGGGGGGCTAGGATCCCTTTTGAATGACAAGTTACTTCTGCAAGCAGAAAGCTTAGCGCAGGGGTCAGCAAACTTTTTGAGCAGGGGGCCGGTCCACTGTCCCTCAGACCTTGGCGGGGGCAGACTATATTTTGAAGGGGGGGGGAAATGAACAGATTCCTATGCCCCCCAAATAACCCAGAGATGCATTTTTAATAAAAGGGCACATTCTACTCATGTAAAAACACGCTGATTCCCAGACCGTCCATGGGCCGGATTGAGAATACGATTGGGCTGGATCCGGCCCCCGGGCCTTTGTTTGCCTACCCATGGCTTAGTGCATCAGGAGAGGAAATGAGCTTACCTAGCTGACTCCACAGTACACTAATTTCTGTTTCCAGGGAGAATCTCCCCCCACAATACTCTCCCACCTGCAGTCCGAAGTAGTTGAGTTCAATGCTGCCTTGGATTCTGTACAGCAACACTTTGCCTGCCGTACTCCAAAACATTGGCCTTCCAAGTGGCTGCAGGATCAGGACCACGGAGTCACAAATTCCAGCATTCATTAACCGCTCTGGGGCAGGGAGAAACTTTGCCCCACCTGCGTTCTGGCACATGACCTTGTTCACCCTGCTTGGTAGGTCTCCACGTTCACCCTGGGCTCCCTTTTTTATTTTAGGTTTGCAAATTGGCAATGGTGCCCTTAGAAGATCAGACCTTGGGCGTGTTCTTTAATTGGTGCAAGAGGGCTTGGGAAAGCAGCGCCAAAAACCCACACGGGCTCATTTGATCCTCCCGGTATGTTGCTTTGATAATTACAAGCTTATAGGTGAAGATGAGTCTTTGATGTATTGACAGGTTTCACCCGGGCGGGAGGAAAATTTCGATGAGGTTGAAGATGTGGACGGTTTTCCTAAGCAAAATGGTCTCCTTCACTTTTGACAGGAGAGGGTGTTTCTAAGGGTGGGAGAGGAAAGCAGAGATATCCTTGGATGGATTAATTTTCTATATTTTTTAAAAAAATTCCAAGACAGCAAGCAGAAAGAACAGATTGTAGTTAATTGCTGCTAAGCAGCAACGGTTCAGAGCAGCTCAGGAGGGAATGGGGAGCAGCACACAGGAGCTGGTGGGCTGAGGCGGACTCTGTCTTGACCTTGAAGGCAACATCCGAGGGCTTTGAGGAAAGAGAAAAAGAAGGCAGCCAGAGCTATCTTGGCTCTCCTTGGCAGAAGTAGAACCTGAACTCCGGTTACCGTTTCTGGCATACAGTCATACTTCATGTTATGTCCCCTTCATGTTACGTTCTTTCAGGTTATGTCCCGTGGCAACCCGGAAGTACTGGAAAGGGTTACTTCCGGGTTTCGCCGCTCGTGCATGCGCAGAAGGCAAAATGATGTCATGCGCAGAAGCGGCGAATCGCAACCTGCGCGTGCACAGACGTGCCGCTGCGGGTTGTGCTCTTTTAATGTTGCGAACAATGACAAACCTAGGCCATAAAGAAGGTCCGTCTAGTTAAAGCTATGGTTTTCCCAGTAGTGATGTATGGAAGTGAGAGCTGGACCATCAAGAAGGCTGATCGCCGAAGAATGGATGCTTTTGAATTCTGGTGCTGGAGGAGACTCTTGAGAGTCCCATGGACTGCATGAAGATCAAACCTATCCATTCTGAAGGAAATCAGCCCTGAGTGCTCACTGGAAGGACAGATCGTGAAGCTGAGCCTCCAAGACTTTGGCCACCTCATGAGAAGAGAAGACTCCCTGGAAAAGACCCTGATGTTGGGAAAGATGGAAGGCGCAAGGAGAAGGGGACGAAAGAGGACGAGATGGTGGGACAGTGTTCTTGAAGCTACCAGCATGAGTTTGACCGAACTGCGGGGGGCAGTGGAAGACAGGCGTGCCTGGCATGCTCTGGTCCAGGGGGTCACGAAGAGTCGGACACAACTAAACGACTAAACAACAAACAACAACAAAAATGTTGCGAACGAGCCTCCGGAACGAATCCCGTTCGCTGCCACAGGTACCGCTGTATTTTTTCATGCCTAATTAAATCTGAGCGGAGGGAAGGGTGAAAGGCAAGCAGGTGACTTGGTTGGCTGAGGGCAAGCTGGGATGTTGACCCAAGAAGCGACACGCCCCACCCCCAGGACATAAAAACTCAAGCAGATCTCTGCTGGATCAGGCCAATGGCCCATCTAGTCCAACATCTTGTTCTCACAGTGGCCAACCAGATGTCTCTTTGTAGATCAGAGATGGGGGAACCTGTGGCTCTGAACATTTTTGGGCTCCAACTCCCATCAACCATGCAACCAAAGCACTGTCAATGGTCAGGGATGATGGGAACATCCAGAGAGCCCATCCCAGGAAAATATGTGTACACAAGCTTTGGGGTATTGTTTAAAGCGTCTGTTTTTGGCGAGCAACCGAGTTTAATTAATGTGGCACGTCAGTGATTTTGCAAAGCTCCCGGTTAACTAACCTGTGCAACAGAATTGCTTTATTAAGACATCTGCCCAGGCAGGTCATGGCAAAGTTTTGCTTTATAAAAATAGTCCGTTGCCCAATTTGTATAGAAAGAACATGAATTGTCTTGTTGTTGCTTTTATTCAGAAGGCTTTCACTAGCGTGGCCGCCTTTTTATATTAACCGTTTTCGTGTGCTTCCTGTTTCTTTTTCTTTTTTTAAAGTAAGAATTTTGTGGTTCTTTTGGATGAAATAGTCATTAATCTGCTGTGATTTCCAGTTTATTTAGCTCCCCTAAAATTGGTGTTTAATCCCTGCGCAAACTCACTTTTCTTCTTTTTTGTATTTTGTATTGTATCTCATTGTGCAGGATTGATTGTATATGCTTGTGTGTGTTCATACACCAGGTACATATGTTTGCTGTTCTTAGAGCCTGTCTATTATTATTATTATTGTTGTTGTTATTATTATTACAGTGGTACCTCGGGTTAAGTACTTAATTCATTCTGGAGGTCCATACTTAACCTGAAACTGTTCTTAACCTGAGGTACCACTTTAGCTAAAGGGGCCTCCTGCTGCTGCCACACTGCCGGAGCACGATTTCTGTTCTCATCCTGAAGCAAAGTTCTTAACCTGAAGCACTATTTCTGGGTTAGCAGAGGTTGTAACCTGAAGCGTATGTAACCTGAAGCGTATGTAACCTGAGGTACCACTGTATTAATATTACTATTATTTATTTCAATTTATATAATGCCTCTCAGGGCTGTTCACAACATAAAAATACAATAAAGAAAAAATAAAACACATAATAAAAATAAGAACAAAAACAAACCAATAATCCTTCCTCTCACAACTCATTTAAAAGGGTATCTGATGTTAATCAGCCAGAGGTCTGGTTGAAGAGGAACATTTTTGCCTGGCATCTAAAGGTGTACAACTAGACAAGTGATATAAAATCTGATGGCAATATTCTACCTTGGCTCCCGGGAGGCATTAATGCATCTACATCCCAGTTGCTGGGAAGGAACTGCAGTTGGGGAAAGTTGCTTGTGGGCTTCCCATTGGGGGCCTCTGGTTGGCCGACGCAAGGACAGGATGATGGGCCCCCCTTGGCCTGATCCAGCAGCTAGGCTCTCCTCATGTTCTTCCCCAAAGCCCCTCCTTGGATCATGGCCATTTGGCAGGTTTCCCCTCCCCGCTCTGAGCCTTCTTAACAAGAGAAGAAAGCAAACCCAGCCACCTGTCAGCGCCAAAATTGGGCGATGAAAAGCAGCCCCTTTGGGAGAGTCGCTGCAGAAGACGCCGCAGCCTGCGGCACTCTTGTCTTCTTGCCACTTGTTTCTAATTGCACGCATGTTAAGATGCCGCTTAGAGAGAGCGGGGGCACTTCCCCCCCCAGGCCCCTCCTCGCCCGCCTGCGTCCCTCAAAACAAGAGGCACACAGATGAAGCGATCGGGAGTGAGGATGCTGGCAGGCACCAATCTGTTACACCACCCCCCAGGTTCCAGATGAAGAAAACTAAATATAGATGCCTGGGACGTCTTCGTTTTTGCCTTTTGCTTCTTCGACCTGCGTGCAAAGGGTGAAATCTGAGGGTGCGTCGTAGCCTCTCCTAAGCGATCCTAGTCAGAAATCCCCCCTCCCCACTTTTACCTCCCCTCCCCCCTCCTGGGGCCAAGCAATCCCTCAGCAAGGACACGTTATTGGTGAAATGGGTCTTCTGGCCTTGTTTCAAAACTCGCCGCAGACCACTCTATCATATTACTTTTAAAAAGTAACTCGGTAATCAATTTGACTCCAGGGCTCGAGGCAAAGGGATAATGCTTAATGGCTCAAACTCGATCTATATTAATCATAGCACTTTCCCCACCAAAGTCCGGCTTCCCGACTGAGGGAGCAACAAACAGCGGTGTGCACGTTTGTGTGAGAGAGATGTAGTTAGCTTCTGAGCACGTGCAAAGTGTTTCCGTACAGCAGGAGTGGGGGGCTTTTTCAGCCTGAGGGCCACCTTCCCTTCTGGGCAACTTTCCGGGGTCCACATGTTGTGGGTGGGTGGAGCCAGAGGCAAAAGTGGGCAGAGCAACAAATGCAAATTTCCCCTAGCCCCCCCTCCTCCCTCCTCCATTGAGACAAGCAAAAGGCATTCTCTGAGTTCAAGGACATATTTCCAGACAGGCAAAAACTCTCACGGAAGGTGCAAAGCAGGACCAGTGAGGGGCGTGGCCTGTGTAGAAAGGGTGTGGCTTATGGAGTGTCCCAGCTAGAGAGGATGGCATTTGGCCCCTGGCTCTGAGTTCCTCATCCCTCTTGGTTACCTTATACTTCTGTACCCATGGTGACCAACTTTTACCAAGTTGCAATTGCTGGGTGATTCTGATCACCTGTGGGGCCGGGGTCCCGGAAATGTGAGTCATAGCAGAATGGGGCCCAGCGTAAGGCTGGAGTAAGGAAGCAGTATTCCCGTCCTCTCAATTACATTCTCTTTTTAGGGCTTCTCTGTCTCAAATTCCTCTTGGATTCTGGTTTGACTACAAAAAAATTCAAAGAATTACGTCGCTGTTTTGCTGCAGTTCTGATCGTTGTTTGCAAGTTCACTGCAAGCTCTGCGATCAGGAGCGGGTGCATTTTCTTTGGCGTAGCAGGGGGGGGGCTCCAGTCAGGAGTGGGTGGGGGCCACACATTTCTTCTCTCTCTCTTCCTCTTTTTGCTTTCTCTTTCTGTCCCCATTCCTCTCTCTCTCTAGCACCCCTCTGCAGCAACAGAGAACAAGTTGCACAACCCTAATAATAATAATAATAAAATTTTATTTATATTCCGCCCTCCCCAGCCAAAGCCGGGCTCAGAGCGGCTAACAACAATAAAAGTAACACAGCATTCTAAAATCAATTCATTTTAAAATCAATTCAAAATCAAATTAATGGCAACCATTGGGCTAGAGTTCTGTGAAGATTACCAAAGGAGGGGGTCAGGCTGTGTCTTGGCCAAAGGCCTGGTGGAACAGCTCTGTCTTGCAGGCCCTGTGGAAAGATGTCAAGTCCCACAGGGCCCTAGTCTCTTGGGACAGAGCGTTCCACCAGATCGGGGCCACAGCCGAAAAAGCCCTGGCTCTGGTTGAGGCCAGCCTAACCTCCCTGTGGCCCAGAACCTCCAAGATGTTTTTGTTTGCAGACCGTAAGGTCCTCCGTGGGACATACCAGGAGAGGCAGTCCCGGAATTACCTGATAAGAAAAGAATCTGATCTGGGTTTGTTTTAACTCATTACAGCTAGAGAAAACCACAGTTCCCTGAGTCAAGACGAAACAGGGAACGGTGGTTGTTTTGAAAGTGGAAGCTTTTGATTTCTTCCGTTTATGGAAGGCTCATTCATCTAGCTAGAAACCGCTGTTTTATCAGTGATCGCTACCTTCCCATGCCGAGGCTTCATTTCTGTGCAATTGCATTTAGAGTTTGTCGCAATCCAGTCCAACACCCCCCCCCCGCTCCATCCTGACTGCCTTGTGCACTAACGACAGCCCCCTCCCCCAAATCCGCTACCTCTTTCCCCCTCCACCTCAGCTGCTATGCAGATGGTCCCATTTGCATCTGTCGAGGTTTTAATTATCATTCAAATTAAATTAAATTTGAAAAGGCAGTGAGCTGTTCACGCCGGAGCAAGGTGCACACTCGATGTAGGCCACTTTTTTTCTTTGTCTCCCCCTGCCAGTCTTTTAAAAAAATGGTGGGGAATGTTTCAGCAATGAGCCCCCCCCCCCGACCAGCTGATGTGTCCTGTAATGTTGGTTGATGTGGCTTTGTGAATATGTAATAAATGAGTCATGCATGATATTAGTGTGGCATCTGTTATGGTCCCAGACCAGGACTCCTCTGAGTTAGAGTCCACCAGCAATTGTACCACTGAGAGGGGATAAATCTGCATCCTGGTCCACCCTGTGTTGGTCTTTGGGCGCCAGAGTCCACTTCTCCTCCACCCTGAGACAACGCTGCCTTCAGACTCTGATGGCAGGTCAATGGGCCCCTTGGGGTCGCAAAAGATCCCTGAGGAGAGGTCCCTGCAGCTAGACACCCCATTATCTTGAAGAAGTTAGCAGCTGCAGGGAAAGGCAATGTCCCTTTAGCTGGTCAGGAGGGGACTTGTGACTATCCAACGCCTGCTAAACCTCAGCTAGTGGCTCCAGGCTCTTGCTAAGACAACATGGATGCTTAGTCTCAGCGGCAGGAGTGCTGTCCATGGTCCTGAACCTAAACCTGGCTCTCCTACCAAGGTCCTTGCCATTGTGCTTACTAGAAACCTTTAAACTTCCCTTCCTTGGGCCATTCATGGGCATCCATAGGATGGTTTTTTTGTGGGGGGGGGGGACAAAATGCTGAACCAATAGTTCTCAAATTTCAAGGCAGGTCTCCCCATGCGAAGACAGCTGGAAGGGAAGGGGTGAAGTTACAGTGCAGAATGATTTCCCTTTTGCCATGATGATCAGACATAGGTAGCTAGCTTTTGTATTAATGGGTAAAATAGCCTGTGCTTTCCTCCTCCCTCTTTATTTGATTTGACAGAGATGACTAATGTAGGGACAGGCAGGCGAGTCGTGTCTGCGTGTGGACTAGTAACTTTTATTTTGCAAGGCCGCGACAGCGTGCGTTTACCCAACATCAGCACAAAACACAGAGGTCTGTATGTGGGTCGATTTTTGAACCCTCCGCGACCTCGGCCTCTCTCTGAGTGAATTGGCTTTCTGTGTCACTCGTAAAAGGGGCAGCGGGCAGGGAGGGGGAGAGAGAGAGAGGAGGCCTGTACTCAGCACGGCAGAATTTAATTTCCACTGTGCCGAAATAGAAAGCGATTGCCCTCCCGCCCCACCTAACAAACCAGAAAATCACACTCCTCTCCCTCAGTTTCCTGTAAGCTGGGGAAAGGGCTTTCTGGCAGCCACGGAGCTGTGAGCTTAGATAACAGGATGGCGGTGGTGCCTGGAGACAGAGTGATCCGTTGGGTCTTTTAATGCAATCAAACCAATTAGAAAGCAGAGGATTCCAGGGGAAATTATTGGGGGATTTCCTCTTCTCTGAGATACCTCCCCTTTTTATTCTTAGACATTTGCTTTGCTTACAGCTGTGGTTTAACTCCTTTTACCACCATAGATAAATAAATCTAGACCAGGGATCACCAACAGAGTGCACTCCAGATGTGCTGGACTCCACTCCCCATCAGCGTGGCCAGAGGTCAGGAGGTAATGGGGAGAAACCACATTGCCTACACATGCCTACACCCCAATCTAATGTAAACCAAGGGAGTGTGTCTGTTTGCTGTGGATGGAAATGAATTTCAGGGGCTTCTGGTCTCCCAGATGCAGCCTGTTCACCCCCACTCTCCCTCCTCCAGGCAGATTGCCAGTCTGGAGGAGGGAGAGTGGAGGGTTTTAGCAGCAAACTGGAGGGCTTTAGCAGCAAAACAACTGTTTTGGAACCTTAGTTTTGCCTGTGCTGCAGACATGGAGACAACTAGATTTGTTTTGTTGGTTTGCTTCTGCAAATTCCACCGGACTTCCAAAATTCCAGCCGGAGTTTTTTGGGAAATGTGCTGGAGGATGAGAACCATCCTTCAGTGGGGAGTTCTAGCATGAAGCTGAATGTTGGAAGACCTGGGACAGAGGAAAGAAAGGACTTCTTTCATACAGCACAGACTGTGGAACTCTCTGCCACAAGAGGCAGTGATGGCCACCAACTTGGATGGCTTTAAAAGAGGATTGGGCAAATTCTTAGAGAGGGAGGCTACTAGTGTTTACTAGCCACAGTGGCTATGCTCTCTCCTCAGCTGTTAGAGGCAGCACGCTCTCAACATTTGAAACGTGCCTGCTGGTTCCAAAAAGTTGGCAACCCTTATACTAGAATTTCGGCGTGGGGTGTGCGATGCCCAGTGAAACTCTTCGGCAGTAGTTTTTAGAGTTGACCCAAAGAAAGGTTTCCTTTTCGCCAGTTCACTGCAGTTGATGGCCTCTGGCTTAGATTGCTCTCTTTCCTTTTTGAAGCGAGGGTGCTAGTCAAATTCATGGTCTGTTGATGGGTGAGTTTTAAAAAGCTGAACTTCCATGTTCTAGGGCAGTCTACCACTGCTGGTGACTAGATCCTGGATTTCTTGTGGCTGGGGATGATCCGGCAGGGGCTTCTCTTATGTCAGTTCTCAAGCGAGGAAATGGAATGTTGTACATGGTAGACCTTTCCTGCTGTCAGGTTGTAATAAATTTTGGAGGTTACTGTTCTTGCAGTCATTGTGTGCATAAATATTTTGATGAACTCAATCAGAAAGAAAGAAAGAACTGGAAAGACAGCAGAGGGGGTGAGAGACAGAGAGAGAGAGAGAGAGAGAGAGAGAGAGAGAGAGAGAGAGAGACGTTTGGCTTGTTTATTTTTCCAAAAGCATTTATTGATCAAAGGTCAAGATGCACCCTTCACTTTTTAAAGAAATAATTTGGCTTCCCTGCCCCCCCCCCCGGAAGCAACACAAGACCTGCAAGGTCTTTGCAAAAGCAGCAAAGTAGGCTTGGCCAACCCAGTGTCATCCGGGTCGCGTCACTCAATGGCAGTTGTGTGAAGGGTGCTTGGGGAGACGTGCCCCATGGAGACCCCACCTGGGCAGCCTGTTCAGTAGTACGTCTCCTTCTCTACCCAACCCCCTGGGTGCCGACGGATGAGGTACTTCCGGATCTCGTCATAGACGAAGATCAGCACGCTGAAGGGCAGGGCGCAGAGCCACCAGGTGACCCGCAGCGGGAACATCCTCAGGGCCGCATCCAGCCCGGGGCAGTAGGACAGGAAGACGGCCAAGGTGGTCTCTTCCACGAGGCCGAAGATGAGGACCCTGTTGCGCATGCCCTGCTGGAAGAGGGAGAGCTTGCGTGTCTTGCAGATGATGAGGTCAGCCCACTGCACCACCACGATGCTGACGAAGAAGGCAGTGTGGCAGGTGTACTCCACCACCTTGCGCTGCGTGTAGGTCCACTCCTGCCCGTAGCTGTCTTCCAGGTCGTTCTTGGTCTTGTCGTCCCAGTCCAGGCGGAGGCCCAGCAAGGTGAGAGGGAGGAAGCCGTTCTCCGCCATGATCACAAAGTAGGAGTAGAAGCCGGCCAGCGCCTGCATCATCCCAATCTGCCCGTACGCCATGCTGATGAGGCGCTGGTTTACCAGCTTGTCCTTCTTCGGGTCCCGCGGCTTCCTCTTCATGATGTCGCTCTCGGGGCCCTCGTAGGCCAGGGAGATGGCCGGGACCATGTCCGTGCCGAGGTCGATGCACAGGATGGTGATGGTCCCCAGAGGGAGAGGGATGTTGAAGATGATGAACAGCAGGAAGGGGGAGATCTCGGGGATGTTGCTGGTCAGGGTGTAGGCGATCGACTTCTTCAGGTTGTCGAAGATCAGGCGGCCTTCCTCCACACCCGTCACGATGGAGGCGAAGTTGTCGTCGAGGAGGATCATGTCCGCGGCCTGCTTGGAGACGTCGGAGCCGGCGATGCCCATGGCGATGCCAATGTCGGCCTTCTTCAGGGCCGGCGAGTCGTTCACCCCGTCGCCCGTCACGGCCACGATGGCCCCCTGCCTTTGGCACCCTTCCACAATGATCAGCTTCTGCTGCGGGGAGGTCCGGGCGAAGACGATCTCGGCGTGGTTCCTGAGGATGTTGTCCAGGTCCGCAGAGGTCATGTCCTTGAGGTTGGTGCCGTGGATGACGCAGGCTTTTGCATCCCTCGGGTTGACTTCACTGACGGGGATGTTGAGCCGTGCGGCTATGTCCTCCACGGTCTCGCTTGTCTCGGAGATGATGCCCACACCCCTGGCGATGGCCTTGGCCGTGATCGGGTGGTCTCCGGTCACCATGATCACCTTGATGCCGGCACTCCGGCACTTGCCCACGGCATCTGGCACAGCGGCTCGGGGCGGGTCAATCATGGAGATGAGCCCCACAAAGCAGAGCTGCTTGATGGGAAAGTTGACCTTCTCTGCGTCGAACTTGAAATTCCTGGGAAACTGGCGCTCGGGGAGGTAGGAGTGGCAGAAGCCCAGCACTCTCTCTCCCAGCCCGCCCAGTTCATCGTAGGCTTTCTGGAACTCCGCTTGCATCTTCTTGTCCATGTTCACCTCCTTCCCTTGGATCATAATGGTGGAGCAGCAGTCCAGGATCCTTTCGGGAGCTCCCTTCATCACCAGGATGTGGCCCTTGGGCTTGTCTTCAGCTTCGTGGATGGACAGCTGGTATTTGTTTGTGGAGTTGAAGGGGATCTCCACCACTTTGGGATTCTTCTCCCGCATCTTTGCCACGGGCCCAGCGGACAACTCTATGCATTTCAGGAGCGCGGACTCGGAAGCATCCCCAGTCGTCTCCCTCTTGGTGATGGGGACTGCCTCCTGACCCACTTTGAAGTCCGCTCTGTTGCACAGGCCCGCAATACGAGCCAGGGCTGCCCACGTTGGGGAGCGCTTGTTTAACATGGCCCCGGCCTGCTCCTCGGTGGTGTCCGCTTCGTGGATCTGGTTGTCCATCCACATGTGGGAGACGGTCATGCGGTTCTGAGTCAGGGTGCCCGTCTTGTCCGAGCAGATGGTGGAGGTGGAGCCCAGCGTCTCCACGGCCTCCAGGTTCTTCACGAGGCAGTTCTTGCGGGCCATGCGCTTGGCGGTCAGGGTGAGGCACACTGTGACTGTGGCCAGCAGCCCTTCGGGCACGTTGGCCACAATGATGCCGATCAGGAAGATGACGGCATGCAGCCAGGTGTAGCCGAGGACAATGGAGAGAGCAAAGAAGCTCACACCCAGGAAGACGGCCACGCCCGTGATGATGTGGATGAAATGCGCTATTTCCCTGGCGATGGGGGTGGGGCCTTCCTCCAGGCCGGAAGCCAGGGAAGCGATGCGGCCCATCACCGTGTGGTCCCCCGTCATGATGACGATGCCACGGGCCGTGCCTTCCACGCAGTTGGTGGAGAAGAAGCAGATGTTGCGAGTCTCCAGCGGGTTGTCGTTGGTGAAGTCCGGGGAGCGGCTCTGCGGCTCCGACTCGCCCGTCAGGGAGGAGTTGTCCACCTTGCAGCCGCTGGCAGAGATGATTCGCAAATCGGCGGGGATCCGGTCTCCGCCTTTGATCTCCACCAGATCCCCCCTCACCACATCCTCGACAGAGATCTGCATCTTCTCCCCATCGCGGATCACGAGGGCCTGCTGGGGCACCATGTGCTTGAAGGAGTCCATGATCCTGGAGCTCTTGGCCTCCTGGTAGTAGGAAAAGCAGCCCGTCACAATGACCACGGCCGTCAGCACGATTCCCAGGTAGAGGTTGTCCTTGAGGACATAGGGCTCCATCATGATCTGGATGCCGTAGGCCAAGAAGCAGAGAATGGAGCCCAGCCACAGCAGAATGGAGAAGCCTCCAAACAGCTGCCGGCAGAACTTCACCCACTCCGGGGTGGTCGGGGGAGGCGTCAAGCTGTTTGGCCCCTCCCGAGCAAGGATCTCCGCGGCATGGGCGCTGGTCAGACCCTTGCTGAGGTCCACCCCATACTTTCTGCTGATTTCCTCCAGGGTCAACTTGTGGTCCTCGAGTTCCACTTCCTTTTTCAGGTCGTCCAGCGTATGTTTCTCATGACTCTTGCTCTTTGGCTTCCCCATGACGGATCCAAGACACTCCTCTTCTCACCTGTCTCTCAAGCTCCCACTCTCGGTATCGTGCGGCACTGCTCTGGTGGGGCGGGGGTTAAAGGAAGGAAGGGGGGACGGGCAAGTTGGGGGAAGGAAGGGACCTGGATCCCCAGGAGCGCCCCCTCCCAGGAGCTCCACCCCTCCACTAGCACAGCCAAGAGAAAGGATGTGAACGGCAGGTGAAGGATTGGCCCAAAGGCCACCTGTTAAAGGAACAGCCCTACCCACCTTTCCAACAGAGGGCGAAAAGGAGAAGCGAGGCCACGCCCCCTAACCACCAACCAACAAAGCTTCTGTGTCCTAGCAGCCATGGCCCCGCCCCTTGTGACCAAGGACACACCCACTCCCCTGGCATTGTTGCATCATGCTAGTCCCAGCTCTTAGCAACTGGGAACCAACCCCTGTCGATGGTGATGTCACACTGCCCTAGCAACAAGTGAAGGTCCTGTTGTTTAATAGCAACCTGGGCCCTCCCGCATCTGTTGCTGCTATAAGGCCCAGCCCACAAAGATGGTGTCAATGCCCAGTGGCATCTCCAGGCACGGCTGGGATAAACCCCTTGTCTGAAACCCTGGAGAGCTGCTGCCAGCCAGTGTACGCAGTACTGAGCTGAATGGACATCGATGCTCTAACTTGGCAGAAGCCAGTTTCCTACGTTCCTATTTAAACCAGCCCTTCATTCAAAACTGCGAGGACTGAAATCATAGAATCATGGGGGATCATAGAATTGTAGAACCTCTGCTTAAAAACCTCCAAAGAAGGAGTGTCCATCACCTCCTGAAGGAGGAGTCTCTTCCACAGTCGAAGGGCTCTTACTATCAGAAAGTTATTTCTGATGTTCTTTCAGAATCTGCTTTCTTGCATCTTGAAGCCATTGGTTCGTACCCCCCCAGGAGAACGCAAGCTTTATTTTTAGGGGCTGAGCAGTAGAACACCTGCTTCACATGCAGAAGGTCCCATGTGTCTCCAGGCACAGCTGGGGAAAATCCAGATAACTGCTGCCAGCCAGAGTATACAGTATTGAGCCAGGTGGATCCAGTGGTCTGATTTGGTAACAGGCTTCTTGGGCTTCTATTCTTGGCCACCTTTACTGAACCCACAAGCAACCAGTTATGCTTCAGAAATCAACGTCTCGGCGTGGGAGACTCTCCCACGTCGTCCCTTTGATTGTCTGTCCCTTAAAAACACACACAAAACCCCCTTATTTTGTTCCTTCCCTCTTCGAAGCGAACAGCCCCCAAAGAATGAAGCATTCATTCCCTGACAGCGCTAGGACCCCTAAATAAACCTCGCTGTCACCCTGGCCACGCATCCCTTCCCGGCTCAATTAAAATTCAGCCTTCGCGCTGTGATATGCGACGCAGCAACCCTTCTCTCTCTCCCACCTCTCCTTCCCTCTGCTGCCAGGCTGTTTGGGGATGCAGCAAACGTTGGGGCCAGTGAATGAGAGTGTCAGGCGGGTCAAGAGCTGAGACGGACACCCCGTCCTGCAGAGCCAAGCGCTTATTGTTTGGTCGCCGCTGGGCTTTCTCTTGCCGTGTGAAAAAATGTGCCGCAGTGCCATAGCAACCACAGAAGAAGAACAGCCACAGAGGGGGACGCACCTCTCCTGTCCAAAATAAAACCTCTTCCTGCTTTTGTCTTTAAGAAAGAACACACTTTCTTCCTTTTTAATGTTTCAAACTTCTGTCTCTCCAGCACCACCAGTGGAAACGATGCCGGAAAATTATATTGGGAAGGGTGTTTTGAAAAAGGATTTGGTGGCAAATAGGACCTGCATGTTGCTGTTTAAGGGTTCACAGCTTCCAAAATTGTGGTCTGTTTTTGGCTCTCAAATAGTAATCAGTTTTCAACAACCCCCCTTTTTGATAGATGGTTGCTTCTGGTATAAATAAGTGAAAGCAATAAAAAAGGGGGTTGTTGTTTAGTCGTTTAGTCGTGTCTGATTCTTCGTGACCCCCTGGACCAGAGCACGCCAGGAACTTCTGTCTTCCACTGCCTCCTGCAGTTTGGTCAAACTCATGCTGGTAGCTTCGAGAACACTGTCCCACCATCTTGTCCTCTGTTGTCCCCTTCTCCTTGTGCCCTCCATCTTTCCCACCATCAGGGTCTTTTCCAGGGAGTCTTCTCTTCTTATGAGGTGGCCAAAGTATTGGAGCCTCAGCTTCAGGATCTGTCCTTCCAGTGAGCACTCAGGGCTGATTTCCTACAGAATGGAGAGGTTTGATCTTCTTGCAGTCCATGGGACTCTTAAGAGTCTCCTCCAGCACCATAATTCAAAAGCATCCATTCTTCGGCGATCAGCCTTCTTTATGGTCCAGCTCTCACTTCCATACATCACTACTGGGAAAACCATAGCTTTAACTAGACGGACCTTTGTTGGAAAGGTGGGGGAATGGCATTATTATCCATCGTTCTCATTCCAATTACATCCTACCTCTCCTCCAGGGAGCTCAAAGTGTCATACGTGGTTCTCCCCTTTGCCGTTTCGTCCTCACAACAGCCCTGCAAGATAGTTCAGGCTGTGACTGGCTCATAGTTACCCAGGGAGCTTCAAAGCTTGAGTCAGGATTAGACCGGGCTGACAGCGAGGTTATAAGTCCCTTAGCCTGTTCAAACAGCCCCCTCACAAGTTCAGAAGAGAGGTGGCCCTGCTCAGACCCAGGTTTCGTATGCGGCCCTCCAGATCTCTCTGCCTGGCCCTCTGGATTCTCCTCAGGCCACATCCTGCACCCTCCGTGGAGTGCTTTTTCCTGGGTGGAAATGTGTCATTGAACGGTGGCACATGCCCCATGCTTGCCTGGATGGAAGCTGTGTGTGTGTGTGTGTGTGTGTGTGTGTGTGTGTGTGAACTGCCATCTTTTGCATGCAAAGGTAGAAATTGGGCCCTGCCCACAATGGTCATCCAGCCTCCAGAAGGTTGCCGCTGATACAATGGGGCCCATGGGCTCACAAAATGTTCCCTACCCCTGTTGCAGAGCTCTCTTGTTAAGTTGGTGAACCTTTCAAGGGGTGGGTGGGTGTGGAGAAACAGATTCTACCAGCATAGAGATGAAAGGCATAACCCACCCAGAAAAACAAACTTATGTTTATCTGTTTTCCCCAAAGGAGAGGGAAAATCAGTTGGCAATTAACAGGGTCAGGAACTCGCTAGAGGAATGCTATTTTTAGTGGCTAACCCTCATTTTTTAAGCATCCCACAAACTCCCCCTCACTTCCCTTGTTTAGAGAGTTGAAAACCGCCTCCAAATGTTTGCTTAAGCACCATAGTCTCCTTCTATCTATTCTAGGCAATCCAGGAGCTGTCCGTGGTGTTGAATGAAGGCTTTTCACGCAGCTCCCTTGACTTAGAATCTTAGAATCAGAGATTTTGAAGGAACCTCTAGAATAATGTAGCTTTATCCCCTGCAATGCAGGAATCTCAACTAAAGCATCTATGACAGAGGGCCATCCAACCTCTGCTAGAAACCTCTAAGGAAGGAGAGTCCGCCAGCTCCTGAGGGAGACTGTTCCACTGTAGAACAGCTCTTACTGTCAGAAAGTTCGGAATCTTCTTTCCTGTAACTTGAAGCCGTCGGTTTAGGTCCTGCCTTCTGGAGCAGGAGAAAACAAGCTTGCTCCATCTTCCATGTGACAGCGCTTTAGATATTGGAAGATAACTTAACATACCTCTCTGCTCACTCTCCTCTTTTCCAGGCTCAATGTACCCAGCTCCCACAAGGCTTAGTTTCCAGACCCTTTATCATCTTCGTTGCCCTCCTCTGCAGGTGTCCCAGCTTGTAAACTTGGGGCAGTGTTAGAAACTGTCAAAACCCAGATGAAAATGGAATTGCAGGTTGCTTCTGGATCAGGCCATAGGGGGCACATCTAGTGCAGCAACCTGTCCTCACAGTGGCCAAGTAGACGTCCCAATGGGAAGTAGAACCTGATTGACAGCAACTTTCCCCAGTTCGCTAGCTTCTGGCATTCAGAGGCATCCCACTGCAGTTTTATGGGGTTGTAAGACACGGGTGGCGCTGTGGGTGAAACCACAGAGCCTAGAACTTGCCGATCAGAAGGTCGGTGGTTCGAATCCCCGCGACGGGGTGAGCTCCCGTTCCTCGGTCCCTGCTCCTGCCAACCTAGCACTTCGAAAGCACGAAGTGCAAGTAGATAAATAGGTACCGCTCCAGCGGGAAGGTAAACAGCATTTCCGTGCGCTGCTCTGGTTCGCCAGAAGCAGTTTAGTCATGCTTGCCACATGACCCGGAAGCTGTACACCGGCTCCCTCGGCCAGTAAAGCGAGATGAGCGCCGCAACCCCAGAGTTAGCCACAACTGGACCTAATGGTCAGGGGTCCCTTTACCTTTACCTTTAAATCATCACAACTAGTGATGTGAGGTGAGAATATTCTCAAGAATTTAACATCACTAATCACGACCCCCTTAAATTGAGCCTTGGCAGTCATAGCAAACCAGCACAGGGTTCGGATCTCTATTCAAGTAGGCCTCTTGAAATTATCATGCATTACAGTCATAGGCACCTTAATTTCATTGAGTCTTCTCTTGAGTAGAATGTAGCTGCCAACAAGCACAGAAATTTAGATGATGGTGCGGTTGAATTAGGAAACATTTTCTTAACCAGATTCCATTATTTCTTAGAAATACCACAGACTCCTTGTCATTCAAACGATGTACGGCAGCAGTAAGGATTTCTTTAAAGAATAAAAGAGGATTTTTATCATCTGCTTAGAGGCATTCAAAAGCCTAAATCAGCAGAATAATAAGCCAAGCAGATGCGAAGGCGATATCTTGCTAAGGACTGTTAGAAAAATCTTTCTTGGAGGTTGAAAGAACAATAGTCTTCTGCTGCTGATCTAACTAACGTGTGCTTGAGAACCCATTTAATATTTTTTCATTAAAGATCTCCCAGCTCACCTTTGAACGAGTCTTTGGCAAAAAGAAAAAGGATAAATGCTTCCTGCCTGGAGATCCATGACTGGCGCGTTCTATAAAACAAAGCGAATAATAACTCTGTCCTTGAGATCAACTTCTTCTTTCAGAGATAAGGTGGTGATTAATTGAAATTTTGTTCCCGTCAGAGATTGCTGTCTCTGTGTGTGTAAATAAATAAATGGTTGAGGCTCCCAGCCTTCTGTGGCAACTTGCCGTAAATATTTCTCCTTCGGTGATGGAAAAAGAATCAGTTCCTGGCTGATTGAAGGTGAAGATACTAAGAGATAACCTGATGGCCCTTTAAGGCAGGGCTGTGGAACCACCAAGGGCCACATTGACTTGTGCAGAACCTTCCAGGGGCCATAGGAGGAGCGCCCTGTTTGTGGGCTTCCCAGTGGCATTGGATTGGCTGCTGTAGAAAGCTGGATGGTGGATTAGCTCAGGGATGGGGAACCGGTGGCCCTGGTGGACTACAGCTCCCATCATCCCTGAGATTCGGCAATGCTGGCTGATGGGAAGTGTAGTCCAAGCATATCAGGAGGGCCACATGATCCCTGTTCCTGGACTAGATAGAGCTTGGGTCTGATTCAGCAGGGTTCTTGCTGCGTCCTTATTTGTTATAGTCCTATATAGCCATGTTTGCCAAGATCCTCCTTGTTTTCGTTGAAGGCACACTGCCTTAGGTTCATCCATCAAGTAATGCAAACGATGTTAAAAGGGCAAATTGGCTTGGTGGAAGAAAAGCATCTTCATAAAAGTGACTGATTCTCCCCACCTGCCCCCAGCCCCTGGCCCGCCGTTGAGAAGATGTATGAACCCATCTTGCTGAACTCATCAAATCCTCCCCCTCGGGTGGGAGGCGGTTGACCCCCTCTCGGAACAATTCAAAACAAGAGGCTTGGTGATGGGCGAGACTTCACTTGGTAAAAGGCCAACGTCATATATCACAAGGGGGGTGAGGTGGGCCTGAGCAACGGAGCCAGCAAGATTGTAGTTCCGTGAAGCTTTTATACAGCCTTGGCACAAGCAAGTTTTGAACCCAGGACCTTGGCTTCATAGCCAGGAATACTACATGCATTTAGAGCAGGGGTTGCCAGGTCCTGATGGGAATGGATCAGGCCAAAGGCCTCTTTAGACCAGTGCCGTGTTCACACAGTGACCAACCAGAAACCCATAAGCAGACTCTGAGCACAGCCGCACTCTCGCTACCTGAGATTCCCAGCAACTATTCAGACTCAGGAACTAGGCAGCTTTTATAGAACCAGGCAGAACCCTACTGGGCCTTTTATTGTCACTTGATCTCCACTGAATTGGAATCCGTTACAGAATTAGAGATAAGAGTTTATGAGTAGAGATAAGTTCATGTTAGTCCATAGTCAGATTTGAAGTGAAGGTCTTAGTTTCAGTCATTGAGCAGAAGTCAGAAGTCAATTATGGGTCAGAAACCAGGACAGGGCCCTGTTTCAAAGTATTCACCTTCACTAGCTAATTTTTAAGGGGAAGTTTGAAGAATTCGTGTAAATAGATCCTGTTATTTTCTACGTTTCTCAGAGATAACTAAGTGTGGGTAGATCAGCGTGTATCTCATAAACTCTTATCTCTAATTCTGTAACGAATGATTGTGTCATACGTATCCTTATGAGTTTGAGTTTGTAATCTCTGTTTGAGTTTGTAATCCTTGTCAGACTACATACTTTTGAATGGATTAATTTTTGTTACAATTGACTACTGATTTGCGAGTAGGGACCACTCCCACTACTGAAACTTATATTGGCCAGAGTTCTTGGTGTGCTTTTCCCCTGGTATATTTAATAACAAGAACTCCAACTTATTCCTGGTGGGGGTGCAACAGAGTGCTAGTCTTTAGCTCCTTCTCCCCACAAACCTCCAATTTGGTTCAGGCCGACAACCAGTCTAGCTCAGCATCCTGTTCTCCCAGGGAGCAGCCAGATCCCCCACTGGGCAGCCCGCAAGCTGAGAATCCTCCGGAAAAACAATCTCTCAAAGGACCTGTTGATGGCATTTTACCATTGTACTGTGGAGAGTGTGTGTGTGGTTTGGGAGCTGCACGGTCAGGGGAAAACCAATGCTGTCCAGGGTTGTAAAGACTGAGGAGAGAATAATTGGGTGCACTCTTCCCACCTTGGATCAAATCTATGCTTCCAGGTGCCATAAGAAAGCTGCAGAGATAGTGCAGGATAGTGTGCACCCCGGAAATGATCTCTTTCAGCTTCTGCCTTCTGGAAGAAGGTACAGGGTTATAAAGACTAGGACTAGCCGTCTGAGAAACAGTTTCTACCCAAATGCGATTTTGGTTTTAAACGCAGTGTAAGGTAGCCTCTATGGGAGTCTATTGTATTTAAAATGGGGTATCAGAGTTTTTAGGGGGCTAACCAGGTTGCGATAGCTGGGATAGCAGGCTTGATGGGTTTTGAATGTCTTATGTAGATTTTTCAATTTTGTTGTTCTGTATGGGACAATGACAATAAAGATTATCATATCGTAGAAAGCACAGCAGAAACTCTCACAACTTGTGATTCCCAGCAACCACTATTTAGAGGCACACTGTCTCCAGCCATGGGGGAAGAAATTAGCCCTCGGGGCTAGTAGCCATTGAGATACCTCCATGAAATTTGTCTAATCCTCTTTTAAAACTACCCAGGTTTGGCCGAGCGCAGATTCGGCTGGGCAGAGAGAACTGTTATTTGCTAAAGGCCACAGCAGAGGCAAGGCTATATATACCGTATTTTTCGCCCTATAGGACGCACTTTTTCCCCTCCAAAAATGAAGGGGAAATGTGTGTGCGTCCTATGGGGCGAATGCTGCCTGCACCCCGAAGCCCCGGCGCGCTGAGCAGTCGCGCCGGGGCTTCGGGTAGCTCTGCGCAAGCCGCGGGAAGGCTCCCCCGGCTTGCGCAGAGCAGCCTGTTCCGGGGGCTGGGGTCGGGGGAAGCTCCGGCTTCCCCCGCCCCAGCCTCGTGCCGGGGGGGGGGGGAATAAATTTTTATTCTTTATTCCCCCCCCCCAAAAAAACTAGGTGCCCCTTATGGGCCGGTGCGCCCTATGGGGCGAAAAATACGGTATATGACTCTCTAGGTGTTTTAGCCATTGTTGCTTATTGATTTTGATGGTTCCTTGTATATTGTGAACCACCTTGACTTTTACGTGATAAATAAAAGGTAAGCCTTTAAAATAATAAATGGAACTGGAGACATCTCACCCTCCCCTAACCAAAAGCTGCCGGCCCAGAAGCTTTTCCGACTCGCCCCCCTTCTCCAATGCAAATGACATTTGCAAATAAGGGTTGCACATACTTAAATCTTGGGTTTTGTGGTCTGCCGTATGGCTGGAATGGGGCTACAAATGGCTGTGGGCGGCGGGGGGGGGGGGGCTGAGAGGAAACTGGAAGATGGGGGAGACACTTCAGAGAGGATAATTATTTCCTGTTCTGATTTACAGCATGTTGGAAGAAGAAGTGTGGAATGGACTAGGGAGGGATGGGGTGGGGGGTGGAACCATGGTCTTCTGAATGGTGACAGGACTTGGGAGCGGGTCTGATGAATGGGAAGCTCTGTTTTTGACCTCCACATAAGAGTCTTTATTAGCAGCCTGAAATGGAGGGGGGTGGGAAAGCTGATGTTTGCGTCTCTTACTATTAGAAACACACACACACCCTTAGGGCCCAGATATAAATAATAAGCAAACCTCTCCGAATTTTAGTTAGGAGCTTAGCTGCTTGGACACATTGAGCACTATTGTTTTAAGGACATGTTTATAGTTATTATAGAATCATAGGGTGGAGCAATGCAATCTACTATATGTTTTGGGAAATGGTTTCTCCATTTGCTTTCTGTGCGTTTGGGTGCCTCTCGAGATGGCGCTGCCATCTTTCTTGATATTTGGACGCCAGGTGCCATTTTGAAGCAAGATGATGGACCACAACTTGACTTTGCTGTGACCCCACCCAGTTTTTTGTGTGTGACTGACAGGTCCAAACTCACAAATTACACAATCCCTTTATAAATCAAAATATATTTATGGTTTCTAAAAAATTCCCAGGCAGTGCTGGGCTTTCCCTGCTAGTTAATAATAATAATAATAATAATAATAATAATAATAATAGTAGTAGTAGTAAAATATTATTATTATTCCAAATTTATATCACTTCCTTTCACAGAAGTTATATGGTAGCTTTCCAAACAAAGTGCTGTTCTGTGCCCACTTTCAGACCCGGATTGGAGGAGGAGTTCTGATCCAGTTTGCATTTAAAGTTGAATCTCCCTAACCCACCCTGTCCCTAATAATACATTAACTGAAGCGTAGAGACATCTTTCAAAAACCTGCAGTTCTCCGACCAAGTAATGGATGCAAGAGTAAATATATTAGGGGGTGGGAGTGTGTGTATAAAAGCAATTATTAGCGGAGGCTGCAGACAAACTATATTAGGGGGAAACGTTTATATTAGGCAAAACGTCATACAGGAATGTGTCTATTAGGGGAAATTTGCACTAAAATGCTGCTGGATTTTCATGGAGTCACTCCCTCACAAATGAAAACTGATCTGGAAATGTGGCAAATTGAATTTAAGATTGGGGTGGGGGATCCCCTGCAACAAATGTTGTGTGTGGTGGACAAGGAATAGTTTTTTTCCAGGGAGAAGGGAGCCATTGTAGAGGCCCCCGCCGTGATCCAAGGTGACCAAGGAAAGCACGGCCTGCCTCTTTGGCCATGTCTATCCTATTGGTTCTGCTAACCACTGCCTTTTTTAAGCAGAGACCCCCCCAGGAGAGGAGAGAGAGGAGCTAAAGGACAGATTCTCCTGTCCTGATGCAAATGCATCAAGATGGTTTTCGAAGAACGCTGGGATTTTGCCAGCTGTTGCAACCTAAATTGAGCCAAAAATAACCGCTCCATTCTGGCGAGAGGGTGAGAAAGAGGAAAACAGCTCTACCCCCAACACCTGGCCTTGTGGGCAGCTGCAGATTTTTATTACAACAAGACTGGGGAGGTTGTTCTGGTGCCTGCCAAGCGTTCGGAGTTTGGGATTGTAGGTACTGCTGGCGTCTATCCGACCCGCTTTGACCTCTCGGTGATTTCAACCATGGCCATCAGTCCCGGCTCCTCAACAGCTTTGCTTCCCCACAGGGCCATCTAATAATCAGTTCTGGCTCTTTAGTTTTGTGGCATGCCAGCCTTGGTTGGCCCCTTTAACCTGGAAGAGGGAGAACGCGGAAACCGAGAGTCTCCTCCTGCTGCATCTGATAGCCTTGGATGCACTCTTGGCAACAGGGAGCTTGGCGAACATCATAGAATCATTGAATTGTAGAGTTGGAAGAGAACCCAGGGGTCATCTAGTCCAACCCCCTGCAATGCAGGAATCTCAGCTAAAGCATCCATGGCAGAGGGCCATCCAACCTCTGCTTAAAAGCCTCCAAGGAAGAAGTAGCAACTTTGCCATCTTCGGGGGGGGGGCGCGGTTCTTCAGGCCCTGGTACCAGACTTGCCCCTCCAGCCTTCTCTGTCTGGACCTTGGTGGCTTCATAATCGCATGAGCCCTGTTCCAGAGTATTTTTCATTCTCATGTATATTACCGTATTTTTTGCTCTATAAGACTCACTTTTTCCCTCCTAAAAAGTAAGGGGAAATGTGTGTGCGTCTTATGGAGCGAATGCAGGCTGCACAGCTATCCCAGAAGTCAGAACAGCAAGAGGGATTGCTGCTTTCACTGCATAGCGATCCCTCTTGCTGTTCTGGCTTCTGAGATTCTGAATATTTTTTTTCTTGTTTTCCTCCTCTAAAAACTAAGTGTGTTTTGTGGTCTGGTGCGTCTTATAGAGTGAAAAATACAGTATATCAATTCGAAAAAAGATTGGTTAATGAAGAAATTGCGCATCTTTCTACTTACAAGTGTTTGTTGAGCTAATTGGCTGATGGAGAACTGAAGGAAACAGTAGTTGCTACCCAGAAACACTGTTCAGAGTTCAGAGTTGGACATCAGAATTGGACATTTGCCGATTATACAAAGCGTTGCAAGCTAGATCTCCGCTGGGCAAAGTCTGGCACCGTGACTTATTCAAAGACTTTCAGAGACTTCAGTTTGATAGTTTTGCAATATTCCATAAAGTTTTCTTTTCTGTAATTGTTTCTGGCCATCGTGTTGCTTTCAATATTGCTAAGCTAAAACTTTTCCTCCTTGCTCATGGGGATGCCAGAGTGGTCTGCCCCAAATCTTGTTAGAGGTGCAGGACAAATCTTTACACTCCAGTTCCCCCCACCAGCCACTTAGAAGGGGAAAAGGCTGTCTCTTTTATAGTTCACACTTTTTTTAATTAGGTTTTTTATTAAAAGATTTTCTTGTGTTACAAATAAACGGGGGGAAACACACGGCGTCTCCACTTTCAATCCGTAGAGTCTTTTTCACATTTCGTTTACATGTAGGGAGAGACGATTTTGTCATATGACCAAGCCCTGGACCCCCTAACCTCTCTCAATGTCAATAAAAATAAATAGTTCATGCTTTGTTAGTGGAGATACTTAAGGAACAGAATGGGGGACCGATGCCGGTTCCTGAACATTGAGACTACCGAGACCTAGGTGGTGCTGCCATCTAGAAACTTCAGGGTGAATTGCAGCTGTTTCTTTTTAATCACAGTTATCCACAGTCTGCTAGCTTCTGGGTTACACTGCTGCTGTGTGTGTCATACTTGGGGCTGCCTCTGGAGACTCCCTGTACAAAAAACTGCAGCTGCTGGTTTAATGGGTTTGCCCCTGTGGATCTCATTCTCCCAGTTCTTAAACAGCTCTTCTGACTTCACACAGCCCATAGTTGAAATAATGGAATTAGAGGGGTTTAAAATGGGACTAGGCAGATAAGGCTCCTGAAGACTTCTAGCCACTCATGATGGCTGTGGGCTACTTTCTGTTAGAATTCCTGATCCATGATTGCAGTCATGGGATTGTTGTCTATCACAGGATGGTGTATGTTTTGACTCCACAGAGTGGGAAGTGACGGAGACAGGATGTTTGTGTTCCTGTGTTCTGTGACGGGGGACTATTGTCCTTTGTTCTTTCTCTTTTTGCTGTCTGATGCTAGAGAGAAAGGGAGCCACGTTGCAGTGCTCTGTGTGTGTTTATATGTAAATAAAGTAGATTAGCCAAAATGCTGAGTTGCTGAGGTCTGTTACGCAAGCTGCAAAGACTGCGGATCCCTAAATGTGCCGGTGTCAGTTGGCATCGGTTGCTATGATGTTCGGGCAGAAGAAAGCTTATGAAGCTCCTGAACGATCAACCAGGAGGGAGAGAACATGCCAGTCGGGCATGTGTCTCTACCAGGGTCCTACTCGAGTGTAGGCTGAACTCCTGACACTTTCTGTGTCAGATAAGGATGCCTCTGAATACCAGTCGCTGGGGGTCATGAAAGGAGGAGGACTGTGACTTCCCGGAGGCATCCGTTTGAGTGCTGGACTTAATAGGCCCTTTCGGGTGTTAATGATGGTGGGTTCGTTTCTTTCAATGGGTCTGAGTAGAATGTAGCTGGAGACAACCTGTATTTATATCCCACTTTCCTCCAAGGAACTCAAGGTGGCACCTGCAGCCCTCCGCTCCATTTTATCCTCCCAACAACCCTACGAGGTAGGCTAGGCTGAGAGAGTAGCCCCCAAGGTCACCCAGTGAGCTTTGTGGCCAAGTGGGGGATTTGAACCCTGGTCTCCCATGTCCTAAAAGGTAAAGGTAAAGGGACCCCTGACCATTAGGTCCAGTTGCGACTGACTCTGGGGTTGCGGTCCTCATCTAGCTTTATTGGCCGAGGGAGCCGGCGTACAGCTTCCGGGTCATGTGGCCAGAATGACTAAGCCGCTTCTGGTGAACCAGAGCAGTGCATGGAAACGCCGTTTACCTTCCCACCGGAGTGGTACCTATTTAGCTACTTGCACTTTGACATGCTTTCGAACTGCTAGGTGGGCAGGAGCAGGGACCGAGCAACGGGAGCTCACCCCGTCGCGGGGATTTGAACCGCCAACCTTCTGATCGGCAAGTCCTAGGCTCTGTGGTTTATCCCACAGCGCCACCCGCATCCTAGTCTGACCCTAAACGCCACCCATGCACACACATTGTCCTATTTGTCGTTATTTAAACCTTTCCCACTCTTGAATAGTACATAAGAGTTGAGAGAGGAAGTTGAAAGAGTGCCACTCTTTCCCACTTCCTCTTCCAGCTCTATGTTCTTTTCCAGGTTCAGATTAATTCTACTGGGTGCAGCGTTTGCTCATATCTTGCAAAGTGTGTGCATGTGGGCTTTTTCTGTCTCCAGGCCAGGGTGCGAGGGGGGTGGGCAGATCTGGATGAAGTAGGGCAAGAAGTGACCCTTCTCTTGGTTGAGGAGAAGGCAGAGCATCCCTGCAGGTCTTCCTTTCTGTATTTCAGCTGTGGGAGGGGAATGGGTGTTTTACGGGCAGGTTGTAAATCCTCCAGAAGAAGGTTTTATATAGCGGAGAGCATCCGCTACTGTAGAGCGCAGGTAACACAAGCCTGTAAACCACAGCCCCGGGGAAGCGAAACCCCCCGCTCCCTGGAAGCCAGGCAGATTAGAAAGCAGAAATAAAAGGTGACCTTCTGTTAAATTGATGCTTGTGGTCTCGGCCATAAACCATCTCGCTAGCTGACAATGACTTTTCTGGCGAAGGACTCTGAGTGAGGGATTCTTAATGGGTTACTGGTGTCAGGGCGGGAAGGAGTGTGGAGTGCAGTGCAGCAAAATAATGAATGGCCTGAGCCGGGCAACTGTGGGAGGTCGCAAAACTGCCCTAACCGAGGTGAGCCGTTAACTTTTGCAGGGTCAGAGGGATGTCTTGGCGCAGGGTGAGAGGTGTCTGGCAAAGGAGCGCGCCGCCATTTATCGGATTGCCCCTCACCTGCCGCAACCTTGCCTGTGACCTTCACTCGTCCACTTCTGCCACTCCTGGCTCCTCCGAATGTAAAAGGAGAGCCAGGCTGCTGGATCAGGCCGGGGGATTTGGCTCAGCATCCTGTTCTTACAGGGGACAACCAAGAACCCAAAGGGAAGCCCACAAGCGTATACTGCCCCCGACAACGAAAGAAGAGCATAGCCATCGTTACTGGTAGCCTGATCAATGAGTTTGCCTAATCCTCTTTCAAAGCTGTACAGCTTGGTGGCTGTCACTGCGTCTGGTGGGAGAGAGTTCCATAGTTTAACTCTGTGCTGCCGGAAGAAGTTCTTCCTTCTATCTCTCCTGAATGTCCAGCTTCATTGGATTCCTACGACTCCCAGTGTTATGACAGAGGGAGAAAAGTTTTCCTCTGTCCACTTCCTTCATGCCAGGAATCATTTTATAAACTTCCGTCACGTTGCCTCTTAATGCTGCAGCCACATAGCAGTTTTGCTCCACCCCCCAATTTAGTATCTAGTATTATGAGAGAGAGGGGACGCGGGTGGCGCTGTGGGTTAAACCACAGAGCCTAGGACTTGCTGATCAGAAGGTCGGCGGTTCGAATCCCCACGACGGGGTGAGCTCCCGTTCCTCGGTCCCTGCTCCTGCCAACCTAGCAGTTCGAAAGCACGTCAAAGTGCAAGTAGATAAATAGGTACCACTCTGGTAGGAAGGTAAACGGCGTTTCCGTGCCCTGCTCTGGTTCGCCAGAAGCGGCTTAGTCATGCTGGCCACATGACCAGGAAGCTGTACGCCGGCTCCCTCGGCCAATAAAGTAAGATGAGCGCCGCAACCCCAGAGTTGGCCACGACTGGACCTCATAGTCAGGCGTCCCTGTACCTTTACTATTATCAGAGAGAGGTGGAAAATGTCCTTCCCTTTGACTCTGCAAATTGAGCCTGCAACAGGGCTGGGGGAACTTCTGAGGGCCTTGTGCTGGCAGTGGGCAAAGCAAAGGATGCAAAATTTGCTTTTGTATGTTAGCAGTCACAATCAGAGGGCCAGTCATAGCAGCTGATAGTTACATTCGGAAGCTTTTTCTCCTTTCAGCATCGTTCTGAAACTTAAGTTGAGCAATGAGTGGTCCACACAGCTGCTCTTAACAAGATCCCCGTTAAGGGATCCCTCTTAATTTTGTGGACTCCCCTGGCGTGTGACTCCGCTGACGGACAGCGCTATTAAGCGGTCATTAGTAAGCGTGTCTGAAAACGTGGCTTCCACCGCCAACAACGGTTTATTGAGTGTTCTGGGGCTCGGTGACAGGAGAAAGCCGTGATTCGTGCAATGGGAGCTTAATGGGTTTATTTTCCTACTTGCTTGAGGTGGGCATTAAAGCTGACAGCCGCTTATTAGCTTATTTGATGTTTGGACAAATCTAATTCTAATATTCCCACTCTGCCAAACAAAAAAACATAAAGGCATTTCTGTGGATAGCAGAATGTTGTTGTCAAGGATAGATTGCGCAGAATTGCTAAAAATTGGGTGCAGAAACACAAGTGAAAATTTTGGCACAACACTAGAAGTGTGTGTGTGTGTGTATTACTATATATATACTAATGCCATCTTCTCCTTTTCTGCCTTCTCTCCTGCTAGTGTTCATCATGGGATTTGGGCTCCTTGTCTACCCCTTCGGCCTCGGTTCCACTGCCGTGCAGAGGTACTGCGAAAATTCAAGCATCTACTACGCTGGCGATTGCCAGATCGGATGGGGCTACATGCTGGCAATTGTGGGTGTCATGCTCTCTGTCTTTCTGCCCTTCTTTGCAAAATACGCCCCGAAAGAGCACGCCTCCCCCACTCCGATACCCACAATTTTATAGTACTTTCCCAGTATCGAACATCCGGATGTTCCCACCTGAAATCGGCGGACAGAAGAAATATTAGGGCGCTTCCGTTGAGCCTCATTGCTAAGAAATGAATGGGCAGAGGGGAAGCAGTAGAAATGACAGCAAGAAGCACTTGAATGACTATAAAAGACCCCAAGTGCACTGATGAGTCTTCCATACACATGAGATATGGACATTCTGGATCTGGATAATGGGTGCTCAGCAGTGGTTGGGTCGCCTTGGACATTTATAATGGCTAAACGCCTCAAAAAAAAACAAACCTGTTTTTTATCCTCAAAAATCTCTGTCTACCTCCCAGTTTCTTTGTGTGTGTGTGTGTCTCAAAAACCTTTTTTAAAGCCTCAATCCACTTTTTATATCTTGTTTCTTAAATATCTGGACTTTTTTGAACCTGCTTTTTGGTTTTTTCCAGCCTGATCTGTGCTATTTTGTAAAGTAATATAATAAATGGCAATGGGGGGGGGCATTCCTTGGAAATGAGTTGAGTTGTGGCAAAAATTGTGTGCCGTTGACAAAAATTGTGTCTCTTCCTCGCCCTCTGTGGCCGAATCAGTGCATGCCAGTCCTGAAAATGTACAGAGACACCTTTTTCTAAGATCAAAAGTGTAACTCTCTGAATTGGCTGTTAAAACTCCGCCCCCCCCCCGCCCCAGGTTAAAGAGGTGTTTTCTGTGCCTAGAAACATGTGGCTCATATTTCAGGAAGAGCAGGGCAAGATTCTCAGCCTGGCTTAGAGGGCTCCCCCTTGTGTATCTTCACGACGAAATTATTTTTAAGAGTCTTTGCTGTGGCAGCTCCTGAATATCTCATCATTAACTGTGACAACTGTTAACTTGGATTGGTTTAAAAGGGGGTTAGTCAATTCCGCAGAGAATGATAGATCTATCAGTGGTTTCAAGTCAGGATAGTTGATCTGATGCAGCAGAGCTCCTATTACATTGCTAACTATAGGAAATATTAAGAACGCAATTCAAAAATCCTCTCTTTTTTTAAGCAAATGGCACTGTGCCTATAGTATCTGTACCTGATGCATAGCCCCGTATAATTGCTTAATTGGTCTCTGTGTCTTTGCCAAGGAGTTGGCCATAAATATTAGTGTTTCTGAGAATTAGCTGTGTGTGGTCGCTCACTCACTTTCTCTTCCTGCTAAACTTCCACTGGAACAATGTACACGTGAAAGGCAGAGGCTGTCCCTTTAAACCAGTGGTTCCCAAATTGGGTGATACTGCCCTATGGGGGGGGTCAATAGTATTACTTAGGGGGTTGCTAAGAGGCAAGGGGGTGCTGGATATATAATTTTTTGCTGGATGTGTAACAGTTTTGTTGAATCTAGTTTAATTTAGTTCAACAAAACTGGTGATCCAGTGATTCCAGCCTTTCAAATCTGATAGTCATTGTTTGAATTGGATTTGGAATAAATGTGCAATTAGTTGTTGCTGTTTTGAGTTTTATTGTGTTATTATCCTCCTCAGTGGGTCGTGCAAACCCTATACCCTTTTTATAACGTAAAGGGCACTGAGGATGAGTTTATGGAACTTAGAGGGACCACTTAATTTGGGTACCACTGCTTTAAACTCACTGATCGGTTTAACCAAGCTGTGGTTTTAATGCAGAGTAGCATGCCATAATTTGAGCCACACACAAAAAAGTAAAATAATGCAAGCTTACTTTTTTCGGTTTTCTTAAGCAATAACTGTTAACCTTTATTTTTATTTGTTTTAATAAGAGCTTGGCCTCAGGCCTGACCCTCGTACATACCAGAATGCATGGAGAGTAATTCATAGGATCGTAGTAGTTGAGTCCGTCTGGCCTGTATCTTACTATGTGTACGCATGTAAGGATTAAAGGAGTTAAGCCACTTATCTGAAAATACACGTACTGAAGCCAGAAGTCCTATCTACAGATTGCAAGGATGGTAGTCAGAGAGAGAGGGGGAGAGAGAGAGAGGAATGCGTTCTGTTTCCATCTTGAGAATCGTGTCGCTCTGAGTTGTTGACCCTGAGTCCGTGACTGCTGACGTCTGGCTAGAGCTTCCTGTTCAGGTAAGGATGCTGAGCGGGGCCATTTCTGTGGCTTATAAGATACGATTCGGCATTAGCAGAGCTGGCTCTCTCCCATCTGAACAGAACTGGATCTGATGTGGGGAAGATTCTTGTTGCAGGTGTGGCATCTGCTCTGGTTTCGTTCTGCCACGGCCAGCTGCTGTAACAAAACGCACCATTTGCCTTAAACCTTACGAAATGATTTGGGTCCCGAATCAGATCTCAGCTTCATTTCATTAAAAGCAAACCAATTCTGGCTTTTATCATCCAGATCCGAAGGTTTCTCAGCAACAGAACCGGTTAGGGTTTGGCAGTTGGTCTGTTTGGACCAGGGGTAGTCAACCTTCTTATACCTACCGCCCACTAATGCATCTTTCTTGGGGGTGAAATTTCCTTACCGCCCAACAGTGCTCAATGGAAGGAGAATTCAGCTTGTGCCGTAGAACCTCCTACCGCCCACCTAGAATCCTGAAACGCTCACTAGTGGGTGTTAGGGACCAGGTTGACAACCCCTGGTTTGGACCAAAGCAGAGACTGCTGTAAGACTGGTCTTCCACATTCCTTGATGACTCTGGAAGCTGGAGCATTTAACTAAACAACCTTGGCACTCTCTTTGTTGTCATCATTTGCTTATTAATGTACATTATCATATACATGGTTGTCCGTATCCTTCTCGGGTCCAGGTCTAGAGCTCACGTCCTTGCAGTGCTGTTTCGTGTGCTTCCAAGATTATGAGATGTGATCAGGGACCTGCGGCTCAGCTGAATAATGATCAGTCGTCCTTTTTGAGGTTTGCAAATTGCCCTGATTCTGTGGCCAAGAGACAGAGGGAGGAAAATGCAGAACGTCCCAGGTTCAGTCCTCGTTGGCATCTCTAGGCAGGGCTAGGGAAAGACTCCTTGGGGAGCCAATGTCAGTCAAAGTAGACTAGTAGCGGAAAACCTGCTTGCTGGCTTTTTTGGGTGGGTGGGTGGGTGTCAAAATAGCTGAAGGTTATGCAACTGGGGGGACGTGGGTGGTGCTGTGGGTTAAACCACAGAGCCTAGGACTTGCTGATCAGAAGGTCAGCGGTTTGAATCCCCGCGACAGGGTGAGCTCCCGTTGCTTGGTCCCTTCTCCTGCCAACCTAGCAGTTCGAAAGCACGAAGTGCAAGTTGATAAATAGGTACCGCTCCGGCGGGAAGGTAAACGGCGTTTCCGTGCGCTGCTCTGGTTCGCCAGAAGCGGCTTAGTCATGCTGGCCACATGAGCCAGAAGCTATACACTGGCTCCCTCGGCCAATAAAGTGAGATGAGCGCCGCAACCCCAGAGTCGGTCACGACTGGACCTAATGGTCAGGGGTCCCTTTACCTTTATGTAACTGGGATGGTAGCCTACAATGCAAAGATCAGAGCTGCATCTGTTGTTCCACCCACTTCTTGTCTGTGGCTACAGCCACAGCTGGCATGAGCTCTCCAGTGTCCCTCAGGCAGAGATTAAATTCCCCACCTGCTGTGTATTGAGCTAGGTGGACCCATCAGTCTCGCTGACAGCCACTGTGGTGTAGTGGTTAGAGTGCCGGGCTAGGACCTGGGAAGCCAGGGTTCAAATCCCCACTCAGCCATGAATCCCCCTGGCATAGCTGTCAACCGTCCCTTATTTGGTGGGAAACTCCCTTATCCCAGCGCCGTTCCTGCTGCTGTCCCTTGTTGATGATATCCCTTAAATTTCCCGGGTTTCAAATGAAGCAGCTCCTCTCCCTCCCTCCCTGGCAGCCTGGGAGAAGAAGAAGAAGAAGAAGAAGAAGAAGAAGAAGAAGAAGAAGAAGAGGAGTTTGGATTTGATATCCCGCCTTTCACTCCCTTTAAGGAGTCTCAAAGCGGCTAACATTCTCCTTTCCCTTCCTCCCCCACGACAAACACTCTGTGAGGTGAGTGGGGCTGAGAGACTTCAAAGAAGTGTGACTGGCCCAAGGTCACCCAGCAGCTGCATGTGGAGGAGCGGAGACGCGAACCCGGTTTCCCAGATTACGAGACTACTGCTCTTAACCACTACACCACACAGGCTCCAACTGTGTTGCTTGGCTGTGTTGTTCACCCAGTAAGGAGTCTAAGAACGACAGGGGGGGTGGAGCTTGCATGCCTTGTGCCGATCAAATCGGCCGCGTTGCCTGGGGACTCGCCTTTGCTCAGCGCTTCCCAGCGGAGAGGTGACAGTGGTTTTCCTTGCTGCATCCCCTTTGCCGGGTTGCTGCGCTGTGGGAACCACCGCTTGAGGCTTTGTTTGGCTGCTGGCTGGGCTTTCTGCCTTTGGCTTGGAGGGGCTCAGAAGCTGAACATACCTGTGCTGGGAAAATCCCTTATTTTGGCTGCTGATCCCTTATTTTCGAGGCTGCTGGTCCCTTATTTTCAAATCTGTAAGTTGACAGCTATGCCCCCTGGGTGACCTCGGTCCAGTTACTTACTCTCGGCCCAATCTACCTCACAGGGTTGTGGGGATTAAACAGGGAGGAGAAGAATGACATTTGCCACCTTGTTGAGCTCCTTGAAGGAAAGGTGGGGTATAAATGTAAAAATATGACGAAGAAAGCCGTTTCCTATGGACGTATGCTCACAGGGAGCCTTGGGCATGGAAAGGGGCTTCTGCTTCCGCTTTGAGGAGCCATTTCCAAATATATATATTCTCTGAGAAGAGGTGAGGGCCCACCCCTCTACTGCACTCAGTCTTGCTCCAATAAGAGTTGAAGCGGCTTTTGATTGTCACAAGGGCCAGCCAATCAGCCCTGTGTACTAAGCAGGGCAGAAGTGATTTTCATGACAGGCCAACATTTCGGCGCTGCAAATTAAAGCTTCTTCTGCAAATGGGTTTCCTCTGAGCTTGGCGGAGGTGTCTGAAATGGAGTGAGTTGGCTTCCACAATGGGTTTTTTTCATTGTGGCGGGAATTAGGGAAGTGCTACTTGCATGTCTTTTATGCAAGGTTCTTATGCCCAAAGCAGAGGGCAGAATTCATTTGGTCTTTGTAGAGCGATTGGTTCAGCAGGAGGTTTCTGCTGGAGGAGAAAAGTTAATTTTTTTGAAAATCACTTCCAGGGGGTTGGAGAAAGGATGGGGCAGACACTGGAATCAGTTCTCATTTAAAGGACAAAGCAACCTAATTTGAAATTACCAAATTGATACACAAGCTGAAACGCAACAAATCCTTTGGGATTGACACTTCTCTGAATTTTGCCATTTCCAGTCAATATCGTGTACAAAACAGAGTGTGCATAAAAATGCGTGTATGTGTCGAAATACATGCAAAACAGCATTATATTATGAAAAAATGCAAATGTATGTCATATAAAAATGTGTATATTGGGAGAGAGTCCCCATCCCGATTCCCCCCCCCCCGACTGATGTGGAAAGTTGAAGAAGAGAACTGAATATTGGAAAAATGAGAAACCAAAATTGGCTGGTTTTCTTATCCCCATCTGCAGTGCTTTTCTACTAGGAAAAAATATCGGTGCAGGTACTCACCATGAAATTATTACAGTAAGTGCTACACTTTTAATTTGTGCTTTTCTTCTAGGGAAAAAAAAAGAATAGGTGTTGGTACTACGTACCTTTGAGTACTCCCAGAAAAAAAGCACTGCCTTTCGGGGGGGGGAGGAGGCTGGGGTCTGCAGGTGGAGGGGGAAATTGGCAAAAACTGCCCCCCCCCTTTATCATGAGACACCTCCTGCCTTGAGCAACAACACTAGGAGGACCACTTAAGAGATAGCCCAGAGTTTCTGGATTTCACACAAGCACCCAATTTTTATTTTTATTTTTTTATTTTTTTGTAGTTCTGCCTGATTCTCTAGACATAGCAGTTTGGACATTTTCTCGTAAATGTTTAATGAGGTAAGGAGTATAAAAGAAGCAACTAAGAGGTAGAAATGAAATTCTTAACCTCTATCATGAGAGACAGAGGAGGGTGAAAAGTGGAAAGTTCCCATCTTTCCTTTCCTTTCCTTTCCTTTCCTAACCAACCTGTGCCTTTTAACAATAGGACGAGTGTACAGAATGGGATCAGTATTGACCATCGAATCAAAACGTGCATCAGCCAGTGAAAATGTTGTACAATGTTGTGAAAATTGTATTTCTCTGTGTGGTTTGCTTGTTTTTTCAAAAACATCAGTTTTGTGTAATGTTTACAACTGTTTGCTGAAGCGTTTCACTAGGAAAGCGATTTGCCGGGATGCACAAGGGGTGTGTGTGTGTCCTTTTTGAGAAACTG